TATAATTTAATTATCTTATATATTAATTGTTTTTCGGTTATTATTTAGAATAAAATAAAGAATAAGCTTTTTTGATATAAGATATATTAGTGTAAGATTAAAAGAGGTTTAAGTCAGAGGAAGTATAGTAAGAAAGGATCTTAGGGTAGTTATATAAAGTGGTGTTATATTAAAAGTAAAGAAAAGTCTATATTAAGGGTCTATTCGTTTATAAATAATATATAGGTATGATATGATATAGGGTAATGTAATATGGGGCAGTGTAGTGTGAAGTAAAGTGAGTAAGATGAAATAAGCGTTTAAAGCATAAAGAGATATACGTTATTGATTAGAATCATAATCGATAGGTTTTATAACTGAAAAAGAAAGGCTTATAAATATTATGATTAGGATTTTATATATTTTCGCTATTTAATCATCTAAATAATTTAAGCAATAAAATGTTACCAAGTCTAAGCGAAATTCGAGTTATTAAGGAGGTGGTGGTTGGCCTAGACGGTGTTAACAATAATAATAAGTGTAGAAGAAGTATGTTAGAGATAAGTGATAGGTCCGAAACACCTTGTAGAGGATCTATTATACTAGAGGAACAGGAAGGCGAAAATATAGGTGAAGAGATAGAAGATGTTTAAAGTATATAAGAAAGTACTTCTTCTTCGTAAGATTAGGCGAATAAAATAGTAGAAGCTAGAGTAGAAACTATATACTTAGAGGAGGAAAGTTAATATGTACGCTATGGTGATGAAGATAACGATAGTGAGGGTTCGGATGAAACTAGCCAAGCTTATGATAAGTCACGAGCCGGAATAGGGAAAGAGAGGGAAGTTAAAGAGCCCAGGTCAAATGAGGAATATCGTTCGAGTAGTTAAGACGATCGTGAAGAACATGATGATCATTATGTTTAGTTTACCTTAATATATAGTCAATTAGACGCTATAGAAGGTATAGAGTATAATATATAAGGCACAGTCAGTAGAACGGGGGTTACCGGTTTATCAAGTGTTCTTAGTCGCCGAGCCCCTGCTGATGTGATCCTTGATTAGCTGGTAGCGTATAAGGAAGTGTAGGAGGAAGCGAAAAAAGCAAGAAGATATCGAATCGTATTCTTTACGTCGAACCTCTGTACTAAAATGGAGATTATGAAAGGGAACGATTTAATACCTGATGTATGTCTTTACTAACCTGTGTTATACTGCCTTAAGGGAAAACCTTATAAATGTGGAAATCTAGTCTATGTTAAACTAATATGGTTCTTGCTTGATATACGTTTATAGAGAAGTGTGGTGTTAAAAAGCTAGGAAGCCGGGTGGGAGAAACGTAGGCTATACACGATATCATTGAGTATATCTGCTCCGATGGTTTTAGGTTTTGGAACAGGGAGAGGTGTAATTTATTTGAACATGGATCATGTTTACTTATTACCTCTGTATAAAGAAGTAGGAGAGGATAAACGTTACGATATTCAAGGTGTTCTTGGTCTTGATTTTATTTAACGTTTTATCAAGAATTAGAATGTGTAAGAGGGTTTAGTGATATTGAAGGTATAATAGAACATCTGATATAATATGGAAAGAGGAGGAGTTTAGTGGCCGTAATTAACTGAACAGGAATAAAAGAGTAGAGCTGATCTTACTCTATCATGTTTGTATTAGGACGGGCGTAAGGAGGAGTGGGGTTACGATGGAGAAATACGTTGGTATTTACAGGGTTTAGCGCGTGTGTCGTATGACTATAGGAGCAGAGAGATTTTCTAGACGGTAAAGATCTGTTTATTTGTCGTGAAGATAAAAATTCTATTTTCATATATATATGTTTGCGATTATTTTATTTTGTTAAAGGTCTATATAACTTACCACTCTTAATGATATGACGTGTTTCGGCAGAGAAAGAGAATGATATAAGGTTAATGGTATAACGGGAAAAGATAATAGTTGATTAGCAGAAAATATAAAATAGAATATAAGATGACGAAAATGTATAATAGAATAAGATGACGAAAATATATAAGAATATAAGATAAGGAAATGTATAGTAGAATTTAAGTAGGGTGCGATGACTAATTAAAGGGGTATAAAAGATGTTGAAGGGTGTCTGATGATCAATCTTTGGCTTTGTATCAGAGTTCTTCTTCATTCTCTTGCATCGGTGTATTTTCTATTGACTGGGTGTGATTTGACGATCTAGATTGTTTGAGATTGTTGTATGTGTTATAGGCTTCTGAACGATCGGAGTATTGGTTAGTTTTGTTAGGTGTAAGTAATAGCGGACAGTATACAGGTAGGTGGGAGCCTTTTGCTCTATAATATTTGTAATCAAGGAAAGGGTAATTAGCTCTCTCGTGAAATTGGCTTGTATTATTAGATTGGTATCGACTATAATGTGGTCTTCGATCCTTGTAGTAGAGATGGCGGTTACTACCAGTTATGCGTAGGTAGCTAGAGAGCTCTTTACGAGATAGTAGAGGTTTACTTATTGGGCCCTGACTAGTAGTGTCTAGTAAATCTAGTGTTATTTACTATTGACTAGTGCGGTGTACTAAGAATTTATAATTGTGTAGATTCTTCTTTAGTTTAACAACGGCTTGCTATATATCAAGTATAGTGGTATTAGGGATTTTCTTAAATACATCGAAAATTTCTTCTGCCGTTGTAAGGACCGTTGTATTCACTGTGATAAGTGTAGTAAATAGCCAGATCATCGGTCTGTGATTTCTCTAAGTAATATAATGGTTCTGGTCTTGATATTCAACGGTAAAGGATAAATCATCGATATCAGGGTAGGAATGATCTTATATTAAATCTAAAATACATAAATGTTTGCTTTTATCTAATACGATATAGCATGCAACTATATTCTGGACAATATTACCAGCCTGATTGTCCGGTAGCTCTTTATTGATATGATTAAATATAATAACGAGTAATCGGTCTAATAGGAATCCATGATCCTGATGACTACGAAGAATTGGGATTGTAGACGGGACAATCTATCGATGAGTCGAGTTAGGAGTTTGTTGTACCACGTCTCTCCTAGTCTTATTAGGATTAGACGAAGAGATAGGATGGTTGCTATACGGAATAATTGGTATTTTAGCCTAATTCGTGTTATTTGCAGGTAAATTTTTCCGATGAGGTAAGCTCACCTTAAATGTACGTTCGATATGACCAGCCGTATTTGTCTAACTCAATATTATATGTGTATAATATTGTGACCGTGGATCATCTGCTAAGAGGATGTCGTTATAAACTATTGGTTGAGGTTAAGTAGTTTATCTAGGTGATTGACTATCTGTTATTTAAGAAGAAGTTTGTTTATCACCAGTAGCATATAATTGTTGGCGTTGACATTTATTTTGTCTTTGGGATCCGATATCATTAGGACCTGTACCTGACGGTTGTGAGTTGGTATTTTAAATAGGTTCTGGAGCGGATGGGGCGTGTATGCTGGTATTAAGGCCTGAAAAAGGTGGATCAGCAGAAGTTTCCGGAGCTGAATTTGATGTTGTAGTCTCTTGTGAATCTTCTTCATATTTAGTATAATCATCAGATTATTCTTGTTCGATCGATTGTTATTGAGGATCAACTTGTATCGAGTCTTTTGATACCGTATGATCAAGTTGTATTGATTGTGCGCTATTACGAGTTTACTGCTGTTGTTTGGCCGAATCGAGATTAGGACATGGAGGACACGGCATGACGTTGATGTGATGATGTATTCGATAGGGTATTATGATGGTGAAGAAAACAGTATTATAATATAGGATTAGATAAGGAGGGGCTGTATTGGTAATCTATAAAATATTTGATAGTAGTAAATAAATATGTACGAGAGTGGCGTGGTTGGGGAATCGGGTGATTTAGTGTAGCCGATTAGAAGGGTTAGGATGGTGTGGGAAGAAAGGGTGGGAGCGGTATAAATTGATTAAGAAGGGTGTGACTGATGTCATATCTTTGGTGGTAGGGGTGTAAGCGTTAAATGAAAGTGAATTTAATATATGAACGAACCCTTTTCTAAAAGAGGTCTATAAAGGAGAGGAAGGGTATATAAAGACGGTAAAAGAACAGAAAGATTGGAGGGTATTCCAGTAAGAAATATATCTTCAACAGGTATATTTAATCGTTTTTAAGATGACTTGATACAAGGATGGTTTAATCGACAAGAGAATCAGTCATCAGGTCAAGGTTACTAGTTCCGGACTAGAAAAAGCTCACTAAAATACAAAAGTATAAAAGTAATATTTTTCTTTGTCACTGTGTATTACGATTATCTTTTGTACGAGAGAATTTTTCGATCTTTTTCATTATTTTTAGTTTTATCTCCGATAGCTAAGATTAATGAATCTTTTGATTTTATTCTATATTTGTTCTTATTAGAGGTGATTAGGCAGGTTTAAAATGGAAAGAGTATATATGAGTTAAAGTGTGGATTTGATGACGGTTTGATTAAATCAGTGGGGTGTAAAGTAGAAGGAGGATCCGTGTATTAAAGTGTAGGTTAGTATAAAGCAGGAAGAGGGTTTGTGTGTTGAAGTGTAGGTAGGGGTAAAGTGAAAAGGGTGTGTTTGTTGAAGCGTATTTGTTGAAGCGTATTTGTTGAAGTGTAGGTAAGGGTAAAGTAGGAAAGGTATATTTATTAAGTGTGGGTACATGTAAAGTAAAGAAACGATCTGTGTGTTAAATTGTAAGCAGGGGTGAGGTGGGAAAGGTATATTCATTAAAGTGTGAGTGCGCGGAAAGTAGAGAAACGATCTGTGTGCTAAATTGTAGGTAGGTGTAAATTAGAAAAATGCATGTTAAATATAGGAAGGCATAAGCGCACGAAGGCACAGGATAGAGGGAGAGATGGTCAAAGCGTATAATTAAGGGGGTAAAGTAAAGGTGTAAGTGCCTGAGTAAACAGGGTGGTATTTTTAAGGGGAAAGTGTAAGGGAGGGGAAAGAGGAGGGTAGGGTATAAATGTATGGTTACGGTATAAAGATGATAAATTTTATACGTCAATCCAGAAAAATGCTTTTAGTACAATTGGACAAGGATTTTCCTGAGGCACAAGCCCCAACGCGCGGAAGTATTGGATGTGCTGGATATGATCTGTATGCGTGTGTTTCATTGGATGTACAACCTCTTCAATGGGCTGTTGTCGATATTGGAATTCGAGTGGTGATACCAGAAGATTGTTATGGCAGGATTGCTCCTCGGTCAAGTTTAACGATTCATCATGGAATCATGATAGGGGCTGGTGTGATTGATAGCGATTATCGTGGCCTCGTAAAGGTAGTACTATTCAACGCAGGTCAGGATGTATTTCGCGTGGAAAGCGGCAATCGAATTGCACAAATGATTCTCGAACAGGTGAAGATACTTCCTGTGAAGGTTGTAGAAACAATCACAACCACAACGCGTGGGGAAGGTGGATTTGGTTCAACAGGCAGTAGATAGGTGATTTATATTTGTTATTGTAAGGGTATGGTAGAGTTGAACAGATGAAAGAGAAGTAGTGGTGGTCCACAAAAGAAAGTTTGACATTGAGCGTCCAATGTGACTTTTGTCACTGTTATTCGGCGATGCAACAGGTATAATCATACCTGCACATCCCGAGCATGGAGCACCCACCGCTTCGCGGTGAGACTTCTCGCAACCACCAATCTTCCCATCCCCCACTGTTTTGCCCCAGAGCGCCGGAGGCGCTCCTTGCAAAACGTGGGGGGGGGATGATGGTGGTAAGAGAGGCTCCTTAGTTTAGGGGCAAAATACAATCTTCGGGCTATTTGTGCTACTTTCTAGTACACAAGCCGATCAATTGGTTGAGGCCCGGGTTCGAGTCCCGGAGGAGCCCATACGTATTTTTTTTGCAATATTTTTTGGCGAGAAGAAATACGGTAAAGCACGCTAAGGTTGATGCATTAAAATAAGAATTTTGACTTTTTCTTCCCTTTGTCTCGTCACCATCACAAGGATCGTCAGGATGCATAGATCGTCGCACGTTTTCAATTCTTTACGGCAAAGTGTACGGACGCTTGAGTGGCAGTCTCAGAGGTCTGCATGTGCTGTTGCCGGTCCTAGCCGGACTGCCAACCTGGCAGTGAGAAGTTCGACTCTGCGGCCTTTCCATACGTCGCAGCAGCGAAAAGAAGGTGATAAAGATGCAACCGCTACCGACAAAGCTGCTTCAACTGAACCTAATCAGACAATTCCAGAAGGAACAGCAACATCGAAAACAGAACCGCCGAAACCTGCACGAGAGCCTTTGACATCTTCATATGCACCTCAATCCTCTTCCGAATTTGCGGAACAAGGTCAGAAGCCATTACCGTTTCTATCTGCTCCTCTGGGTGTGTCGAAGCAACCTTCTAGCAAGAAGCTAACATGGACAGAAAAGCGTGAGAGACAATTTGATAATGACTTGCGACTGGAAAGACGAAAAGCGATTGTGAAAGAAGCAACTCGAGGATATTTCCACGATGTTCACGCAATGCGATCGCATGGTGGTAAAACTTGGATTGCACCTTCTACATTGATCAGACAGGATAGAGCATTGTACTTTCCTGCAATTTCAGGAACGTGTCTTAGCGAAACTAAAGCAAAGAGGAATACGGCAGATTTCCTTCCTGGGAAGGTGTCGATTGTTGCTATTCTAACAAGTCAAGTATCAGAAGCCCACGTAAAAAGCTTTTACGAACAAGCACATTCGATGTATCGAGATGATCCAAATTATCAACTGGTTCAAATTAACTTGCAAGAGAATGTATTGAAAGCTGCATTGGTATCGCTCTTCCAATCATCTTTGCGCAAGCAAGTCCCCGAAGCTTTGCAATCGACCTACCTTTTCACCACGCAAGATTTAACAGTGGAAAAAGAGGCAATCGCTCTGCATAACAAACATGTCGGTTATGTCTACCTCGTCGGATCGGACGGAAAGATTCGATGGGCAGGAGGTGGTTACGCCGAACATCGGGAACAGCAAGGTTTAGTAGCATGCACTGGTGTTTTGTTGAGTAGGATGGCAGAAGGAAAAGCGTGACTGCAACTGGAGAAACCACCCATCTGTACAATATTATGCAATTAATAGATAGGATTCACGTAGAATGGGTATGTTAAATGATGCAGGCAGCCTGAAAATTGACTTTCGCAGGTCCAGCGATAGTATAGTACATTGTTTGAAAGAGAATAGGTATCAAAGAGAGTGGGGGTATGTTATTGAAATGTACTTTTACTCGTAGAATCTTCTCCTTCTATCTCCTGCGAGAACGATGTTTCACTCGTTATATCTGGCAATCGCGACGTATCCTCTCCCGCCTCTGAATCCGTCTGTTCATCGTCATCATCTCGTCTAGCTTCTTGGCCTTCCTCAACCTCCTTCTCGTTCTGCATAGCGTCCAATTCTGCCGGATGTAGAACTCTATTCCCGGAAGAATTGACTTCAGGTTCATACTTTGACAGGATAGCATGACGTGCTTGTGCAACCATTGCATCTATCAGACCTTTGCATCTTTGGTGTGCTTCTTCTAGCTCTGTGTTCAATGGTGCCTCTTCATCGGATACGCTTTCATCATCCTCCAAGTCACTTTCGCTCGCTTCACCGCTCTCACGATCCTGCATTCCAAGAGTTTCACCAAGCGAACGTCCTTCACGTAATCGTTTCTTTAATTCTCGTATTTCCCTTGCTTGTTTCAATTTCACAACTTCTAATCCACCATTGATCGCCAATAAACTTTTATTGGTAATCTCTAAATCCAAAATCTTTCTGTTCGTTTTGGCTTCTAATTGCTCTGCACCCAGTTCAACCGTTGGTGAAAGAAGCACATTAGGCGAAGGAAGCAGTCCATTGGTCGACGGTGAAGCAAGTGGACCACTGCGGAAAGCAGATCCGTCACCCGTAGTAGACGGTGAAGGCAAATGACTTGGTGACTCTAACGCAGTACTACTTGATGATCCCGTATAAGAATCGCCAAATGAAGTATTTGCAAATTGCGTAGACATTGCCGTTAGTGATGGTCTCTTTGGCGCTGCACTGAACGAAGAACGACCAACAGAATTGCTTTGCGTGCCTGAGGTGGACGATTGTCCGCCTGCTGATACATTTGAGCCATGTGAGATCCTCCTTCCATCCCGTCCATACGAAGACCGAGTAAGTGTTGGTGATGGTGATCGGCTTGCACTTCGCTGCAGAGGCTGTTGAGCTGGATTGTAGGTATTTCTGACCAAAGGTGTGACGTACGAATTTGATCGTGCGTGTTTGGCAGTAGGCGTATTATCATACGATGGATTGGTGACTTTGGCAGTGAATGTCGGCGTTGCTGTGCGAGCATGGTAACCTGACAAAGTACCTTCTTGACCTTGAATAGCCGATATTGGCCGAACCCTGGCTTTCGCTACGGGAAGTGAAGGAGATTCAGATCTTCGATTTTGTGAATGAAGTGAAGTGCTGCTACTAGCATTCGCACTACGCATTGCACCAGCATACAGCCGCGAAGGACTGGGCGATCTAGTTGTCGTCCTTGAAGATGAGGCACTGCCATCTGCAGAGCGAACGTGAATGGATGCATTCCTTTCAAAGTTTGAGGGAGATGTGATCGGATCGAAGCCAGATGGTTGAAAGGGAGATCGTACGTGTGGTGAACTGTATGCCGATGAAGCTGATAGCGGCGGTCTGCTGCTTGGAAGTCCATTCGAGCTAACAGTACCAGATCCTGAGACCATTGAGTTCATGTTCACCTTTGCTTTCCTCACTACACCATTGGATGAGCCAATGGAGGGTGAAGAAGCATGACCTCGATTGGCTGATGAGCTTGTAGGTCTACTCTGCTGATTTGTGCCGCCATCGTTCAAGCTTGATAGGTCTATTCGGCCCATGACCTGAGGTGAGAGATCGGATTAGCATTTATTCACACTCCACATGCATTTTATTGACTGGAAAATACTCACCTTTCTCTTTGTCGTTGGCGTAGACATGATGTCGGGATGGAATGGTAGGATGCACGTTCAAGTGTACCTGATTTGTCCCGAGTTCAATACGCCCACTCTAAAAATGCCAATGACGCCTCCTATCTTGTCAGACTGACAAATTTCACAAGAGCTGCTATAAGATGAGACACAGGCGAATTGTACCCTATCTCTTTTTGAGCTCATCGATCGTGCAAGTTAGCCATTTCGATAATGAGTGGTTGGAAGAGAAGACCTGACAATTTGTGAAAGATTTTAGTGATTGTCCCTCTAGATTGAATGACGATCGTTGTAAAGTAGAATCCCGAATTAACTGCTTTTTTGACGCGTAAATCCATACAGACAGTGACGGGGCTTCCTCAACTTTTTGGGATAACAGCCACAAAGCCAATTCCATCTTTTTTTTATCAATTTGGACTGAGAAAATGCAACGCGTGCAGATACGCACACACGCGTAAGATTTGATCGAATAAAGTGTTGTTCTTTTCTGGTTTGCAACGGGATCCCCTTGCATCTTGTTTGCTCAGTAGACCAGGTACGATGCTATTCTGAAGATCATTGCTGTTTAGAAAATTGTTCAGCTTCAGTGACAAGTCAAATATTGCATGCATATATGGGGTGCATAAGCCTATCGTGTGGTCTTGGCGATTGAAGAACAACATTCCTCAATTAACGCTAACAAAAAGTTCATCAGAAACAAGAAGAAAATTATATTTGACAAAAGTGACAGAAATACATGAATGATGAATTAATGAACAATGAGAAGTTGACCAGCAGTCTCTTAGGTATATGCTATTGAATGGTATGTCTATTGCTTAAATGCTCTTGTGTCGAGGAAGTTGGATGCTCTTTGTTGTGCTTCTGTATCTTTGAAAGCGACGATACCAATAATGATACCAGCGGCAAAGAAGACCAGAGAAATGATAAGCCAGAACACCCCCCAGCAACGACTGTCGCCTCCGACATGTCTGGCAAAAGCGCTTGCATCGGACTCGTTCACTTTGCGGCTGTTGAAGATAAAAATAAAGTCAGTTTTACTACTCTCCTGCAAAAGATGATTTTCAGAGACTCACAAGATCAAATCGTCGCAAATGTCCCAAAGCGAATATAGGCAGGACATGACTCCCTGTGATAAGAACGTATAGGAATGTTTGCAATGATGTCAGTAAACTTTATCAATGATGATCATGTATCGCGCGCGTGTGTAGTACTCACCAAGAACAAGACAAGGTATTGCAATGCCACGCCGTGTGCAATGAACCAAAACGCAACAATGATGCCAGCCATGCACAAGAGCAAAACCCAAGTAAGCCAATCCCTTCTTGCCCACCAAAGTGTAAAAAGGAAGAATACGCCAATGACCAAAGTCATAACTTTAGCTGCACGAATGTCAAAAGAGGTTGCAATCATTGCTGCTCCAATAAGACTACTTCCTAAATAGCCAGCCGGTAATGTTAAAGCCGGTATTCCTCCTCGCATTCTCGTTGCTCCACCTTCGTTTGGATCGAGATGAATTGATTCAATCTTTGCACAAGTTAATAAGCCCATAAAAGCATGACTGAATTCATGGAATCCGACTGTTAAAAGTTTGAAAGGATACAGTAACAATTTTAGATAAGGTATATTCCATAACAAGACGATTACCACAATATACACGCATGCCACGATCACCAACGTTCTCTGATCGGCAGTTGGCACGATTCTACTTTCACGTTTTGTGAGTAAGTGTTCTGTTGCTCTTGCTTGTAATTCTGACCATGTTGGCCATAAATCTGGAGTAGGTGCCATTCTCAATGATAAAAAGATGATGAAAGAGAGAATGAGAAACACAAAAAGAGGAGTTTAAAATGATGAATTGCGCCCTCTTTCCTTTGTACTTTATTAAGGTTAAAAAGTGTTGGTTAATGTGGTGTCTACTACATGCTTTTCTTGCCGTGGTGTAGTGCCGAAACGCGTAAGAAAGCTGTGTACCTGAGGCAGTGCTTCTCATTTAAATATTCGCCGGTACTGCGTGGGTGTATACGCCTGTCAGTTTAGGAAAGTTTCCCAGAATAGAACCCCTAAAAAAGATACAAGAAATGCATACAATCAAACTACCATCCAATCACTTCTGCTCGTTGAATCAGAACACCAGATGGTCCTTTAGCATCATGGATAACATCAAATAGATACTTTGCAGCAGTTTCTACCGTTTGACGACCATTGAAACCGTTAAGTGCTGTTGCTGTATGACCGGGTGCAAATGAAACTAGGAAGAGCAGGGGAAACAACTTAATTAACTCTGAGTGAGAGACTCTCTCAAACACACCACTCACCTATCCTCCAGTCAGGACGCTGTTTAGACAACCAAACCGTATATGCATTCAAAGCAGTCTTGGAAGCGGGATACATCATTTCCGTATTCCCATATTGCGGCGAAGCAGAGTTTGTCATATTTACAAAACTTGACAGACCTGTACTAACATTGATGATCGCCGGTCTATTTTTTGACTTTTCAAGAATTGGTAAAAATGATGTCGTGACTGCGATTGGCCCGATTAAGTTTGTGTTGAATTGATTTTGCATACCCTCAACAAGTTTATCTAGATTGGAAAAATCATCCGGCACTATAACAAACAAACAGGTCACCAAACATTCAGGATATCATATTGAAAAGGGAAACTCACCATAAATACCAGCGTTATTGACTAATATGTCCAAAAAAGGTATTTGAGTAGCAGCTTTCTCAATTGTCTCATTCTTCGTGATATCGATCTCGATCGGGATCAGCTCAGTTTGAGCGCTCCTCCCACTAGGAATATTGATCTTCTCAATAGCTTCGGTAGCCTTGGCCAGCGATCTTGCTCCTACATAAACCCGAACCTCTTCAGATGAGTCCGAGATGAGTTGCTGCACGGTAGCATATCCAATGCCTTGATTTGCACCAGTAATTAGGATATCGATCATCTTTGATTATATGAGAAGTGGTAAAGAAAGATGTTATCATCAGTCAATGTGATCGCCTTTTATGTTCATGCTGAGTTGTGAGCCCGTCAATTGCTGAGCTTTAAGCGTTGTGTTCGGCAATGCAGGCTAACCTTAAAATTCACCGAAAAAGTACAATTTGCGCACGGCCTTGTAAGGGGGCGAGCACTTAATCAGTGTAAAAGGGGTGACTTCAGGAGTGTTGTTCTGTTGTACAACTCCTTTGCCTTTTCATGATGACCGTCACCTAATCGAATATGGCAGACGATTCCGTTCCACATGAAGGATTGACACATCTCAAAAAGTATGATGTCAAGGACAGCAACGTCGAATTAATAGGATCAAATTTAGATCATCAAGTAAAGTACAACTCCGCACAAACAGAACCTGCATGGAAAAAAGTTGGACAAGAAGCAGGGCTGTTCATTTGGCGAATTGAACAATTTCAAGTCATACCATGGCCAAAGGAAAAGTATGGGAAATTTCACGAGGGAGACAGTTATATCGTGCTACACTCACGGAAAGTCGGACAGGGCGAACATGAACACCTCGAACATGATATCTTCTTTTGGCTTGGGAAAGACACATCACAAGATGAAGCTGGAACAGCTGCTTACAAGACGGTAGAATTGGATGAATATCTGAGCGGGAAGGCGAGTCAACATAGGGAACTACAGGATAATCCATCGGCTGAATTCTTAAGCTTGTTTCCCCGCATTACCATCTTGCATGGCGGAGTGGCTACAGGATTCCGACATGTGGAAGAACAGAAGCCAGAAGAAACGCTCATCTTATACCAAATCACAAAAGCCATTCCCGCTCAAGGATCCAACACACCTTCTGCCAAAACCAGCACCTTGGTCAAACAGGTCGAACCAACATTCGCAAGCCTTGTGGAGGACGATTGTTTCATACTGGATCGAGGTACAAAGGTGATTGTATGGCAAGGCAAAAAAGCATCTCCGATCGAAAAAGCAAAAGCTGCACAAGTTGCTCATGATTTGACGCTATCAAGACAAGCCTCTACAGAGGTGCTAGCCCAAGGTGACTCGAGATCATTCGCATTCTTAGAACCACTTGGCGGTAAATCTACGGACCCAATCCCATCCAGTGCAGATCGTCCCGCAAGCGTTCCCGCAGGAAGAAGACCTAAGCGACTCTTTAAACTCAGTGATGCCTCTGGACAATTACGGTTTGATCTTGTTAGAGAAGGACAAGCTTCTCAATCCGATTTCGATAGTCAGGATGTCTTTCTACTCGATACTGGCGTTCATATTTGGGTATGGCAAGGAAGTGGAGCCAGTGCAGGCGAAAAGTCGTCTTGGCTTAAAGTCATTTATGCATATATTCATTCCTTTGATCCATCTGATAGCCAACCGCATCTTTCGCCCGTTGCCAAGGTAAACGAAGGCAGCGAGAATGCGGCTTTCAAAGCAGCTCTTGCAGCATGAGCGTTGGATGGTGTTGTATCATACAGTCACAAGACGGCAGATTTCGCCGTGCTGCCATGATTGAAGATAATAGACTTTCTACAGAACAAAGGCGGAGATGATTTGTCTAATTTGCTGAATTATGTCTGACGGGATAGCCCCGTCTCAATTCAGCAAATGAGTTCTTGATAGGAGAGTGGAATTGTGAACGAATATGCACGCGGCCACTCCTCATAAGGGACTGAGAATGAATTTGCGGTGCCGGCATGACATTGATCGGAGCACCTTTTATCATACGCAATTATGATAGCTGAGTTGCCACCGAATAAGAATGAGTTGAAAGTGGATCTTGATGTACTCCTTTCTGCCATCACCTCTCCCCTTTGCATACAACACCATGAAGAACATCGTTCTCGCTTTGATCGTTTGTGTTGCCACAACGATTGCAGTTCTGGCAAACAATGGAGCGCCAAAAGACTTCCAAAGGTCATACAAGTATTGGCAATTCCAGGTAAATCGAAATGGGATCACATACGAAAATATGACGTTCCCATGTTTTCAGCCGGATGCAAGATGTATGGGTGTTTATGATCCTGAAATGGAATACGAAAAGTATGAGATCAACGTTTTGGGAGATACGAAAGTTACTTGTAACGAAAAGTACCGTACTGGAGAAGGTGCACAAGAAAGAACAGCTTATTCTGGTCGTTGTTTCGGTACAGGGCCGGCCACTTACCTGATCACTTGTCGAGATCCACCAAACGATCCCAATTACGCTAAAGGATGGGCAATTTTGCATTTCAAATCAGATCATACATACTTTTCAACAAATAATGGAGCAAAAGGAAGATTCCCTGAACAACTCAACAATACCGTTGAAGCAAATCCGTTCAAGGACCATGATTATTCCCGTGACCTGTTTGCTACGGTGGAAATCTTTTGCCCCATTCAGATGTCGGAAGGATGAAATTTCTCTTCAGTCAATTTATGCATCTTTTGTACCTTTCTGTCGTTATGATGAAGTGAATAGTACTTTCTTTCTTGTTTTGTCTGAATCATGCATGCTTGGCTTAACGAACATTCTGTAAACGATGCGCCGCCGCAATGCGCCATTTTCTGAATATTAGTTGCACTTTTCCTTGGCGATTCGGCTGACGATAAGAATGATCAGTTTTGATGCAATTTACATGCATACACATGTAAGGTACGTATCACAACGGGCAAAAATGATGATCAAAATGTCAACTGAATTGCAATTTTCATGAAATGAAGTTTGAATCAATTTAGACGGTGCCGTTACTTAACTGCAATCGGACAATGGGCACAAGGGTGCTCATCTGTTTGATTCAATGCCAGAAACTTGCACAAAAGGACCTTCTCAGCACAAAATGACAGATTACAAACACCGCGCTTGAATTGTGGCGCCGAATTTGGTCAGAACAAAAGAAAAACGGATCCTATCAGTCCGCTGCAGGAGTAAAAAAGCTTTGAAAGGGAAGTAAAAAAATAAAAGATCGACGATAATCATTTCATTCCAAATTAACAGGACCGAGCAAAGTGCAGATCCAAACAAGAGTATAAAAAAGGATGTCAAATTATCGCATCTTCTCCTCTCCCTTCCTTTCTCTCTACACCTCTCTCTCAACAAACTTCCCCATCATGCATTCGCTCAACGTACTACTTCTTTGCTTCACAACCCTCTTTATCTCAATCGAAGCAAGACGACGATATGGGTCAGAGTACAGTCAGATGCTCACAGGCAAGCACAAAGGAGCAAAAACAGTGAAATGGAAAAATGTAGCTGAAAACCCAACAAAACGTAAGAGAAATTATGATTCATCCTTGATCGGTGGCATTGACACCCTTCTCAATATACAAGCAGGAGTCCAAACATTAACGTCTGCTGGCATTGAATTCGTTGATTATCATGACATCGATTGCACAGAAGCTGGAGCAAGATGCATTCAAAGGCACACCGAAGGAGTGGAACAACAAACCGTTTCGGTGGAAGCCTTGATCGACACAAGCGTCGAGTGCGATGTCAACTTCGAATCAGGCGATGACTACTCAAACCAGAACAGATTCCTACAATGCATCACCTTCCAATCAACCAAGATTCGAGTTTCATGTCAACGTCCTTCAAATGCTTACGTTGAAGTTGATTTCCAAGTATCTTCAAGCAGCTTCCAAGCTGAAAACGGAGCAAGTGCACGTTTCATCTTTGGCGGTATTCCAACAGGAGAATGGCAAACACAAGGTGATTATCAAGGCACATCTGCTATTGTCGAAGTGTATTGTCCTTAATCGAAGATTGGGTGTTCTTTCAGTGGCTTCTATCATATCTACACATTCTTTTCATAATCTCGCTCTTTTTCAAAAATGAATATCATTGTGCACATTCTCGGTCGTTAAAGCATGACCTTCGTTGTAACCAACGACACTCATTGATCTACAGAGCATTTGACGTGCAACGTTTCTGCCTTCTTTGAGGAGTAATGGGGGACGTCTGCTCTGCTCGCAATCGTCCATTTTGGATCACTTTCCCACATGGCTGAAGTTTGCTCACCATAGACGTAGAAGTATGCATACTCGGTACCTTTACTGTATACTTCAGTCTTGCCAAATGTGGCAAAAATGTTACGGCCGACCGGAGTTGAATTTGGTCCTGAGCAATTGACTGTCACGTTAGCAAATTGTCTATCAAAGTCGAAAGCGAAAGCGCAAAGGCCAGAAGGAGTACATTCGATATCTAAGTTTGCATCATTTTTCATGGTAAAACCATCTGGTGACTTTTCCACTTGTATGCATTGTTGCCCGACATCTGTGCCGCAATGAGCCACTGCACCTTCTTCTGTCCATTTATAGCCGTTGGTGAAAGCGTGTACCATTTGCAAGGATACAAGGAATGGAAGAGCGAGCGAAATGTACTTGAACATGATTAATTAGTATCTGTGTGTAAGAGAAGTATAAGAAGAAAAGGTGTTTGGTTTGCAGGGAAACTTTATTTTGGAGCAGAATGCCCTTTTTATAGTTTTCATCATTCAATGTGGCTCTTACCAGGAGACATCATTTCGAAGAAAGGAGAATGGAGATATACAAAAATGAGCTCTACGGTCAAATGAACGCCTTCTACCCCTTATCGATCGCCAAACCAAGGCATCGGTACTGTGAAACGATAGTCACGAATGGCCAAGGGGAATGAATAGGCTAAAAAGGATAGATGAAAAGGAGTATGGATGGATTGTGGAGAATGGGCGTATGAAGGAGAATGAACAGAATGCTGAAATAGGAAAAGTTAAGGAGGGTGAAAATGATGAGACGTATGAATCATCCTCTTAAGACCGGGTGAAGAGCTTATTGAGAATAAGAGAAGCCATGGTATCTTCATGTTGGACCTCGCCTGCATGAGTCACTACACTAAAAAGTATTCCAATACCTCTGCATAAGGCATACTTCATTATAAGCGAGCCGAATTAGTTTCAACACTTTATATTTAGCAATGTTAGATAAAGTCTTTAACATAATTTGGACTTCCAATTTTATCCGAAATATGAAAACGACAATCTTTGTGCATATTCTAGGTATTTGTGTATATTCTAGAACTTTAAAGATGAGGTTTATTATGCATATATCATGTACATTTGACGTATAAAGTTTCAGCTTTCTTTTTAGGATAATGATCAAGGGCCAACTGCGAAAAGAAAGATGATAATGAATAGATTGATCAGCTTTCATGTCACTCGTATATTTACCCGGAATACTCACTGCAGCCTGAAGAGTATAGTCCTCTTCACTCTCCCACTTGGCGGTAATGCCTTCGCCGATAAGGGCATAGCTAGCATACTTGGTACCTCCGTGGGGAACATTGACTTTACCGAATCTGGCTAGTATTTCGCCTGGAATACCCGAACTTTTGCCTTGTTGATCCAAACAGGTGATAGTCATATTGGCATGTTGTTTGTTGAACTTGAACGGGAATACGCAATCACCAGAAGGAGTGCATGAGACATCCAAGTTACCGACACTTGTGATATTAATACCATCCATAGGACTTTCGAATTTAATGCATTGTTGCGCGGTATTTGTGCCGCAGTGAGCCACTGCACCTTCATCTACCTTTTTATAGCCATGATCACCAACTTGAACTTGGCCAGTTGAGAAGGCTTGTACCGTTTGCATGGATACAATGACCGAAAGAATGAGAGAAAAGTACTTGAACATGATGTGTATAGGAATGAGAAAGTGTTTGGTTGGGGAATTTGTCTGTTCCAAGGAAAAATAAGGCCATTTTATAGCTTTTATTCTTTCAATTCGTTTCCTTTCATAGGAGATATATTTTATGACGAGGAGATGGAAAATAGGCGAACATGAGCTTAAAATTTAATGATGGGCGTACTTTTTATCCCTGAATTTCGTAAGGATAAAGAGCATAGACGATGTCAGGAGCAAAGACAAGGTTGCGTAAGGTATGGAGAATACGTGGCTAAAGGAGAATAGATAGGCTGAGGAAAGTAGATAGATTAAGGAGAGTAGAAAGATTAAGGAGAACGAGATAGATAGATCAAGGAGAGGTCACGCTTAAGACAAAGTTTCGTTTTCTGCCATTGATTAGCAGTATTGATATTCTAGGTCATCAAAGAATAAAAATCGATGTACATCCTACATCAATAATCTGCTACACACTTCATGTGCAAAGTTTCTGCTTTCTTTGAAGGGAAATGATAAAAGTTCAACTGCGAAAAAAGAAATAGGAGAAGAATTAGCACGTAGATCAAGTCATTGTTTTGCAAAGACACTCACAGCAACCCAAACAGTCCACATTTGAGCACTCTCCCATTTAGCTGAAATACCCTCACCATAGACCGAAAAGTATGCATACTTGGTGGTACCGTTATTCGGAATTTCATATTTACCGAATCTAGCATAGACATTACGAGGTACGGTGCCTGTATTTGGTCCCATACAATTAATCGTTACGTTTGCACTTTGTGTGTCAAAGTTGAATGGGAACACACAAACGCCGGATGGAGTGCATGCGATATCAAGGTTACCATCGTTTGTGATGTTCACGCCGCTCAATGGAGTTTCAATTTGCAAGCATTGCTGCCCAATGTCCGTGCCGCAATGAGCAACTGCTCCTTCGTCAACTCTTCGGTATCCATGATCGCCAACTTGAACTTGGCCGACTCCGAAAGCATGTGCCATAGATGCAAGGGCAAAAAGAGCGAAAGAAACGTGTTTTAACATGATTGTTATTTGAGTAAGGATGAGATTGGGCTTAAGTTGGGGAATCGTGGTTGTTTGTCATTGAAAAAAGCGCCGATTTATAGATTTCATTTTTGAACGCGGCTCCTCTTTTCAAGTGAAAAACAATCGGACGGCTTCCTTTCTGCGTTTCTCGTATTCCGCTGTTTCTCCTTATTCATAGCAACGGATCAATTATGCAAAGATAAGTTTCAGTATTCATCATAGGCAACTCTTTCACCTTAAGCATTCTTCAAGAAGGTATGCAAACTCTTGGAAAGGGTGAAAATGAATGTATTAAGGAGTATGAAGAGTATGGATAGGATGATAAAGATGAATAAGTCAAAGAGGATGAAAAGGATGAGGAGGATGAATGAAAAAAAAGCGGATCGAGGAGGATTACCTGAAAATGAATAACCTCCTGAGCGGCGAGGCGCAAGTATCATATATCATCTTTACAGTCGATAAAGAGTTCATTAGCAGGCTTGTGGGTAAACGTTGGATCATCAGGCTGTAATTAGGAGAAAGGTAGTACCATCAGCCTTTGTAACATATTCCCCTTTCTTTTGCATACTCACAGTAGTGAAGCGTTTCGCATTCGTACTAGTCGTGTTTCCCCAATGTGCTTCAATGTTGTCTCCCTCGGTCTTGTAGCTTCCGTAGACGATTCCGATTGGGAGGACTTTTTTTTTGCCGAACAATTTCACGTCAACATATGATCCCGTAGGCTTGCCAACAGCATTCAAGCAATTCACAGTGAATTGAGCTTTGTTTCCCTTTTCCGTGAAATTGAATTTCATCGAGCAAAGATTGGAATAATCACATTGAATAAACAGATCATCGGATTTATTTGTAACGCTAATCGTATTGAAAGTCTTGAAACATTGGTAATCGGTGTTGTTTTGGCCACAATTGGGGTTCGCACCTGTGATTCGGACCGTACCTTTACCAAAATCTCCTGGGTCCACTGGTGGATCATAGTTGCCGGAAGGAGGAGTTTTTTCACCTTGAGTGAGAGCCATCTGAACGATAGCAAACAGTAATGCCAGAGAGAAGAAAATTTTTGTAGTGCTCAACATTGCGTCGAAAAGTAGTGAAGTGTGTGTGTGATAATATGATGGTATAAAGGTAGGATTTGACTCCTCGCATTCTCATGAATTGATAGGATTTGATTTCTCGCAATCTCATAAATTGGGGAGGCTTCCGAATCTAGGAACACAAAAGCGGGCAATCTAGCTGAGTTTGAATCACAGCGGAACTTTATTCAATTACACTGTTGGATGCGGAATTCCGACGAAAAGAAGGAGCCTTATGAAAGGGGTCATCATGATAAATTCATCGAATTAGGGTTATGTTGGAATTAAGTATTAACAAGCGGGGAGGGAAACGGTCTGAAATTAAGATGACTAGGCTCAGATTTGTTTAGGGCATACAATGTAGAGCGTTTCAGCCTTCTTTGAGGATGGTTTTGGTGTACCGTACTGTCAAAAGAGTGAATAAATTGTCAGCGTAATGTCTATCATCACATGTCCACTTCTTCAAACTCACATTGCCCTTCAAACCCACATTCATGGTATAGTCTGCATCATTTTCCCACTTTGCCTTGACGCCCGAACCACTGACGACAAAGTATGAATAAGCATCAGCTGCAGAAGAAGCAAGATTGCCTCTGCCTAAGAAGACGTGAACATTGACGCCTTGATCTTCTCCCTGAACATTCAAACAGTTGACAAGGAAGTCGCTGTAATTACCTGGTTGATCGAAGTTGAAAGCAGTTACGCAAAGACCATCTGGTTGACATTTGATATCGACAGACTTAGGGCTGTTATCGCCTTGCAAGGTGCCAGAACTTTCTACCGGACGGTTTTGTGGAACTGTAATACTGACATTATCAAGTGGTTGAATTTGAATGCATTGTTGTCCTGTGTTTGTTCCGCAGTGTGCGATCGCACCAGTGTCCACGATCTGATATCCCTCACCGCGATGGCCTGGGAAAGGTGTAGTACCAATAGGTTGATCAGAAGCGTTTCCAAATTGGAACAAGGCAAGGGCCACAAAGGTGAATAAGCTGATTTTAGACATGGTTTTAAAAAAGAGGGAGTTTGATGTTTTGAATGAGATTGAGGCCTGTTAAACTCTTTCTTAGGGATATTTATACCTTCTCGATGTATTGTACAGATTCAGTAATATGAATACGACATTCTCAAGCCGGCGCGAAGACATTGAACGGAATGCCACCTGTCGTTTAAATATCAGATGCGGCCGCCATATCTTGCTCCTCCATTTCGCAAGGGGGGTAAATCAGTAGCGGTATACCTTTGCCGAAATATGAGTAAATATAAACACAAGATCAATATAGGTTATGGCCCCTGCCGTTTGGTGGAAAGCGCTCAATATCTCTTTGTCTCGTATCTGTTCCGTTCACTTTATACAAATACAGAAATGCCAAAGGGATTCAGCGAATCAAGATCTGGTCACAACTATCAATGATGGATCAATATCATCGAAATTGCTCGTGTACACCCTCAAAAAGATTCATAAGTTATTGACGATGCCAAAATTAAGGGCGGCATGCTTCCCGGTCCGAAAATTTAATTATTGGTGTTTTAACACTAGGAGTAAGAAGTCTCCTGCATAACATTGAAACGGAGAGATGAAGTAGCAGAACAAAATTTCGATCGGGCACAGTCATCGCTCCCATGATTAGGGTTGTATGGGACAACGAACGTAGAGGTTTTCCGCCTCTTTTGCAGAAGCTTTTGGCTCATCGTTCTGTAGAACGTACAAGAAATTTGTCAGAATTGGTTTCTCCTTTCTTTTCATTTTCAAAGTCTCTCAAACTCACATTACTGGTAAAGCCTGCATCAGTTTCCCATTTTGCGTTTACGTTGTAGCCTACGGCAGTGAAGTAAGAGTATGCTGAACGATGCTCTACACTTGTCCTACCTAGATCCATGCGTACATAGGTGGAAGTAACTTCTTGACCTGCATTATTCAGACAATGAACAAAAATAACGAGTTTTTCCCCTTCTGTATCATCAAAGTCATACGGAACCACACAGCGACCGTCTGATTGACAGCTGATGTCAATTGCTGTCATGTTGTATAAAGTTGATATACTGAGATTCTTGAACGGGTCAATTTGGAAACATTGTTGTTTTGTGTTGACTCCACAATTTTTGATTGTTCCGTTGTCTACCATCCGGTAGCCGGAACCTCTCTCGTCTCGTGGTATATCTCCCTGGTCATCGGCAGCATCAATTGCCATTCCATTTTGGAAGAGGGCTAAAGCTAAAAAGATGTATAACCAAGACATTATAGAGTAAGGGAAGCTTGATGGTAAGGAATGAAGACGTGAGAGAAGTGAAGCAGCTTTTTATCCCTTTCGCATAATATGCAATCAAGCAATGAGATTATCTTTTGTGAGATCCTCAAGCGGGCGTTAAATTAAGGACGGAATGCCACTCCGAAATTAGGTTTCAGCGGACCAACGAGATTTTAGCTTTCGATAAATAATGTATCTCTCCTGACCTCAACGCCATCAATTACACGGTTCCACTACCGCAACCTTACTGTTATCGGATATATATAAATGAAATTAGATTATAGGGGGAATAGGTCAAGAAAAGATAGCACAGGATTTTTAATCATCGCCTGCATGTATCACAAGAAGTCGAAGAAGAAAGGATTTGCTTTCTTAGAAGAGAACACGGTCATGATTTTATGTTTGGAAGGAAGTCCTGGTCAGTAATGAAGCTCGAGGAACAAAAATTTTATAGAGTACTCACGTTTGTAGTATGGTGTGTCTCAAAGAGCAAAGTGAATTCGATCTAGCATAGACACACTCTTTCTACATAGTCCTAGGTGGGGCAACGAATAAAGAGTTCTTCTGCCCTCTTTGAAGAAGGTTTTGGGTCATGATTCTGTAAGGTGGTATGAAAATGGTAAGTTTCATCTCTCCTTATCCCACAAAATTTGTCAAACTCACATTGCTGGTATAGCCTGCATCAGATTGCCATTTTGCAGAAACACCATGACCCCTGGCAACGAAGAAAGAGTATGCTGAAGAACTACTACCTTCTACACTGCCTTTGCCCAAATCCATGCGTACATCTGCTTTTTGGTCGTACCCTTTGTTATCCAAACATTTGACGGTAATCTCAAGTTTTTGGCCGTCAGTCTCAAAGTCAAACGGAGTTACACAGAGACCATTCAGTTCACAAATAGTATCCAATACTGTATCGTTGAACTTAGTATAAACAGCGATTCTCGATAAAGGCTTAACTTGGTAACATTGTTGTGTTGTATCGTCTCCACAACCTCCGATCGTTCCATTCTTCACCACACGATAACCTTCCCCGCTCTCTTCATGTGGAACCTCGCCCTGATTACCTGGGTCCCCAGCTGCCATTGCATACTGGAAAAGAGCTAAGGCGTAGAAGATGAATAACCAGGACATTGCTGAGTAAGAATTGTTTGTTGTTGAGAGTGAAGAATGAAGAAAGGAAAGACTTGAAGCAGCCTTTTATCCATTTCGCATAAACTATGCAAACAAGGTATTTGCATCTCCGTTGTGACATCCCTCAACGGGCGTCAAAATACCGAAAGGAATACCATACTGAAATTATACTTCAACGGCCGACCTCCTTTGGTTTTTTACAAACGATCCTTCTCCCCCTTAGATTTCATGACATCCTTGAATGGTGTCAAAGCACTAGACGGAGTACCATACTGAAATTAGAGTTCAACGGACTACCGTTTTTGCCTTTAATAAACAATACATAGTTCTCCTCCTAACCCTTGAATGTTGTCAATTAACCCTTTCCGTTCCACAAAATTTGACTACTCTTTACAACCCGTACTTTTATTAGCCAGAAAAAATAGGGAAAATGAAATTAGAGGTTATGGAAAAGGGGTCATGGTAGGAGAGACACAAGAGTTTAATTATCGCCTATAGAGTATCACAAGCAGTCGATGAAGAGGTCTTCGGCCTTCTTGGAAGAGTACACCGGCATGACGGGCTGCTTAGAAAGAGGAGACTGAGGTCAGCACATGAACAAGGGAAATGAATTGGAAAAAATACTCACGCTTGTAGTGTAAACATCATCATAGGCCCATTTTGCTTTCATGTTACCCCTAAGAACAAATGAAGCATAGGCTGAACTATGAGCGGAAACGCTACGAAGACCTAAAGTCACATTAATTGCCGAACCGGTAACTTCACCATTGTTGTTTAAGCATTGACCGATGAAGAATGATGTCTTGCCCCTTTTATCAAAGTCAAAAGGTAGAATACAAAGACCGGAAGGATCACAAGCAATATCTAATGGCTCATCGGTCAAAACAGCAAAATTATCGAGACCGGTTTCTACTGTAAAGCATTGTTGGCCTGTGTTGATTCCGCAATGAGAGATGGCTCCTGTTGGAACTTGACGGTAACCTTTTGTACGACCGCTATCTGCTACTACCATTGAGGTGATAGCTAAAATAGCAACAAGGCCTGAAGTGAATTTGAACATTGTGAAATAGAGTTGAGATGTTAAAGGAGAAGGGGATGATTGAGGCAAGATAGTGTATGTATAGTGCATGCTTATATACCTTTCAACATAATTAACCTTCATCTCAGCAATAATCACAGGAGTTCTATTTAAGGTACATAATATACAATTCGGCTCCTTGAACAAAGTTTTCGGAATTGCGCGTCTTTCATTTGACACAAAACGGAATGGTCAAATTGCGGGTGACATTCATAAGAATTGTGACATCACCCTTTGTAGCGCTCCTTTCCAAGTCATTTCATCCCCGAAAATGCCAAGAAAACCGGATCATTAGAGGTATAAAAGCGGCAAGACTTGAGATCACAACTCACTCCACTACCCCATCTTCCTACTGTTCAGTTCAGCATGTACGTTCCAGTTCAACCATTCTCCCCAAACGGAGTAGCATCGAAATTGCTCACTTGGTACCTCACCCGTATCAACCTTAACGGTGTTACCATTAGCCAAGGAAATATCACCTGTACAGGTTCATCAAACTGTGTTATTCCTCTTTTTGATGAACGGATCATGGCGCTCTCCGTTTTGGATAAAACGCATGCGCAATGCACAAAGAAATTTAAAGGACAAAACGATAATATCGATCGTTATTCAGGTATGTATTCAGGGAAACCGTGGCAAAATCTCATTTCTGACTTTTTTCTCCGCTCCTTCATCCGCCCTTAATTTCAGGTATTTGCAAACGTGATAATTACGGCAACGATATTGCGGACGTCTTTCTTGCCGAATGCAAGTCGAATGTAGACGACTACGTCCTCATTACGTACAACAAGGATAACAGCAATTTTACTGCAAATGGCAACGCCCGTGCCTTATTCAGCCCAATTCGAGTCGGCGCAATCGATCTTTACAAAACTCAACAAGTCAGCAACGATGTTTCATCTGATGTGTATTTGTACTGTCCAACGTCTGGTGTTGTATGATTAGCTGTCATAATATGTGATCTCATTACCAGTCTCTATACATCTTCCTCTCTATCAATCACTCGCGATCTTTTGCATTCACGCTGCTTTCACCTGCTTTTGCGTCCCCGTCACTCCAATCTCCCTTTTCCAGCAGTTGACGTATCAAATCAATGCATCGCTTATTCTCCTCTTCTGTACCGATCGTAATACGCAAACAGCCCGGGCAGCCAAGTTCCGAGCTCCTATTTCGCACCACAAGGCCACGCTCTTCTGCCATTCGTTTATAAATCATTCCTGCTCGAGCATTATCAGGCTTTCCTCCTTCTTCAGCTGGTTTGTCCAAAATGGTTGCCAAGAGAAAGTTTGCTTCATTTGCTCCTAAAATCGGTCCAACTCCTGGAAGTTGTTTCAGATCGGCTTCCAAGGTTTTTCTGTTCTCTAATAGCGTTCTCACATTCGTACGCATTCGATCCAAACCTTGCGGGTTGAGTGCCAAAGATGCCAAGTGAGCCGTTGGAACAGAAATATTGTAAGGAGCTTTAGTGTTATTCATAATTTGGATTAGGCCAGGTTGTGAATATGCAATTCCCAATCGAATAGCTGCCAATCCGAAACTTTTGCTTAATGTTTGTGTGACGATAACATTCGCATATTCATTCACCAAAGAAACCGCACTGACGGGAACATCTGCCTTTCTCACGCCGATCCTCTGTTCTTCTTCTGCAAAATCGATGTATGCTTCATCTACTACCACCAGTCCCTTAAAGCCGGGACAATCTAGAACTTTGCGGATTGATTCAAGGGATAATAGTGTACCGGTAGGGTTTCCCGGAGAGCAGAGGAAGACGATCTTGATGCTTGGGTTACTAGACAGTGTTTGACAGACATTTTCTGTGTCCAAGGTGAATGCCCCTCCTTCAGTCACGAGTGGTACACTGACAACGTTGAGATCGTTCACTGCTGCACAAACGCTGTACATTCCATATGTAGGTGGGCAGATTAAGATCGAATCTTTGCCTGGAGCAGCAGCAACACGTTGTATAAGATCCAAAATTTCATCAGATCCCACTCCAAGAACGACATTGTTCTCTGATTCGACATTGCGAAGCTTTGCAAGTGTTGGCTTCACTCCATACAGAGATGGATCAGGGTATCGGTGCAGGGAAAGAGGATCATCTGATCCTGATCCAGTGATTGGTGTGGCAGCCTGCTTAACTCCGGCTCCTGGAACTGCTCCATTTGCGGCAGGTGTGACGTTGGCAGTGTGAGGTATCGTCGATCCTGCAGGCAAGGAGTGACCTAAACTGTTCTCATTTGCATCAAGTAGGATTCCATCTTGATAGTCATCCCGAGCGCATCGATATGGCTTCAATGATAAAATGTTTGGTCGAATGATATCTTCTAATCGGAAATGAGCTGGCTTTAGTTGTTTGATCTTGTTGGCATCTTGTGCCGATACACCAGCAACGGAAGCCATATTGGTGAGGATGAGTTGATGGTTGTTGGATAGTAAAGACGGACAAGATCTTCCTACATGCATGCACCTCCAGTAATCTTCTCGAGTCACTGACAAGAAGAAGCACGCTAACGCCGCGCCACAAAAGCCTCTTTTCAGCGTAACGCCTTATCATCAGAAAAAGATTAAGATTCGCATTGTCACACGTGAATGTATGCTTCGCCAAACCATCATAATGGTAACGAGCACGTCTTGAAATGGTTCTGCTGTCCATAATCAGAAAGAATAAGCTGAAGGAGAGGGAACTACGAATCTTATTCCTCGGACTAGATAATAGCGGAAAGTCAACGATCCTCAAACGCATTCAGGGAAAAGACGTTCATGATGTGAGCCCGACTTTGGGATTCGATATCTTTACGATATTGCACAACGGGTGAGTATTATTGTCTTTCCACCATCATTAATGCATTAGCTGACTTCACCTCATGCTTGAACCTCTCAGGTACACTCTGAATATATGTATGTCTCAGCCATGCTAGGCTTGCAAGTTGCTCGCATTTCTGACATTATTCCTCCCGCTTTTCTTTTTGACAGGGGATGTTGGAGGACAAAAGACATTGAGACCTTACTGGCGCAACTACTTTGAACGAACGGATTGCATTGTTTGGGTAGTAGATTCTGGAGATCGTGAACGCATTGAAGACTGCAAGACGGAGTTATGGAGTTTATTGGGCGAAGAAAGACTAGCAGGTGCAACAATCTTGGTATTTGCCAATAAACAAGATATAAATGGATCCATGAATGCAACAGAGATTCGTAAAGCACTTCAATTGGACGATATTCGAACGCATTCATGGCGCATTCAACCGTGCAGTGCAATGACAGGAGAGAACTTATTGGAAGGGCTAGAATGGGCAGTGAAGGATGTAGGAAGTCGTATATATTTCCATGGAGCCAGTAATATTGCTTGAAAGTCAATGTATCATACTCATAACAATCTATACCCCTCAATGATCATCACATCATAGCAACAAGTTGTGAATCCGAGATTCTCCTAGTATTGGACCGGACTTTAGCGTTCATCCAGGCCCTTATGCCATCAACACACGTAAGCAGCTCAGCTCAGCTAAGCGTGCACGCCAAATTGATACACGTCTGCTATTGTGGAGCTCGAGCCACCTTTTGGCTTGACAATTCGACGTGATTCCACCAGCGTAGGCGCATACAGTGCACTAGCCCAGTGCAACAAAGACGTCGTCATCAGAATATTCTTAAAAAGGTTTACTGATAAAACAACTCATTCCTCTACTCTCACCCGATCATCCTCATTCAAAGAGAGATATAATAGCAAGGGTGTCAAATTGATCTTTCTCTTTTCTACACTCATCATCGTCAAGCTCTGTTTGGTGGCGAACTCTCAGTCCTAGCAAACAAACAAATCAAATTGCCACTCTTCAGTACATCCTCATACACAACACAGTATGGCGGACGCAGACGCTAAACCTCCAGCTCCAGTTCCAGCTGAGAACAAGGATGAGGTGGCAACCGCAATCCTAAGACAAAAGAAGTCACCCAACAGACTCTTTGTCGATGAATCAACAACAGATGACAATAGCGTTGCTTGTCTATCAGAAGCAAAGATGGAAGAGCTCGGATTATTCCGTGGTGACACAATCTTGTTAAGAGGAAAGAAGCGTCGTGATACCGTTTTGATCGTTTTAGCAGACGAAACAACAGAGGATGCGAAGATCCGTTTGAACAAAGTCGCAAGAAACAATCTACGTGTCAAGTTGGGAGATATGATCACAGTCCATGCATGCAGTGATATCAAATACGGAAAGCGTATTCACGTTTTGCCCTTCGATGACAGTGTCGAAGGTTTGACTGGTAACATCTTTGATGTCTATCTCAAGCCATACTTTTTGGAAGCATACCGTCCTGTTCGCAAGGGTGACACATTCACCGTTCGCGGTGGAATGCGTGCCGTTGAGTTCAAAGTGATCGAAACAGACCCAGCAGAATTCTGCATCGTTGCACAAGACACAGTCATTCACACAGAAGGAGATCCAGTCAAGCGTGAAGATGAAGAGGCAAACTTGGCCGAAGTTGGATATGATGACTTGGGTGGTTGCCGCAAGCAATTGGCACAAATTCGTGAAATGGTTGAATTACCCCTCCGTCATCCCCAATTGTTCAAGAGTATCGGTATCAAACCTCCGCGTGGTGTTTTGATGTTTGGTCCTCCTGGTACCGGTAAGACATTAATGGCCCGTGCCGTTGCTAATGAGACTGGTGCATTCTTCTTCTTGATCAACGGTCCCGAAATCATGAGTAAGATGGCTGGTGAATCCGAATCAAATCTACGTAAAGCATTCGAAGAAGCAGAGAAGAACTCACCAGCAATCATCTTCATTGATGAAATCGATTCTATCGCACCAAAGCGTGAAAAGACAAATGGAGAAGTCGAACGTCGTGTTGTTTCACAATTGCTCACATTGATGGACGGTCTAAAAGCAAGATCAAACGTTGTCGTCATGGCTGCTACAAACAGACCCAACTCTATTGATCCCGCTTTGCGTCGTTTCGGTAGATTCGATCGTGAAGTGGACATTGGTATCCCTGACCCAACCGGTCGTTTGGAAATTTTGCGAATTCACACCAAGAACATGAAGTTGGCCGAAGATGTCGACTTGGATCAAATTGCCACAGAGACACATGGTTACGTCGGCTCAGATATTGCCAGCTTGTGCAGTGAAGCAGCAATGCAACAGATTCGTGAGAAGATGGATTTGATCGATTTGGAAGAAGAGACAATCGATGCCGAAGTTTTGGACACACTTGGTGTCAGCATGGAAAACTTCCGCTTCGCTCTCGGTGCTTCCAACCCATCCGCCTTGCGCGAGACTGTTGTGGAAGTACCAACAGTTACCTGGAAGGACATTGGTGGATTGGAAAAGGTCAAACAAGAATTGCAAGAGACAGTCTCATACCCAGTCGAACATCCAGAGCTATATCTCAAATTGGGACTTGCTCCCTCAAAGGGTGTTTTGTTCTACGGTCCACCTGGTACAGGTAAGACTATGTTGGCCAAAGCCATCGCAAACGAATGTCAAGCCAACTTTATCTCCATCAAGGGTCCCGAATTGCTTACAATGTGGTTCGGTGAAAGTGAAGCAAATGTGCGTGACGTTTTCGACAAAGCACGTGCCGCTGCACCATGTGTTATGTTCTTTGATGAATTGGACGCTATTGCAAAGAGCAGAGGTGGCTCTTCGGGTGATGCTGGAGGTGCTGGTGATCGTGTGATCAACCAAATTTTGACAGAAATGGACGGTATGAACGCCAAGAAGAATGTTTTCGTCATTGGTGCTACCAACAGACCTGATCAAATCGATCCTGCAATTCTTCGACCTGGTCGTTTGGATCAATTGATCTACATCAGTTTGCCCGATGAAGCTTCCCGTCTCAGTATCTTCACAGCCACACTTGCCAAATCACCCTTGGGCGAAGGTGTTGATCTCAACTTCCTTGCCAAACACACCAATGGATTCTCTGGTGCTGATATTGCTGAAATCTGTCAAAGAGCAGGTAAATTGGCCATTCGTGAGACTATTGAAGCGGCGGTCAAGGCACATCGCGAAAAGACGGAGAAACGCGCCGCTGCTGGAGGTGATGTAAAGATGGAAGAAGATGGTGAAGCAGGCAGCGCTTTGGACGATCCATTTGCCGATGCTCAACCAAGAATCGAGAGAACACACTTTGAACAAGCAATGATGTTTGCCAGAAGATCAGTGTCTGACGGTGATTTGAGAAGGTATGAAATGTTTGCGCAAAACCTTCAACAATCACGTTCGTTCGGAAGTAGTTTCCGCTTCCCCGAATCAGCTGAAGGAGGTGCAGCAGATGGAGGAGCCGGTGGAGCTGGTATGGGAGGAGGAGCAGCATTTGGTGCAGATGCTGACGATGACGATCTGTACGCTTGAAAAGCTTCTCACCCCTCATGACATATAAACATCTAGAATATCTTGTTTTCATTTTTCTCCTTTCTCTGAACTGTAATTCCAAATCATTCTATCCCAGATGTGTTTCTTTTCACTAGCGAAGAAAGAAGAATAAAATAGTATCATATTAGACTCCATTCACGGTTGATTGTTAATTCATACTTAGGTAAGCAGAATGATCATTTTGTTGTTTCGTTGCAGATCATCAACATGTTATGAGCTCTATTTCCCATGCAATAACAAACGTGCCTGCATTACATTCTCTTCCAAATTGGGAATGATATGCGATTATATAAGTCAATTGTATCCCGTTTCCGATCTTGGTAAGTATGAGAAATCAAAGCTATTCACATCTATCTGCGCATATCTGTATGTTGAATTTCTACCCTTTCGTGTTCTAGCTTGGTTTAACTACTCCGATAGGTGAAAAGAAAGCTCTTTTGCATAACTTCAACTAGCAATACAGATTTGATGCCCACATGCCTACCTCCCAAGAAAAATCGCGCGACGCGTAAATAACGCCAGAAAGAGGTAAAAACCTACTCTACACAATCGAAAAGAATAAATTGGATGCCGATAGGCGGCTGACTAGTGTTACTTGGCTGCGTTTTTGCAAAACTTCTTGGGAAAGAGGAGGATAAATTGAACTCCTAAATGCAGCGCGCTACGCAATAAAGCGGAGCGATAGAAAAAAAAAGCCTCTTGAAATGCAAAAACATTCTTGCTGCCGCATTATGCCCAAATACCTCCCATTGTTTGAATCGGAACGCACATTACCGCACACAACCCCAATTCATTTTTGATCTTGAAATGAATTTGTGCAAAATGGGCGCGGCTAAGAACAAAGAAGATTGACTATAGAACAATTGGATTTTTTATTCATGCGGTTCAAAGTTTCCGCATGGATTCTGGTGTCAGGCACTTGGCGTGTGAAATGGAAACCGTGATGGAAGGCGTTCAAGGAAAAGGCAAGATGGCGTAGAAGGCAGAGCAGTATGTTTCCAGTGAAGAACGCGCGCGCGTATACACTCAATCTGCCTACCTGCCTTGCCTACGTGTGGGTGGGTAAGACGATTTACACAGACTCCAATTTACGCCGCCCCGATTGCCATCAATTAATCACACACGTCCCTCTTTTCTCTTCTTTATCATCACAATCTCCCATCTCTATCACTCCCTTTCCCTTTATTTCCCTCTGTTTCTCGTCTCGATAACGGTAACGACTCGAACGCGAATCGCATAAACACATTCATTCTCAACTTGAAATCAATCTTTAACAACAACACAACACGACGCTGGCAGTCATCATCTACACAATGAAGCTCACAGTTTGTTCAGTATTATTGGCCACTTTGTTGGTCGCATCATCATCAGCTTCTGCTGAAGTACAAGATGCTTCTTCTCCTTCCCTTGCACGTCGTCATCACGCAAAAATGCAACAAGATTTGGAAAAGAGAGGAATCTTTTCCGGTCAGGCAACTTGGTACGGTTGGAGTCCAAGTTCAATGGGTGCTTGTGGTGGAAAACTTCCTCAAAATGGTTACTATGTAGCTTTGAACGCTCCCCAATACGGTAACTTAAACGCACAATCACCCATGTGCAACAAACAAATCACCATCACAGACGGTACAAAGACTACACAAGCAACCATTTTGGATGCTTGCCCAGGTGATGGATCTACCTGCAAATGGGGCTCTTTGGACATGAGCAGACCTTTGTTCAGCTACTTTAACGATTTCGGTCTTGGTGTCTTCAACATCAGATGGTGGGTCACCGGCGAAGAAGGTAGTGGTAGTGGTAGTGGCAGTGGCAGCAGCGGAAGTAGCAAGAGCAACAACAATGACAGCAACGACGACAGTGGCAGCAACGACAAGAGTGACAGCAGTGACAGTAGCGATGATGGTGCCGCTCAACGTGCAGCTGCCGCAAAGAAAGCACAAGATGCAAAGGATGCTAAGGCAGCCGCCGCAAAAGCAGCAGAACAAAAGAAGGAAGCAGCTGCTGCTGCAGCAAAGAAGGAAGCCGCCCAAAAGAAGGCTGCCGCAGAGAAAAAGGCACAGGAAGAAGCAGCTGAAAAGAAAAAGGAGGAAGCCGCTGCCAAGAAGAAAGCAGCAAAGAAGGCCGCTGACGACAAGATCCGTTCCGCTCAACACCAAAACATCGCTGCTTTCGGTGAAATTATGCAAACACTCAACCAAATCGTTGAGAGTGCAGGTGGACAATCATCCGGTTCGTCATCTGGTTCATCTTCCGCATCTTCCACGTCTTCAGCAGCATAAGGTTCGTTCCTTTTGTTACATTTTCTTCCTTCTCTACCTCTTCTCATGGATTCAACTTTACCATCTCCGTCCGTGGAAATCGGTAAAATATAACGTCATCATCTTTTTGAAAACAAGGTCACGCTATCTTACACAAACACATTCGTCCATTGCTTTGCTGGTCATGCACAGGTCATTATTTAGACTCACTCAAATCAAATGTCTTTAATTTCTTCCTTATCCCCGTTATCGTCTTCTATGGTATGAAAACATGCCTTGTATGACGATAACATTTGTACGCTTTTATAGTCCCGTCTTTCTCCCCCAATCCACCTTTTATACTATTCTGCAGCACTTTTGGCCATCTTTGCACATACGCCATCCAACCTTTCCAAACTTCTGCTTCATGCCCTCTTTTATCAACTCCTCACCAATATTCCCCTATTGTTGCTTAAAATGTCATTGCAAAAGTATACTAAGGAGGGTCACAATGCTGTGCATCCTTGGACACTTTTTTATTCTTCTTCTATCAAATCTTTGTGTGTGGTGATGGGTGATGAGATGTTTAGGTATCATTAAAGTATCTGTACAGGTTTTATACTCTCATCCTTCACGATCATCTTTGTCCTGCTCTGATGTATCGGTCTGCTCTTCGTTTCGCAATACTGTCTGTAATTTTGGCACAATCGTTGGTAGATCCTTTTGCGACTCGAAATCGGAGAAGAGTTGTGTCAAGACAAAGATTGCGAAAGACTTACTAGTCCAATAAGAAACATGGGCAGAAAGCATGTCAAGATATTGATTCACTCCTCCGGAATCGTAAAGGAAATCTATGCAACCGTGAGGATTTAATGCTCGGAACCTTCTTTCTGCTCTTTGAAGTTTTTCCAAATCAAAAGATTCATCTTTTAAGCCTTTGGCTTTAAGTTTGATTTGCTCTACTTTTTGCTCAGATCCTCTTTCGATTAGAACAGGTTTTCCAATCTCTTCTACTGATGAACTTCTTTGAGGATTGGCTCTTTGCATCTTTTGATCTACTTTGGGTAGTGGCGATCGTGCTCCTGATTTCATATCTTTGTAAACTGCCGTTCCTGGATGTTTACCTGCTTCACCTTTGGCATTTTTGGCAAACGGTTTTGCTGCAGCAAAATATTTGCTCAATGATAATCTTGGTTGAGCTAAAGCATCCAATAAAGCCGGAACAGCATCAGGAATCGAAATCGGTCTTAACATCCTTGCATAATCTCTATCAATCGTTGCTGAAAGTTGAAAAGCAACGGGATCGGTTGCATTATAACAATTATAAATCGATTCTGCCGCTAAACAACCAAATCTTCCTACTTCATCTCGTGCTGCATCTTCTTCTACATCTTGCGTTCGTGCATTGCCCTTTCTTGCGATCAATTGAGCGCCTTGTAGATGGAAGAAGAATCCATTGGGCGATCCAACAAAGAACAAATTCTTCACATTAAACACAAGATGATCGCAGCTGTGTTTTTCCTCTGAAGTTTGTTCTGATAACGAGGCCACTTTTGTTGGTTGATGTGAGAGGATATCAGCGGCCAATGCTGAGCCTAAAGAATGACAGATCAACGAAACTCTGCCTCCTTTCTTCTCGAAATCGGGATTTCGTCGGACGAACAAACGATATACACGATTCAATTCTTGGACCACCGCTTCCATCATCGTCTTTTTGTGTCTTGATAGGTAGTAAGGCACATCCAAAATGACCTTAGAGATGATGTTGCGTACCATCGGGATAGTAGCATCGTTGCTTACGTCGCGTAACCCATATACATTATCATTACCTTCCAGCGCTTCCTGATCATCAAAAGAGAGCTCCTTTCTCCAACAGATCGGTAAGAATTGCGCGCGTTTTCCGTGAGAGATACGTTGAACGGCTTTGTCGTTGGACAGCTTTTTCGTTAAGTTGCGCAGTCGTTCGATATCGTACACGAAATCGATCGCATCAAAGTCATCCGTGAGCTTTTGTCCAATTCCATGAATAGCGAGAACGAGCTCTGGTGGCTCATCTTTTTTATCTTCGCGTATCTGTTCTTCCTCCGCCACTTCTTCACCATCTTCCTCATCCTTTTCTTCTCCTTGTGCGTCTTCTGTATCCTTTTTGCCTTCATTTCGCAGAGCTTCTTCTGTATTCTGTTGTCTAGCTGATCTCTGCCCTTCTTCGATCGCATCGTCTTTGCCCCAGCCAAGAGCTTGCAATAATTTCACTCTAGGCTGAGACAAGCTATCTGAACTTGGCCATAGTTTTCCGAGCCAGCCTTGATTTTCTTCTTCTGATTCTTCCCGATCAGCTTTTTCGTCTGATTGCTGTTTGGGACGATTGGGAACTTTTGCCGCACCTTGTCGCATATTTGCTCTTTTCGTTCCAAGCGTATCATTCTCAACATCTTCACCGTCTTCATCTTCACGTTCTCTATCGTTTGGCTCTTGACCACCTGCCCAAGGCAAGAGGGAAGATGTGAAGATGCTAGAATTGCGCAACTGTTTCGAACGATCCGCCGTTTCTTGCCAGCCGCGGATGACCAATGATCCTCCAAGAACAGAGAGAAGCTTTCCACTCAAGTCCTGCGTAAATATGCGGCCTGAGGTAGCTCCTTCAAACCTTATCTTGCCTGTCTTTGGCATACTAGGCAAATCGAATAAATCTGCGTCATCTGAAGTGTTCTTTGTCATTTCCGATTGATCTCGATCCCATGGCTTTGCTTTATCGTATGCTTGGTCTAAATCGTTCGAGAGATTTTCATCGAACGGAATAGGTGCAAATCCTCCATCACTTGTAAGATAAAACCAATGCGCTCTTACCACACGCAGCAAGACACCTTTCCAAAAGACTGGAAATAATTCCATCGATTCAAGGTCAACATCGAACAAATGATCTTCCATCACTTCCACAAACTTTCTTCTCTTTTCTTTTGGTTCATCAGGATCTAGATGATGTGTGACGATCTTTTGACCTTCATCGTTTCTCAATTCTCCAGCTTGCTTTTTTGTCTTTTGTTTTTTTTCCGCTTTTCCATTCAATATACTCGATCCGAACAAAGCTGCTCGAATTTGATCTACACCAGAAGGTGGCCAAGTATTGATTTTTTGCTGTTGATCTGTTGCAGGTTCATCATCCTGTTCTTGTTTATCTTTTTCCTTTTCTTCCTCTGCTTCTTCTTTTGCTTTTTGCTTTTCCTTTTTAGCTTTAACTTTATCGAAGAATTGTTCCTTTTCTAGTGTTTGCCAACGTTCTTCCAATCTTCCATCATCGTCATCATTAAATGCTTGCCAGCCATCTTCAAATGCATAAAACCATCTAGTGCTGATCTTTGGCTTTTGGTTGACATCTTTATCTTTTTGAGATTCAGACATATCTATTCACCTCTATCGTCTATGTATGCGGGTGAAGGAAGAATATCGTGAATCTGATGGTAACACTTTTAAATTTTATATTTTTTCCTAAAAATAAGAACGCTAAGCATACAGTGTGAAAAAGTAATCACTCGTCAAAAGCTCCACAAGGGGCATGCATGGTGAAGGGTGTCGGAAATGGTAGCTCCTATTGGGTTATTTAAGATAAAAGTCTAAACGCGGGGAGTCCTCAAAGCGTACGCGTGTGGTTTGCCTACTCATATGCATTCGTGTAGAGTGGGGAAAGCTCTAAAGTCCGTTTAAGATCAAGAGCATCTATCCGGACAACAATCAAAACCCATCCAACCATAAACCATTCATATACCCTACTTGTCGCAAACGTAAAGTCCTTTTAAAATCCGGACAACCATCAATCCCATCCAACTATCATCCATCTACATGCCCTACTTTTCACAAATATGATCACTACATCACCAAGAAGGAGGCTATCAAGCGTTCAATCATCTTCTCCCGCTACATTACCATTGGATATCACAGCTCCGGCTCGCGTTGTTCAAAAGCAAGTAATCCAGATATGTGCACATAGCAAAGGCTGCTCCGTTGTCCTTTTCATGCGTTTAGCATTACCAAAATCATCAAAAAAGCGATCATATGCATTGTTTCCAGAAGTCTCAGACGAAGAGGGAATCAGGCTGAAATCTTCTGCTGTATATCCAGTCTCGGTTGATAAAGCTGGCAAGACTCTTTTACCCCAAAACGCAAGTCCTACTCTTAAAAGAGCTTCTCGAATACTTGCAATTAGGTACAATGCTCCCGAGACCCCTCTAGCTAATACTTTTGCTGAAGCTTGGAACAGCGACGATTCTGGAAGCGAGAATAATATAAAGCAAGTCAAACCTAGATTGATATCTGATCTTCAAATCACAATACCGCAATCAGGAGAAGAGCATACAGACGCCTCGGAAAAGCTGTATTACTTGGCAGTGATCCAAATCGAAGTTGGGCTTCACAAAGCTCCTCCCAACTGGCCGTTTGAAGCGCATATACCCATACCCCGCTGCCTAAACAACAAGCTTCATTTTACTCGGGATGAAGAAGGCGCTGAATCCGATCAACGTATGGTGGTTGATTTCGAGCCTCGTCTTGTTCAAAGGTCAGTGGGTGGACCGTTTGAAAGTTCCTCTTATCTTGATGCGGAGTTAGAAGGAGGCGATTCTGCATGCTTGATGGAAGATGGTCCACAAACAGCAGTCAGTGGATCCTTCCCAGCCACAAGTACCATCATTGCTAGATGGGCACCGGTACATGCTGCAGCAGATATCAGTCAACATGCATATTCAGGGTCAGGATATCTCCCCGTTCCAGCTCATTCACTTGCCATTAATGGACAAGTGGAAGACAAATTCGATGAACTTGGTCTACACACAATTGAAGGCGAGGAAGGCAAGAATCCTGCAGATACCTTAGGCGATTGGAGCGGGGTCATTGAGGATGTCAACACATCAGTTTGGATCACGTATGGACCTCCTTCAATCTCAAAACGTAGAAAGGCCGTCTATCGAGTTCAGATTTCATGGCCATACGTTGCAAATCCGGTCCTTATCCCGTCGGCGCAAGCAGGAGTCGTTCAGCAAACGCCACGCCTACTTCCACGTCTCGTTCTCGCTTTACAGCGGGCATGTGTTGATGAGAAAGTTGATCTATTGCATGCCAGTATCCAAGGTAAGCCAGTACAAGTGGTCTTTGATACTCAAGACAGTATTGATACTATGTCAAAGAACGATGCGATTCCTTCAAAGATGATTGATATCCGATTGCCCGAGTATATGCGTAACACTGAAGGTCAAATAATGGCAACGCTAGTCTACTCAGTAGAGGGGCCGTCTTCCTCCTCAGCCTTGAACCTCTTTGCTCCAGTGGCAAGCACGGTGACTTATTTCCATACTCGTATTCATGATGAGGCTTTACAAGATTCAGTGCCGATCCTGGCATATTCTAGTGAGCCTCTATCCTCTTCTGTTCACTGCGACGAGCAGCACCACGTAGCCACAGTAGAAGCTAGCATGCTTGCTTCCATGACATCTGTCACTATGGAGTATGTCAAGCGTACGAAGCCTCTCGTCCCTTTATCACCTCCACCAATAGCACCTCTCCGCCGGCAATCTGTTATGTCAAATACACCTGCAAGCGCTATGGCCGCTTCTTTGCTTCCATCCGTGAGAACCCCGGAGCCGAAAGAGAAATCTGCACCGATACTTCCAGCAACAAATGGAGAACGACCTGTGCAATTCAAGCGACAACAGAATTCTCAAGAACCTCACCATCTGATCACCTGGTCAACGTTCCACGCTTTCCTTTTGGTCGTCTTGGCATGTTCTCTGTACAATGTCAACTTCAACATCATTCCGTCTGTACAACAAATTTCTCGTAAAGTTGACGTGATGGGAATGGCCCTCAATTTGGACTTTGCAAATGATGGTCAACATTTGCAATACTCAGATCCAAATTTGAAAACTGCAACTTCACCATCTGCAAACAATCAACTCGCTGTACAACAACCTTATGCAAATAGTCTTGCTATACCCAACACAGGTGGCATTTCCGATTTTGTCACTTGGCTCTCAATGGCTTTATCTTGGCCATTGAGAAGAATTCTATCCATCTTTTCTGATGATAATCATTGATTTTTGTAATCTTTTGTATTTGTATCATGTATCCATATCCTCGCTGTATGTACCATTGTATCAATTGAATCAGCATATCTGTTCTGTATCTCGTTGTGATCAGCGGCTTTAGTCGGCGTTTTGCCCTTTTTCCGAAATGGAAAGTCGCGTTGTGCCCCTCCACTGATTGTGTTGTTGTTGTTGTTGTTGTTTGAGCTTCATTGTGGGGAATGATTCTTTCCAGACTACCATCACAAGAAGAATGAGTCGATATCTAGCAAGACAAGCTCATTCTGGCTTCAGATTTCGAAACAAAGCAGCATTGTCCGGTCTAAATCTAAATATCTCATTTCGTCCTCTGTCTATATCGATTTCCCTTCCAAGCAAAGAAAGAGAAGATTCTCAAAAAGTGGAAGAATGGGCATCAAAAGAAGCAATAGACGCTTTGAAAGGGTTCAAGAAACGTTTTGACAGCTCAAAAGACAAGCCAGTATCGACATATTATCATAAATTAGATGCTAATCAAATTCATCTTTTACGTATTACGGAAGCGAATATACTTCCTTTAGGTTTAAGTAATGGTAAAAAGGCAGAAGGACAAAGCGGATTAGAATATGAAGCTCAATTACGTCAAAATGAAGAAGATGTCTTAGTCGGTCATCAGGCCGAATCAAGCGGGATATTGGCAAATGGAATACCACATAGATCTTTGATAAGGCCAACGGAACATCTCGCATTCTTTACACCTCGTGTTTCATCTTCTTCTTTGGGCTCTGATGGATCAGATACGACTTTTAATCCTCCAGGAGGTGTATTCACTCGAAGAATGTGGGCTGGCGGCAAGATGGAATGGTTAAGTAGAAGTCGAAAGAATACAGAAGCAATGCGAGTTGGTGATCAATTATGGGAACGTACATTCGTTGAAGAAGCAGAATTGAAAAAGTTATCAAACGGAGGAGAAATGTTGTTGGTTTGGGTACGCAAAGAGTTTGGCCTTCTTAACGAAAATCCAATAATGATCGATAGAAGATCTTGGATCTTTCAACGTGCTCTACCAACTTCGACTGCTGAACCACAAATGAGTCCTGCAATCACACCTAAACCCGATTTGTCCTCCTTGAGCCCACCAGAAGGTTTACTTTATCCTACACTGCTATATCAAACACCTGCAAACCTATTCAGATATTCTGCCCTCACTTTCAACGCACATGCCATTCATCTTTCTCCTCCTTGGGCTCAACAGGTAGAAGGGCACCAAGGTATTGTGGTTCATGGACCTCTAAACCTAAGTTTATTGGTTCGTAAATGGGGAAGAGATATTGCAGGTTGGCATTTGAACGAAAGGGGTGAATTTATTGACGGGCCTAAAGGAGGCAAAACGCATAACATCGTAAGCGTTAAATATCGAGCAAAAAGACCAATTTATGCTGAACAGCCATATTGGATCGGCATTGACGGATCTGTAGCAAAAGAAACTTCTAGGACCAACAAAGAGAAGCATACTATTCTAGCTGTAAAGCCTGATGGCGAGGTTATTATGGAAGCGACAATCGTATCTTGGATATAAAAGCATCAATTGTAAGCAATAAATCAATGATAATTCATGTATTATGTACGACATCGACCGATTTTTCTGATATTGTACATACATTTGTGTGATGCAAAGAGCAAAGTATAAATTGATAAGCATCTTGATTACCCCTTTATTGTACAAAATTTACAAAAGTTACATTCACGCACTCCTACCGGCTGTAAGATCCTTTGCAATACTCAACTGTCCTAGATATCCGACACGATATTGATCAGGATCTTCTTCATCGACCAATACATCATCGAAAGGATTATGAGATGCTCTCTTCACATTGCGTAAAAGTTCGGGAACATCCATTGCATCATCGTCATCTTCATCATCTTCGACGATCATCTTTCCAGCCAACATTGATAAATCACTCGATCCAGCTTGAATTTGCAGACCTTCTTCATTTGCCAAGTGCAACAGACAAATGAAACAGTATGAAGTACTGATTTCATCCATCCTATCTTTGGGGTATAACTTGCGTAAGCCAGATAGCACTGCATCAAATGTACGTGGATCGGTAGGATCACGTTTGACAAGGGATGATTTGTCCAAATCCATAGAATCGCCAGGTTTGGGTGTGGATTGACGACCTCTCTCGTCACCCATTCCAGATCCACTTTGTTCACCACTAGTTTCTGGATCTTCTTCTTCATCTGCTGCAAAGATGGCCAATTCACGCCAAATGTTTTCTTTCAATTTCCGAATATCAACCCGTTTTGCTACTTTTGTATAATTGACAAATTCAGGTCGAATTCTCTTTAATGCTTGTGTTGCCAATTCTTCATCTTCGGGTTCAAGAGCCATTGCATTTTCTGTTGCTTCGCCCATCGGATCAAATCCTCCATCATCATCTTCATGGAAGAATTGCGTATCAAATGGTACCACTGGCATTCCGACGTCATCATCATCATCAAATCCAAGTGCTGCGCCACCTTGCCCTTCAAGTCCACCATTTTGTGCTGCGGCTTGAATCCAATAATCGGCTTCCTCATTCGTTCGCACTCCTGCACGCTCGTCGAGCATCTGTCCTTGTCTGCGAGGATTCAACATAGCACGTGGTTTGATGAACAATCGTAAAAGTTGCTTACTGGAGAAATGACGATCTTCTGGTAATAGATAAAGATCGTCAAAATCTTTGGATGCAGGCAAAAGTGTACCTGCTTGTCCTTTTCCTGTTTCGAACAACTCTTTAGATGTTACTGCACCCTCTGAAGATGTAAAATCAATAACGAAAGGCTCTTTCTGTTTCCGGGCAGCTTTCTCTGGTGCGCCTCCAGCGGTAGCATTGGCCCCTGCAGCCGTTGGTGCCATCACATTGCGCATCTTCCAGTGTTCTGGTCCTGCCCAATTCTTTGACATCTTTTGATCGAAATATCCGAAAAAGTCATCACCTTCGAAGGGTTGATCGGATGAATTGTTCAGAATACCTTGTAAAGATGAAAAGTCGGGTGGTCCCTGTGGTTGAGCAGATCCTTCACCAGTAAATAAGTTGCCGCCTTCTTCGCCGTCATCAAAGCTAGCCTCTTGATAATCAAATGGCTCAGCAGATCCTGCATTGAATCCAGTCATTGCACCTCCGCCGACATCGCCAAATGCATCATCCATTCCATCATCGAACACAGCTCCATCGTTCAAAGGTTCATTGTCCCATGTATTGGATTGCGTCATTGTATCAAATCCAAAGCTAGGAGCAATGGAAGTTCGGTTCTCATTCTCGGCCATAAGTTCAGAGAATGGTGTATTGTCATCTGGAGCGAATCGGAAACTAGCAAAGGTGGGACAAACGGTCATCTCTGTCAAGAGTGTGCCGAGTGCATCCTCCTGTCCGATTGCAAAATCATTTTGGCCGAAAAGCTTTGTTCGAATTTTGGTTAGATCGATAAAGTCTCCGTTTTTGTCATTTCTCGAAGTAAGCTCGGTTTCTGTCATATCGCCTTCGTCCTCTTGATCAACTTCAGACTGCAAGTCCTCGTCCTCGACGACAACGGGTGTCTCACTTTCTTCCACATCGTCTTGACCAGGAACATCACTGGCGTCGAACACAACGCGTGCTTTTGAGTCAACACCGAGGTGGTTCATCAACAAGCCTCCAGCACCACCCTCATCGAAATCAGCGCTGGTTTTCTTGAACAGTGGATCAACTGTGAATTCGAGGTCAAGCTTCTTGACTGCTAATTGATTGAATGATTTGACCAATGTGGGTTCTCTCGACCTTGCTTTCTTTTTCTTTTGGCCACTTCCATCTATGTCTTCTTCGCCTTCGCCGTCTTCTTCATCAGCGTTGCGACCACGTCCACCTCTTGTGTTAGACTCCTTGCCTTCATCTTGTAGACCACTCAATAGCTTTCCTGTTTCGACAACAACACTGTCTACGCGTGAAGTCCATACCTTCACGCATCCATCTAGAGTACACGATGCTTTCTGAAAATTGATTGAACCATCTCCATTTTCACTTTTCAGCAATGACATATCGTGGAAATAATCGATCAAGGCGAAATTCCAAGTATTAGTGGCGTTAATCTTATTATCTGTTGCCATTTTCATCCATTCTTCAAAACTGGTACTGTCTACTGTAAGCTTATTCAATTCCCTTCCATCACGATCGTGTTGCGCAGCCCCGCCTGCAGCCGCGGCATTGAGGGTGGCACCCAAACTTCTCCGTCCGTTTGCGCGTGCTAAAGCAGTTGGAGCTGAACGCATCGAAGATCCAGATTGATGGGAAGAGCTGCTAGAAGGCATAGCAGGATCCGTGCCTGGATATGCCCCTGAAGGCATAATCGATCTTGAGGCTATGCGACTTCCGCCAGGAGGCAATCTCCGTAAAGCAGAAGGGATGCGATTGCTGATCGATCTATTTGTACCTTGTGATGAACGAGGAGCATGAATGCGATCTGAAGATCCATCACCGGCATCATTGCTTGTGTCACCTGAAGCGCGTAAAGCAGCTGCAATTGCAGCGCCTGAAGCACTTGGCATCTTTCGTGATGATTGCATTTCGTCGTCGTATGAGGATGAAGCACTTCTGTTGGTTATGGATGCTAAAGGGGCGTTGTTTGTTTTTGAAAGTTCTGACGTTCTTCTATGGATGCTTTGATGATCTGTACTTTTTGATGCTGTTCTATTTGCACCGTTTTCGTTACCTCTATGATCCGATCTTTGTGAGAATATACGTTTGCCTGTACTTCCGTTACTCTGTCTTCCACTGAGTGCTCGACTTGAATCGGCTTTCGCTCCTGAGATCGTAGGAGACGATGGATTTAGACGTATTCGTGAAGACGATGAAGTAGAAGAAGAATCAGCAGCGGCCGGATTTGAAGATGATGAAGGATTCCGTGAAGAGTTGACCGAGATAGCCATGATGAATTGCCCTCTTGAAGGCGATCAATTCTTACTCTAAATGGCTGTGAACGGATTGCCCCTAATTTGATTGGATGAATGACAAAAAGAGGTACGCGAAGAGCACGAGAGCCTTAATCGACCACAAACGTATACCGTCACCGCTTGACAGATGTCTCTCTATCCCTCTAAAGGTGAATGTTTGATATGATAATGATGATGATGATGATCGTTTGTGAATGCTAGATCTTCAACGCACCTTAATCATACACAACTGTTGGTCTGTTTAACACGCATATACACGCACGCACGCACCTTACTCCCGCTTAAAGGGCGCGCGTTTATTGAGGGGGGATGGATACACAGTCTTAAGTTAAAAGGGAAAAAGTGTTCTTTTGTTCTTTACGCGTGTAAGCTGAGCAGCCAAAAGAACAGGGGGGCCTGGTGTATGATTACAGTGTTGATTGACGTGATTGCCTGCCCACTTTGACTGCTCAAGCAGGGAAAAAGGGCAAAGCGCGACGCGAGAATGACCAGTATCACGTGCAAGAATAATTAATGCTGCCCTGAATCTCGTCTTCCTCTCGTACTTCGATTCCATTCTTTCGTAGCAAGGTAGACGAAGCATGAAGCTGCAAACAATGGATGTCTGAATTATATGAATTTATTACCTTTATCTTGAACCCACTATTCCGTTCGTATTATGCCGTGTTTGTAAAGCGGTACAGCATGAATAAATAACATTTTATCCGCTTCTAAAATGAAATTTGTTGCGGATTGTATAGCTTTGTTCCGCAATGCTATGTAAAGCTTACTTCTGTGTACTGAATTGGCTGAATTGAGCGGATAGAAAGATACTACCCAACCAGACACAAGAATAAAGTGCTTACCATATTGAAACGGAAAGTGTTGAAGTCGGATGTTCAAAACGCAAAACAATAATGCCTTTGCCCGTCTTTTCGGTGCGGCCAAGTATACCCTGAACCCTTTTTCACACTTAGATGATCTATTTAAGTAATGGATAATGTCAAGCCTTTCTTGACAAACACTCTCTTCATCACAAACGCAATGAATATTCTGTCTTTATTTCTTCTCACGGTTGGAATTAGTGCTATTGGCGATGTTGATAGCCGTGAATATGATTACATCTATTTCGAGTCGAAAGGTCTCTATCGTAGATGTAAGCGTTGATTCTATAAGCTTAAAGAACTATACTCAGCGCCTGTCTTTCAGCCTTTTCATTCTCTCACAGACGCAAAGCTCAAATTTATCCAGATGCTACTTCTCAACGATGTCATGTGAGTGACGATTACATAATCATACACCAAGGCCATCATATATTGATTGTGTACATGTTAAGGCCATCGTTTGCGTAGGAAGTAGTGTAGAAGTAGCGAATACAGCATGTGTGAGTATCGCAACGGACTGGCCCAAGAAACACAAGCTAACCTTTCTTCTCCCGCACCAGCATAATCAACGTTGCGGACAATGTAGTGTACAGATTACACACAAGAATAATTCAGTCAACGGATTTTGCACAGCCCGCGAATAAGCAATTGTGTGGATCATTGCTTCAGCCGAAACAATCTCCTCTACACTGACATTCGTAAGACTTCCCATGTATTAAACTCAACCTTGCTTTCCCATTACTCTATCGCTTTGAAAAGATGACTTTGTATGCTGTTGCTATACCAGCAAAACCAAGAGCAAGATTGCTTACAAGACATCCGAATCGATTAGCCCAATGCGGTGGCCAATTACTGCATTGATTGTAATTCATAAATGCCATCGTGGTCATACTTACGATAATCCAAGCAACTGGTCCTGCAACTTTTAATTGCCTTGATTCTACTTCATTTCTTCGATTGCGTGTCTTTTCCTTATGGACTGAAACGAGAGCACCATATTCGTAATGACCAAAAGTAGACATACTAGCGCAAATATGATTCGAACAGGTTTTGAAGGTCGTGGTCGGGATACGGAGATTGCGCTGGTAATCACGATACCTATCAGAACAGTAGCATGTGTTCTGTTCACCATGAAGAAAAAGCCGTGTTGACAGCAATGAAGGAAGAGGATCAGAATCAATGCCGTACACAGGGTATGTATGGCTAGCGTCTCTCAATCATCAATTAAACTAATTGATCTGATGATTAGCGTATTCTGCCAATATTAGTCCGGTAATCTGGATCAAAGTTATTCAAGTGCTTCATTCTCGTAGTCGACCATGTGAAAGTCCATGATCGTAACGACTTCATCCTTCTTATCTTTGCAGTGATCATGTGTCAGTCACTCATAGACCGCATACATTTTATGATTAGAGCACGTTCACCTTTCTGCTGAAGGAAATGCACGCGGGATGACTGTTTGCAGTACTGAAACAATACTTTGCTTGCTTGCTTTTTTGAGAAATGTCGCCGAGTATGCAAAGACGCGTACATGAATGCGAATTGCCGAAGTGCACAAACAACACACACAGCACCGCGGTATTGCAACGACGACGACACCCAGGGAAGAGAGAGACAGAAGAAACACTAAACACGCAGGGCCGCGTTCTTTTCCGCTTTAACACACACACACACACGCACGCCAAGATTAGACGACAGTGCAGTGCCGCGATCTCTCTCTCTGCGTTCCAGTCAGCCACTTGAACGGCGGCATTCGAATAGGAATTTAAGCTGTTTTACGTACATGCACACACACACACACAGACACCTGGAACAAAACCTAAAGGCATGTTTCAGAAGTGAACAGAAAGAAGTACACAAAACACATACAAAGTATCCATCAACTTCATCTTTCATTCCTTCCTTCTATCATCATCTCGCTTTTGCTTTTTTGCAAAGGTGTACTCATTTGGAGTAGGATATAATATATCACTTCCGCGCCTCTGACAAAAAGGCTACTGACAAGATGACTTCCTCACAAGACTTCAGCTCCCTAGAAGGTGGCAGTAGCAACGATAGCACAAACGCATTGCGATTCTTGAATCCCGCTAGTGCAAGAAGGACTGATTCACCCTCAGGTACAGCACCTCCAGCATCAAATTCAGATGATCGTTCTGCTTTGGCACAAATCTTGAACGGAATTGCTGATATGCAAAGAGAGCTATCACGCTTACACATTCGAATGGACTCAATCGAAGATCGCAATACCGGCATGTCACCCGCTCCTTCTCCTCATATCAGACCTCGTCCAATCGCAAGACAACTTTCAAGCAGAAGTATTCGTTCCACTTCTCCTGACAAATTGGCTTCCATCCCTAGCAGTACCACACCTGCCCATCTTGCCCAATTGGTCAACGGCGTTTCTGCTCAACCTGCTCCTATCTTGGCAAAAGAGCCAGATTTGAACATGTGGTGCGTCGTTCCTGCAGGTGGTGCGGGAACACGTCTATGGCCTTTGAGTAGAGAAAGTTACCCGAAATTCTTGTTGGATTTGGTCGGGCAAGGTAGAACACTACTGCAAAGCACTTGGGATCGTCTATTGCCTCTCAGTGGTGCACGACAAATGATCATCGTCACAGGTGATGCACACGTAGATGGTGTGCTGGACCAATTGCCCGACCTACCCGATAGCAATGTTTTGGCCGAACCTTCTCCGAAAGAATCTATGGCAGCTATCGGCTTAGCAGCTGCAGTGCTTTTGAAGCGCGATCCCGAGGCTGTATTGGGTTCATTTGCTGCCGATCACATCATCTCAGGTCGCGATGCCTTCGAATCCGCAGTACGTGAAGCTGTAGCCGTTGCAAGGTCAGGCTATTTGGTCACTATCGGTATCGCTCCTTCTCATCCTTCTACGGGATTCGGTTATATCAAGCTAGGATCTCCTTTGAACGTTCAAAAAGCACCAAACGCTCGAATCGTAACCGAATTCAAAGAAAAGCCAGACGCTCGTACTGCTAGTGCTTATTTGGCAACAGGTAATTACAGATGGAACGGAGGTATGTTTGTTGTGAAAGCAAAGACTCTATTGGATCTCCTCAAAGCCAGTGTACCGGAATTACACGAAGGTTTAATGAAGATTGCTGATGCATGGGATGTGGGAGGTCAACGTGCAAAAGCATTACACGATATCTGGCCAACTCTTCCCAAGATTGCAATCGATCATGCCGTTGCTGAACCTGCAGCAAAAGCAGGTAAAGTTGCCGTCATTCCGGCCACTTTCGGTTGGGATGACGTTGGAGATTTCTCTTCTTTGGCAGATTTGATTCCTGCCGAAAAAGGGGAAGCACGTATTTTGGGAGATCAATCTTTGGTTCTTACCGAATCACAAGCTGGTGGTTTAATCGTTCCAGCCGCAGGAAGAACGGTTGCTTGTTTAGGTGTGGATGACGTTGTTGTCGTTGATACACCTGACGCACTCTTGATCACAACTCGTGCAAGAAGTCAAGACGTAAAGAAGATTGTTGCAAGATGCAAGAAACAATTCCCTCAATTGGCTTAAAAGATCTGCTTCGCTGGAATGAAGCCACTGCAACCTGAGAATCATCTCTGGACACTATTCCCTCATTGTTACATAGCATGTTTTCTTTTCTCTATCTCTGGGGTATGCTCTCGGTCTCGAGTCTTTGCTGTTATTGTATGCAAAAATTGTCAATTAATATATTAAACAATCAAATGTGCCAATGGAAGACATAATAAGTAGTGTTACACATGCAAGAGCAAGAAAAAGCGCGATGCTTCCATCTATCTCCTCCGTCCTTTGACAACAGTTGTGAAGCCATCTTCATCAACGACTGGCTGAGGACGTTCGCGTGGTTGCTGCTGTGCTGAGCCTTCGCCATCAACATCCATGTTATCATTATGCGAATGATCATGTTCTTCATCGCTACTGCTATCGCCACTTCCATCTTGTTCATCTCCGTTTTCTTGTTGTGTTCTTTGAATTTCGACTTTTTGGCCTTTCAGTCTAACAGTTGCTTCGTATAATTTATTCACTTCTTGTTCCGCATTTTCGAGTGATTGTTGTGTAGGTGGAAAAGCAGCATAAATGCATTTATGTAGATGAACGATCCTTCCTGCAATCCAATCTGCCGATCCATCTTCGATCTTACTTTCGTATTCATCTTCAAAGTACATTTCCAACGTTTCCGCTAAATCGTCCACGTCTGGTACTTTTGGTGCTTGTAAAGAGGCAGACGAGGAAGAACCACTGTTTGCGATTGCTTCTTGTTGAACAGAAGCAGATGGTTCTTCCGAATATGAATCACAAATATGAGAAATCAAGAATTGCTTTTTATCAGCCGAATCTACACCTCCCCATTGTTCTGAAACAGCTAGGCGCATTGCTGGCCATAATTCCATAGTCAAGATCACAGCTCTTGCAAATAGCAATTGCGTCCTTGTAGGAGCTGCATCTACGGCAGTTGATGTAGATGCCATATTTGTTGTATGTGTTGTCGGTATGGAAGAAAGTAGTGAGAATGGGAAAAATTCTTCTTGGAAGTATAAAATCTTAATTTCGGTTTTCGGGATCTTTTTTATTTTATTTTTCTTCCTTCTAGCCCAAGCGTAACGCGTACGTACGACAGCACCAGACAACTCCACGCTTTTGGCCGTTTGAATACAAAAAAGCTCTTTGAAAGGTATAAAAATGCTTATCTCTGTGAATACAATAAAGCATATGCATTATAATTCAAACTCATCCACAAATGTGTGTGTATGACTGGGCTGAGGAGGGCACTTTAGCAGGAAGAAGCGAATTGCATGTGTACATTACAACTTACTGATACGAACGATGATTGCTTCTCTTGACCATATCCAATAGTACCTATGCAGCTCATAAGTGATTGATCAAGAAACATCACCAGAATAGCCCACAAAGCTTGCTATCCTACTATCAGGATGCCGGCCAATGGATGGGCAGATCCGCAAGCTTCAAAAAGTACAAAACAAACCAATAAAATGGAAGCAAGTGGAAGTGGATCTGGACAATCAAAGTCACAAACACTGATAGAGAATATACTAATTTTAGGATTAAGAAGATCGGGAAAGTCATCAATCGTTGAAGTTGTGTACAAGTCATTACCGCCGGATGATTCATTATTCTTGGAAAGCACTTTGAAATGCACCCCATTCGACGTGAATACCATTCAACCTGTCAGAATTTGGGATGGCACGGGAAATGCTGAAAGTAGTGCACTCACCGCACAACAATCGCAAGGTTCTCAAGCAAGAACATCCAAATCGGCTGGAAATGGATCAGGTCAATCGAGTGGAAATACGACCAAAAGTGTGAAAGGCAAGCATGCTTGGGGAACGGGCGGTCAACTATTTTGGGTGGACACTTCAGCTGTTATCTTTGTTATTGATTCGCAAGATGACTTTTACGATGCGATTGATCGTTTGAATGACGTTATAATAGATGCATATTCTCACAATCCACTCATCCAATTTCACATCTTCGTTCACAAGGTAGACGGTCACAGTACGGATTATCGATACGACACTTTGCAAAACATTCAATCCAGAGTTGCTGATAACCTGGCAGACGCTTCTGCTTCTTTCATCTTTGCACCGACCGCTCATGATATCTTGGCGGATGCGGCTGCAAGACGGGAAAGAAGGGAATCATTCAATGCTGAATTGGCTGTGAGCAGTATGGAAGGAGGCGGTGCTGCTGTTGATCCGGCCGGAGGAAACCCATCCAGTGCCACTTTTCGAGGAGGTATGCCCGGCTCATCCGATCCCTCTGGTCCACATGAATCAAACTTTGCTTCTTCCACTGTTGGCTTGCCGTCAAGCTTTGGACCTGACTTGGAACGTGATGTTCGATTATCGTTCCATGCAACTTCGATCTATAATCCAAGCGTTTTTGTTGCAGTTTCGAGGGTGCAAATGGGATTGATGAACAGTGACGTCTCAAGAACGCTGGAAGATATGTGTAATGGACTGGCACATTCTTGCAAATTTGAAAAGGTGTATCTTTTTGACGTACCTACCAAGACGTACATCTCCGCAGACAGCAGTCCATACGATGAAAACAATTTCGAAGCAATTTCAGAGTATCTCAACTTTTTGGTCCAATTCAGTGGTCTATACGGAAGCCTGGCAAATGAACAAATCCAAAAAGAGTCAGACAAAGGTACGGATCGAGAAGTTCGTTATTCTGCCAGCATCGTTCGCTTGTCACCCGATACAACATTAGGCTTCCATCAGATCAACCATCATATGGCACTGGCATTCATCATGCGAACCGATATCCATACAAAACATGCGGGAATGATTGATTTTAATATTGCAATCGCACGAAAAGCAATCATTGACATTTATGATACTTGTCGTTCTTGATGTCTTTATTTGTGCAAAAAAAATTTAGCAAGCTAGAATAGAAGCACCAAAAAATGTTCAGCACTCGTTCTATGCAAACCTTTTCAACAATTTTATACCAGCAAAAAAATCCACAAACAATCCCAATTTCCTTTCCATTGGAGCATTCACAATCTTGTACGATAGACTATACATTTAATTTCCGTTGATCATTTGTTTAATGTACATGTGCGTGTGAGAGGGGGAAGGAGGGTATGTAACACTGAAACTCATCTTCTAGCCAGATCCAGCTGCTCGTACGTCCGGTGTATTTTGACTTGGTCGTCTTCTCTCTCTGATTCTCGTCAACTTCTCATCGATGTCATCCAATTGACGAGAGAGATGCAAGCGTTCAGTGCGCAAAAGCAACGTTTCATGTTGTGCAGAAGAGGTTTTGTTTTGTTCGTTTAAACTCGGCACCGGTTTAGCATTTACCAGAGAAGGAACAGATTGCGCATTCGGTATTCCTCCTGCGATTGGTGGTGCTCTTGGCAAGACACCATCTTTCAAATCACCAGAACCTGCTTCTCGCATCTCTCTCTTCATATCCAAATATTCGTGTAATGCCATCCCTCCGAACCAGCATGTAGGCAGCAAAATCAATGCGGCAAAATAGGCCGCTGTATGCAATCGAGGTCGAGGCTTGCCAGGCTGCACAGGTGAAGGAGGGGGCTTTGCACGTGTAGAGTATTGTCGTTTGCCAATCCGATCCGTGCGTATTTCATCAATCTTTTCCTTCAGCGATGGTATCCGAGGCGAAGTGAAAGGGTTATGTTCAGGAGAGGATGGATACGGTCGTTTAGAGAGCTTCTCCAAAGCTATATGTCGATTCCGTGGCAAAGTGACATCCGATAATGTACCACCAATCTGTCCTTTTGTACCAATTCGTATTCCATCATTAATCAAATGCCAACCTTGACCCAAGAAGTTGATTGCTTTCCCTGACATTGTCATTATGCCTACTGTAGCAGCATTTGGTAGATTTCTTACGCGATCTACCAAGGACATCGGCGGTATTTCAGGATTCATCGGTCTTTGTTCTGCTGCTTCTTGTTCGGCATTTAATTCAGCTACAGCTGGTGCATCATCTTGTATTCTGATCACGTTTGACCATCTCTCGAGCGATTCTGGTGACTTTTTTGTAAACCAGGTTGCTCCAGGTACTATTCCAATTCTCATCAATCGATCTAGAATCCACATTTCCATCCCTCGCATCGTTCGTGTTGCCAGCCTTTCAGGTTCTAAAACACCCGTTGTTAGCACTCCGATAGACTGAGAATTTATCTTTCTCCTCTTCAATACTTTATTGATTCGATTTGCCAAAACGATGTCCGTTGTTATCCGATCTCCTACTACTGCTATGTTTCCCACGTCTTCTCCCTCTGAGCTCAATACATCTACCACTTGCTTTGCACATCCCATTGCCGGCTTTTTGTGAGGATGAGCAAGAACTCTTTGTCCTAGTTTTCGTGCCAGCTGTTCAGCACCGATTGCCAAAGGATCATCGCTACTACCGGCCGAATTGGAAACGATGAGAATTGATTTAAAATCTGCATTTGTGAGTGAACTCCATGCCGTTTCCAAGCCAGGAGCAATTTGATCACGAAGAGGTAAAGTGATACAATTATCTTTATCGATTATGATATGATCCACTTTACCTTCTTTGTGTAACTTGTTCCAATCTACGTCCCCAATATCATTCACGATCAAATGAGGAACCACTAGACCCGGTCTTGCAAAAGATGCAAGTACTGCCCATACCCCGGCTGAATTGCCCATTTCAATTTTGATGACCGAAGTGAAGTGTGAAGTGTTGTTCAATCCATTGATCCGATTCTTTTTTTAGCTTCAAATGCAAGTCAAGCTCACGTGTGTAATTAAGCTTAAGCTTTAGCTTGCTTAAAGCCTTTGTATCCAAAAATGGAAACTTTTTTTCAGAAAAGAAGCCAACAACAAAAAGGAGAATTTCCCTTGACACTGTGCTGATCCCCCCTATCGCGCGTTGCGTTCTCTAGTTTTTTCATTTAAGGGACTGGAAACAAAATCATGCATTTGCACGCACTATTTCACTCTAACGTCGGAAGTCCAGATTGGGCTGTGTTGATCTTTTTCTATCCGACAAAAAAGAAGATTTATTCCGTTCAAGTGCCAGTGCCAAGAAGGAGTTAATGAAACCAACACTGGACTTTCCTTTTGCTTTGTGGAATGAATGACATTTCTTTTATTTTTCATGGATAGATTGCCTAAGATTGTGTGGAGATGCCGTCCAATTTGCCGAGAAAGCATGAGATGTACATAGCATTACTATCAAAACTTTTGTCATTCATTATTACAACCTTTTCACAGCCACCATCCTAATATCCTTTTGTAGTGTGATAGGGTGATCACTTCTTTCTCTCTTTCTTTCTCATCATCTTTCACCATCTAATCCCTTGGCTGGCCCATTCATCCGTTGAAAAATGATTTCAAACTCAAAAACATCTACAATTTTCACCATTTTATGCTCGTTGCTGGTCAGCGTTGCATTGACAAGTGTTCATGCTGCAAGCTTACGAACAGCAAAGCGGGCTACAACTTGTAACGGTTCATCGCAATTATGTGACAGATTGTACAGCAACGTAACATTTGCCGGTGCACATAATTCTTACGCAATCGTTCATAGCGGTACAACTTTGGCTTCAAATCAAAATGCTTCCATTACTTCTCAATTAAATGCTGGAATACGAATGCTACAATCTCAGGCGCACAAATCGTCAAATTCAAGTGTAACAGGCGCAGGTATTGACCTTTGTCACACTGAATGCTCTTTATTCCAAGGTGGTACGATAGAATATTGGCTAAGTCAAGTAAAGAGTTGGGTTGACGCAAATCCAACGGAAGTCGTTACACTTTTGATCGTCAATTCAGACACTTTACCTGCATCTCAATATGCTCAAGCGTTCCAATCAACAGGCTTGGCAAGTAAGATGTACACGCCCAGTTCTGGTGTTTTGACTAAACAACAATGGCCAACGTTAGGATCAATGGTTGATTCCGGGAAAACAGTCGTTGGCTTTTTGACTTCCGGCACAGATACTTCTACCGTTCCTTATCTGTTGGACGAATTTAGCAATATTTGGGAAACACCTTACGATCAAACAAGCGTTCCATTCAACTGTTCGATCGATCGAATTGGCTCAAACGTTAAAAGTACATCGCAAAATCTAATGTACCTTTCCAATCAATTCCGTGATTTGAGCTTGTTTGGCGGTGATCAAATCACAACACCGGATGTGGCCAATATAGGATCAACAAATTCGGAAGCTACAACTTTATCTTCTTCTGATACTTGTGCTTCCGAACATGGATCTTATCCTAATTTCATTTTGACCGATTACAGTACCGTGCCAGATTATGATTTTCCAAGGGCTGTCGCACAAATGAACGGCGTTAGCTATACTGCACCAGCACAGAGTAGCAACAGCAATGGTTTATCAAGCGGAAGCAGTCGTACAACATCATCATTCTCCTCCTCAATTGCTCTTTCATTCATTGCTCTATCTTCAGCACTAGTCTATTTCATTTTGTGATGTATTTTGCCTCCTCCCCCATTCACAAGGACAATATATTCGAGCTTGCCAATATTATCAAAATGCTATGGGTTATCTGTGTGATATGTATGATGTGAGATATAATAAATTGCAGATTAATAATTGAAATATACACAAATGCATCATATGGACTTTTCCACTTTTTCCCAATCCTCTTGCGAACTCATACTGGTATCTTTTGTAGAAGCGATTTCTGGTGAAACGGTTTGACTATTTCCATTTCCTTTTTGTTTGTTTGATTTGGGTAAAAGTTGAGAACTATGTGAGATTGAATTACTCTTTTGTATCGATTTATAAGCGATCACACGATCATTCGCTTCCTTTTCGGCCGCTTCCAATTCTCCATTTTCTTCTTCCATTTCCAATTCACCAAAAGGTGCCAGCGCTCCATCATGTGCTTGTTTCCAAACACTTCTTGCAACACCTTCACATCGAATGATCAAATCACGCGAAAGTGCATTCACAACTTCAGACGGTCTTGCGGGTAAGCCATGATTGGTATTGCGTTTCAGGTATTTCTCAACAATCGAAGTCTTTGCTTCTTTTGCCAATCCTGAAGGCTCTTCTGCATTCCAAGCAAGCTTTTGACCTTTGAAAACGTACTCACGACCATGCCAATCGCATTGACTTCCATAACGTGCATTAGGATCCAGCAAAGGCAAAGGCGCCAAAGCAACATGAGAAGCAGCAATTGCACCTTTATATCCTTCAATACAATGATGTTGTGAAAACGTCCAACGGGCAAAATAAAATGCTAAATGCATCATCGCAGCAAGGAATGCATTCAAACATTCAGCAAAAATACTACTTGCTACCACACCAGGATGAGCTAATAAACTCTTTGGCTCCATCGTATGGCCGGCATGATTTGCTCCTCTCATGTCCAGATATGATCCAGCTTCATCGATCAATGGTGTTCCAGGCTCAGTCCGTAGTCGACGTTTGTTCAGCAGATCCTCCAGTCCATGAGCTGCCAATTCACATTGGTATTTTACGCTTTCGTATGGATAGGGTGACTTGGCTTTGTCTGTGCATTGAAAATCTGTTGGATCGTATGCGGCTTCGCTGGCTTCCAAGCTACTGGTCCAAATGATTCTACTTGGAGTCGAATATGGCGTCGCACGTAAGGCTGGTAGAAGAGCTCGTGCAAGGATATAATGCGCTCCTACATTGGCTTGCCAAACCCATCCGTATCCATCTTTGCCCACGTCTCCTGCTCGTTGGGTCTTGTATGCTGGATAGGTAACCGCTTTGTGAAAGTTGATCATCATCATCCAAATCGCATGTGGCCAATTGATACCAGTAAATGCAGCACTTCCAGCATTCATCACAACGTGTGTAACATATCCATGTCTAGCAGTGATATCTTTTGCACATTGTAATGCGGAAGCCATACTGCCCAAATCAATCGCTTGAATTTCAATCTTTGTTCCAGCAACGAATCTTCTTCTGTACCTTCCACGAGCTTTTGCTTCTCTTTCTCTCATAGAATATGTACGTCCCGTTCTTGGATCTCGTGTTAGATCTTTTGGTTCAGATCCTTCTCCAGCAACACTGAATCCATTCTCCTTTGCATTGCTAATGGCTGCATTTCGCCTCCTCCTTCTCCTTAAACTTGCTTCCATTGCTTGTGCGACTAGTGCAGGGTCTGCGTCTTCATCAATATGTCCATTAATTTTGATATCGGTACTCTGATCAAGAACAGCTACTGGAATATGGGTTGGTGTTTCTGCTTCATCGGGTAATTCTTCCAAATAATGTAACAAGTTCAACAGTTGAGCTCGTGCTCTATGTGCTTTCATTGCATTTCTGCATGCCATCACCAACGTACATCCTTCCGGTGCTGCGAATGGAGTTGGTGGAACGGTAATATCTCGCTTTGTTAAATGAGGATGTGTGGGGAGCGTATCAGAAGGTGTAGGAGAAGAAAGTTGTACCAAAAGACGTTGTGCTAAGCCGAATCCTACCCCACTATTCGCACCAGTGATTACGATCACCGGCCTTGGAGATTTATCTGTCTGTTTAGAAGAAGAAGAGGTGGCCATGTCGTTATGTTTGAATGGTGAAGAGGAAGGAAGAGGTGGATCATTAATATGCATAGAAGGATTTAGCGTCTTCTTCTTATTTTTTGGCACAAACACAGAGAGGCAATTGATCAATAGATGGGGTCCAATCGGACCATTCTAAACACACTCACTCTCTCAGCCCACAAAAACGCGTCCTCTCCTCTTTAATGCGGTCATAATTACCTCGCTTGAAAGGAAGATTGCTCATCATTGCGGAAGAGAGGATGCAATGGATTGTCATGTGTTGGAAGTACTAAGAAGAAAAGAAGGTCGATAAACATAGTTTCTATAAAGTTTTGAGTGATCTATCATTGCGGATAAATACAAGCTTGCTTGGTGAAAAACTGTGTTAATCGAAGTACACCCTTCACCGAAGCCCTAAAGAGGCTCTTGCGGTTAGATAAATCATTGCACGGCCTTGTCCTCGCAGCCTCTAAGCAGGCTATTCGCATCAAAGCGGATTGATATTGCATGCATTAAAGCAACGTAACAAGCTCCGAAAGAAAGCAAAAAGTTTTCATGCACAGCAACTTATATCTGTCTCCCGCACACCGTGTCAAGGCATGAATATAATCTAAGATATATCACATACATACTCAAAGTCTATTTCTTGCTCGATTGCCGAATGTACACCCTGAAAAATATGAGCACGGCAACACTTTGAACTTTGTGACCCTTCATCCTTTCCTCCATTCCTCCCTACACGATCGTAAAGCATTTGTTTGTGTTCATTCATATGCCCTTCGACAAACTCATCAAGGTTGCTTACTCTGCCACAAAATACTTTCTTCATCTACACACCATCTTTCATCATAAGAAGACATGCATTCACACCTTTCAATCATGAGATCGACATCGAAAGTCTTTTTCATTTGTGATATCGTCTCGTTGGTGTTTTTCATCTTGCTTTTATCTTCTATCACTGCACCCGTCAAAGGGGACCTACATGTTGTCAGAGAACGAGGTAGGCATCCTGCTCACTTCAAGAGAGTCAGTATCAACGCCAGGGATGCAAATGTTCTAGATCACGATTCTCAAGATGTGAAGCGTCAAGACAATTCTGATGATGAGCAATCAAGCACGACTGAAAGCACAAGCGAAACCTTCAGTAATGCAATCAGTACAGTGTTCGTCTCACCAACAGATAGACTGCCAACAGCTTCTTGGACTTTCCCATCTACCGTCACGCCAACTTCAACAGCGACAATCAATCTGTCCAGTATGATCGTCACGGCAAATAATGCCACACTACCCACTCCTATCACCACAACTGTCAATACATCTCCTGTCCCACTCTACGTTCCACCTTATGATCCACTCGCTGATCCAGGAAAGTATAACGTTCAGTATTTCGGACCAGGAAATGGTCATTCAACAGTCTACCAGGTCGTTTATTCCGGCAATGCTCAACGTGGACCAATTACCGCAACAATGGTGGCAGATGCGGGTAATGCAAAATTGTTTGGCGCACAACAATCTACCGTTATTGACGGTCAATCGACTAATGTTTGGGCAGCAGTTTCTTGTGGATATCAAGACGGTTTGGTCTCAAGTGTTGCTTCTCCGTCAGCTGGGTATTGTATTTACTACAATAACCATGATCATGTCACTTCCACATGGACAACAGAAATGTAAGTGGAGCGAGGCTCACACTAGATGAAATCATTCTGACCCTTTCTTTCCTTTTCCACAGCACACAAATCGCAGCAGAGACAACGATTACACCTTCACCAGGTGCAGTGGAATCGTCTATCGCTTCAGTCAAATCCGTGCACGGTCAATATGCAGCCAAGCCGTCACTGTCCAACAGTGCCTATGCTGAATTCGCAATGTCTACCCAACTTGTCGCCATATTACTCGTGCTGGTCACATTCGTCTATTTCGGTTGATTCTTTCGAGCTTCCCTATTCCCTGTCTCGTACTCTATCTAGCGTCTCTTACTTATCTGTAGCCTCACTTCTTCCTATCGAACCAGAACAATATCTTTATCATGCACAAATGTCGGTCTAAGGACAATGCTGATGCACGTCACTTTAGTGATATGATAATGATAAATTGCATGCTTCATGAACCCTCCTTTACTCGTCTGTGGCTGCCTCCTCTGCCATGTCAAAGTACTTCCATTGGTTCGGTCCTGGGGTAATTTCCAAGGGTTCATGACTGAAGGTGTGGGAAAAGGAATTAGTCACTCTGCTAAGCAAGAAAGAACAAATTGTACCACTCACGATTTCCATTCTAGCATCTTTGCTGCCAACTTAAGTTCATCTTGTGCTTGAATGATGACTTCTTCAATTTGACCGGCGTCCAAAGTACGTTCTAAATCAGCGATAACTTCTTCTACTTGATTTGCATCTCCACTATTCAATGCTTGTTGATGTTGCTTTTGTGTTTGTTGTAAAGCGTCGAATCTTTGTTGAGTGAGAGCAAGAGTAGCTTGACGATAAACTGATTCAGAAGGTAACCCCTCCAAAAACTTTAGTGTTTGTGTATAATTTGATTCTAATGCATTCAATGGAGATGGATGAACGGCCAAGCCTGTCAATTCAGTCGTATTCTTGCCACGTAATAGTTGAGATGCTCCTGCTGATGCACTTGCGATTGTGCTTGTACTTGAAGCAGCACGTAGAATGCGTGTGGCCAACATTGTTTTTTGAGTGTGTGTGATGGTGATCGCTTCTTACTTCCAACTACTCCATCTTCTTGAACTATTGAACGCCCAATCTCCGTGCGTTTAAGCAGAGGCGTATTTATAAGCTTGTAACCAATAATCTCGCTCTGTGTTTCAAGGCATATGGCACGTGTTCGATCGTTCAAACTGCCATACGCGTACAGACAAATCGCGACCGATTAAGGCTTTAAAGCTTTGGATTTCGCCCTTCTAATCTCTACCTTTAGCGCACTGACCGGTAAAAGCGATTTACACATGCCCTGCACTACAAATAAGCGGGTGGAATAAAAAGCAAAGGCACTTTAGAACTGTCAAAAGAAAAGACAGTACCAGACGGAGTATCTGCGAAGTATGATACCTTTAGTTGTGTAAAAAAGGCGGCATGGTATGCTGGTATGAATCAATATTCTCTTCCATCACGATTGATCGGGACTTATAATCTGTCATACAAGTCAAATACTCGTATGCAGAGCAAACATTTCATCTGATCGAGGCCATTGCCCCATTTTGGATCACAAGAACGATCTGCATTTCCGCCTCCATCCACTTGAAATAAATTAATCGAAAAAAGAAGGCTTCCTACCAACATCCAACCCAATCACAATGGCAGGTTATCCTCCTCAGCAGCGTAAGTATCCGCAAAGAAACTCACAAGAATGGCTTGAAGGATCACAATTGCTGCACAGTAGCATTCATGCTCACCCATCCCACCTCTCATCACATTCCTTTCCCTTTTCAGATTTTGCTGCTCCACCACAACCCGGTCCGTATGGCCCACCTCCTCCAGGCTACCCTATGCATCATGGTGGTCCACCAATGCATCATGGCTATCCACCTCCAATGCCACCGCCCGGAGCAGGAGGTCCATATCAATCACCCTATCCTCCGGGAGCTGGTCCATCCGGTGGACCTTGGGCTGATTCGCATTTTGATCATCATCCTCCGCCTCCAGGATCGATGCATGGTCCACCTCCTCCTCAACCACAACAGCCACCACCACCTCCTCAGTCGCAACAACAACAATCACAACCTGGACCGCCATCTATGGCAAGACCAGGAGGATATGGAGGAGCAAATGGACCGCCGCAAGGACCCCATTCTCAACCCAATCCGGGCAATGTACCACCACCACATCCTCAAGGCATGCAACATCAAGGTCAACCACCTTATGGCGTAATGCCGCCTCGTGATTATCCTCCTGCACCCAGACCTGGGCCATCACAATCAGGTCCACAGATGGGTCCTGGTGGTCCACCACCACCTCCACAGCCTCAACAAGGGCAATCACAACAATCCAGGCAACAGCAAGGACCTCCTCATGGATTTTCACCTAGTACGCCAAGACCATCAGCATCTACAAAACGAGCAAATGCTGGATCTTCCTTACGCGATAAAGAGCGTGGTACAGCCGGCGGAGGCAATACGGGCAAGAGCGGAGGTCAAAGGCGTTCACAACAGGATAAACAAGGAAGCGGTAAAGGAGGAAGAGGAGAAACAGCAAATGCAAAAGCTGAAGCGGCAGCTGCAAGAGCAGAAGCAGCAGCAGCGGCTGCAGCAGCACAAGATGAACCGGTACAAGAAAGTAAAAAGATTCGTAAACGAAAAGAAGTCGTTGATCGTATACATAGAGTTCATTGGGATACGGTGGATAATCGAGATTTGCTATACAATGAAATGCAACATGCATTAGCACAAACGGGCTCAGTCTTATTGCTTTCGCCTGCACTTTCACGACCTTATCTGCTCGCATTGCACAGACTGACGCTGGAAAGGGACGCTCAATTGAGACAAATTGCTTTATTACATGCACATCAAGTGGAAAGTGCACGAACTGCTTTTGAACAAGATCGCAACAAGGTGGAAGATGAGGCAAGAAGTGCGAAAAAAGCGGTGCGAGAACGTCTTTTGGCCGCTGTAGAAGATAGAAGGAAGCGATTGAGAGAAGATAAAGAAGGCGGTGAAGGAACATCTGATGCTTTGTTGGATCCTTCTTCTAGAGCACATGCTACGCGCAAATTGCGAAACAAAGGTCCTGGCGCTTCCCGTCGTGGGGATGGTTTGGAACCTGAAGGAAGTCTTTCGTTAAGAGGAAAGTCCTCCAATATGACAAATGGCGCAAGCAATGGCGCTTTAGGACTATCTGGATCGGGCAGTGACGGAGATGGAGCTTCGACGCCCAAAGGAGCGGGTAATGGAAATAATGCTGAAACTGCTGCTCATCCACTATTGAGCTCTTTGCTTGAATTGACAGGATTGGCAGGCAGCAACGGGCAAGTAACATCTCTACCGCCAAGCAACTTTGATGCTCTGACCAGCGGAGCTGCAAGTGCTACTTTGTTGCATTTGGGTGTTGGAGGTGGAATGGGCGATTCAAGTTATATGGCCAATTTACGCGCAAATTTACAAAGTCATGGCAAAGGAAAGAAAAAGACCTCAGCATCCAACAAAACCACAGTAAATGGTGTAAGCACGGGTGTTGCTGGAGGAGGAGCTGCGATCGATACAGGCGTTCTGGCAAGCGGCGAAGAGGATGATGAAGATAGTAATTCTCGTTCAATGGCAGCAGCAGCAGCTGCCGCCGCCGCCGTTGCTGCAGCAACAATGGTCAACGGTACAGGCCGACTACGATGGGATCAAGGAAAGAGTGTAGGACAATTGACGAGCGCAAAAGATATCGAAATTGAATCGGATTTGATCAATATACGAAAAGTCGGTAATAAGCGCAGAAGGCGGTGAGGTGGTTCAGATTGCCTCATTGATCATGCTTGATCCGCTCTTCCTTGCAACCTTTTGTATTTGTTCTTCTATTCCAGCACTATACCCATCCCTACCTTGGATAGGTTCGCAAATGATTCTCATGCTGTGCATCTTATATGCACATGTTCTTAGACTGTATACCTAGAATGAATTTAATTGTTTTCAATATTCTGTTAAGAATGAGGTGTATCAGATTGATTTCTTTGGATTTTTTCTCTCTCTTTCGATTAGCTACGGAACAAAAACAAATAGAAGAAAGGTAATAGAGGGGAGATATAGATGAAAAAGTTTGTTTTTGAAAGATTGTTACAATTACTCGTGTTTGATCTCGCACAAAAGATCACTTTGGGAAACGGAATCGTTTGCAGCAACCAGAATACGTTGAACTTTACCGGAAACAGGAGCAGAAACGACAGTGTCCATCTTCATTGCGCTCATAACAACCAATGGATCACCTGCTTTGACGCTACCGCCTTCTTGAACACGTACTTCAACGCAAACACCCGACAAAGGACTTCCAACGGAACCTGGATCGGATGATGCCTTTTCACGGCGAGCGGTATCAACGCTTGCCGTCTTATCATCAACGATGATCGAACGTGGTTCAGAGTTGAGTTCAAAGTAAACTTCACGTTGAGCATGGTCTGACAAAGTACCAACAGCCAACAAACGAACGATGAGTAATTTACCACGTTCAATGTAAGCGTGAATCTCTTCTCCTTCTTTGGGTTTGCCCAAGAAGTAACGTGTTGGCAAGCTTGAAAGATCTCCGTATTGCTCGATAAAGTCTTGGAATTCTTCAAACACCTTGGGGTACAAGGCATAAGAAACGGCATCGCAAGTTGAGAATGCACGGTTGTAACGCTTTGCCAAATCTTTCTTAATCTTTGCAAAGTCAACTGGTTCCAAATCAGCACCTGGACGACCGACAACCTTTTTACGTCCACGCAAGAGCTTGTCACGGAAGTCGGGGAAGCCACCTGGTGGAACACCCAAACGACCTTGGAAGTATTCGTAGACTGATTCAGGCAAATCAATCTTGTCGCATTGATCGATAAAGTCTTTGCGAGACATCGTGTTTGCGACCATGAATTGAGCAAGATCACCGCAAACCTTGGAAGAAGGTGTGACCTTGACGATATCACCCAACAAGTGGTTTGCTTCGATGTAAGCATCTTTGATTTGGTTCCATTGTTCACCCAATCCGTTTGCCTCTGCTTGCATACGCAAGTTGGTGTATTGACCACCTGGCATTTCGTGGTCGAAGACGGAAGAATCGGAAGCACGCAAGTTTGCCTCGAAGCAAGAGTACAATTGTCGGATTTGAGTCCAGTACAAGTTGAGATTTTGAATATCCTCATGACGGATGCCTGGACCAAGACCGGTTTGTTCAAGAGATGTGACAACTGCACCCATGGATGGTTGAGAAGTCAAACCAGACATTGAGTCAACGGCGACATCCACAACATCAGCACCGGATTCTGCAGCTGCCAACATACTTGAGACAGCAATACCGGCAGTGTCGTGAGAGTGAACATGGATTGGCAAGTCTGGGTATTTCTTGCGGATACCACCGACCAACAAACGAGCAGCAGCAGGCTTCAAGAGACCAGCCATATCCTTGATACCCAAGATGTGAATACCCATCTTGACCAATTCATCGGTCAAGTTCATGTAGTATTCCAATGTGTATTTAGGATGCTTCTTGGGGTTGGCGACATCACCAGTGTAACAGATTGTACCTTCAACGACACCTCCTGCCTTCTTGGCGGCATCGATACCCAATTGCAATGAGTCAATAGCGTTCAAGGAATCAAACACACGGAAGATATCTAAACCGTTCTCAACGGCTTTCTTGCTGAATTCGTAAATGACGTTATCAGGGTAAGAAGTGTAACCGACAGCATTTGCACCACGAACGAGAGCTTGGAATGGAATGTTTGGGACCAATTTACGCAATTTGCGCAAGCGTTCCCATGGGTCTTCGTACAAGAAACGCATGGCCACATCGAATGTTGCACCACCCCAGCATTCCAAACTGAAAGCATTCTTGAGAACGTGAGATGTTTCGCGTGCAATGTTGACCATATCGATCGTACGCAAACGTGTTGCGAACAAACTTTGATGGGCATCACGCCATGTTGTGTCCATGATCAAAGTACCCTTGTATGCACGAACAGCTTTGGCAAATGCTTCTGGACCTTCGTTGACAATGATGTTACGCCATCCTTCTTGACAAGGTTGAGAAGCGTCCAAAGGTTTGGAAGGATCTTTGGGATCGGTGAATGGTGGCATTTGGATATCTGTCTTGAGACCTGGCTCTCCACTTTGACCTTTGATCGAACTTCCATTGACAGCGACGTCTCCCAAGTATGCCAACAATTTCTGTGCACGGTTCTTGGATGGAACAAGTTTGAAAAGTTCAGGTGTATCGTCAATCATCGTTGTCCATGTTGATGCAGTTGCAAATGCTTCATGGGTCAAAAGACGGAACAAGAATGGAATGTTTGTCTTGACACCACGGATACGGAATTCGACCAAAGAACGCAACATCTTACGACGAGCGACTTCGTATGTTGCACCACGACATGTAACTTTGACAAGCAAAGAGTCGTAGTGAGGAGTGATTTGACCACCTGCAAAGCCTGAACCAGCATCCAAACGAACACCGTTACCACCTGCAGAACGGTACACTTCAATACGACCAGTATCAGGTGCAAAGTTCAAAGCAGGGTCTTCGGTTGTGATACGACATTGAATTGCGCATCCACGCTTTTGAATAGTGTCTTGTGACAATCCCAAATCTTCCAAAGTTGCACCGGCTGCGATTTGAATTTGTGATCCAACGATATCAATACCTGTGATTTCTTCAGTGATGGTATGTTCGACTTGAAGACGAGGGTTAATTTCGATAAAGTAGTGTCTGTTTTGTTGATCGACCAAGAATTCACAAGTACCGGCGTTACGGTAGTTTGCAGTTCTGGCAAGTTTCAAAGCATCATCCAAGATTGCTTGACGAACTTGATCGGGAAGGTTGCTTGCAGGAGCAACTTCAACGACTTTTTGGTGACGACGTTGGACGGAACAGTCACGTTCGAATAGATGGACGCAGTTTCCTTGTCCATCAGCCAACAATTGCACTTCAATGTGCTTTGGTCGGTCCAAGAAACGTTCAATGAACACTGTTGGATCACCGAAAGAGGATTGGGCCTCTGATTTTGCACGAGCGAAAGCTTCTTCAAATTCTTCTTGCTTGCGAACGACACGCATACCACGGCCACCACCTCCCATAGCAGCTTTGATAATGACTGGGAAACCGACTTCTTTGACGAATTCGGCTGCATCTTCGTATTTCTCGATAGCACCTTCTGTACCTGGAACGATTGGAACGTTTGCCTTCTTTGCCAATTCACGAGCTTTGACCTTGTCACCTAAACCGTCAATTGTTTCAGGACGAGGACCGATGAAAGCAATACCTGCAGCTTCGACAGCTTTTGCGAATTCTGCATTTTCGGATAAGAAACCGTAACCAGGATGGATCATGTCCACACCAGTATCGACGGCCAATTGAACGATTTCTGGAATGTTCAAATAAGCTCCGATAGGTGTAAGACCTTTTCCTACTTGATATGCTTCATCACTCTTGTATCTGTGAGCAGACATTCTATCTTCGAAACTGTAGATAGAAACTGTTGACATTGCCAATTCGTGAGCTGTTCTGAAAATACGAATAGCAATTTCACCACGATTGGCAACCATGAGTTTCTTTAATGGAGTACCTTGAGCCGCTGTCAAATCACGACGGATACGATTAATGCTTGGTGGTAATCCATTTGCGGTATGACTGCCAGGCGTGCCAGGAGTACTTTCGAATGAAGGATCCACAAAGACACTTCTTTGAGTGCCTTTTGGCGCTTGAGCCGTTTCTGGCTCTGTGATGGCCATCTTGGTTTAAATGAAGCCTACTGAAGATGAAAAGTCTACCTCTTTGTTCCGATCAAGTACCAAAGGTTCTCTTGTTTGTGTGAGGATGAGTAGGAAAGGGATGATCTGGTGGAGGATAAAAGGGCTGTCAGTAATGAGCGTCTTGTTTTTTTACTCTTTCTTTTTCATTGACTCGTTATCAGTCGGCAGATTAGGATAATAGGGCGCAGGACAGCCATGCAAAAAGCAAAAGACTGCTAAAGTGTCTTTCAAATCGGGCGGCGCAAATCGATCCACCTTTCTTCTTATTTTTTTATTTTTATTCTGGTTTGCGTTCCAGCACATCACCACACGATTGCAGATCCATGATATCTTCTTGACCTCTCTCTCTCTTTTTATCTCGCTCGGACCATTTCAATTCCGGCACTTCAGCCCAGAAGATGAGAAAAAACGAGCGGCCAAGGGAAGGCGCTAATGCAGCACACGCGTACTGATGGCTCTGCGCCAGTGTATTGGCATTCACACATATAGTGAGATCGAATGCAATCTTGAGAGCCTCTTTCTCTCCCCAACAAGCCAAAAGAATGCAATTGATAACCATGGCTTTGGATAACCGATAGCATATATCCAGTTCGGCCGAAGCGTCAAAGAGCCAGAATAATGATGCCGTGATGATGAAGAGAAGGGTGATGTGAACCGATTCGGAGTTTGACTGAGAGAAGGTAAGATGAGGCGTAATCAAATAACATCCCTTATGCTCCACACCAATGATGAGGTGGTCAGAATGAATGACGCTCATTAAGCCTGCAAGTCACACTTCTCAAAGCAAAGGCGTTCTTCTTCGATCGTCATTTTGTGTATCCGATTCGTGTATTTGTTCACTTGGACAGAATCCGATCCGATCATTTCGAGCCAGTATCCTAGCAAGCCGTACTCACCTAAATCCGTGTGTGTGGATATTAAATTGGCGGGCGTAATAATAAGTCACAATATACTCCGCTCGAAGGTGTGATTGTTATGTTGAGAGAGTTTGAGCTTGTGAATTAAGAAGAAGAAGAGAGGTGATTAATGATGATGGTGATGATCAAATGAATGCAAAAGTTAAATGAGTGGATCAAACCGCTTTAATTGAATGCCTAACGCTCATTCCCTCCCTTCAATCAACCCGATCACGGTTTTGCCGGTGCTTAAGCCGTTGTTCTAAGCAGTAACGATAACCGGACACTCTTCTTCCCTTTTTTTACCTCGGGCGCACAATAACCCGGGTCACTCACTCACTCACTGCACTGCGCTTTCATACGCCCGAACATGCGCGCTTGTTTTTTCCCCACACATTAACAGTCTATTATCGACTCTTTATCACTTTACTACTTGCAATTGCATACTTAGGGCTCGATCCTCATATTTGAAAACTGCAACACAAATCCGCATTGTTCCGATCTTTTGATTGGTTGGCAATCTTGCTGGAATTTGAAGAGATAAGATAAGTCTTCCATAATTCATGATATATAATTGCACATTTATAAACTTATATTGATACAAAGAAGAATTGCAAAAGCATTACACAGTTTCCATCGGTAAGGATTCATATCCTGCCGTTTGATGTTTAGGTTGTGAGGGTCGAATGATGTTATATATTCCCTCAAAAGTACTTTGAACGGGTGAATAGACCAAAGTTTGCAAAAGTGATGCCGATGTAGATTGCATTGGTAAATCATAATTTGCATCGAAACCTTCTACTTCATGTTCAGATACCAGCCAAGAAGGTCTTTTCCACGTCTTTAGTGTGAGACTACTCAAGACCACACTTACGCTACTGAAAGCCATTGCCGCTCCTGCCATCATCGGATGAAGATGAATGCCCCATGGAAGACCGAAACCCATTGCTAAAGGAATAAAGATAATATTATATCCTGTTGCCCAGACGAAGTTCAATTTGATTTGTCGGAAGATCCTTCTTGATAAATGCAGAGAAGCAGCAACGTCTAGCAAATTTGATCGCATTAAAACAATCGATGCTGCTTCAACTGCAATTTCAGCTCCATTTCCAACCGCAATTCCCAACGTGGCAGCAGCAAGTGCAGGTGAATCGTTAATACCATCTCCAACCATGGCTACTCCATTTGATTTGCTGGAGTTGCTCTGGGCCAACTCTTCTCGTAAGCGCAGGATAACCCCTCGTTTACCTGTAGGACTCATTTCTGCATAGACATCTTCTTCATCGATATCCAACTGCTTGGCAATCGCTCGTGCAGTTGCTTGGCTGTCTCCTGTCATGATGCCGCAATGGATGCCCATCCTTCGTAAGCCATCGATACATTGTCTGGCCTCCGGTTTAAGTTGATCTGAAAGGGAGATGATGCATGCCAACGATCCATCAATCATGGCGAATACAAGTGTTTTGCCCTGCGACGATTGTTTTTCAGCATATGCAAGCGAAGTAGAATCCAAGACCTTCTTTTGACTATCGATATAACTTTGATTACCAATAAAAATCGCATGCGGAATGCCTTGAACGGTGACAGTACACTGGATACCATGACCGGGCACGCTGATGAAGCTGCTCACTTCCGTTTTCAATGTCGTACCGATGGTCGAATCAATGAAATTGGCAATTCCTCGAGCGATTGGATGTTCACTTTTTCGTTCTGCTGCTGCCAAGATTTCAAGAGCTTCTGCTCGCTTCAGACCAGAAACCGATTGAACATCCAATGCGATTCTGTCAACTTTGTCGCTCGTTTCTTTTGGCTGCTCTGAATTGCCGTCAAACCATCGAACGCCAGCAACGCTCAATTTTCCTTGCGTAAGTGTTCCTGTTTTGTCAAACAAGATGTGCGAAATACTCTTGCTGGCTTCCAATGGACCACCTCCTTTGATCAAGATCCCATTTTGTGCACCTACACCTGTTCCAACCATTACTGCAGTTGGCGTACTAAGTCCTAAAGCACAAGGACATGCGACCACAACCACACTGATGCAAATTTTGAGACAAACCATGGTACGTGAAGATCCCTGATGTTGAAAGATGTCCGGCAAAGAAGGCAATTGGAATGTATGGGAGATACACATCCAAAAGATAAATGTCATCACACCTAATCCCACAACACAAGGCACAAACACACCGGCCACACGATCGGCAAATGCTTGAATTGGCGCTTTAGATGTTTGAGCATCACTGACCAAGCGAACAATTTGACTTAGCGAAGTCTCCTTTCCAGCCCGAGTAACAACGAAATCAAAGGTGCCCAACGAATTGACCGTTCCTCCGATCACTGCGCTTCCAATCACCTTTGTGACCGGGATTGCTTCTCCCGTCACCATGCTCTCATCCACTGAGCTTTCTCCCCGCACGACCAGTCCATCTGCTGCGATTCGTTCTCCTGGTATCACTTTTACATAATCGCCTCTTTGTATTAACTCGGTGGCCACTTTACGCTCTTGCGTCATCTTCTCTCCGTCACTGTAGATGACTGCCATACTCGGTGTTAAGCTGATCAATTTGCTCAATGCTTCACTTGTTTTGCCCTTTGCTGAATTTTCAAGATATCTTCCCAGAGTGACAAATGTGATCAGCATCGTGGAAGTTTCAAAGAATGTTGCAGGTCTTTCACATTGCGTTGTGCAAAAGAGAGCGACAATCATTGAGAATGTACTGAAAAAGAAAGAAGCTGTCGTACCAAAAACGACCAAGACGTCCATCGTTGCTGAATAATGTCGAAGTGCTTTGATCGAAGAGACATAAAAGCGCTTTCCAATACCAAATTGAACAGGTGCAGCCAAGCAAAGTGACAGCACATCTGCCAAATACAAATTCGAGATCGGTTGCCACATCAAAATTGGACGCAGGAAAGACCATTTGGGAGCAATCATGTTCAAGAAGAAGTTGGGAAGAGCGAATGAAAGAGAGATGAAGAAAGCCCTTCTCCATTCTGAAACTTCTCTTATCCGTCCAAGGCTTTGTAATTGCGTCTTGTCCCGATCATCACTTAGCATTGCATCAAATCCAAGATCTTCTATCCGTTCAACGATATCTCGTATTCCCACTTTATCCTTTTCGAATTCTACACGTGCCTCTTCGGTTGCCAAAGAAACAACGCATGATAAAACACCATCCATAGCCGATACTTCTCGTTCGACTGTGGATGTACAGGAAGCACATGTCATCCCGTACACCTTTAATGTTTGAACATCTTGCAATTCTTCCGCTAATTGTTCGGCTTCGAATCCTATATCTTCAATCTCTTTTGCAATCTTTTCAGGCGTCCACTTCTGTCCATCATATTCTACGACTGCTTTTTCTGCTAACAAGGCAACCGTTACCGATTCAATACCTTCTTGTTGTCGTAACATTCTCTCAATCGTTTCTACACATGCTCCACACGTCATTCCTCCGATACGAAAGGTGGCAACATGATTTAGTTGAGATGTGCCTTGTATGCTCTTTGAGCTTATCAACTCCTTTTCAGCATCCATCTTGCCACAATGTCAGTTGATGGAGAGGTCAGGCTGAACTTTAAATGTTATCTTGTCATGAAAGCTGAAGTCAGTTTGTGTGTAAGTTTGCGATTGTGTAAATGAATGGAGAGAACCCAGGATTACCCTTCCTCTCTTGTCCCTGTGTTGGATTCAATAATCTAAGATATGATGGAGAGGAGTGTATAATAAGTTCCTTTGACGCATGCTTAAATGTTAAATGCATCCCTGCCGAAACGAGAAAGATTATACTCATTCGTGTCTCAGGCACAATCTCGGTGTGTTGAGGTTTAAACAACCGTAGGCAAGGAAGCTTAAATCCGAAAGAAAAAGCTGAGCGAACGAGGCAAATAACGCGTTAAGCTTAAGGAAACGACTAATCTCTCCGCCATCAGATAAAGCCCGATCTATGCTCTTGCCGAGGCTCACCATCACAAAGTATTCTAGGTGGCCAAGCAATTGTATTCATGTGATGTATGTGAAATGTGATGCTATGAGAAAAGAGATAGAGATAGTGTGTGTATAAAGGGAAACAGGTTACACGAAAATCTAGAGAATAAAAGACTAAAGCAAAAGAAAATCTACTCTTTGATAAATACGGATGAAGATGACAGATATAGATCACACTTGAACAAGGGAAAAACGGGAACATGAGAAAAGAGAGAAAGTCTCTCCTCCGTTTTGAATTTGTGCCGATCACAATTCATCAGGAGAAGGAGGTCTTGAATAGGCTGCAGAAAACGTTGTAGCTGAGCCTGCTTCAGATTTACCGTCATCAGTCATATGTTCGTCAAAGTAATGAGCGGCCATTGATCTAGGTGTACGGGGAGTTTTAACGTTGAATCCGGTTGTGCAGATCAAATAACTGATCAAACCAGTCCAACCACATTGATGACTTGCGCCTAAACCGGCACCTGATTCACCATGGAAGAATTCATGGAAAGGTACCAAATCACGGAAATTTGGATCGTGATCCAAGATTGGAATACCGGCATTGCATGGTCGTCTTTGTTGAATGGGATCCATTTCAAAGATCGAAATCAATCTTGCGCTGATTTCCTCAGCCACTTGTGCAAGATGCATCATATTGCCAGATCCTGTTGGGCATTCGATCGTGAAGCTGTTTCCATAGAATTGATAGAATCTTTGCAAACTTTCGATCAATAAAAAGTTTACTGCAATCCAAATTGGTCCACGCCAATTACTGTTACCACCAAACATGGGCGAACGACTATCACCTGGCCAATATCCCACAGAGAATTGCTCTCCATTGACATTGATACTCCAAGGCTTATCTTGATGTTCTTTTGACAAACTGCGGATACCATAAGTGGATAAGAATTCAGTCTCATTCAACATTCTTGTCAAAATTGATCGTAAACGATCAGCATCCACCATGGATAACAATCGACGATTTTGACGACCACCTGTGATTTGAATGTTACGCTTACTAATCTCTGGACGATTGTCAAGGAACCATTTGACACGTTTACCAAACGAAGGGAACTTTTTGAAAACATTTGGCTCCAAAGTTAAGGTTGGGTAAAGTGCAATCAAACCGACCAAACTCTTGACGTTGATCAAATCACTTTTACCTGGTCCCAAAACGATTGCGTCAAAGTAGAACTTCTCCTCTTCTGACCAAAGCGAGAAAGATTCTTCATCGGCATTCTTGTACGTCATTGCATCGGCAATAAAGATGAAATGTTCAAAGAACTTTGATGCGATATCTTCATAAGTTGGATTATGCTTTGCCAATTCCAATGCCATATTGAGCATTTGTAAGGCATAGAAACTCATCCAAGAAGTTCCGTCAGCTTGACGTAATACACCTCCGGTAGGCAAAGGTTCAGAACGGTTGAAAGGACCGATGTTATCTAATCCCAAGAAACCTCCTTCGAACACATTGGATCCTTCAGAATCTTTACGGTTCACCCACCAAGTGAAATTGATCAAGAGCTTTTGGAAAACACGTTCGAGGAAATCCAAATCTTCTCTGCCGTACACCTTACGTTCAATCTTGAAGGTACGGAAAGTGGCCCAAGCATGCACAGGGGGATTGACATCGCCAAAGTTCCATTCGTACGCAGGGAGTGCACCATCTGGTTTCATGTACCATTCACGGGTGAACAAATCGAGTTGCTTCTTTGCATATGTTGGATCGACAACCGCCAAAGGGATACAGTGGAACGCAGTATCCCAAACGCAAGGGAATGGATATTCCCATTTGTCGGGCATGGAGAGAATATCTTCCATGTGTAAATGACGCCAATCCTTATTACGCACATGCTTTCTTGATGGCGGTGGAGGTGGTTGACCTTCATCGCCGGAAATCCACTCTGGTTGAATGAAACAATAGAATTGCTTGTTCCACAACATACCTGCGTAACCTTGACGCATGATAGAGCGCATATCATCTGGCAAATGACCTTGAGCGATACGATGATAGAATTCATCAGCTTCGAAACGACGAGATTCAACAAGAGCGTCAAATTGCTCATCATCATTCACAGTAACATCTTCTGATGCTTCATTGGTGGTCAACTTGATACGCACAACAGCGCAACCGCCATTTGCAGGTACCTTTTCAAAGACGTAATGAGCGCCCATCTTTGTACCTTCGTTGTTTGGGTTGATATATTGTCGTCTAGGTGATGAATCACTTGGAGCATCAAAGTATACTTCTTCTTCCTCATAATCCTCTGAAACCTCTTCCGTATCATCAATCTCTACATCTTCACCGTCACTGTCTGCTCCTGCATCGCCGTTTTGTAAGCTTGCCTTGTTGTTCTCTTCCGCGATACCATTTGGCAAACTTCCAGGTGCTTTTCTGTTGGGCAAAGAAGACTTTTTGACAACCTTTTTGATTGGCTTGACGACCTTTCTCGTCTTTGTTACACTGCGAGTCTTACGTACAGGTTCAGGTTGATCTTTCTCGAGACGATGATGAGGGATGATATGGTCATGGAAGGCATCCTTGGCGTACGATTTGTTGCGTCCGCCGTACAATCTTTCAAAGTTGGTCTCATTTTCGGTGAACATGAACTTTGGTAAAATTTCTTCATCAGAGATCAGTTCTGGTGCTGCACCACGTTTGCGTGGTGGAGCGCTAGGAGCGGGACTGGATGGACAGTAGAGATAATAAGTACCCAATTCAGGATGATTTGCCTCAACTGTCATATCGTCCTTTTGTTTCATATTGGGCTTTGGAGGTTCGGCTTTTGGCCATGACCATGAATTGCGGAAGAACATTTGAGGGATGATGTGCAGGTCTGCTTCTTCAGGACCACGGTTGTAAGCGCTGATACGACAAGAAACTGAATTTTCATTATCCGAATCTTTTGCATACTCGATAAAGATGTCCCAATATTTGTTCTCATCAAACAGATCTGTATCTGTGATCTCAAATTCAGCCACATCACGGCTTCGCATTTGAGATTCACGAACGAGCTGTTCGTATGGATAGGATTGTTGAGGGTACTTGTATAGCATCTTCATATAGCTGTGCGTGGGTGTGTTGTCCAAGTACCAATAAAGTTCCTTGACATCTTCACCGTGGTTACCTTGATTGTTGGCCAAACCAAACATTCGCTCTTTCAACATACGATCCTTTCCGTTCCAAAATGCCAAACTGAATGCAAGTCTGCAGTGATTATCACTTACACCTGCAATACCATCTTCACCCCAGCGGAACGTTCTGCTACGAGCTGTTTCGTGGTTGAAATGGGTCCATGGATCACCGTTCTCACTGTAGTCCTCACGAACGGTTGCCCATTGACGTTCACTAACGTAACATCCCCATCTTCGCCAATAACGTTGCTTATGCAAATCTTCTTCTAAACGGGCTTCTTCTTTGGTGCTATTGCGACTTTGCGAAGTGTGATAATCGATACCTTGATCAGCAAAAGCCGTTGGACCACGATGGTGACCATTTGCTTCTTCATCGGCACTATCGAATGAATCATGGAATCCTGCACCACCTGTTTGGGTGGCAGTACTTCCATTTGTTCCAGTTGGCGTAGTGGGTACGTCGGAATTGTGATTGCTGATCCAAGACATGGATTTGCGATGATAAGTATCAGGTCTTGCGGAATAGTGATTTGGGTTGATATAAGGAGATTTAGGGTCATGATATTCGGGTCTATATTGGTTTAACGAATCACGACCATGGAACGATTGTCTTTTCTCAGAATTGCTTTGAGAAGGTCTAGAACGAGGCAATGTTTGCGATCCAGCATTTTTTGAACTTGTATTACTCTTCTTTCTTTGCTGTAAAAGAGTGGCTGTTTGACCGCCAGAGTTAGCCGTTGGAATATCAATCGTTAATTCCTCCGACTTTTTACGACCACTTTCACTATCTGGCGAGACACCGCCATTGTCAGCAAGGCTTGACATGCTGATGATTTGGAGTGAAAGTACTTTCGCTTTGGATGATTTGTATGTGTTTTTCTGGGTTTAGGGAGTTGAAGGGAAAAAGGAAATGAGAAGATGTGATTTTGAGTGAGGTTGATGGAAGAGAATAAACTTCCAAAACCTGTCCAAAGAAGGGTATTTAGAAGAATACCCAATGTGCAGCAGAAATCGATCCAGTTGCTGTTGCTCTATTTCTTTTCAGCAAATGAAATCGAAATCAAGCCAGCAAACGTGAATGATGGTGAAGAATGTATGCACACATTGGATGATCCATTTTTGGCTGTTGGCACAATCATCAATCCATTTCCATCGAATCAAGTCCTTCGCGCTCAAGCCTTAGCGCAATATGTGTATTGGGGGGAGAAGTGTATGTACACGGGTAAATGCTAATCGGTTGAGCTGTTGAGCCCTGAATTGCATTGTAAGAAACGGAAAAAACGCCTTTTGTGTGAGGGCAGAAGTGCACAGTGCGAGTTGAATCATATCGGAAGTGGGCCCCCATGCAATCAATCAAAGCAAAAACAAAAAAGCCCTTCAGCCAAAAAAGAAAGTGTTACGCGTTTGGACTGTAGCTGCTGCTGCAATTATCTGGGAAGTATGCACAATTTCTCGGGGGATCATCAAATCAATGCATGCACGCACCCGTCATCGAATTTGAACACTTTTTGAAAAAAGCAGGCACATCAAGGCTGGAGAAGAATACACTATTATTGTACGCTTGTCTCATTGGTCGTATCCGGGACTGAAACTGAACAAATGGCTCATCCTACAGTCAGGAGAATTTGTACGCAGGACCCTGAGCATATATTCTCAACTTTGAATTCAAGGAACAAATCCCATACGCTTAGCAATTCTGTGGCTGGCAACTTTTTGTGTTCGCTTATCATGCTTTCTAGCGCGTAAATTCGCCGTGTTCCTCTTCTGCGATCGATAAGATCAGTCACGATCATACAGAAGGATGACTAATCGTCAGACTACCATCATTTTGAACGGAGGGCGCAGCAAAATGAGATTAACGTGTTCCTACTTTCACTTTTGTCACCTTGTGATTTCAGTATGGGGGAATCTCTTATGACTTTTCTCACAAGCTGCGGACCGCTTTCTTCATTTTATATTCAGAAGAATTGGCAATGACGTGATCGAGGAAACTCTATCTTCACTCCTATCACCTACGCACACTTTCTTTCATAAAGCTCCGGCAATATACGCTGTTGGTGTAAAAATACAACTCTTTTGGCTGTGACGTCTCCGCCTTTATGCGGAGGATCTTATTATGTCCGCATAAATTCAAGAAAAAAAGCGGCCATGGAAAGCGGCCTCTGATTGGATCGAACTTTTCTCATCGATAAGCTCTAGGCTTTTTTCTCAGCTCCGTCCTTTTCCTTCTTACCATCACATAGAGTGTTCATCCAACATTAAATTGTGGATGTCTGTTTTCACCTATGAACAAGAAATGGATTTCAGAGCATTTTCAAACACTTACAATTCTGAAAGCGAGATTGACAATTCACGCTCTCAACCTTATCATTCCAATGACAATCGTCATGAACCCGAAGCACAAATCCGCATCCGTGATTCTCCGCAACAACGTGTTCAAAATTTCCCATACATCCATAACAATGTGCCCAGATCATTCATGGTAGAACACATGTTGGAAAGTCAATCAATTCCTCACACCAACTTGCCAAAACCGCCAAAGCAGTCAACGGAACCTCTCAAAGTGGAACCCAAACGTTCAGACAGAGTTCGTGCAAATAACGAGAAAAAATCTTCTTCAAACAAGAATGGCAATCATTCTAAACAAGCAGGCGAAACGGCTACTCTGCAGGCAGAAGCAGCTCGATACACACCTGCTTGGCTTATCACACAAGCTTTCATTACCGGTGTTCCGATTTGTGATATTGAATTTTACATCGAAGATGAGGATGCTAGCGCTTTTGCAAATCGAACTATTTTGGAGTATGCATGTCCTCAATTGTTAAAGAGTGAGTCTGATTCGCATGAAAAGGGATTTGTGTCGTGACTAATTTTTCACTTTCTCACGCAGGAATCTCAAAAGCGAATGTGTTGATCTTTAATGCAAAAGCTGACAGCGATGTCCCTCCTCCGCGACCACCAAGAACGGACGCAGGCTACAATTTCAACTTTATGCAAGAATTTACGCCGGAGATGTATGAGCATGACACTTCAAGATTGACGCAAACACAAACGAATCAAACGCAATCGAGAGAGCGTGGTGTCAATCATGAAAGTCAAAATGCAAACTCTGGCCCATTTCAATGGTTAAAATTCAATAATTCTGGCAAAAGAATCATGAGGAGGAACACCTATTCGCCATCATTGGAAACGCCTCGTTTGGTTCCGACTCCCGCTCAGCCTGTTCAGACATTGCCGGTACGTATATCTAAAGTACAATCAAAAAGACGTACAACTGATGAAACCGCTTCTCTTTTCAGCCACTTGCTCAACAACCCAGATCTGACCGTATTAACGTGCTGGGATGCACGATGCAATCTTTGCGAGCATTGCTGTTCTATTTGATCACATTGCAATTTCGTTTCTACATTCCGAGCCGTAACGGTTCAGGAGGAGGAAAAAGCAGTTCAAAGAGCGCAACATGGACACCAAAAAGCAATCATCCCGATTCGAAAGAAATGATGCGAAATCCTCCTCCGTTCAATGTTCAATCTGCCTATGCATTAGCAACCGATTTAGGCTTAGAAGATTTGCAAAGTAATGCACAATCATTCTTGATGGCAAATTTACAAGCGCATACAGTTTTAGCACAATATTTTACGCCATTTTGTCAACGTTATCCACCTATCCGTCGTGGAATTTTAGCATTCATCGAAGCACATTGGCATGAAGTTCGTCAAAAGACCGAATCACAAGAAGCTTTAATTCGTTTGGCTCATGGTGATTTTCCACAATCACATGCGGCTTTGTTCAAACTTTTAAGTCGATTGGACGTTAGTAAAATTCCACCACCACCTTCTTCTCTTGGCTAAATAGCACTTTTGTATTGAACTTTCAAAAAGGATTCCAACAATCAGGATATATGTTGTGCATTCATTCTTAGCATACTTACTAATCAGTGTCAGTCGTCCTGACATTCAAATTTATTTTTGAGGTTTCTCCTTACCGTGAATCAGACAAGTTGTCTCTTCTTCGAACTTCAACAATCAAAGGGTAATGATATTGATTCGCATTATGGCGAGAGACAAGAAAAAAAAGAGAAAATAGAAGCTGATGCTTCATCATGATTTGCATTTGAATCGAGATGGATAAAGGGAAAAAAGAAGAGATTTATATGTTTGAGTTACTTGAGAGATATTTGCCAATGTGTGTTTGACCAGAATGTGTGCGAATTTATTTATAAACATCGTGAGAAGAAATCGGGTGCAAGTCGGATAGTGCGCTTGAATAAACCGGGGGCTTTACACTTGAAGGAAAAGATGCCATAAGTTTCAGAAAGCATCGATCACCGAATAGTGCGACAAAGGACGAATATTGGATCGAATCATTGCGAAAGGAAGAATAGAGCCCAACACAAAAGTGTCCTATGTGCCTTGTAACGTGCCTCTACACCTTGAACCCGATCCTAAAAATCTCCTTCCCCAATTTAAGCTCTGGAAGCGTCGTTAACCTTTCCGGCCTTCTTCAATCTCTCTTCAAGTGTTTTGCTCTTGTGCAAATCACTTGCAGTCAAAGGCTTTTGTGCGCCGCCTGGACGATCAGAGTAACGAACTGCATCGGAAACGCTTCCTTGGAAAGAAGATGTTGTACGTTGAAGTTCGTTTGCTCCGTTACTACGGTTTGTACCTGTACGTTTCATTTCTTTGGAGTTTCCTCCTTTCATGCCTGACAAGCAGTTACCCTGTTTTGAATGGATGAGAATGAGTCAGTATTTTGCTCAGCTTTTTTAAGGGAAGCGCTTTTGCTTGCGATGTCTTGGTGGAGGCCTCCATCCAAAAGCTCTTATCTCCAAGCTGCGCCTCGATTGTACTCACCATGATGAATATGTTTTGATTGAGAAGGTTAAAGTGTGTTTCTAGTATAACCTCAAAAAAGAGATTTGATGATGGTTGTTAAAATACGTAAAACGTAAGATGGATGTGGTTATAAGTTAAATTGTCAAAGAGATTATTTTGTTCATCCAAATGTGTGTGTGTATGTGTGCCGTATGATTGAGATAATTGTACTACTGCAAAAAAGAGGCAGTACAAACACTGTCAAAGTGCCTTTTTTAAACTACCATATGCAACACGCCGAATCCGAAAGAACCGTCTTTACAGTGCTAGATGATGCAGTGCCCAGCGCGTGCGCAAATTAGCAGTCTGGGCAACAAAACAAAAAGTAGGCACGGAAACGTAAAGCGTGTAAGCGCAGAAGTGCATTGCTGCTGCAACGCAAAGCTCTCTCTCACTTAATTAGGGGATGTTGAATTACTTTTCTCTTTCTCTCTTTCTTCGCGAAATGAACTGCAAACAGGCGTAGTGCTGCTCACTTACGTCAACGTCGATCATTTCATATAACATCAAACGTGGATGAGGAGAATACTTTTACACACTTCTTATAATTTATTGTCTATTTATAAAATGATGATATCCTTTAAATGCTTGACAAAACAAAGTGATCATCTTTAACACCATTTGAGCATCACTTTAGATTATCAAATCGTTGGCGCCGGCATGCTCAGCCGAATCGCGCAATAACGATCATATGAGTAAAACGTCACTTGTTCTGTTTAATCGGAAGTTTATATTTGGGCGTAAAGAGAGGCTCAGACATCCGAATAACTTCACCATAAAAGAAAACACAGCATCAAATAAGTATAATGCCCCGACGACCGAACGGAGATGGAATGCCGGCTTCTCTTTGGCCTTTCTAGCCCGTTGGTCAACCCCTGTTTTTAGCTGATCATATTCACAGTCACTCTCATAGTGTAATTTTAGTCACTCGGAAGAATTTTTCTTGACACAAGTGGAGCAAGCCGGACTAAATCCATGGCAATCCTTTGCTCTAATCTCTAACGCGCTTATGCCCCTCAAAGAAGATCCAACGGTTTTCTTTTTTATTTTTATTATTTTTGCTTGCCAAGCTTTTATAAGGCAATGACATGCATCTCTTCCAACGGTGTATTGCATCAAAGCAAGATTTTACCTTCAAGACACATTTACGTCAATTGAACATGTACTATTCTTGTGGCTTTTGATTAGTTCTTGATGATAAGCTGACCATTCAGTACAACGTTGATGTGCTGATTTGCAACATTTAAACGCCGAAGAGATATCCAATTTAATACAATGCATTCTCTAATTTTATCGTCTACGATACATGCCCAAAAAGTTCTCCTTGTCTTGCCATCCTAGATCTGTTCTCCGCAATCGACACCTGTGAATGGAATAAATAAAAGAGTTAGCATATTGCAATAACACACACAGGACCATAGCATGTATACCCACAATGAACTCATCAAGTCTGCACATTTGTCCGTCAAAGCATTCACACGTTGGACTGCATTGGGATCAGCGATAAAGTTTGGATGGGTAGGAGATTCTTGTTCGGCTAAATAACGAACGGAAAGGGCGTAAAAGCTGGGCGAAAAGCAAAGGCGTACGAGATGGGGAAGCGGAGAAAATGGTGGGAAAGGTACCGAAAGAGTTGTACTGGGCGTGATTGCTGTTGGCGCTTCATGTCTAAGAAAGGAAGGAGAAAGAACGTTAGCTAAAGCGATTAAAAAAAGTCTTTGTTATTGGTGCTCACTTTATCGACATGATGAAAAGATTCGATTGACCTTGTCCGATCCGTATTGCTCCCGTAGCTTTGAACAAAGACCGCCAAGAATGCGGTAAGATAGATTCGAATCGCAATAAACCACGATTGTTGGAGGTGACCAGCTCAGGAAAGACAAGAATTGGCCCGTCAGCTTTTTTGATCACTTCCTCCAACGATGACTTGCTTCCGGTAGAGCGTGTTGGTGGACATAGACCACTCTCTAGCATCATTAATGGGAAGCTAACCTCATTCCATCCTACCAGCCTCTCTTCACCGCTTATTTGACTGGCACTGTTACCTCCAGATGATGATTTTGGTGATTCTACTTTCATTTGCGCATGTTGTTGTCCTCGTGCAGCTGCTCCCTTCCTTCGATTGTTTGCATTGGAAGAAGTATTGCCATCGTTTGAGGCGGCATCGTTTGCATTGGGCTTTACAACCGGCCGAACAAAAACAGGGTTAAATTTGATCGTTAGAACCAGAACATCTATCCAGGAAGACCAATTGCACAAAATCACATCTCCTTTCTTTGGTGAAAAAGTTGCCAAATTCTGGGATTGATTTGCACGTCCACGTGCCTTTAAGGATACAGTCTCTTCTGTTATCCATGTGAACCCAATTATGAAGAGCAGAATCCGACCAAAAGCAGCATGCAATGTCGATCGAATCGGTCTTCCAAAGTGTCCTATTGTGAGATTCAACGTTAGCCAAAGAAGGGAGAAGATTATGACCAACAAAGTTCGCAGAACGCCTGCAAGTAGACCAACAGGTAAAAGTATTAGATGCAGAGGTGAAGTTGATCCGACCGGCGGAACGGGAGGTAAGAATACTTGAATTCCCGTTCCAGCATCTCTGAAACGTGAAAATCGCTCAGCCATTGTGTTGGTGGAAGTGATGGTGTATTGGGAAGGAATGTTCTTGCCGCACCTCTGCTTCTTTTTCACGTAAAGTACACATGCACTGCTTGCCGATCTGCTTCCCCTTAGTGGCTTTACATCGCTCGCGACATGCAAATAATAACACTTTTAGCGCAGTGACCTTCACACACACGCGTTCGTACGCCTAGGACTAGCATGAATTTTAAGACTTTTGATTTGGTTCGGACTGTCAATGTTCCCTGAATATTATTATTGAACATTGTTGCTCTGGTACAAGATTCATGCAAACATTCTCTCTATTGGTTCGAGCCTCGTACGGTCAACTCTTGACAATCATCTACCGATTCATCTTGTTTCCACACTCATTTCATTTCAACGTATCAAGACTTCCTTTGATCACTTTTATATTCGTCGGAGCTTTGGTTCATTTCGGAGTTGAAATCGATTGAGCAACAAGTACGACATCTTGTTTGAACACAGATGTGAATCGCATGCATTCATTCAATCAAAACGCAAAATCGCGATCATCTCACTTCGCTTGCTTCTCTAATCCGATTGATGTCCTCTCGCAATCATGAGTCCTCGCAGCACTAGAGGTAGACCACCACTACCTCCCCCACGTCCAGATCACTACAATACCACACAACCCTCAAATGACTTTGAGCAAAGATCTCCTCCTCCAATACAATCTTATTATCGTCATCAACAGCAAAGCTCACAGCCTATCTCCTACGAAGGATATCGCACATATGATTCGGTAAATTCGGGGCATTATACTACACAATCAGATCTTCATCAGAGAAACTTTAGCTCGTCCACAGGGCGTGGATCTGTTTCAAATCGAAATGCAAATCTTCCTTTGCGCTCATCGAATGAAGACGATATCTATGGGGGCGTTCAAGCCATGCCACCACAGCAGCACTCAGCCGGACACGATAGCGCATCAATGTATGCACCTATGCAATCAATCGACCAAAATACCTTTCCAGACGATTACCAGGAAACTCTGGCTCCAGCAACGCACAATCCTGAGCATTGGGCTGCTTCTTCCGATATGAACAGCTACACTCGTGATTGGGGAGATAGACCGGTCTCTTCCACTTCAAACATCATTGCACTCTACGCCAGCTCCGATAATAACGAAAATTCGTACGGCACGATTGCATCGGCAGCAGATAGCTATGTGCAAACGGGAGATCATTCAAGCTCATCTGGAGGAGGCGGGTACGATGCAGGTCAGCCACACTATTCGTCCACATCCGAATCGTACATCGTGACACCGACCAGTGCAGAGCAACAATTCCATGCTCGACGTCCGCTGCCGCAGGTACCACGGAATCGTCATGTATCTCAGCAAAGCGAAGATCAGTCACTGTACTCTGGTGAGCCTGTCAATGAGCGCTATAGAACACCATTGCCTCCTCCACCGCTTCCCAGAAACCCAAACTCGAGTCAAAGTGTTGCTGAGATGGAGGAGGATGCGTTGAAATTCTATTCAAGTCAGAATGTTCAAACTTCTTGTACAAACACACCATCGATCGGAGAGCATTCAAGTACAATGGAAAGCAACGGCCAACAACCACATACGCCGCCTACCTGGAGTCCAACCACGGCATTTCGTCCTACTGCTCCCTCGCGTAAAGGGACGCCGACAATCAACGATTCCGCTCAACACGTCAATTTGGCATCGCCTCCTGATCCTACGCCTGTACAGGGCTTACCTCCAAGATATGATGATGTGGCCAACAATACTTTGAATCGTAGCAAATCAATCGTCGGGAAGACCATTATCGCGCCAGGTCTGAACAATCAGCTTACTCAATCGTCACTGCCGCCGAGAGATGGCCAGCGAGACATGGCATACAGTACAATGCAAAATGGGACCAGAGCTAGAGAAAAAAGTGAATGGGAATTGCAATTTGCTGACTTACTCTCACCTGGTTTCATGCCAGATGACACCCCAAGTCCAAATCAAGAAGATCCAGACTTATCTTTGTTGTCTAATATGGCATTGCTATTGCGCGATGCTATTCCACGTGGAATACAAGTCAAGGGAAGCGTCAGTTACCCGCATAGCTTCACAGGAAAGGATGTGGTTTCTACTATCGAAGCAATCATTCCCAAGGAGAAGCTAGATTGGGCAGCGCAAGGAATGATATCTGCGACATACACAGCTACAGATGATCGACAAATTGCGCTATCTATTGCAAAGTCGTTGAAAAAAGAGCTATTCTTTCACGAAGTCGATTGGGGTTCGAGCGAACTGGAAGATGGGGTGGAAGAGGTGTACATGTTCTTGGAGGATAGCATGGGGGAACATGTACAAAAGGCAAATGATTTCGATGTCGAACTATCCCGTGCCTCCTTTGGGGGTAATCAGCTTCACAGGGGACAAATGACGCGGGCAAATGATCTCGTCGACCTACCGACGGGGGTATTCACCCCATTGACATCTTGCTACAGTGCTTTATGTCGTGATCCTAACGCACCACCAAATAAAGCTTGCTATAGCTACAGCTGTCCGAGATCACAACAAAGCAAACAAGTTGCAAACGACGTACGAACATCTATTGCAGAAGATCCAAGCGCAGCAAAAGGGGCGAAATCAGTACCGGGAGCTTCGCATAATGCAATTGCATGGTCCGATACTGTATCAGCAGACATGCTCAAGACGTTATCAAAGGGTGAGATCAAAAGACAGAATGCAATTCTCGAACTTATTCAAAAAGAGGAAGAGTTCTTGAATGATCTGGAATTGCTCGAAAATTTGTTCTTGAACCGTTTGTTGCGATCTCCAGCGGTGACTGACCAGCAAAGCAGTTTGCACGATGAAAAACAACGACTGGATTTCGTTCAAGAAGTGTTCTCGAATCATATTGAATTGACAAATGTGATTCGCGCTCTGGTTGAAAAACTTCATATTCGACAAAGGGAAGATGGACCGGTTGTGCGTCACATTGGAGATATCTACCTAGATGCAGCCCTTGAATGGGGAACAGCATTTGAAAGAAATATGACCAGTTTCCCTATGGCCAAACATCGCCTTCAACGCGAATCAAGCCGCATTCCACTTTTGGCTACGTTCTTAGAGGAATGCAGAAGAGATCCAGCTTGTCATAAATTGCCTATGGATCACTTCCTTCAACGTGCAACGACTCGATTGCCACGTTACAATTTGCACTTCAAATCGATTGTGAAGGATACTGATGACAAGAATGCTGATAAGCAAAGTTTAACACAAGCGGTAGAATTGGTCGATGAGCAGTGTAAATCGATTCAAAAAGGGGTCGCTGCTGCCGAAACCAAGGTCAAAATTCGAGAATATGCTTATAATTTATCAACGAAGCGCATGAAGGTTGCTATTCATATGGATTTGCTCAATCCTGAAAGGCAATTGGTACATCAAGGCCGTGTTTATCGAAAGCCTGACTTCACAGACTTTGAATGGCAAGATCTGTTGGCCGTCCTATTTGACAATTACTTTGTCATCACCAAGACCAAGAAGCGAGAAGAAGGAGAAAGAATTGTGTCGCGATTCGTATTGGAGAAGAGACCGATTGCAGTGGAAATGATCCAGATCGCGGGTTCTGCGGAAGCGCCTGTCTCGCGCTCGCTTGGATTGAGCAATTTCCATCTACGAACCGATCGAGAGAATCGAGATTTATTCCCATTAACTATTACTCATTTAGCAGGAAAAACGGAACCTCTCACTTTTTATGCTGCCAACAAAGCCGAGAGAGATGAATGGAGAGCCAAGATTGAAGAAGCGATCGGACTGCGCCTAGCAGTGCAAGAGGCGAATAAATTGTTCGAAATCTGGCCAATTTCTTCTGACCTCTTTGCCTTACCTCCGATCAATAGTCTGGATCCAGAAAAGCCACCCCCTGGTGTCAGTGCTGCTGATTTCCACGGAAATGTGACATGTGCAGTACCATTCAGGACGAGAGATGGTCGTAGGTTGATCGCTATCGGTTGCGCTGATGGTGTTTGGATAGGATTGCGTAATGACGCCAAATCATTGCGAAAGGTTTTGCATCTCAAATTGGTGATGCAATGTGCTGTTTTGGAGGAATTTGGCATATTTGTAGTTTTGGCGGATAAGGTCTTGATTTCGTACAGTTTGGATGCTCTCGTACCAAGTGCAAATTCACCTAACATCTCTAGACCACCGCAAAAGTTAAGCGGCAATCGAGATGTGATGTTCTTTGCTGTGGGAAAAGTCAAAGAACGTACGCTTTTGGTTTATATGAAGAAGAAGCCTAACGAAAGTGTGTTTAGAGCATTGGAGCCAGTTAATACGACCGGTAAGGGCGATCACACGAAAGGAGGATCAGGCGGAGGAGGCTTGTTCGGCAAATTTGGAAAAGACTCAAAATCCTCGGACTGGTTCCGTGAATACAAGACGTTCTTTATTCCTTCCGAAGCCTATTCGATGCAATTTTTACGATCCAAATTATGCATCGTATGTGCACGTGGTTTTGAGATCATTGATTTGGATCATTTGATCCCAGGCACAATTCCGGACTTTTCTACAACTCGAGATGATCCGAGGGTGTATACTTTGAACAGGCGAATTGAAGCGGTGAAGCCATTAGGGATGTTCAAAAATCGAGAAGGAGAATTCATTTTGTGTTATGATGGATTTGCTTGCTTTGTCGATCGCCACGGTTCGCCAATCAAGTTAGATCAAATTATCGAATGGGAAGGAAGTCCACATTCAACGGCATTCAAAGAACCGTTTTTGTTGGCATTTGATGCGCGATTTATTGAAGTTCGTGACAGCGTTTCGGGTCAATTGGTTCAACTGATACGCACAAATGAGTTACGCAATGTTACATTTAGCAGCAGTACAGTGTCAGATGAAGAAGATGCAGTTATCCTTGTTCAAAGGATTCGATCCAGTCAAAGACGAGCATATGACTTCCAACAAGTATTTGAATTGATTGGAACGATGAATTATCAACATCATTTTAGAGGTACAGCACCACAACAATTGCAAAGCGTACCCAATAGCGCAACTTCAGACGTCTTTACGAACAACGATGGAACGTACAACAGCATCAATTCGCCTGAATCTCCTTATTTTGCCAGCAATGTCTCAAGTAGTGGTACGGTTTCAAGCACAATTTCACCAACATTACATCGTCAAGGAACGACTGCCACAACTTTGACTTCTCGTTCAAATGGCGGTGGCTCACGTCGATGGTTCTAGGAATTTCATATACGATCTCTTACCTTTTTTCAGGAGTTCACTTTTTCACACTGTATAATACCACATACCCCTTCCAAGTTTAAGATTGAATATAATTTGAAGCAATATTGTATTGTCTAAAAACGTTTGCTACAAATTATGCATTTGAAGTTATCACAAGGGTATCGCTTATTTCAACGTATTCAGTTGAACCTTTATGCATAGGCATATGTTCCACCTTTCTCCAAAGCACGTTGGTATGCTGGTCTGGCATGAACAGTCTCGACCCATTTCTTGATCGTTTCAGGAACTTCTATACGACCAGCAGAGGCAGCTTCGAGCGGAAAAAGCATTTGATAATCTGCCGAAGTTGGATTACCATCTTTATCACCTCCTGCAAACCAAGCGAATTCACCATTTGGAGATTGTTTCTTGAGACCTTCGGTGATATATTCAACATGATTTTTCAATTGTGGATCTAACATTTTTGTTGTTAATGCTGAAAAGATTGAAGATACCAAAGGTCTGATCAAGAAGGGAGCTTGGCCAGGGACGAGGCTGAAGATGAGCTTGTTGACCATCAATGGCATAAGGGAGCCTGTCAGAAGAGGGAAGGGGTAAAATTAGTATATATGCATGTATTCGCATGTATGAGGCTGTATTCTTACCTTCAGCATAGTGACTCCATTGAGTGTTGGCTAACCAATTTTGCTCATTTGGTTCAGCACGACCTTTACCGTAAGTGCGAATGATGTATTCTACGATTGCACCAGATTCAGCAACGGTAACATCTCCATCTGTGATCACTGGACTTTTTCCTAATGGATGAACTTTGCGTAAAGAAGGAGGAGCTTGTTTGGTTGGTAAACGTTCATAATGTTCAATGGTATATGGAACCTCTAACTCTTCCAAAAGCCATAAAATACGTTGAGAACGTGAATTATTTAAGTGATGAACTACGACTGTCATTTTGTTTGATTCTTTTTGGTAAAAGAAGATGGTGGCTATGATATGAGTGATGTTCGGATTGTTTCCTTCCTCCACGTTTCTCTTGCCGGCCGGTCATATGGTGGCCCGAAGTCCGTGCTCACTTCAAACACCGTTTAAACTATGTTTTGTCGGCACAGCTAAAGTGCCACAATTGCTGCATCAAACATTGTCATTGATTAAAGTTTTTCATAGGCTATGAATATGAAAAAGCTCTCGCGCTTCACACTCAAACAGACACATCACGTGCAATAATATTTTCCAAAAATTTTGGATTTTAATAAAATCAAGGCTTTAGTGAGAAGATTATGGAGAAGAAGGATTGAATTGGGACAATTACCATCTTTTGTCTTGATACACATCATTCATAGCAATATTCACAAACATGGGAAGAAGAGCAAAGAACAAGCAGCCTCCTCCAGCACCATTGTTGGAGAAAAGAGAAGCAAAGCCAAGTGCTTCTGCAGCTCTCAAAAAAGGCAAACGTAAAGCTGATGATGATGAAATTAATACAAGCATCGTTAAACCGGCTAGCAAGGCAAAGAAAGCAAAAGAAGATAAGAAGGAACAAGAACGAAATGCTCTCTTTGATGATGAAGAAGAGGACGGTGTGGATGAATTTGATGTTGAGGCAGACGATGATGACGAGGATGATGGTTTCCCTGGTCTAGATGGAGATGATGATGACGAAGAGGAAGAAGACGATGAAGACTTGGAGGAAGGGCTGGATGAGGAAGATGATGAAGAAGACGAGGAGGAAGATGACGCAGAGGACGAAGAGGAAGGCGGTGTTGACGAAGATGCTGTCAATGAAGCAATAGCTGCATTCGCTCCAGCAAACGGAGGCAAAATGACAGAGAGACAGAAGAAAAAGGCACTAGCTGAAGCGGAGAGACTAGAAGAGTTGCTCAAGTCTCAAGGATACGATATGCACGGCGAAGATGAGGAAGACGAGGATGAAGTAGAGCTCGAAGAAGATGAAGAAGGAGATGAGGAGGAAATCGATGAAGATGATTTGGACGGCGAAGAGGACGAAGATGAAGAAGATATGAGCGATGCAGGTGATCTAGTTCTACCTACACTTGATGATGGCCAAGGCGATGCTGGGCCATCTACTTCAGCAGACTTACAATCTATCCAAATGCGAATTCAAGAAATCGTAAACGTCTTATCAAACTTCAAAAGATACGCTACAGAGGACGGACCTAGTCGAAGCGAATACACCGAACAACTACTTCGCGATATTTGCAATTATTATGGCTACAACCGTTTCTTGGCAGAGAAATTCTTCGAATTGTTCTCCCCTACCGAAGCTCTTGCATTCTTTGAAGCAAATGAGACACCTCGTCCTGTCACCATTCGTGCAAACACTTTGCGAACCCGAAGGAGAGATTTAGCACAAGCATTGATCAACAGAGGTGTAAATCTTGAACCTATCCCTGGTAAATGGACTAAAGTCGGTCTACAAGTATTTGAAAGTGGTGTACCTATTGGAGCAACACCAGAATATCTTTCTGGTCATTATATGCTTCAAGCTGCTAGCAGTTTCTTACCCGTCATTGCCCTCTCACCTCAACCTCATGAACGTGTACTTGATATGGCAAGTGCACCTGGTGGAAAAAGTACATATCTATCCGCATTGATGCAGAATACGGGTGTTGTATTTGCCAATGATAGCAATAAAGCAAGAACAAAGAGTTTAACGGCAAATATTCATCGATTAGGATGTACAAATGTGGTCGTCTGCAACTACGATGCACGTCAGTTCCCAAAAGTGATCGGTGGCTTCGATCGCGTGTTGCTTGATTCACCTTGCAGTGGTTCTGGAGTGGTAAGCAAAGATGCAAGCGTCAAGACGAACAAATCCGACAGAGATCTTCAACTTTTGACACATTTGCAAAAGCAATTGATCTTGTGCGCAATTGATTCAATCAATCCAAGATCAAAGACTGGCGGATACTTGGTGTACAGTACTTGTTCCGTCTTGGTAGAGGAGAACGAACAAGTTGTTCAGTATGCATTGGAAAAGCGAAAGAATGTCAAAATCGTACCTTCAGGTATCGATTTCGGACGTGAAGGCTTTAAGCGTTTCCGTGGAAAAACATTCGATGACCGTATGCATTTGACCAAACGTATTTTCCCGCATGTTCATAATATGGACGGTTTCTTCTTTTGCAAATTGAAAGTTGAAGCTCCTTCCAGTGTCAAAACAAACGGAAAGGCTGAAATTACATCTGCTATCGCAAATGGTGAAATTGATGCTGATACTTCAGCCCTTTCAGCCGCAGACGGATTGGCAGATGTTACTTTTGATGCAGAAGAAGACGCAGATCTCATTGCTAAATCACTCAATCGAAAACAAGCAAAGAACAAGGCAAAGAAGCGTAACGGTACATCAGCTTAATCACGTAGTTCTTTTCATTTATCCTATCTCACGCCGCATCATGTGTATTTCATTCTCACTTGTGTTCAATGTTATCAGACAGTATCTTGTAGCCATTTGACTCGTGTTTGTGCAATTTAGCAAAAATAAGATGAATGAAATTATTCTGAAAAAAAAGTGCTATACAAATGATGATATTATAAAGTCAAAACTAATTCTCCGAAACTTCATCAGAAAACGTTTCCGGTGGGGTTGATGCTTCTCCCAATAATTCACCACTATAACTTCCATTTGAGGAATAGCCTGCCGTAGGCGTTAAAGCTTCCTTGCTTCCATTGTCGCTTGTACCGCCGCTGCTCTTTCCTCCCACAACTAATTTTCTTGGTGGTGCTTTGACAGTATCCGAAATTGGTGCTCCTCCAACACCTCCAGCTCCAAACATTGCATTCAATGTCATCTTGTCACGTTTCCCGCGTATTCTCTCCGTTTCCATATAACCTCCAGTCTTTCTCAAAGCTTTTCCATCAACAAAAGTGGTCAACTCAGATTGGAATTCATCTTCTTGTGTTTTCCTTTGATGATTCTCCTTTAATCGTTGCTTTTCCGCCGCTTCCAATGCTTTCAACCGTTTCTCGTGATCGGGTCTTTGCGACTTCACCTCCATCATAACGGTCGACAGGCCTTCATGACCTTCTTCAGGTGGTGGGGGAATGTATGTACGTAAGGATATATTAGACAATGCATTTTCGCTGTTTGCACCACTTCCCAAAAGGTTGAATTTGTTTGCACCACGCAATTTAACAACTTCTTGAATGTTATGAAAGACGTCTTGCAAATTTGCATGGTCTTCTTTGAGATCGGCAATCAATCCTTCTTGGTGGTTTAGGAACTCTTGTTCATCAACAATGTTTTGCAATTCCATTTCCCAAGTCTTTTTCCAACTAGGCTTAACCAAATCAACGTATTTCGACAATTCTTCTAATCCACGTGTAGCACGATCGATATCCTCTGAAAGCTTTTTCATAGCATGTGGCTTCGGCTTCACTCCACGTTGGATCACGTCTGATTTCAGATCATCGACCAAGTCAAGCAAATCTTCGACCAGCGTCAGAACTTCTTGAGAATTACTGTCTAGTCTTGCTTTTCCAGTGATGATAAAGTTCCTTTCTGTTGGTACTTCCATTGCGGCAATAGTCCTGACCCGTTTTGCCTGTTCACGCAATGTACCAAGCAAGCCGCCAACGTCTGATTTGAAATCATCTTGAATTTGTGCCATGACTGCCAATTGTCTTCGTACATTCAGCACTTCATCGTATTGCTTCTTCAATTGATCACCGGCCATTTGCCAAGCAACAGATTTGGGCCTGTTGATGACTGGTGGAGTAGATTTATCAGTTGGAGAAACGGGTGTAGATCCTTCCAGATCCTTGCTCTTATCCTCAACCTCTTTGTCCTCTTGCTCTTCTTCCCCTTCAGGCTGCTCACGTCCGAAAAACATCGTTGCACGTTTGTACTGTGCGACTCTCGCTCCTGCTTTGGCAAATTGTGCATCACTAATACGAGGAGCCATTGAAATTTGTGGGGAGAGACCATCGTGAGGGTGTGCAGATATTCTACGGCTCCATTCACGATCACGATCTTGCATTGCAGTCTTGAGATCACGCAATTCACGCGTGATACTGCCAAGTGTGAGATCGAGGTGTTGTTTTACTTGATCCAGCGGTTCTATGTTGAGCGTCAAAACTGTTCCGTCTGTCAATTCGGAAAGGTCTTCGAGCTCATACGTGACTCCGCTATGAGCATCTTTGACATATATCGTTGGAAAGTCTTCTTTTCCAGGCGAGTAAGAGAACTTGTCCATGAATAACATACGCAACTTGCCAGTGCTTAGACCTTTAAATGGCGCTGTTGGATCCAAATCGACATTGACCTTCTTCGTTTGTCGACCAAGTTGCAAGAACAAAGCCATACTATTGGCTTGTTTAGCATTCCAAGATGATGCCGTTGGAGTCCTAGATCCACTCACATTTCGATGATTGGCTGTCTTGACCCCATGTGCAGCATCAAGCCTTGCCTGCTCTTGGAGAGAGGGAAGTGGAGGAACAGGAGGAATCTTGGTCGGTGAGCTTGGGTGACGCTCCGAGACATTATCCAGCTCGATAGGTTCTTTTTGAGGGCTTTGTGCATCAACAAAAGGCAATGACTCTGTCGAGCTATTAGATTGATCCTTCAACATTGGCAGAGGAGGAGCCAAAGAATGTTGGTTAATCTTTGGACTATGACGAGGAGATGTGCGGGATCCTTTCTTGCGAGAAGGCGTATCATTATTTTCTGTAATCGTTTCTGATGCAAGTGCACTCCTTTCTCTATGTGGACCTTTTGTAGGTGTGTCTGCTGTTTGCAATTCAGATGATGATCTCGTCATTCCAGTTCGCTTCACAGACCCTCTTGAAGGTGTATTGACTGTCACACGCTCAGCAACTGGACTTGACATTGCACTCCCTGGTCCCGAAAGACCATACGAGCTCATTCCAAGACCCTGATTGAGACCGACGCCCATCTTGTTGAATGTATAAGCACTGAACCTCTTGCTCGCCCTTCTCTCCAGGGCATCTCGACTTTTCAATGCTCGAACACTTGGATCTGCAGCATCCCCAATCTCGTTCAATGCAGTACGAGAATCATCAAGATTATGACTTGTATCGCCGTTCAAGGAACCCAATGTTTGTGATCGAGATATGTTGCTTTGTGTATTGTCAGCTACCAATCCTAAAGCAGCCTCTGTTGAATCTTTTTCGGTGTACAGATTAGATGTAGCGACAGATAAGGGTGATCGAACGCTGCTGGCATCTGTGTTGTCTGTTCTGCTTTCTCCAGTCTCTCTTTTACTTCGTCTGTGTGGAGGTCGAACTTGATCAGATTGACGTGAGGAGGATGCACTGGTGGGTCTTTGTATCGATGATGCTGCCTCTTCTGTGATTGGCGGTGCATTGATAGGTCGCTTTCCAGTTATACTCTTTCGAACGTCGTCACCAAACACTGAAGCTCCTGCACCTGTCGAGCTTCTTCCCATACCATCCCTTGGCATAACATCACCTCCGTTCGCGCCTGACAATCTGCTACTTTCTGGAATCGCAGAAGTGATAGTACTGCTATCGACGATCGCTCCACGTTCAGTCTTCGTCTTGCTTGACCTTGCAGATGCACGCCTTTGCATGACCAACTGTTTGTATTCAGCTTGTTTGCTCTTCAAGCCTTGCAGCAAGCCGATAATGATCTCTCTGATTCTTGGTAAGTGTATCTCCAAAGTTTGCGGAGAAGCGTCTTCGGATAAGCACCTCTCCAAACAATCTCGTAGATCATCGGGTACAGAAGTCAAATCGCTCATGTCAATCCCATAGCTTCCAAAAGCCACATTGGCAACATTGAAATCGTTTCCTAATCTCACGTAAATATCTGATACTTGTGATTCTGTGCGTTGACCCAAAGACCATTTTGTCAATGCTTCAAGTAACATCTTTGTGGCCACTAAAAGTCTTGTAACTGAACTTTCCATATGTGAAGAACTATAACGAGTTTGTTGCATGTCTCCGTTTTGTGATGATGCATTCATTTCTTGTTGTATTTGTCTATTTGCCATCATTTGACCTGTATGTGCATTACTTAGCTGTGCTCTTGCTAATCGTTCTCTTTCCCTTTCTCTAGCTCTATGTTCTTCAGGTAATAAGCCAGATGGCATCCGCATTCCTTGAGGCGGAGATTGAGAGATGGAAGAATTGCTTGTTCCAGCAATTAGTTGTGGTGGTCCTATGTTACGTCGAATATGATTGGCAGAAGAATTTGGTGATTGAGGAACGTTTGACATATACATTCCGGACTCCTCTGCTGATGTATCGCCTATGGAACCTGTTGATGCTCCTGACTGGGTCAAAGCGGAAGCCCTTTGTCTCTCCTTATCCCTGCGTAAAACTGTCGATAATCCTGGCAACATGATTGACACACACTCCCTACTGTTGTCAAATGATGGATTGCCCTTTCGATATGTTTCACACACAAGGATGATGGTCCTCTTGATGTATCTTCAATTAGTAGCATTTCATTTCATGCAGGCCAAAGCTTAGCGTCATTGCTTCCTTTTCTTTGGAGTGGCCTCTGCTCAAGTTCCCACTTTTTGGCCTATAGGCATACACACTCATTTACACGTGTGGTTGAAAATATGATTGTCCCCTTCTAGAATACGCGTATGGTATCCTGTAAAGTGTTATTTGAATGACAACCATCACCTCTTGGTGGTGACATGTTTGGATTGCGGTGGGATGTCAAGTATATACATAACAGAACCGCCAATCTCCGGCAAAGTAATATTGGAAACTTCTCGAGGCGAAATTGAAGTGGAATTGTTTGCCGATCAATGTCCTTTAGCATGTAAGAATTTCATTGCGTTGGCTTTGGAAGGATATTACGATAATCAAATATGGCATAGATTCGTTTCTGATTTTATCATTCAATCTGGCGACCCGACAGGGACCGGAGTTGCAGGTGAATCATTCTATGGTCAAGATTTCGCAGATGAATTTCATCAAAGGTTACGATTCAATCGGAGAGGATTGCTGGGCATGGCTAATGGAGGCGAGAGGAATACGAATGGAAGTCAATTCTTTCTTACATTGGGAAACACGCCAGAACTTCAAGGTAAGCATACGATGTTCGGAAGGATACACAACAATACCATATACAATCTCATTGCCCTTGCAGATAGCGTAGGAGAAGTAGGCGAGGATGATAAACCGCTTTATCCACCAAAATTGAAAACAGTTCGGGTAATGGAGAATCCATTCGAAGGTCAAATACAATTGCGCATTACCAGGGAAGAAAAGCAAGCCGCAAAGAAGAACAAAAAGGAAGCAGAAGCTAGAAAGCTTGAGCGTTCTTCACAGGGAACAAAGAAGAAGAAGAATACAGCATTATTGAGCTTTGGAGCTGATGAAGATGGAGAAGATGGAGAGGAGATGGTATTCAAGGGCCCAAAAAGCAGTCACGACCTGCTCAAAGATGACAAACGTCTAAGACGAGGTGATGATTCAAAGGGCAAGGGAAAGCGTAGCAGCGCGGAGGATGATACCATTCCGGCATCAATGACAAAACGTAGGGACCTGGTCAGCCCCGATAGAGATCATGAGTCTGAAAGAGCAAATGAAGCTATTTCATTATCAAACTTGCGTGAAGACCATGCGTCTAAGAGACAGAAAAATAATGCCGAAGATCAGATTGCTTCACTGGAGGCGTCCATTCGTGGAGACTATGTAAAGAAAGAGGTGGATGAAGGAGCAGAAAGATCAGAAAAGAAGGCAAAGGGAAAAGGCAAATCTTTATTGGACGAGTATAAAGCAAAATACAAAAAGGGCAAATCATCCGGCTCAAGCAAAAAGGATGAAGAGACAATAGAGAGATTACGAAAGTTTCAAAATCGTATGCGAAGTGAGCAAAACGGTAAATTCAAGGCAGGAATACCTAAGCCGGAACCGGAGGAGGAGATACCGGAGGATATGCGAGAGTACGGCGGCGAAGATGGCGAAGATGACAAGCAGGGGTGGCGGGATCATCGTTTTGATTTTGGCGGTAAAGCAGTCTTGGAAGATCAACATGAGGGTGAAGAATACATCACACTTGATCCGCGAGATTCTTCCTCCTTCAGCGCTCTCAAGCTAGGCTTTGGTGGTCAAGACGGTCATCAGAGAGCGCGAGAAGAACAAGCAAGAAGTGGTAGACGAGGTAGGGATTGGGTAGATGAAAGAGGAGGAGACAAGCGACACAATCTTAATGGCCAGCACAAGTCATATGATCGAGGCAATCATTCGAGACATGATGATCAACCTCGTCCTCGAAATCTTGACAAGTGGTAAAAGATCTTTCCGCACACATTCAGACTATTGCATTTGTATTCTATATGACATTCTATCGATAAAGTCTATCGAAGGCCCAAATTTGTTGTAACATTACATGATTATTGAAATTGGAGATTTAGAGCAGTCTTGGGTATTTTTGCGTTTACTCTATCCTAGCACTTTGCGAACGCCGATTCGTTGATCGTCCGTCAAGCGGTTTGGCAATTCTACTTGCCATGTGACCACTAGATCACCCTTTGTCTTACCGCCTGTTTTGGAGATTGGCATTCCTTCTCCTGCTACACGAGTTTCTCCGCCGTTGGGAATAGTTGTGCCGCCTGCTTTGGGTCTTGGCATTGGAATGTCAATCTTGCGTCCATCTAATGTTGTGATGTACTTTTTCGAGCCTGGTGTTCCAGCTTTAGGTGGATCGAGAGCATCAAGAAGTGGAATCTGTAAGTTTGTAAACAGATCATTGTCCACACGTTTGAATGTTTCGTGTGGCTTTTCATCAATCACAAATACGACATCCTGTGACTTTCCTGGCGAGACTTCATTTCCTGCTCCTGCAAAGCGAACTTTCGTGCCTTTCTTCCAACCAGGCTTAACGTCGATTGTAAGAACTTTTTCGTCCTTTTCTCCATTCAAGAATCGCTTACCGACCTTGAGCTTCTTTGTTGTGCCCTTATAGAGATCTTCTAGAGAGACTTGCAAAGGCTTTTCGATATCCTTAATCTCAACCTCGCTTTCAGAGCGTCCACCAGGATGGCCATGGCCACCACTGCCAAAGTCGAAACCGCCCATTCCGCCTGGCATACCTCCCATGCCTCCCATTCCACCGTGCATACCTCCCATTCCGCCCATTCCACCGGGCATTCCTCCCATGCCACCCATACTTGGGCCGCCACGACGAGATCGGGAGCCACCTCCTCCCATACCATCGTCCATTCCATCGAACATAGAAGAGAAGCCTCCAGCTCCACCGCCTCCTCCCATTGCGCCAAAGATATGTGCAAAGATGTCGTTTGGATCTGATGGACGGAATCCTCCACCGCCGCCCATACCACCAGGACTTGTTGTGAACGTGAAGCCTCCACCGGGGAATCCACCGCCTGGGAAGCCACCAGCGCCAGGACCGGCACCACCACCACCTGCGGCACCCTTTAGTCCTTCTTCACCATATTGGTCGTATACAGCCCGCTTGTTCTTGTCAGAGAGCACTTCAAATGCTTCTCCCACTTCTTTGAATTTCTTGTTTGCAGCATCTTGATTGTCTTTGTTACGATCAGGATGCCATTTTAGAGCTGCTTTCTTGTATGCTTTTTTGATATCATCATCAGTTGCTTCTTTCGATATTCCTAGGATCTTGTAATAATCTGCACCCATATTGAAGCAAATCTATCTCAATGTCTAGGTGTGAAATATGCTTTCGTGGATCTTCTTGAGGATATGATCGTTGTTCTGACGGGAAGATGATCTTTCTAAATCTTGTAAGATGTATAAAGTTGGAAGAAGAATGGGCATGAATGTATGCACCATTGTATGGCGTGCATATATATTGTTACAGTGCTTAACTCCTGTTTAAACCTTCTTTGCCCTGAACTCAGTGGAGGTTTCGAGAAGCATCTGGCATTTTCGTTATGTAAGCGGGGCTTTAATCTTCTCTAACACGCTAAGATATTATATTCATAATAAAATGTGGTATATATACCGACCCGTTCTTCCGGCTTACACAGCAGCGCATCAGTCGTCTAGTGGTTTAGGATTCTAGTCTTCCACTACCAGCGCGATTTACGCGTTTGTGGGACTTCTAACTGGTGACGAGGGTTCGAATCCCTCCTGATGCAGACTTTTTTTTGCTCCGGCAATCATTTTCTGTTGCAGATTCCTGACAACTTCTTTTTGGCGACATCATCCAGGAAAACATTTAAGTGGACATGCTATACTACATTGATTAAAATGATGACTACTAATGTACAATTGTATATTGTTCTATTCTCCCTTATATCTTTGTGCTTCGAAATTACGCCATAGTTTTCGTGCAACGATTCTTTCCGCCTCATCTGACATCATGTCGAACAAAAGATCCCTCTGCCATGTTGCTAGGATTCCGCAAAGAGCAAAGATACCTCTTTCCAGCTCCAACCGTGTTTCACCGATCCCGATCCCATCAATTGATGTTAAAGCTTTAACATATGACATGATGATCGGTAGGGTATGTAAGCTGAATCCTCGTGCTAGATTTGATTGTCTAGAGGTGATCGCAGAACATAGTCGGGTATATTCACGAGCCTGAACAATCTTCTTTTCTCCAGGTGCATTCGAAGTTGGACTTTTCTGAAAATGAGAAATAATTCTTCCCATCAGAAGGCTGATTTGCGGCAAGATAGGTGCAAGGATGTCGGATCGAAGTTTGACAAAAGTGAGTAAAGTTGCAACAATGGAAGAAAACACTTTTGGGTTCTGTTCTTCATTTTCGAATGAACGAGTAAATATTGCCAAAAGAGAACTAACTTGGCGTGTACGAAAGAGGATGGTCTTGCCTTCTGCTATTGCCTCAAGCTTTTGTACGACCGAAACACTCGAAAGGTCATCCACACAGACCAATCTTGCCAATACTATATCCAATGCACCTTGAGCGATCGACAAAGAACCTTCTGGACCGTTGCATAGAAGTAAAGGCAAGGAAGCAGGAATATCTTCTTCGATTTGCACTTTATCCAATTGCTCTTTGTATTCTTCCAGTGTGACTTGTCGAACATTCTGGACAAAGGTAGGAGCGTATAGCACATTTGCTGCTTGTGTACCTTCGATGGCGGATAGATGGTCAAACTTTCCCACCATGTTGCTTAAAGATGATCCTAGCTTTTCTGTGGCATTAGTTGAGATCGCATCGTTGCTTTTTGCGTGCGAAGTTGACGTATTCTTGGCCGGTTCAATAAGCTTCAGCCAGCGTGGTAATTCTAAATTTGCTGAATTCACAAGAATCGATGTAGCCAGAGAGCAATCGGGATACTTGTCCATTATTGTTCTTGCTGATTTGGACAGCTTCTCTAGGAGCTTGTCATCTGCACATCTCTCAAGAACAAGCAAGTAAGCTGAAAAGACGATATCCAACGCCACGTATGCTGCTTCGTTAATTTGGCTTGTCGTTCGTATTTCACCAATTGGCTCAATCTTGTTGAAGTTTACCTTGCCGTTGGAAAAGAAGTCTTGCACCCAAGTAGAAAATGACAATGATTGTCCCTTTAGCATGTCGCGATTGCACCTCTCCAAAACAGCAATGAGCAACTGGATTTGAAGTGGAGCATAAGCGGATATCTGACCAACTGGGAGAAGGTAGGTGGACTGAGATGATTCTATTTCCTCCAATGTTTCTAACCATTCCAGAGGGGCTTCCAACGTTGTTGGTGCTGCAAGTCTGCTCACGATGCATTCGATGGCGAACACGGCTGAAGTGGCTCTTTCTGGAAGCTTTTGATCGAGTGACCTTTTCACAATTGGTAGAATCAGATCCCGGTAAAGAATGCCTAATTTCAAAGCGGTCGACTTTTTCGCTGGCTGGGGAATAGCAATGAATGAGATGACAAGGCCTGAAAAGTGTAATGCGACGCCAAGGTGCGGTGCTGAGTCTTGCGGTTTGGAGACAATATCAGACAATACCCTTGTAATCTTGTCAAGTATTGCAAGTCCTTGTTCAATGCTGACAAAATTTTGCATTGAAGGTCCGATGAATGCATTCCAGCATTCAGAGTCGAATAGTGTCCCTTGCAAGATTAGCTCCTCTGTCTCTTTGGATGTGCGTTTTGCAGAAAATGCCTCCTCGAAGCTGCCAATGAGAACCAAGTCTATCAGATGATCCAAGGCGCGTGTGCGGGAGAAGGAGTTCAAGATGGATTTGAGTAAATCGCGGCTGGAAGTTGAGGGTGCTGCAAGTGCTATAGACGAGAACATCCTCTTCCATGAGGCAATGTCGATAATACTTTCGTCTATCTGTTGAATGAAGCGAATGCTATCGAACGCATTTTGAATCCTTTCACTAGGCTCAATTCTGGACAAGATATGTTCCAGTGTTCGCACCAATAGCTCTTTCGCCTCATCGCTATCAATGGGATGAAGATTCTTCTCGTTGATGATCTTGAGTAGCGACCCCAGAGTGCTAGCTTGAAGATGTACCCCTTCTATAGCAAGCCCTAAGAAGTGCGAAGCCATAGAATTCCAAATTTCCGATCGCTCCTTTGCTTGCTCTACCAACGTGGCGTTGCTTTTGATGTGCAGACATCTTTGCTGCAAAAACACGATCGTAGCCTGATCAGCATCGGGTATACTTCTAAGCTGTTTGACTAGAATATCATAATCAATCTTGGTTCGAGAATTGGGTGAGAAGGACTCAAATGAAAGTCGACATAGATGGCTTCGAAGATGCAGGCCGGTTCCATTGGGCAGACTGAATGCTTTTGTGAGCGCTGCACAAAAAGATGATAGAAAAGCTTCTTCTAGTAAAATCTGCTTGGACTTCTTCGTGTTCGAAAAGCCAGTCCAAGCACGAATAAGTAGGGAGAGCGGAACTGCCAAGTCATCACAATTGCCTGTATTTGCATGTTTGCCTACCACATCAAACCAAGCTGTGAACGCATGCACCAATACTTCGATTGTCAAGACGTTGTTATCACTGATTAAAGGGATGCTCTTGCTCGCAGATCGAAGGAGAGAATGAATGTGCTGTTCATCTTTGACTTGATTAACCGCCTTTCCAAGTGCATACAGGAATGCAACGATCGGGTACCTTCCCGCAGACTGGTTCGTTGTCTCTTTCGCCAGATAGCTCAGAACCTCGAGCAGTAGACTCCATATGCTGACCGATTCAAATGCCTTTAAGTCCTTAGAATTTCTCGCTTCTCTGTTGAGCGTATCTAGAAGCCATTCAGCCAATAGCTGCTCTTTTCGCGGAACAGGTACAGTATCATCCCTCCAAGCTGCCTCTGCAATTGCAATCTTTTTGCTTATAGATTCTTGTCCACCTTTCAAAGTCTTTACAAGTTGTTCCGAAGTTGTAATGTCCACATCTTTCAAGGTTAAAGCCTTGCCTTGAATCTCGCCATCATTGTCTTCTCTTTTGCTCTTCTTGCTTTGTTCTTTGTTCGCTGCACCAACGTCTGAACTTCTTTTTCGAACAGCTGTCGGCATGATCGCCGCTCTATTGTGTTGATGATGATCGTCTGACCTTAATATCATAATATTCTTGTTCTTATTTCCACCAAAAAATCCAAAATTTTAGCGCGTAAGATTTCACGTGCAGGCGCTCAAAGCAAGATGTTCAGCTCATTGTCATCATAATCTTCTTCTCTCTGCTTCTCATCATCATATCACAAAGTCAGACATCATGTCATTCATCACAAGATCAATAGCACGTCTACCCTTACGTAGCACCTTGGGTTCTTCCAGACTTTGCTCTACATTGAGCCATTCTTCGTCAATTCCAGTACGATCAACTCTAAATGCACAAAAAGATGCACAGAGGACTACATCAACTTCCATCGTTTCACAAGCACAACAAGAACGCGGAATGAAAGTACGATCAGCAGTAAAGAGATTCTGTGAAGGCTGCTCGGTAGTAAGAAGAAAAGGTCGCCTTTATGTGATTTGCAGCAAAGATCCTAAACATAAACAGGTGAGTGAAGAGGTTCTCTCCTCGAAAGAAAAGTGTCTGACATCCCCTCTTGCGCCCTCTTCCACAGAGACAAGGATAAAGACGCACAACTTTCAGCAATATTCGATGTAGACAAGTGTATTTTATACAGAATGATGATAGGCTAGTACTATACATTGTGAACGAGACATTAAGTGAACAAGCTAACGATGCGATCTTGAACTTCTTGTTCGGAAAATCGAATGTGCTTTTGAGGATTTTTGCTAAAATCTCCCATTTTATGTTTGGCAACAAAACGGGAATACATTGGAATGACCATTCTGACGACATCGGTTCGCAGGCGTTCTTTTAATTGTTCATCTTCTCTTGCAATCGGGAAAGCACGATGTAAACGTTCCAAATCATCTAAACCATCGTAAAATTTGGCAAATCGATCCTTCACTGCTGCTTTTTCGCTATTTCCACCCATTCCCGCAAGCTTTGGTCCGGAAGGCTTGCTTGTCAAACCAGGCGTATCTTCCATCAACGGACCAATAACTGGATTCCATGCTTCCAGGTAGGAAGAATAAGCAGAACGTAATGCTCCATCTGTTAGCTCGATACCTGTCGGTCCTAAACAATCTGCTACGCCACTCGAACGACCGTTGTAGATGAGCTCTCTTTTGATATGCGAGATATTATTGAGCAAAAAGATGCATGCTGTAGACTGTTGTCGAATCGCACGACTTCTTGCTTCGAGTGCGTTGAGCAAGGCGGCTAAAACATCTGCCAAATACTGTGACAAAATAGATTGTGTCTCACTATCGATTCCAAGTGATAATACCGGAGCACGATCCGATCCCATCATCCACATTCCTGCTCCCAAAGAAGTGAGCAGAGGTGCTACAACATCGGCATATTCACATAATTGTCGCATAAAGTTCAAACTTGAATATGTGATCTCGTTGATTGTTGTACTAGGAATTTCACCTTCCCGTTGCATTGGCATTGCATTGATTCCTGCAATATAAGTAGGAAAGATTTCCAATGCACTTCCTCTTGCCGCAACCAGGCTTTCGCTCAATGCATGTAAGGCTGTCTGTTCTGAATGCGGATTGCTTGATTCCTGTTGACGTGCACAATTTGCAACGACGACATTCTCCCATCTTTGTGATGCATTTGAGAGTGCTCCTATTAGATCGAAAGCGAAGAAGGTGTGCTGCGTAGAAGAGCTCCTCCGAATTTCGTTCTGTAGTGTGCTAAGTGTAGATGCAAATGATCGAAGAGGTGCACGTAAAAGCCGGGAAAAGGTTGAGTGTATTGTTGTTTGAGATGAAGGTGGATTGAGAGATTGCATCAACTCTTCCAAGATGGAATATTCATTCTCCGTCAGATCGAGTGCAGCATTGATCCAATTTGATAGACCTGCATTTCCACGCGAATATCCTGTGTCATCTTCATCGTTTTGCCAAGCTGCTGTCATGCCAGCCCTACCCGCAGTACTGCTCAATCTCTCTTGTGAGTAAGTGACCACTTGTTGCGCCAAGGGTGATAGTGATGCTTCAACGTATCGTCCACGTATCTCAGAGTATGCTACAAGAGCGGATGAGAAAGGGGCATGATGTGTTTGCGGATGCGTTGGCAGTGATTTCAAGAATGAGAAAAGCGGAATGATTGCGTCCATTGTTGCGGTCGACAGACGAGGTAGAGCCATACCTCTCGGCACATATTCTGCTACATCAATTCCATGCATATCTGATTCAGCGGTAACCCAATCTCTTATCATATCTGTCACATTTCGACTTCCCAATTCGATCAAATCGTTCATCTTCAACATGACTTTCTGTTGAGATTGTAGGTCTGACCTTGCAAGGTAATCCAGTCCTTGCTTCACCCTTGCGATCGTATCCAAATATGGTTGGGGATCACGCACCGAGGGTCCTTGACGTAATAGCGGCTCTTCATCCTGTAAGACATCATAATGGCCCAATGTCTTGTTCAAGCTACGCAATACATTATCCACATTTTCTTGGATTCGTATTAGTGTTTGTGTACTTCTATGGATCGGTAACATTGTACTTTCAAGTTTGATCAACCTTCTATCAAATCCTGAAAGGATAGATGTCATTCTGTTTGTTAATGTACCTAATTTTCTTTGATTTTGTGCCAAAAGTTCCACTTCTGCCAATGCTTGTTCCGTTTCATTGTGTAGATTTGCCGATGCTGGTGTTGAGGAAGTGCCTATTGCACCGGAATGAGGATTTGATAGTGATAATGGTGCGATGACCATCTTTGCAACATATGCACCAAGCCAAAGATGTTGATCAGAAGATACCCACAATGATTGCAATCCACTCACAAACTAGCAACGGTGGTCAAGGCGCTAATATTGTCATTGTGTTGGTCTGCTGGTCAACCCTACGCCTTAAGAGGAAAGCGTCCCTTAAAGCCGATACTCTATCTCCTGCTGCAGCTGTACGACGCGTTCACTATACAGAACCATGCCTGGTGGAGAGTGTAATTGGCAGGAAGTACGCGTTAAGTGATTGAATAAAACGCGCTCAAGTGATTAGAATTAAGAGAGAGAGAAAATTATAATCAAATGCGGGTAGGAGTGTTGGACTTTCCCAAGGGGAGATGCGCTGAGCAAACCTTCGTAAAGATTGTCAAGTGATACTCAATGTTCATTTCATACCATAACCAGGTCAAATAGACATCCCAACAGTCTGTGCCCTAGGTTTGCCTTTTTATAGACATCATGGCTCCTGTCGCAACAGATATATCCAACAATGTGGGCGTTAAGGTGGAATCTTCTCAAGGCTCCGTATTGGCAGCCAAAAAGAGAAAGATGGTCAACGGATCATCACAAGAAGCTCCTTCATTTGCTGATACATTAAAAAAACTACAGGAAGAAGCAGAAGCAACAGGAGAGAGTAGCACTGGAGAAGATTTATGGCCAAGACCAAATTTGGATCGAATCGATCCTTCCGGTGATCACATCGTATTCCAACAGATTGATATTGAAGAACATACGCAAGCTGGTCAAACACCTTCTATTCGAATGTATGGTGTGACCGCAAAAGGAAATTCAGTCTTGGTTCACGTTTACGGTTTCAGACCATACTTCTATATCGCTGCTCCTCGTGGCTTCAGCAAAGGGCATTGTCTCGAATTCCAAAACAAGCTAAACGATTTGTGCGGAAACAGGATAGTGCAATCAATCGTCCTTTGTAGCAAAAAGAGTTTGATGAACTATAGCGGACAAGATGATGTGGCCTTCCTAAAGATTACCATCTCCGATCCTCGACAGTTGCCCAAGGTCAGAGGAGCTTTAGAACGTGGTGAAGTGGCTTTCCGAGATCTTATCAAACAGGGAGATAACACTCTGACATACGAGAACATCGCTTATACACTACGATTCATGATCGATCTCAAGATCGTGGGTATGAATTGGCTGCAAATTTCAGCCGGCAAGTACAAAATCCGACAAGGCGAGCAGAAAATTTCAAGAGCTCAGCTGGAGATCGATTGTGAGCCAGATGCTATTGTTTCTTTTGCACCTGATGGAGAATGGTCAAATATCGCACCTCTTCGCGTTTTGAGTTTCGATATCGAATGTGCCGGCAGAAAAGGAGTTTTCCCTGAGCCGCAAGAAGATCCAGTCATTCAAATTGCGTCCATGGTGACAAGACAAGGAGAATCCGTTCCATTTGTCAAAAATGTGTTTACGCTCAACAGCTGTGCACCGATTGTAGGTTCTCACGTTTGTAGTTTTGAGAAGGAATCCGATATGCTTGAAGCATGGGCACGATTTGTGCAAATTGTCGATCCTGACGTCGTTATCGGGTACAATATTGCAAATTTCGATTTCCCATACTTGATGGACCGAGCAAAAGTTCTCAAAGCGGGCAAGTTTCCCTATCTAGGTCGTGAACTACAGACCAAGACAGAATGCAAAGATACTCACTTCTCCTCGAAAGCATACGGAACGCGTGACAGCAAGCATACTGAATTGCAAGGACGTATTCAGTTGGACATGTTGGAAGTGATGAGACGTGATTACAAATTACGTAGTTATTCGCTCAATGCCGTCTCCTTTGAGTTTTTGGGAGAACAAAAGGAAGATGTGCATTTCAGCTTGATTACCGAATTGCAAAATGGTGGACCTGAAGCACGAAGACGTTTGGCCGTTTATTGTTTAAAGGATGCCTATCTACCGCAGAGATTGATGGATAAGCTGATGTGTTTCATCAATTACATCGAAATGGCACGTGTGACAGGTGTACCTTTCAATTACCTCTTATCCCGTGGTCAACAAATCAAAGTCATTTCGCAATTGTTCAGAAAAGCTGATGCAGAGAATTATCTCGTCCCTTCATTCAAAGGTGAAGGTAGCGAAGATCAATACGAAGGTGCAACTGTTTTGGAACCGAAGCAAGGCTATTATGATCGACCTGTGTCCACGCTGGATTTCGCCTCTCTATACCCTTCCATCATGATGGCACACAATCTCTGTTATACTACATTGGTTACCCGAGCGATGATTGAACGTTTGAATTTGAAAGAAGGAGAAGATTACGTCACGACACCCAACAAGAATTGCTTCGTAAAAAGTAGCGTACGCAAAGGACTTTTGCCTACAGTCTTGGAAGATCTATTGACAGCACGTAAACGTGCCAAAGCAGATTTGAAAAAGGAAACCGATCCCTTCAAACGTGCTGTGTTGGATGGTCGTCAATTGGCTTTGAAAATCAGTGCAAATTCCGTTTATGGTTTTACGGGTGCAACTGTTGGTAAATTGCCTTGCTTGGAAATTTCCATGAGTGTGACTGCATACGGTCGTGAAATGATTGAAGCAACGAAAAAGATGGTGGAAAGTACGTATACGATCCGGAATGGATACGAACATGACGCAGAGGTAATCTATGGTGACACGGATAGTGTGATGATCAAGTTTGGAACGGAAGATCTGAAAAGGGCGATGGAATTGGGAAGCGAAGCTGCTGTCAAAGTATCAGAAACATTCACAAAACCAATCAGACTCGAATTCGAGAAAGCTTATTGGCCATATTTGCTTATCTCGAAAAAGCGTTATGCAGGATTGTATTGGACCAATCCTGACAAATACGACAAAATGGACACGAAAGGTATCGAAACTGTTCGACGTGATAATTGTCGGCTTGTACAGACGTTGATCGATACATGTTTACGCAAGATGTTGATCGATCGTGATGTCCAAGGAGCGGAAGAATTCGTGAAACAAACGATTTCGGATTTACTACAGAACAAAGTGGATATGTCTCAATTGGTCATTTCAAAACAACTTGCAAAAGCAGATTATGCGGCCAAGCAAGCGCACGTTGAGTTGGCAGAGAAGATGCGCAAGCGTGATCCTGGAAGTGCTCCCGCTCTGGGTGATCGTGTGCCTTTTGTGATCGTTAAAGGTGTTAAAGGAGCTGCTGCATATGAAAGAAGTGAGGATCCGCTATATGTGCTAGAACATGGTGTGCCAATCGACAGTCGATACTATCTGGACAATCAATTATCCAAACCTCTCATGCGTATTTTCGAGCCGATCATGGGCAGTAAAGCAAGTTCTTTGCTAAACGGACCACACACTCGAGTCGTACAAAATGTGACGTCCAATGTGGGAGCATTGATGAAATTTGCGGTGAAATCTTCTACCTGTTTAGGATGCAGAACACCTCTCAAAGATCCAAAGCAGCCAGTCTGTGATCGTTGCAAGCATAAAGTGCATCAAATCTATGCGGCTAAATTGCATGCTTCCAATGTTGCCGATCAGGAATGGGCAAGGATGTGGACGACATGTCAACGTTGTGCAGGAACGGTAGCAAGTGATGTTCTTTGCTCAAATGCAGATTGCGTAATTTATTTTCGTCGTAAACGTGCACAAAAAGATGCAGAAGAAGCGGCAAAAACATTATCACGTTTTGACGTAGCATGGTGATTTTGTTTGAATTATCATGATTTTTATTTATTATTTCTTGTATTTACAATATGCTTTTCAACCGAAACCTATGTACTTTTATCCCATCGCATTGTCTTTTTGACATTCAATAATTTATTTCTTCACGGAAGAGCTACCTTCTGGCTTTACACTGCTTGACTTCATTGGCGGACTTGAGATTGTTGAGCTGTAGCTGTCTTCTCCGCTGTCGCTCTCACTTTCTGATGAGTTATCGCTTTCGCTGTCACTGATGGTCACAGATTCAGCGGCTTGTCTTGGTCTTTTACAATTATCCTTACTGGCCCTTTCTTCTCCTTCAGATGCCTCAACTTCGATCGGGGCGGTGTTTGCGATGATCCAATCAAGCTTCTGTGTGAAGGGAGTGGTCGGGTCAGTAAATTTTGTCTTTCAGATTTCACATCTACCTCACTTCTTGTGCTGCCATCTTTGCCCGTTGCAATTCGTGCACTTTATGTTTGAATTCCTTTTTCTTTTCATGACGGTTTCTTTCCAACTTTCCCGCCTTCGCATCAATCTTGCTCTTCTCCTTTTTGTATTCATTCGTGGCAAGCTCGATCTTTCCTTCAAAGTCACGAATAATTTCCCTTTGCTCTTGTTGCATGATGATTTCTGGTGGTGTTCCACGGTCTTCAGATTTTTTTGAAATGTGATGGACTTCTTCTTCTTCATCTTTCACGGAGGTGGCTACCGATTCGGAAAGATCGAGCACTGGTGTGTCGGTGGAGATTGGGGGGACTTTAATCTTGCTTGTCCGGTACACGGGAAGAGAGTGTGATCTACCCTTAAGCTGTAATGGCAAATGTTAGCAATGTGTCTGTGTAAGTAGGGTTAATTTCTGTTCACTTACTCCATTTCCTTTTCGATGTGCGTCACGTTTGCTTGCAAATTTGCCATCATTCTTCTTAAGCTTCTTGTGATGGTTCGATGCCTTATCACTGTGTGCAGTTTCTGTCCTTTTCTTCGAGGTGCTTTGGGATGCAAAATGAGGTGCAAAGCGAATTGGTGAGTCAGAAGAAAAAATTGCATCTTCTTTGCTCTTTGGCTTCATTGCTTTGAAGCAAAATGTTTCTAAAGCAGGGCCATCCTTTTCCTTTCCCAGTGCAAGAGTGATTACGTCCTCGTTTTCGAGACCATGAAACAATTTCATGTCCAAATCAGTGGAAGGTAAGCCACTCCGACTGGCATTCGGTGCGATCACATGCCCAATCTCGTAATCAGTTCCAGAGATAGTAAACTCTCTGGTCACCATTTCAGTACCTGAGCGTTGTAATGTGAACCAGAACTTTTTTGCAAGTCCATCAAAAGCCTTGCAGCGAATCAGGAAAGCCAAAGTTAATGAGTGTGGCAAGTAGAAACAACAAGAATCTTCACCTCGAGTTGGACTTCGATTGATTTGTTCTTCTTTGAGGTAACGAATCAATCGATGCTCAAAAGAGATGGCTGCAACTCTTACTTCGACATTCATAGCTATCATCTTTTAAAAGTCAATGAGCAACATGATGATGAAAGAATGAATCCTGGAGGATGTGTTGCCAAATCCAATGTCTACCACACACACATTTCATCAATAGCACATCATTTCGCATTTGAGACCCACATTCCACGACACAACGGACGAAGCAATGCTCATTTCGACTTTCACACACGTTTTCGCCAGAAACTGAGTAGGCTGAGTTCATCAATCAGCTTTCACAAAGCTTAATATGTGCACTGATACCGTGGTGTAGCGGATTTTGCAAGTAGCGGACACTCAATAATGGTGACTGTGATGCAATGATGCTGACTAAGCTTACTATGCCTAGGAAGTTATCGTTGCTGCATCGCGGCACCGCGTTTGCATTCAGTGAACTTTCATCCGCAGTGTCAACACGTGCTAAGCTTCACCCAAGCTTTTGTGCTGCTGCGCCTATAGCCAAAGAATTAGAAGAAAGGCAAACAGTTCTAGTGCACCTTGTCTGCTGCTATAGTGCGCGCGCTCGCGTATAAACTGTAGGCGAGAGTGCAATTCTGCTTAACTGTTTGGCCTGCGCCTTACGTACAGCTTTAAGGATGAATTGTGATTTTTGCTTTTAGACATTCTTCGTCAGTTCAAGGTTACCACCATCCGACATTACTCATTTCCACCTCGACCTTCTTTTCGTTTGTGGCCCAATATGTCGCTCGTCGCTCCTGATCCATCGCAAAACTTCAACCACATCTTGCGTTTGCTCAACACAAACGTCGATGGTAAAATCAAGATCATGTACGCCTTGACAAAGATTGGAGGTGTCGGTCGTCGTTTTGCCAACTTGGTCTGCAAGAAGGCTGATGTTGATTTGAAGAAACGGTAGGTGTCTTTGAATTGATGGGAATTGGAGAAAAAGAGGAAACACCAAACGACTTTTCAGATATACTCACACTCCTTTTATCTTCCTTATAGTGCCGGTGAACTCAACTCTGATGAACTTGAAAGAATCGTTCAAATCTTGCAAAGCCCTGCCGAATTCAAGATCCCAACTTGGTTCTTGAACAGACAAAAGGACATCGTTGACGGAAAGTACTCTCAAGTTCTATCCAACAACGTCGACTCAAAATTGCGTGACGATATCGAACGTCTCAAGAAGATCCGTGCTCACCGTGGTATCCGTCACTACTGGGGTCTCCGTGTCCGTGGTCAACACACTTGCACAACCGGACGTCGTGGACGCACCATCGCCAACAAGAAGAAGTAAATTGATTGTTTTGTTGGATTCTGTCAAAAGGCATGCAAAATCGACTTCGACTTTTCATCATCTCTTTCGACCGATCTAGCTCGACTTTCTTCTTTTCGGTTCTCGTTTCATTGCAACATTCATCCAGTATCGACACCTCGATACGCCATCACGACAATCTCGCACATCATATTCTGTTCTAACAGCGCGATCATATCGTATGTATACACTACTATGCGGACCTCTCCATTCAGTGGGAGCTTATGCAATCAAAAGACATTTCAAGCATCGATGGGGACAGGTATTAAAGTGTGTAAATTGAGAGAGAAGAAGGGTATATGGCTTTTGCCGCTGTTTACAGGTGAGAAGAGTGGACCTTGGAATCAGCTTTCCAAGTGGGTGTTCTGGTACGGGTGAATCGCAAACCGTTGATAAGCCATTGTCGAGTCTCTGCAGGATCGATGACTGTATCAATTTCTGCCATGGTTGCCATATTTTGCGCTTTGCCACGTTGATACATCATATCGACCAAGGATTGGAAGAGATCATCACGTTCAGCGCCTTCTGCAGCTGCTTCCAGTTCTTTACGCATTCCCAAGCGTACAGCACCTTCGATTCCCATTGCTGCAAATTCAGCTTGTGGCCATGCAACGCTGAAGAAGTTGGCCAAAGTTGAGCCGCCCAATAGGGCTTGAGCGCCTAGACCGTAGGCTTTCCTTAAAGTGACTGTGAAGAGGAGTGAAAAGAGATGAAATATCTGTCAGCTTTGAGTCTTAAGTGTTTCCAAGTTAGATACCTACCTCCGAATATCCTGCCGCCATTATGACCTTCTTGGAACCCTGTGATTGCAGAGAAGAACTCTGCAAAAGCACGTAAACCTCCTTCCTTTTCTGCTGGAGTGCCTACCATGAAACCAGGAGTATCACACAAGATCAAAAGATGAGCAGCTTTGGTTCTGTGAAGCATATTGACCAATCGAGTGGCTTTCTTTGCTGATTGTACGTCGATTGCACCACCCAAAGGTGAAAGGACGGAGGAAGCCAAAATTCCGATTGGCTGACCTGCAAAACGTGCTAAGCCTGTCACAAGGCTATGACCCCATCCATTGCCTAATTCAACAAAAGTGTTATCATCCGATAACATTTCGATCACATTTCTTACTTCATAAGCCCTTGTCCTTTGTTTTGGTAAAGCTTTGCGAAGGTCTTTTTCATTCTTTGTATATCTCCAATGTGGACTTTCCAAAGGACCTTGGAAAAAGCCGATCAATTGCTTGATTACCACGCTTGCTTCTACTTCCGTTGGAACAACGATATCATAATCACCGTTCTTGAAATGAATTTCAACACTTCCAACATCTTGCGGTGCTACTTTACCTAACCCTCCTCCTTCTATCATTGCGGGCCCTCCCATTCCTGTTGAAGTAGCTCCACGCTTTGGTGCATCTTTTGCGCCTCCTTCTGTTGCAACAACAATATCACATGTACCCAATAGTGCCGCATTTCCAGCGAATGTATACCCATTCGCTAATCCAACACTTGGATAGCCACGAGCTTGTATTGCTGCTAACAATGCAAAACTTGGAGTATCCAAACCACCCACTTTCATATTCACCAAATCAACATCGCCCGGTCTACCGCCACCGCCTTCAGCATAAACAATAACAGGAGCAGGGTTTTGTAAGATCGAGCGGAAGAGACGATCAAGCTTCAAATGATGGAAATGACCTTGCGTTCCCGCCAGCACCATATAATCATAAATGCATAAAGCACATCTTGCATTCGAAGCAGATTGGAATTCCTTTTTGTCAAGCAATTTTCCATTCACCGTTGCCCATCCTGTAATCACTCCATCATTACTTGTCCTTTCACGTAATTCTTCTTCATCTGTTCGAGTACGTTGAGCAGCAATTGCTAAATCTCCCCATTCGATAAATGTACCTTCATCGATCAAACGTGCTACATTCTCTCTTGCCGTCAGATATCCTGCTGCTTTTCTACGCTTTACAGCTGTTTGTCGTACTTCGTCTGATTGTAGCTGTCGAGTCTTGAGAAGTTCCTCCAAATCAGGTCTTAAAACACTCGAATCTTCTTCTTCCTCTGCCGCGATATTTGCTTGATCGTTCTTTTGATCTTTGTCATTATCAGAAGATTCGACAAATACGATCGCATCACCTTCATTAATAGAAGATCCTTTCTTGGCTAGAATCTGTCTGACAGTTCCTTGTGCTTCCGCTCTTATAACATGTTCCATCTTCATACTTTCTAACAAAGCAACTTCTTGTCCTTTTTGTACTTTTTGACCAATCTCAACGCTTACTTGTGTTACCAGACCCGATAATGGCGACTTGATCGATTGTTGTCCTTCTGGCGGTGCATTGGAAGGTGAAGCACTTTGGTGATCCTCTTGAGTGCTTTCAGATCTTCCATTAATACTTGCACTGTCTTGTTGCAAAGCTTGAGCTGTTTTGAACAGACTTTCAAAGTTCTGCTCGATGAATCTTGTATGCACATCCCTATTTGTTCGTACAGCTTCATCCTGTAGCAAAGATCGAACAAAGAATAAATTGCTATCTGCCCCTTCGATTACGCTTGTGGCCAAGGCAGCATCTGCCAATTGAACAGCTAGAGGATACGTCGGAGCTGAAAAGATGACCTTTGCCAACAGAGAATCAAACAACGGTGTTTGTTGGTAGAATCGATGACCGATTGGAGGATGTGCACTTGTATCGATTCGAATATTCGGTCCGCTTGGCAAGTTGAAAGAAGTCAATTTCCCACTGGTTGGGATCACATTACCATCGGGTAAGAACTTTTCTGCATTGATTCGGGTTTGAATTGCTGTCCTGGTAGGAAGTACATTGTTTTGCAATCCTAATTCGTTCAATGCACATCCCAAAGCGATGCGTAATTGTATCGCAACAAGATCTTGACCTGTGATTGCTTCTGTGATTGTATGTTCAACTTGAATGCGTGGATTGATTTCCATAAAGAAGAACTCTCCCGTTTCGGGCAGTAGCAAGAATTCAAACGTTCCAAGATTTTTGTATTTCACTTCTTTTGCCATCCTTAGTGATGCTTTAAGGATCTGTTGGCGAACTTCTGCTGTCAATGTTGGAGAAGGTGCAATCTCGATCACTTTTTGATGCCTTCTTTGAATCGAACATTCCCGTTCCCATAAATGTGTGACACTGCCTTTTCCATCTCCTATCACTTGTACTTCTATATGTCTTGCTTGCGATAAGAATCGTTCTGCATACAACTTCTCATCTCCAAACGATGCTTTCGCTTCACGAGCACAAGCTGCAAATGCTTCATCAACCAAATTCTTTGCATTCGGTTGTGAGAGATCGACAACTCTCATTCCTCTTCCTCCTCCACCATTGACAGCTTTAATGATCACTTTAGCATCTCCTTTTGATTTGTTTTTCAGTTCAGCTGCGAATGATTGTATTTCAGCCAAGCTAGCATGATCGCCTGTGGTACTCTCCAAAGTTGGAACATTGCATTGTCTTGCCAGTCTTTTTGCCAGCACTTTATCGCTTAAAAGGCTCAATTGTTCCACTGTTGGCCCACACCAAATCATTCCATTTTCTTCTACCAAGCGTGCAAATTGTGGTGATTCACTCAAGAAGCCATATCCGGGTGCGATACCCCAAATATCCTTCTCTTTTGCCAATCGAACGATTTGTTCTCCATCTAAATAAGCTCTTGGTCCTATACCTTGTAGAAGCATACGCTGTTCTTTTGGTACGCTGGTTACGTGTAATGCATCTTCTTCACCTTGAGTATACAAAACAAAAGGAATGAATTGTACGTTTGGATGTTCAGGTCTTGGAAATAAGAGAGCGGTACGTTGAATGCGTAATGCTATTTCACCTCTATTTGCGATCAATAGTCTATATTGTTTAATGGCTGATTAGAATAAAGTATAAGTCAGTGATGCTGTTTCGCAGTGCTAGACATTCTACTCACCTCCATCACCATTGGACGCCATTGCTGCTTGTATTTTATGATGTTGGATAGATGTCATCATTGTTTCTCAAACTTCCCCACGTTGATCGGTAACACGGAATTGCAGTGAACCGAGAATGCATTTCAGCTTATGTAATCAGTCACCGTCTTATTAATCCGCCGTGGCTGAACTCTTTTTCTTTACTGGCGCCTGGCGCTTGGAGCGGGTGCAATTCGCATTTGGTCATGTCGTTGTTTATGGGGTAGGATATGACTCAAATCCTGGGCGGTGCCGTATAGGATAGACCGTAATAGTAGACGGATATGATGCACCGAATAAAAAACAGTTGGCCGGCATGACGCATTACAAGTGTTGCTTTGGTGGTGGTTGTGATCTTTTGATTCATGAGAAAATTGTATATTAAGCGAGAATTCATTTCATCACTTCCGTCAAATCAGATCAAAGAAATGATTTCTCACTTTACAAAATCATTCTTACCTTCCACCATCATCAGACAACGTCCTTTCTCCACTTCATCATCAAAAATGAGTCAAACATTATCAGCCGAATTCGGAACGGCACATGTGGCACATGGTGTTGGTCGTCTAACACCAATGATCATGAGCAAAGCAAAAGGTGTTCATGTTTGGGATGAAAAGGATAACAAATATTTGGATATGACTTGTGGTATCGGTGTGACAAATCTTGGTCATTGCCACGAAGGCGTTACCAAAGCAGCACAAGAACAATGTGCAACAATGGTTCATGCTCAAGTGAATATCGGTTTCTCAGCTGCTTATTTACGTTTATTAGAAAAGTTCTTACCTCATTTGGCAAACGTACATCCTTCTCTTGATTCAGTGTTCTTATGGAACAGTGGAGCAGAAGCTGTTGAAGCAAGTGTTAAATTGGCTCGTGCTGCAACGAAGAAACAAAATATTATCGTCATGCAAGGATCTTATCATGGTCGTACGATGGGAACAATGGCAATGACAAAATCCAAAACAATTTATGGTTTAGGCTTTGGACCTTTGATGCCTGGTGTATTCTCAACTCCATTCCCATATTATTCTCAATTCGGATTGCCAGAATCAACACCTCAATCTGAATTAATTTCATCTTCATTGCATCAACTCGAACTTGTTTTGGCTCAACAAACAGCACCTACCGACACAGCCGCAATCATCTTGGAACCAGTTCTAGGTGAAGGTGGATATGTCCCTGCTCCTGATGCATTCTTACACGGACTACGTAAGATTTGCGATAAATACGATATCCTATTGATCGCCGATGAAGTTCAATGCGGTATGGGTAGAACAGGTAAGATGTTCTATTCAGAATACAGTGGAGTTCGTCCCGATATCATCGTTTTCGCAAAAGGTATCGCAAACGGTTTCCCATTGAGTGGTATCGCAAGTCGTAAAGAATTGATGGATTTGCAAAAGCCAGGAACGATGGGAGGCACGTATGGTGGAAATGCAGTCGCATGTGCAGCTGCAAGGGCAGTTTTGACAGCGTTTGAAGAAGAGAAAATCTTAGACAACGTTGCCGGAAGAAGCAAGCAAGTCTTTGACTTCTTGGACAAATTCCAAAAGACACCTGCCGGTAGTGTGATTCAAGAAGTTCGTGGAAGAGGAGGATTGATGGTTGGCATTCAATTTGCCAATCCAAAAATGCAAGAAGCACAACAAGCTCATTCAACTGCAGGCTTGAATGCAAGCTCACATAACACAACAGCAGCTGAAGCATGGCAATATCATCCTTCTGACGCAGGTGAACAGCTAGCTCCTAAAGTTGTACAAGCATGCATCAAGCGTAAGATGTTAATCTTGAGCACAAGTTGCTTCGATGTAATCCGAATGATTCCACCACTCAATGTTACCGAACAAGAAATGCAACAAGGATTGGAGATCTTTGCTGAAGCTGTAACGGAAGTTGCAGCAGCTGCAGGTGTTAAAGGTGCTTGATATATGATGTACTCCAGAATAAAGAAGATCGAATGATAATGTATATATAGTCTATCACAGTTCAGGGTAAATGTCGTGTCTGCGTTGATCCCAAAGGGGCATAGAACGACGAGTCTCTTTCAGCCATTCTAGATCAACATCAGCAAGGCAGAAGGTAGGGCGATAGGGTTGCATATCAGAGCATTGTGCGATTATCGTTCCAAATGGATCCACAACCATTGCGTGACCCCAAGAGGTTCTACTTGAGCCTGCATGGGTTCCAACCTGTGCAGCAGCCATCACATAGCATTGAGTCTCGATTGCCCTACTTCGTAACAGAACTTCCCAATGAGCTGCTCCCGTCTTGACCGCAAATGCGCTAGGATACGTGATAATTTCGCTGCCTTGTCTACGAAGGCGAAGTGAGGCTTCTGGGAAACGTATATCGTAACAAGTGAGTAATCCCGTCTTCCCTAGAGGGGTGTTAATGGGCTCTTCCATCGATTGACCAGGAACAGTTGTACTGCTTTCGAGTATAGTGATACCGCCTTTGATGTCCACATCGAAAAGATGATTCTTTCTATACCGAGCTTGTATTTCACCTTTGTTGTCTATTACGAGTTGTGTGTTGTAGCATCGTTTTACGTCTTGAGGAATAGGTTCATGAACGCCGACGCTTACCCATATCGAAGAAGACTTTGCGGTGGATTGAACACCCTCTACGAATGAAGTGATATCCTTGGATTGCAATAGCGAACCGACGGATGAACTTGGAGCAATGAAGTCAGTTGCTTCGGGCAAGAAGATCATCTTTGCTCCTGCTGTTGCGGCTTGCTTGATCAATTTGAGAGAGACTGCCAAGTTCTCAGCAATGACGCCGGTAGAGGACATTTGTGCGATTGCTGCTAACGTCATCTTGAATGTTGATGATTGGAAGGAAGTAAGTCAATATCTAAAGGGAAGATATAGAATGTATGCAAGTGATACATTAACAATTGTATCCTTAAATCCGCTTAGCGTTTACAGGCGTGCACTCCACACTTTTTAACGCAGGGCGTAGTGTGTATTGTGTAGTGCTGCTGCAGATCGATTGGGCTTTAAATTGTTGGTCGCCTTTTGAACAACAACCATCATCATCATCATTCAAACAACCAACATTCAAACGCGACGCGAAGAAAAGGGGGAACAAATCCTAACTCTCAATTTTGCCGTAATGGCTACAACAGCTTCGGTCTATAATGCCAGTCGAACGACAAGACAAGTTTTAAAACGTCATCGAAAAGATGGACCAAGTTTAATCCTGCATTTATACGTAAACACTTTTCGATTTGAAAGACAAAATGGTGCATTCTTATGCGAAAGTCCATTGAAAAATTTGCTATACTTTATTCGTGATCAACGTGTTCCTGTGGATTTAATCGATATCTTTGATGAAGCTAGGATACCGTTCTTCGAAGGTTGCTTGATCGTCGAAATACACGATCATCGACCTCCTTCGGATAGCAATAAATCCACTCTACCGCCTTCACATCTAGCTCGTTTAGCAACTTCAGAGAACGAAAATGGTACGCCTTCTTCACGAGCATCGCCTTCAGCCAATCCAGAAGGAAGCAGTAGCAGGATAGATGCATCCATACCTATTTCCGAATTCACCACGCGTTCACTTGGCGGGAATTATGGCTTTTTCAGAAGGGATGGAACTTCACGACAAGGTAGGGATGAGAATGGTGCAAATGGGGCATTCAGTCCAAATGTGTATCGAATCGTTCTTTATCCCACTGCCGAGACACTATGGAGTGACCTTCGTTATTTGGACGAAACTGAAGGACAGGGGATGTGGTCGGATGATGATGTTTTGCAGATCGAGAGTAGAATCTTGACTCTCACTTCTCCTCCATTATGCCTCACGCCCGATCCTCAAGCTAGTAGGATTGCCAATTTGATGATGAGCGCAACTGCCCTGCCTGCTTCTTACTCGCCATTGTCGACCGCACCTCTACCTTATCATCGGCAGGCAACCAAAAAGCGTGGGATCAACAGTATCGAATTGGAGCTGGACAAATCGAGAAAGCGAAGAAGGGAGAAAGTACTTCGTCTTATGGAACAAGGAAGTTTGTTGCGTGCCAAAGATGGGATTATGGGCGGCGCACCAAGTCATACTGCCAACTTTGGTCGGATTGGCTTTATTGAGCGTTGGAGGGCGAATAAGAACTTGGAACAGAGCAAAGCGGCTCGTGTCATCGAGAACAAGGACGGTAAAGATGACGCTTCTGCACGTAGTGGAAGTATAAGCAAGAAGAAAAAGAAGAAGAGCAAGACGGAAGAAGAGCCCGAGCCTGAGAATTCGCCTACACCACCACCTCAACCAAAGAAGAAGATGAGTAAGAAGAAAGCACAAAAGGAGAAAGAAGAACGTGAAAGATTGGAGAAAGAGAGAGAAGAACGTGAAAAGGCGGAAAGAGAAGCAGCAGCAGCAAAAGCAAAAGAAGAAGAGAAGGGTAAGAAGCCAAAGAAGATGAGCAAGAAGAAAGAGAAGGAACTGGCAGCGAAAAAGGCAGAAGAAGAGGCCGCAGCGGCGGCGGCAGCGGCAGCTGCAGCAGCTGAAGCAGCCAAGAAGAAACGACCTGCTAAAGGTAAAAAGGCAAAAGCATCCGAAGCAGACGTGGCTGGGGATGCATCAAGTGTCAAAGCTGCCAATGCAAACACTCCGAAACAAACGACGCCCAAGCAAGCGAATAAGAGCACCCCGAAGAAGTCAGTTCAGCCATCACCGAAGCAGACAGCGCAAAAGAAGCCAGCATCTCAACAGAAACAAACGCCGCAAATGCAACCACAAATGCCACAACAGAATCAGATGGGTAATCAAGGAATGCAGCAGCAGGGTATGCCACAACAGCAGCAGCAGCAACAGCCGACGATGCAACAGATGCAACAAGCTCAACAGTTGCAGCAGCAATTCCAACAACAGATCTTGCAATCACTCACGCCTCAACAGCAACAGCAAGCCATGGCTATGCTCAGTCAACAAAACATGGGCAATGCGTTTGGAATGCAACAAAATAATGGAAATAATGCATTTGCCAATCAGTTCAATAACTTGATGCAAGGTCAAAATAACAATTTCCAGCAGCTTCAGCAGCAACAGCAACAACAACAGCAGCAGCAACAGCAACAGCTTCAACAACAGATGATCATCCAACGGGCTTTGCAACAGGCAGGCCTTCAACCTCAGATGAACGCTGGAAACAACTTTGGTGGGATGAATTTGCAACACTTGCAGGCTTTCCTTGCTATGCAGCAACAGCAACAACAGGGCAACAATGCAGGCCAACAGCAACAACAACAGCAATCTACCCAAACATCCAATCAACAAACAGGAACGGACGGATTGCAACAATTCAATAATCAAGAATTACCTGTTGGCATTGGCCTGAACAATTTACCACAAAACTGGGGAGGAATGAACTGAAAGGAGAGACACACAGTCGTGTATGAAAATTGTACTTTTAGGTTACCTTTACAATGTACAGAATCTATTATCCTACATGATGTTTGAGGAAGGCATCCTTTGGATATTATATAAGCGTGTATGATACCGCGTGCTGTCAATCATAAAGTCGTTATCTTTAGCATGCATGCTTCACAGCGCCGAATAGATAAGCATTCCTCACAAGCTCGATGAGACGATTGGCTTGATAAGACAGCCTTGCCGGATGCGATCCCCCACTTGCTCTTATCTCATGATCTAAATCCTCCGAAAGCGTTCACTGTATCCCCCAATGCTAGATAGCGCACGTTTGGGACCCCCCGTGTTCATTTGTACAGGCCTAAATATAGAACGATAAGAGACACTTCAAGCACGTCATATGTGATCTCATCAAGATGTGAGCAAGGCGAGATAGACACAAATGTCCCGATCGATGGAATGATAAACGATGAAATGGAACAATGAATGAACTTTTATACCAGCCATCCTGGAGTTGCACGTGTTCACACCTTAACGGAAAGGAGTCCGCGGTGAATATAGCGGATACAAAAGTGTCTCGGCTAAATTATGATTCTACCCCTCAATCGGTTAAACGCTTTCTTTTTAATAACCGGCTGCAAAATAAAGTCATAAAAGATGTCTTCTTTAGGCGAGACAAAAGAATTAAAAAAGGAAATGCATGCATACTCCAGATAAAAAAAACTCTTGTTTGATTGTGAAGATCTTGTTGTCCCTCAAAAAGTTTAACCATGCTGCCTGCCTGCCTGCTTTTGCTGCCGTGCGCCGCGCTGCGCAAGCCGTCGCGTATTTTTCGAATTTAAACGAAAAATAAAAAAGGCCGAAAAAAAGACTAAGATAGGGAGAGAAGCAAGCAAGCGTTCTATTCATAGATAAAAAAAAACAAACAGACAAAAGAAGCACTAGAACAAATCACTTTAGATTAAAGTCGGATTTGATTGGCTAAGACGGAGTTGTACTATTCATCTTCTTCTTCACAACAATTTAGAGATATTTTTGCATTTTCCAAGGTGAATTATCATTTAACCCCTTTTCCTCAAATATTTGATCGGATGGTTCTTCCGTGCCTTAACTAAGAAGCTCATAATTTACGTCTCCGTAATAAAAGTCTCGGCACCCGATATCGCGAGATAAAAGGATTGATAATCGATCAAACGGCGAAAGTGCCTGAATTAAAAAATGTGATTACAACCTAAGTGGCGCTGTAGGCGAAAATGCAGCCATAAGCGTAACGCATGGTGAATCCATATGGTATATTATTATAATAAATAATAATTAATAAAATAGATAGCCAGTGTCCTTTCGCCTTTGAACTGATAAGATTGCGTTAAAAAAACTAAGGGCGGGCGCTTAAGAGAGTTGAGTGATTGATTGATTAAAAATTATAATCAAAGTGTGTGTGCTGCCTGCCTCTTTGTGCTGAGCGCGCGCACATTAACAGTACAATCAAACAACGGTTTCATAACGAAGGATCCTATACTCCAATCAATTAAATGCAAACACACAAACGGATACCGGAATCTGATCAATACGAAGGCTTAACCTCATTTATGGTTCATCATCTCTTCTTTCATCACCCGCAACGGATCTCCTTGTTACGCCCACCAACAAAAGATACTCTTGGCCGATTGGATTACAGTATTTCATCTCTTGCCGGAACCGAGTGGACGACTTTTGATCGAGTACGGCTTATCCATTTCCGCTCAGCAAAATCTTTCGGCTCGATAAAGTTTTGATTGGCTAAAGGAAAAAAAATTAATTCTTTTCCATCACCTCCGCCATCAAAGCAACATCTCTACCCTAATCTCTTTATTGAGACCACCCTTTCAATCCTTCTTTTTGAATGGCAATCTCGCCTCGTGGACCTCCAATGGCATCAGGTGGTCCAGGCTTCGGACGACAAGCTTCTCCTGAGGAGCGTGGTCGTCCTGTTTCAAGATTCGTATTACCAGCAGTACGAGCAGCAAGAAGTTCATCACCTTTACATCATGCATCCGCAAGGACGATGCATTCACTCAAAGATGGATCACATCGTTTTGGGATAGGACCTAGCGGTTTACACGGATCTCAACATCCTTCTTTGCCATCTTTGAACAGGCTAGAGGTATCTCCGCAAAGATATTTCATGCCAGGATCACGATTACCACCGCCACCGCCTTCTTTGCCAACACATTCGGCTGATTCGAGACATTTGCATTCGCCACCTTCACTCGGCGGTTCATCGCAATTAAGGTCTACTTCACATGATCGGATAGGTTCTCATGCCATAAGGTCAATGAATGGTCCACCTTCCGTTCGTCATGGTTCTCCTTCTTCTTTCGCCTCAAAGAGTTTCTATCCTCAACCACACCATTTACCCGATCATTCCGCAAGCGAGCATTACGTACATTCAGGTAGTCCGAACGGCGTAGATCCTAATGGCGATATTCGTAGCAGATATGGTCCCATCGAAGGTATGCCACAACCATCGACTTCGAGTAATGGAGAAAGTTTAGCACTTCAATGCGCCAATTGCGGTAGCACAAGAACACCTCTTTGGCGTAGAGGGCCGGATGGAAATACGCTTTGCAATGCATGTGGATTGCACTTTAAAACCCACAATAGCCTTCGTGCACCGCCCGAACCATCATCAATTCATCATTCCAATGGCGTGTTTCAACGTGAAGAAGAGGCAGACAGATATGCATATCCTAACCGAAGTCCAAACGCATCATTCGCTGAATCTTCAAAGCAGCAAGAGGATACACGAACCGGTAGTTGTCCTGGTGGCGGGCTGTGTAATGGAACTGGCGGTCATGATGCATGCAATGGATGTCCCGCATACAACAACACCCTCTCTCATGGCGGAACACGGAGGAAACGTACAAAGCTGTCGATATCTGATGGCACGCATGTTCATGGAGACGATGAATTGGGAGCCCATGCATCAGATACCAGTGCTTTTGATGCTTCAACAGCTGCTTCTGATGAAAATGACATTAAGAGAAGTGTATCTATTGATGGCAAAATGAACGATGGATCAAAACCAGAAGGCGATGATGCATCGGGAATAGGTCTGAAATGCACAAATTGTGGAACAACCACAACGCCGCTTTGGCGTCGTGATGATGACGGGAATAATATCTGTAATGCTTGTGGATTATATCAAAAGTTACACGGAACCCAAAGACCAATCGGAATGCGAAAGACGGTGATCAAACGTAGAAAGCGTATTCCTGCTGGTGCACTTGCGGCGGCCAAAGCAGCAGCCGGATCACCGCAGGCTGGTGTACCCCCTCCATCTTTGCAATCTCAAGCGGCAGAATCCGCGGAAGCCAAAGGGAAGAATGGAAATAACGCTCCTGAAGGTCCTATGACTGAAGCGCATCGCGAAGCTGCCTTTGCATTGATGTCAGTCGGAAGAGGATCTACCAATAACGGTCAAGCTGAATCGACTGTTTCTGATGAAGCATCAACATCACCTAATCTTGCCGGAGTGAAGAGAAGACAGAGTGAGATTGGTGAAGAGACAGAGGAGGTGGACTCTTTGGAGATCGACGGTGGAAGCAATGCACCTTCTGCAGTAAACGCCAACGGAAGTACTTCTGCAGCACCGCACCATCATCATCATCACCATCATGTGATTCCTCATGCACATCATGCTCACGCTCATCACCATCACCATCATCCAGTCGGCGTGGCACATGGTCATGCACACCATCATCATCATCACGTTCCGCCTTCAACACAAAAACATCATCACCATCATGGATCGAATGAGCCCGTTTCTATCGACCAAGTAGCTTTGCCAGCTGCGTTGACGACAGAGCAAAAGATCGCTTGGACACGAGCACTTGAACGTAATCGCGAAGAGCTGTTGACAGAACGAAAGCGAATCGATGGATTGGTTGCACGTACGGAAGAATTATTGAATGCTGCCAAGAAGGGAGAAGTTGCGCCACCAGAACAAGCAGAAGCAGACAATGGTAGAAGAGGTTCATTTGAACGTAGAATGAACGATTTACCCGTGATTGCTGCTGTACCTCTTTCGCGAAGCAAGACTGTCACACCACCTGCATCACGAAATGGCTTGCGTCCGCTATTGAAAGCCACACCCAAAAATGCAACATCTTCACAGATTCCTCATTCGGTTGCTACAAGTCGAACGAAACCATTTGTTTGGGGCGCTTTTCCTCCTACTGTCAAACCTGCATCTGATGTGCAAAAGAGAATGTCAAAAGCAAACAAAGTTGTACATGTCGGCAGAAAAGCAGAAAGTTGGAATGGTGATGGTGCAAGTAGTGAAAGTAGAAGCATTCGTGGATCTGTTGTATCTCCCATCAGTGCTCCTGCAGGATCTGTTAGTGGATATGCATTGGACGCACCTTCTCCTGGACCTAGTATGGAACAGACGATGAATGATGTTGCAAAGTCACCTAGAAAAGCAATGCAATCACTCAGTGAGGGAGCAAGATCGAATGATACAGATGCCAGCAGTACCGCACTCAAAGATTCATCAATGGTTGAAGATTTAGAGGAAATCGATGAAATTGAAGATGATGAAGGAAGCGAAGAAGATGAACAAATGGAAGATGAAGAAGACGAGCGTTTAGCAAGGGAAGAATATCAAAGAACATACGGTGGCAGAACGATGGAGACAAATGGAGATTGGAACGGATTGGCGAAACCGTTGAAGAGAACAGGGGATATGCGTAATAGTAGCGCAGGTGAACGTGCTTTCCAAAGTGGCATTTCAATCAATCATGGTGGAAAGCAAAATAACACAATTAATACTCAATCCGAATCCATCACTCAAAAAGTACAATGATAGATGATATTCCTGAATAACCTCTCTCTTCCTCTTTGTACATCATATTGGCACTTTTGTGCCTGCATATAAACTACTATACTGTAGTGTATTATACAAAAGACCTATTGCTTAATGTTTATGGTCATCTACATTATCAAAAGTGTTGAGTGAATTGTGTTTTGACGGAATGCGGACTTTAGAAGGGCGGAGTATAGTGTTTTTGACGCTAAAGCCGTTGATTGCGATCCTGATCGACTCAGCAGTTGTAGTGCTTAGAAAGCGGTCCCGTGCTTTGAATGTGATTGGACTTTCTTCTTCTTGGCTGAAAACCACAACATTGATGAGAGTACAAAGGAACAGAGGGCGTTTTTATTTGTTACAGTATGGAAGAAGTCATATATTCCTAATGCTCTGGCACGGATCCGAAAGAAGGGTAATTGAAAAGAGAGAATAGAGGATTAGGTCAAAATAGAGATGCTACGTATGTTTCATCTTGCAAATAAGAAGAAATCATTCAATCAAACTACCATCATACCTTTTACAGTCAAAATGATCAACGTAAAGAGGGTACATACATTCTTACCACGTAAGTTTGAACTATTTGATACGAGAGTGCAAGAAGAAGAAGATCACTTTCAACAAACATTTTATGCATCCATCATTCATTGTGATGCGCTTGATGAATATGCTAAAAAGGTAGCTATCTTGACAACGACTCCTTTGGGAGTTATGAGACCGATCAAAATCTTTTATGATTGTTTAAACGTCTTACCGGAAGATAGAGATGAAGGAACAAAAGTTAGCCTGAACAGCTCTGTATTCAAACAAGCCGTTCTTTATACGTTTCGAATCTTGGCATTCCTGTCTTATACAACATCTTATGAATCAGAGCAATTACCTTATCTCATCTTACCGGCAACGAAAGATGGTCAAGTAGATTGGGAAGGAATCGAAAGAGCAAGTAACTTACCCAATGCCATTCAATTACAGGATGGTATCGTAGATTTAGAACAAATTGGAGATCGTGCAATCTTTGAAGGCACACAACCTTGGACAGATCGACCTTTTATCCCGATCAAGTTCAGGACAGATATCAAAGCTAAACAAGATCCGGCAACGAGCAAGAAAGAAACGAATGTCGTCAACATTTGCTCCAAAAAGTTTGCTAAAGTGGACTTGAGCGTGGTGAATTTACAAGGACCCCTGTTGGAAATGCGAAATGTTCCACCTTCTGTCAATTTTCTCATCAAACATAATGTCAAGTTACACAAGTATTCAACATTGCCTGCGCTATGCATGCTTGGAGCTTTACCAGGCTCGATGTTATGTAGCGCAAGACTTCTGCCTTCCATTTTGACGGCGTATGAACAAATGCTATTGGTCAAACAATTCCGAGCCGATGTCTTGAGCGATTTACCGATCGATGAAGAGAAGCTGATGCAAGCTCTCACATTACCCAACGCAGTAATGGGCTACGACTATCAACAGCTAGAATTTCTGGGAGATTGTGTCTTAAAGTTGATTGCATCGTGTATCGTATTTTGCAATGATGGCATGGCAGGCGAAGGTGCATTGACGAGAAGAAGGACACAAACGATCTCAAACGAACATCTTACTATGATCAGTAAAAGATTACAAGTTGCTCAACATGTTTTTGGTTCGGAAGCTGTCCCAAAAAACTGGCAAGCACATGGAGCATGGCAAAGATCGGTAAGGATGTCGGACAAAATGTCTGCCGATCTGATTGAAGCAATTCTTGGAGCTGCTTGGTCTAGTGGTGGTGATGCAACCGCTGGTCTTCAAACCGCTTTGGATTGTTTTAATAAACTTCATCTGATCAGTCAACGTGTCAGTCTCGAAGATTTTCGTACACGATTTGATCTTGTTTGGCTTTATAAGAACGAGGAGGTACGTTACACAGATCGATCTTATGTCACCCGGATGGAGTCGACGCTCGGATACAAGTTTAAACATACACAACTTGCCATCGAAGCCATTACGCACTCCAGCATTTCCTCAATTCTTAAACCTTCTTATGAACGATTGGAATTTTTGGGAGATGCCGTATTGGAAGTTTGCGTAGTGCAATTATTTCATGGCTTATTTCCTACATTTGATGAAGGAGAGTATAGTCATTTAAAGAGTGCTGCAGCTTCAAATGTCTCACTTGGTGTTGCTTGTTTGAACACCGAACTTTCACGATTGCTCATGGATAATTGTCCGGCAATTCAACAGAGCATCGAGAAGTTTCGCACTCAAGTCATTTTAGCAAGGACGAATGCTGAAGAAGATGGGCAGCACAATCAGCCATTCTGGAGTAATATTAGCTGTCCAAAGCAATTGGGTGATATTGTTGAAAGTACCCTGGGCGCCGTTTTTGTCGATTCAGGATTCGATTTAGAGGCATCCCGTAAAGTCTTTAATCATCTTTTCCAAACTCACTTTCTCACCTACTTTAACAAATAATAAAGTTTTCTCTCTAATCACATTATATATTTGTACAAATTAATCTCAATACTGTATAATATCATCTTAATTTTCAAACAGACCAATTCACAGCACCTTTTCGACTTTTTGCCATAATTCTGGTATGTCTGCCTCTGGATCAAGAATATCCCAAAGATGACTTTTGCCAGGTTCAACGTATGTACCTATATCGTATGGAAGATTTGCTTTCTTTAAAGCTTCAATCACTTCCTTGCTCTGATGAATTTCGACCATTGGATCAGCATCGCCATAAGCAACAAAGACAAGCTTTGTATTGGTGTCTTTTGTGCCTGTCTTACCTGACCGTTCGATCAAAGTAGGTAGACAATATTGCTCGGCATTTTGACCTTTTGCTAAGATCAAATCCGGATAGATACCCTCTTGACGAGCATAAGAGTATAATGGCGCACGAGAAGTAAGAACCAAAGGAGGCGCTTCGGTCAATACTTCACCATCTTTGTCCATATGGGGCTTTAAGGGCTCGACAGGGACAAGGTCTCCAATTTGAGCTTGCAAGTTGTATGCCCATGGCAGCGGTTTGAGTGGCATATGGTAATACGGTGCTCTGGCCTTATTGATAGTCGTGATTGGATAAATGGCAATCACTGCTAAAGGAGCCGGAATATCCTTTGAATCTGTGAAGCCTAAGCCTTGTAAAAGTGATGCCCAACCACCAGCAGATGAGCCTGCTAGGATGTATTGACTGGTATCCAAACTACTCTTCCCTCCTCCCAATTTAGCCGAAAGTCCTTCAGACGATAAAGTGAAACGAATGCAATCCTTCACGTCATCCAAAACACCTTCTATGTTTACTTGTGGAGCCAATCGATAATCTGGCGTGATGAGAGCTAAATTCAAACGATTACAAGCTCTTTGGAAATGTGGTGGTAAGAACTTTCTTGTTCCTTGTAAAAATCCACCTGTATGAATCCAGATTAATGGTTTTGGTGGACGTTGATGTTTCTGAATGGGTAGATAGACATCTAGTGGGATCTCCACCTTTGCACCAGAATTGTTCTGAGATGCTGTTTTATAGATGAATGTCTGTGGGGTGGATGTTGAAGTCATGTTTGCTGATATGAGGTGGAAAAGGGGAAGATTGACATAATTTGATTCATTTTATATATGCTCTCTATTTGTGTTGATCTTCCATTTCTCCACACTTCTTCCGAAGATCAAATCGGAACAATAAGAATCACAACTTTAGCGTGAATATGCCAGCCACACCACACACACAAGCACAAGAATAACAGCAAATTGCAAACGCGTACGTACCTTTGTTCGGGCCGAAGCGGCAGTTGAATAGGAATGAAGAAGGAAACAGGTCAAATGCACACACTATATTATTCAAAAAAGATCTTCCTTCATCATTAGGATGAATGAGTTCTTCTTGACAATATATATATAGTATTTGTACTTATGAAGCTTTATATGATATCTCTCTATATACCCAAAGGCTAACCCTCTTCTATACGATTAGCCTCTCTTTTCTTCCTTTGTTCAAGCAGGCACCAACATATATGTCTTTGCATGCAGGCAAGTGGCAGACAACCCTTACTCTTTCTTTCTTTCGCTCTCAAATTGCATCACTGGCTCTAATAGTAATCTCGCGCAGGTGTTCTGCCTAATGTTGCGCAGCGCACACGCCCGTAAAAGGAAAACAGATTAAATGGGCAAAAAACAACTCCCCTGTGTGCTTGTGCGTGTGTGTGCGTGTGTGTGTTTGCTTGTGCTTGTGCTTATGCGTGCGCATGTGCTTGTGCTTGTGTGTGTGTGTGTCTATTGCGAGATTAATCATATTGTTTTTCCTTTTCCTCAAATCACATTCTAACATCAACAATCTCAAATACCATTAACCAAAAACAACAAGAGTTATACGATCACTGTCGCTAGGGGACAAAGTACCAGTTCCATCTCGCGAATCTTGTCACGACTCATCACCTTCATTTCTCAATTCAACAACCAAAATAGGGGTCATCACGACTGATCCCGCTTTCACGACTGCCTTTTTCTCCACCTAGAATCGATCAAACATCGTGCACGATTGACTGCATCCCCGTCAAAGATCGCTTCCAGACAAAGAAAAGCTATCAATGTCCAATGTACATTAAGCTGACCAAGCAGCAAAAGCACTAAAAACCATCATCGTTCACCGATTCGCTTGAACCGATTTTACGACTAAAACGATTTGAACGACGACCGCTAGAGCGAGAGCTTATCCTATTCTTTCTCATTTTGATTATATACCGTCACCATGCCTCTTCCTTCAAACGGTAATGGGGACGGCTATAACCCTGACAAAAGGACAACTGCATATGAAAATATTTTCGGTCGTCCAACTGCCAAGCCAAAAGGTCCTGCAGCTTATCCAGTTCCTGGAATGGCAGCTGCTCCTCCTCCCAATCCAAACACATACAATTGGGTGAATCAACAAGCTTATGGCTCAAATCAACAGCCGTCTAGATACAATGGAGGCATGCAAGCAGCGCCAAACGGGTTTGGGAATGGTGCTGCGGGTGGATCGATGTACGGCTATCCTTCTCAATCACAAGTTGATATGATCGATCGAAGAGCAAGCGCAACTCCTTCGGCTGGCTCAGATCCAAGATCATCGCAATATTATACAGGTGCCGGAAGTGCTGCAGAAGCATATGGAAATGCAAGTGGTTCGGTTGCACCTCCTGTAGGTGGACCATCATCGGGAATGTACAACCCTTCCTACTTTCAACGTACTCCTTCATCTTCTATGCCGCCTCAACAAGCAAATGGACCTTATTATCCGGATTCTCTACCCTATCGACATCCATCTTCCAATGTTGGCGTTCCACCTTCGCAATATCAACGCCCAGGCTCGATAGGATCTGTACCGCCAGAAGCTTCACCGCCCGGAGTTCATGTGCCAAGATTGCCCAGCTTCGATCTTGGTTCCGCGGCTCCAAGTTCGGAAGAGCACTGGTTCCAACATAATGGTGCGCAAACCAGTTCAAATGGTACAGCAGTTCCAAGCACGTTTGCTCATAGCACAGCTACCGGGACAACTTACGCCGATGAAACGGCCAAAAGTCCAACAGGTCAATCAGTCGCTCTTATGTCAGATGGTGGGGCTAATGGTGAAGATTTACGTGATGATGGATATGATTTTAGGGAATATCAAAATCAAGCAATTGCAAAATCGACAGCATCTTCCATTCGCCGTGGTTCGTTTGAATCAGATCGACAGAGCATTGCGAATTCGATGTTCACTTTACCTGGCGCAACTTCTCGTATGCAAATCAGCGGAGGTTACTTCCATCCTTCAGCAGCGATGCAAGATCCTTCTAATGCAGCAACTTGGGGAAAGCAGAGTCGAATGCGTACTACGTCGAGTGCTACCACTCAAGGTTTGATGTATGGCGATTCACAGAATGGCGAATGGCGTAAAAGTGGTGAACCTGCCGGTGGTCCCGCTTCAGGAAGCGGCGCAGGAGCAAGATCTATGTCATTCGGTCAAAATAGCCTCAAGCCTGGCTCTGCTCTTGTGCATAGCAACAGTGGTCAGGCTCCTACTACACCACCTGTTCCTTCGGCTCATCGTAGAGGTCCAATCGTCTATCCTGCTTTGCTATCTCGCGTTGCAGATGCATTCAAACAACGGGTTGCCGTTGCAGAGCGAACAAAGGATGGGTTGACGTATACAGATGCTTTCGATGGTAGGGAGGCAGTTGACAAGATTGCATATATCATCAAGACATCCGATCGTAACCTGGCTTTATTGTTGGGACGTGCTTTGGATGCCCAGAAATTCTTCCACGATGTCACGTATGACCATAGATTGCGCGATTCACCCAATGAACTGTATCAATTCAGGGTGCGCCTCACTAGTCCTTTCGGCTCAGATGGCGATGCATACCAAGAAGACGGATTCAGAACACCACCGACACAGTTGGAAGTGCCTTCTACCGGTCCAACCCGCGATAACTCTCTGTCAACATTGCAAGATGGCTCGAAACTATTAGAACCTCCAGAGTCAACACCTCTGGCAGAAGATGATGAAGATGCATTGCCGACCGGAGTCTTTACTTTGTTGACCGATTGTTATAGTCCAACATGTACCCGAGACAGATTGTGTTACAGTATCGCCTGTCCACGCCGTTTGGAACAACAAGCAAGGTTGAACATGAAGCCGCAACCTGGTTTGAAACGCAGCATCAGTAAGGAAAGCTTAGGAGACGCAAAGGAGCCTGGAGCTCTATGGGCTGAATCCGTTTCAGCAGAAGTGCTGAATAGCGTTTCCGATTCTGAACGTAAACGACAAGAATTGATCAATGAAGCCATCTCAACCGAACGCGATTTCGTTCGAGATCTGGAATATCTACGAGACTCTTGGATCAAGCCGCTGCGATCGAGGGATATCATTGCAGAAGCACGTAGAGAGGATTTCGTCACTCAGGTTTTCTGGAATGTGCTTGAAATTCATGCGGTCAATTCGAAGCTTGCAGAAATGCTAACAAAACGTCAAAAGCAACAAGCCGTCGTTGATCGAATTGGTGATATTCTTTTGGAAATGTCTCCTCATTTCCAGCCGTTCGTGAAATATGGTGCACATCAATTATATGGAAAGTATGAATTCGAAAAGGAAAAGTCTTCTAATCCAGCATTTGCGAAATTTGTGGATGAAGTAGAACGAATGCCAGAAAGTCGAAAATTGGAATTGAACGGTTATTTGACCAAGCCTACCACACGTTTGGCCAGATATCCACTACTCTTGGAAGCTGTCAACAAAGCAACGCCAGATGATAATCCGGACAAACAAGCGCTACCTAAAGTGATCAAGATCGTTAAAGAATTCTTGACGAAAGTCAATGCAGAAAGTGGTAAGAGTGAAAATCGATTCAACTTGGCACAACTTGATCAGCAATTAGTCTTCAAACAAGGTGAAGCCGTTGATTTACGATTGCGTGATGAACAGCGAGAGTTGGTCTTCAAAGGTCCGCTCAAGAGACGTGGTGGATCGCAAAGTGATAGTGCAGAGCTGCAGGTATTCTTGTTCGATCATGCATTGCTGATGGTCAAGGCCAAGACTGTACACAAGAATGATCTTTACAAGGTATTCCGAAAGCCTATCCCATTGGAATTACTGATTGTAACAGTGTATGATGAAGTGCCAACAGGAAAGGGCAACTCGACAAGACCAAAGTCTGTCATGTCGAAGACATCTACCGGTAATCGACTTAGTGGACCTGTTCCAACAGGAACGGCACCGAAACAAGATCAAAAGACAGGATATGCTCTTACATTCACTTACTTGGGTCGAAAAGGATACTCGCAAACGTTATGGGCAAGCACTTTTGTCAGTCGAATGAAATGGTTCGAACATATTGAGAACAGACAAGAAATCTTGAGGCAACGATCAAACATCTTTGATACAATCACACTATCGGAGAACTTCTTCATTGGTCCGGCAAGGGTTACCTGCAGTGTACCATTTGACTTTGGCCGAAGGATCATCTATGGTGCAGATGACGGTGTCTATTTGAGTGATTTACGGGAGCGAGCAAGACCTCCAACAAAGGTTTTGCCTCTGCCTGGTGTTACTCAAGTAGATGTCTTGGAGGAATATCAGATTTTGATCATTTTGGCCGAAAAGAGTGTACACACTTTCACGCTTGATGCACTCGATCCATCCGATCCGATGGGAAGCTTGAAGCGAGGAAGAAGGATCTCTTCGCATACCTCATTCTTCAAAGCAGGTCAATGTTTGGGAAGAACGCTGGTATGTGTTGTGAAGTCTTCTTCGCTATCATCCACCATCAAGACACTGGAACCAATCGAGCCAAATCTACGAATTGGAAAGAAACAACAGACATTCCGTAAATTATTGCAAGGAGGACAGGAGAGTTTGCGTGTGTTCAAAGAGTTCTACATTCCCACTGAGAGTAGCAGCATTCATTTCCTCAAAACGAAACTTTGCGTGGGATGCACAAAAGGATTCGAGATTGTGGATTTGGAAACGTTGGATACGCAAGGATTACTGGATCCAGCAGATAGCAATTTGGACTTTGTTCAAAAGCGTGAAAATGTTAAGCCGATTGCAATTTATCGCATTGACGGTGACTTTTTATTATGCTATGACGAATTTGCATTTTATGTCAACAAGAACGGTTGGAGAGCAAAGGGTAATTGGATCATTCATTGGGAAGGTAATCCAACTTCTTTTGCCTTACATCATCCTTATGTTTTGGCGTTCGAACCAAGCTTTGTGGAAGTTCGACATGTACAAACGGGTGCTTTACATCAAGTGATTACAGGATATAACTTACGTTGCCTTTTCGCTGATGTACCACCGCCAGCAAGTGCTGCTCAATCAAGCGCATCATCATCTGCAAGTAGCATACATAGTCATACTGGTATCGGTTCAATGTCACCGTTTGGAAGGCCAGCACCTCCGCCAATGCATTATGCAATCGGTGCACCACCCTACAATCCAGCATTGTCACGACAACAAAGTTTCAATATGATGGGACAAGGGGCTTATCCTCCTAATCCATATGGCCCTGCTGGAGCTAGACCGCCACCACCAGGACATGGACCGGCAGGTATGGGACCGGGAGGACCATATGTTCCACCTGGAGCACCTATGCCACCACCTCATATGGCACCATTTGGCCAAAGACCGCCGCCGCCAGGCGTTCCATATGGATTCGGTCAAGCTCAACCTTCAAGACAAGCTTCAATTCAGCGGAATCCAGTTTGGGAAAGTGTTGCAGCCAGTCGAAATCAAATTGTGTTCATTGGGGATACGACTGTATTTTGCGTTCGTCCTGCAGTACAAGGACAAGCTGCAAACAGTTCTTCTACATCTACTACGACGGCAAACGGAAACAATCCATCACCACCAAAATAATATCGTGTCCATCTTCTTTCATGTATCATCATTCGAATCTACCTTTTTTTATTTCTGTCATGTATACAATACCATTTCCCCCTTTTTATTTCAACGAGTCTCATCATCATCTCAATTACGAGTTGTATATCCTCCTTACTCTTTCCCTCATACCTGTATTGAATGGATTATGCAAAATACATACTCTTTTAAAAGAGGCACGTGGTCGTCAACCGGTGATGTTGTAAAGGATAAAGATTGTTGGGTAAAGTGAGATGAAGAGCTGGATTGCTCGCTTAGCCGAATTCCCACGCTATTCTTACCGCGCAAACGCTAGAGAAAACGGAGAATGAAAAAGTGCGGGGAAAAAGGGGAGAGGGCTACTGAAATGGAACACTGTCTGGGCGTCAGTTTATGATTCATTCGCCGCTCAATTTTTCCGAGAGAGTGGGGGCGTAGAAGATAGAACTTGCTCTTTGCTGATTTGAGGCTCTTTGCGAAACTATAAAGTTTATTGGTTTCTAGCTTTAGAATTCGATCTCACACTAGTGTAGGTTTTTGGTCAAACACTGCCATTCTTTCTTTCCTTTTCTTTTGGTTGCAAGGACCGTCATTCCCCACACTTTATCTAAGTGTATCTGTCATTTCATGAAAGAAGTGATGATGAGGTCATGTGGGGAAAAAGAAGTTATTCTAGGGATAGTAATTGTTATTGGAATTGGAAGCAATCTATGCAAGTAAGAGATCCTTGTCACTCACCCTTTATTTCGGCAATCCCGTCATAAAGTGAAGCTAAACGATTTCAATGCATTCCATTGTCTTTGCCTGTCTGTATGTATTTAGAATGACGGAATCACATTCCATCGTGCCTGGAGCCCAATTCCGCGGGTCAAGAAGAAGTACAGTTTGTATGTGCTGCTCAGTCTACGCTTTCAAACCTCGCTTGACTTTGTACGCTTCCCATTTGCGTCCTTTCACGCTCTTTTATAAAATAATAATAAAATGACCGAAATGAACGCGAATATGTTCCTGTTATGCACTACTTCAGTGTTGCCATCTGTGCCGCGTCTTTTTATTTTTACTCCCCCCCCCCACTCTTCTATCGTACGCGCCTTGTCTCTGTTTTTTGTTTTTCACGGCTTTCTCTCTTATACGCACGAATCACTGACGGGTTCAAAGGCCAAGCACAATCACGATCATCATACACAGCCTTTCAGGGCAAAAAGGCAATGATGTCAGTATTGAATCCTTTTGGTACCGCGGCTGTTTACATTAATCTCCTTTTACCTAATCATTGCAAGGCCAGAGCATATTAATTGACAACAACTCAACGATTCATACGCATTCGTGATTGATCGAATGAATACATACACCCTTGTAAGAGCACGAGCCTCATGATGATGAATCCTTCTCTTTTTGTTATTTCATCCGTTGATTTACGCGCCCAGCCATAATAAAAATTAAAAGAGGCCGCGCGCGTTTGATTCCTCGCTCACTTTTTTCTTATAATATGAAAGAGAGAATGTATGTAATTGAAATGCTTAATTTTCATGCATTTGGCTAGTCTAGAAAAAGGTCCCATGCGTGTGCATACAGGTGGTTTGTATTCTCTGTGCGTGTGTGTGCGCGCATTTGAATGCCCTTTTCTCTATAATTGATTTTGCATTTATACTCTACATACGGTGGCATGAGGATTATGCATGCAAATCTTTAACCATTTTCAACTGACTTATTTCTGGGACAAATGCCTTCTTTATGCTTTGTTGAATGGTAATGCATACAAGTACAACAAGCAAGCATTCTTTTTATCTCTCTTGATTTATTTGCCGCCATCAACCTCATTCCCGCCGCCACAACAGATTGGAAGAAGATTGTCAAAAGGTAATTTCTTCACCGGAACGAACACCATCCAACTCTGCTTAATTCGCATTTCTGGTTCAGTGGCAAGTATATCGGTTACTCATACGACTTTTCCATCATAAAGGAACGGATGAGCGATTGAAAGGTCCGTACAGTCGATTCTTATCGGGCGTACGCTCAAGACTTTGACATCACCACACATACAACACATAGTCATCATGACACAACCTATGCAAGAAGAAGGAGTGTCTTCCCTTCGTGATTCGAGATGGAGCAGAACGCGGGAAGAAAGTAATATTCCAAGTGAACCATCCACACCAGCAGCATCTCACTTTCAAAGCGATTCCAGAGAAGCATCTCGATCTCGTGCTGCCAGTACATCCGTTTCTCAACCTTCTACTCTCAACATCGATGCAGAAGATGAAGACGTAAAGATTGCCATCATGGCACTTGGTGCGATGAAACATCTCGATGGAAAATCTCGTTCACGCAGTCGATCCGCCGATGGACAAGCAATTCGTGAAGGAGGCGCAAAGCATTCATCCTCATCCAGATCCGTTAGCTCAACTGCAATCTCATCTCCATCGTCATCAACACTGACGACCGATCAAATGTCAACTCTGGCATCATCATCTGCCTCTACATCCTCTTCGACTCCGGCAACATTGGCCGATCTGCCTGCCGATTTTCAATTCCCTGCAATCGTTTATGATGAAAGCGGAAATGAAGTCCGAGTCGAACGTGAGGATATGGCCGATGCCGATTTCCTCAAACGGGTAAGTCATTTGCCAATCGTTCGTGGTACTTTGCGAGCATATGAATTGGGAAAACAACATAGCCGTGTGATGCGATATGGTGGTGGCTTGGTTGAATCTTCCGTCAAGGCTATCTCACAACCTGTCATTGGCCGTATCGGTGCACGTTTGGGCGATCGTAGAGTGGAACAATTGGATGATTTCGCATGTAGACAATTGGATCGTATTTATCCTTATGCTGCCGAATCAGGTTTGACCAAAGAGGAAAAACAAGAGATTATGGCAGAAATTGATGAGAAAGATCGAACGGAATGGAAAGATATGTCGGAAGAAGAACGCAGTAAGCGCAAAAAGGCTTACATTGCTCTACGATCTGAGGAAAGTGAGCGTGCTCGTTTATTGCAAGACAGTGCATCTACCCAACAAGCCAAAGAAAAGAATGGCGAACAGAATGGCAGCAACAATGGCATCGCTGGCCTGTTAAGTCGAAGCGCAAGTTACCAGCAACAACAGCAACAAGCACACAGAGGAAGCTTTACCGCTCCCGATGCGCAAAGACAAGCCCTCATCCGTGCACACTCAGATCAAGCATCATCTCGAATGAATGGCTCGTCAGGCTGGTCATCCATGTTGGTCGAAGCAGGTGTGACAGCAGGTGGTTTGAGTGCAGCAATGAGCGAAGAAAGTATGAAGAGCTTGAAGTATTGCTTGCAATGGTTACAGTATGCTACCGCTCACATCGAACATCAAATCACAGATTTACGTGATCTCATCGTCAAGCTTAATCATGGTGAATTGGATTTAACTTCACCTGCTGCGCAAAATTTGTCAAATATCAAAAGTGATGTTGTTGATACGATTCGCAATGTCGTTGACGTTGTTGGAAAGTACGCCGGAGGGGCTTTACCGGAACCTGCCCGTGCTTCTGTGAAAGCTTTCATTTTGAGTTTACCTGCTCGTTGGGCAACTGTGAACCGTGCATCTTCAGCCGTTGATTCTCGTCAAGGCGCATTTGGAAATTCTCCGGCTTCGCCTTCTTTTTCTTCTGCTCATATGAGTCAAACGGGTAACGCTTCTTCACCTGGAAGATCCAATTCAATCAATACGGTTGCGAGACAACAAGCTGCTGCCACTGCAGTTGCCGCAAATCGTGTGCTCACATTGGCTGTAGAATCACTGGATATCCTTCGTAGCGTTACTGTCGTCTTTGGAGAAAGTTTGGATCGTGCTGATTTATGGGTGGAAAGGCTGCGTGTCTTGGGTTTGCAACGTAAACGTGCACATGAACAAGCTGCTGCAGAAGAGGCTGCTGCTCGAATTGATGCTGGAATGGGAGGTGCTCTGGCCCGAGGACCTTCTCATTGGGAATCAGCACGAGGAATGCATTATTCCGGCAGTCAATCCCCTGGTGCAGAGTCCAACATGTCAATAGGAACGACTGCTTCTTCAAAGAGAAGAAGGGTGAAGAGGCGTGGTACATTGCGTCACAGTGCTTCACCCGGTCCAAATGGAGAAGCAGAAGGAGATTTGAGTGATGAAGGTAGCTCGACTGAAACCGAGAATGCCAAATTATCAGCTCCTTTAGGCAGATCTCAATCTGCACAAAATCATCCAGTTTCAGCAGTTTCGGGAGTTCATCATCATTTCCAACATCCTCATGGACCTTCACTTTCACAAAGACGCGGCAAAGGCAAGAATGGCCGTTACGGTATCAGTCAAACACCGCCTTCGGGAAGCACTCCTTTACTGCAAGAATTAACATTACGTGATCGTAGCGAAAGCGTTGGAAGTCAAAGTGCAAGCTTTGGTGGTGGCAATAAAACTGGATAAAAAATGAATCTTTCGTTTGTTTGTTTTTTTAATCTCCCCCTTTTTTAATCGTTCGGATTTCGACTTTCTTGTGCATAGTCAACTTTGTACTCCAACCTTTGTTCCTGGCTTCGTTCAAGTTTCAACACACGCACACACACACACATACATATGTTCTCACTCTCAATCTTGTACTTATATCTCTTGTTTTCAATTCCTTCTCTTTATGTACATCATTCGTACATACCATCATCCTTTCTTTTACCATTCGTCTATTCTACTTCACTCAAGCATATGTATTGTTGTTAATATGCGCGTACATAATGTGTTCTAGTAATACAATCGATATTGGATAATGTACATGTTGAAGTGTGTGAGTCATTGTCATCGTATTATGCACCAATCAGGTGTGTGTTTACGATCTGGTCGTATTTGGGAGATGGGGAACATGTCGATGAACTGTAAAGAGATGTAAGTGGATAATTGGACGCTTCTCATGTACCCTGTGGCTCCTAATTTACTCACCTCTTCATCTGCAATTCGATCTGAGCCTGCAAATCGGGCATATTCATCATAAATGCTCGTCATGTTCCATCCTTGCAGCCTTCTGATCAGGGCGGTAATTACGCCAACACGATATTTACCTTTGTTACAATGAATCAAGATCGGATGATTACGTTTATCCAAAATGGCACGCAATACTTCCAAAACGATATTTTGATCCATTTCTTGAAAAGGTTCTTTATTGACTTGTACGGGGAATTGTAAAAGTTTTACCCGTTGTCTGTTTGCGAAAACATAGTTACGTAAATTTTCACGTATTTCATCGGTTGAAAGATAAATGATCGTACGCAGATGAAGTGTATTGAGAAAAGGATAATTGCGTTCGTTTGGGAAACCACTTCGATAAATCGCACCTCCTGATCGCGTTCTCGAAGCACAAATCATATCGAAATTCAAAGGTGGAACGAGTAGAGTGGATTGAGCAGTAGTATATTCAGACGACATCATTTCGAATTCATCCGCTACACCACTTTCTCTCGTTGATGTTTGTCTACCTAAATTCGCAGGATGATCATGAGCGATACTATGGTTTGACGAAGTACTTGTGTGAAGTTCAATCAAGCCTTTTCTTGATAATAAATCGATACTTTTTGTTGGAGGTGTCTTTTCTTCTCTTTCTATCACCAGACTACTTGAAGATTGTGGTCCATTTGATGATGAGGAAAGTATCCCTGGCGGTATGCTGGAGCTACTTTCCTGATCTCCTGTCAGTACTGATGCCAAGAAAGGCGGTATATTTGCCAGATCTGGCATGATGAAATGCAGTAATGATGGTATTCATGCAGTGAGAGTGTATGCGTTTAGCATCATCATCATTATGCAGTCAGGCGCTAAACCTTTTTCATATACGCACGGTTCAGATTTAGCGGATTTAAAGAAAAATAGTTGAACAGAAGATACTTCTTTCTTTTCTACTTCCAGTATCTGGTAAAGAGAGATTCATGATTGTCGCTCAGACAATAAGGCAAGGAAGGGGGAGGGCTGGAGGATTGTTGACCGATAGAGCGATAAGAAGAAGGCTGTTGAATACTGCAGCTTCCGATTCAAACATTTTCAATTATCGCCTTCCGACCGAAAATGAAACCAATCGAAAAGGGCCATTAGCCGCTTGGACTGTCTCAATAAAAGACAACATTTGCACAAATGATATGCCTACAACATGTTCAAGCAAGATGCTAGAATCCTACACATCACCTTTTGAGGCAACAACGGTAAGGCTATTACGAGAAGCAGGAGCAAATATCATGGGAAAAACCAATTGTGATGAATTCGGAATGGGTTCAATGAATCTTGATTCGGCATTTGGTCCCGTTCACAATCCAAGAGTACCCAATGGACAGCCTCCAAGAGTCGCTGGAGGTAGTTCGGGTGGTGCAGCAGCAAGTGTAGCCGCAAAACATTGCAGAGTAGCAATTGGTTCTGACACTGGAGGATCAATACGATTACCAGCTGCTTATTGCGGCGTCTATGGCTTCAAACCATCGTATGGGCTGATCAGCAGATGGGGCCTGGTATCATACGCTGATAGCTTGGACACGATTGGAATAATAGCTTCCCGACATGATGAAGTGAAGGAAACTTTTGATGTGTTATCACAATATGATGATAGAGACCCAACCAGCATTTCTCAGGACGTCCGCAACAAAGCAGAAAAGGTGGCAGGAGAAGCACTTCAAGGGATCGGAAAGAGCGGGAATCTGAATGGATTGTGCATTGGTGTTCCACAACAATTCTTTGCGAAGGAAGTACATCCAAGAGTGATGCCATCTGTGCGAAAGACGCTATCGACGTTAAAACAATTAGGAGTGGAAATCGTTCCGGTGAATCTTCCAAATATCAAGTATGCATTGAGTGCATATTATGTTTTAGCAAGTGCTGAAGCAAGTAGTAACTTGGCACGCTACGATGGTATACGCTTTGGACATCGATCCGACGAGCTAGAATCTGCGGAAGAGGTCCAGGGGAGAAATTCGACAAAGTTTGCCAAACATATTGCGAAAACAAGAAGTGAAGGTTTTGGCAAAGAGGTCAAGAAGCGGATATTGTTGGGAACTTATTCTCTCACTTCTGAGTTGTTCGATAACTACTTCTTGCAAGCGCAACGAGTAAGACAATTAGTCCGAAAAGATTTGGACAGAGCATTTTGCTTAAATAATGTCATGGAATCTACACAGATGGAATCGAGAACAGGAGTCCATGCTATCTTGCACCCATCTGCAGTCGATATTGCTCCTTTGGTGAGCGAAGCAAAGGAAAGAGGAGTAGAGACCTACACCCAAGATCTCCTTACAGTTCCGGCTAGTCTAGCAGGTCTGCCCTCCATAAGTGTTCCCGCCGGTCGAGCTGAAGGAATGCCGGTTGGAATTACGATTTCAACTCAATGGGGTTGTGAGCCCATTCTTTGGCGGATTTTGCAAAATATCGGACCATGATCCCAGAAAAAAAAACATTTGTACACTATCAAAGGCTCCAAGAGAGCTTTCTGCATTCCTATTTATACATTTCTGAAATTCATCTGTATTCTTACATGAAACCACCTCTGCGTGTGAATGGGATACCTAATCCACTCAAAAGTTGTCTTGCTTTTTCGGTTGCTCCTCTTCCGCGTTGGTTTGTGATGCAATCGATTTGGAAACCGGGTGGACGGGAAGGATATGAATCCCAATTGACTTCCAATTGAGGGAACAAACTTAATGCATCTGGTTTCATTCCAAGACTCACTGTTCCGGCTACTGCTGCACCAGTGTTTGCCGATTGACTGGCTGGCGGCAAAGGGAAGCCATTAAAGTTGCGTAAACGGGGTAAGACGAAAGTGCTTAAGACTTCCAAGAATTCATAGGCAGAATTACGGGGTAAAACTGCTTGAATACCAACTGGCATGCCTTTGCGTAATTTGAACGATGCTACGTTTGATTTGGCACGAAGGATTCGCACGTAGCCTGTTTTGGGAAGTGTATGCTTTCCTCTATTGCTGGCTACAAGAGGATCGGCGTCGGATTCGATCAATGGCTTTCCAGTGATGGCACGGAACATTGCAGCCAAAGGAATGAGTGCCATTTTATTTAGGATTGCATCTTTGCTGAATGATGTAATGACGATTCTATCAATGTCTACGACTTGTTCGGCATACTTTTTTTCTGAAGGTATCAGAAGTCTGTTTCCCCTGTTTGATCTTTCCGGTCTATTCTTTGAATAAGGCGAAGATGGATCCCATTCACGTTCTACACGACTATTACGTGCTTTGATCGAAGCGGCATCGCGGGTGTCCAAAGTATGATCATAGGTCATATAAAGCAAGTCTCTCGAGAGACTGTTGTTATAGTATGTGAGATAGCGATTTTGATGTGTAGGACCGATTTCAAAGTTTACTCGGGGTAATGAATGGACCGTTGGAGAGCGCTGTTCTGCATCTTCAGTGATTGGTTTGCTTGCACTTGCTGCAACACTTGCTGAAGTGTTGAAAGCCCGATTGATCGTTGAAGCCTGTTGGAATAGTCTACGGCCTAGTCTTGATGTTTGTGCTATATTTGACGCCATCTTTATGTCGTATGAATAGGCGTATTCAGGTGTTCTCGATGACGAAGAAGGAAAAGAGTAATCTGATCATCATTGTCAGCCCTCCTTCTTCTAGCTCGGCTTTTTTCTCTCTACGCCTTGAACAGACACAACTTTTTCTCAATCTTTACCACGTGTTCTTCCCTTTAAGCGTGCGTAAATGAATGCTCAGGCTGAGGGGCAGAACAGGCTAAAGCGGCGCACGCACTGAATACTTAAGCCGGCTACTTATTCACTTTATGCGTGGAAAGGTGCACAATATTCTTTGCCTCAGCCCTAATACAAGAACAACACTTCCTCTCCAACACGGATTCGGCGTGCAAGGCAAGGCAAATCAAATAAAAGCTTTAAGGCGTGTGTGAGTCAATGCGTAAAGGCGGCACAATCACAGCCAAGAGATTGCCCAAAAACCCTCTTCTCCAGACTGAAGGTTTAAATGGCAAGGTGTTGTTGCACTTTGTCAAATGCAGGTTCCTTGCATTGTTCCGAACAATCTTTTGGGGACAGGATTGCATCATAAAAAGGGTGACAAGATCATTCTTTGTTTCCTTGGCATATGACCATCACCATCAATATCACAACACACACTCACACATCTGACGATAATGCTTCTATGATTCACACAAGAGGATCATATTTGATTAACTATTTTGTGGGCCTCATACCGTCTTTGACAATCTGTCAATGACGGTTACAGCATGTTCAAACATATGAAGAGGCGGCCATCAACGGCTAGTAAAGCAACCAGAAATACTTCCTCTTCAATGGAAAAAGTACAAGAAAAGGCTATTGAGCCTAAACATGACGTGATCACATTAGCAAATACAGTAGACAATATCGACATCTCACACAATAGACATGATGAAGGAAAGGCATTACCTCCTTTACCCCGGCCGATGCTTGCAGAGACAAGATCCATCTCGGTCGATCAAGTACCAGTGGCTAGCAAGGGAAACATGCGCAGACCGAAGCTCATGCCTTACAATCATTCGACACCCCCTATGACTACTGCTCCAAATCAGCAGGTAAAATCGCGCATTCGACCATCTACAAGTGCATCTCATGCTGGACCGAAGCTCCCAAACGCACCTTTCCTACATTCAGGTGAGAATCTGTCAAAAGGATCGGAGAATTGGACAGCACCTGAAGATGCAGATGGAGCATACGTTCGACGAACATATGCTCACTTCGATGCTCGTGGCGTACGTGGTGATGGATTACTAGAAGGCAAAGAATGGACACGCGAAAGGGGCGCACATGCAGTATGGGAAATGAATGATCAAAATAGCATCGGAAAGCCGCCTAGAAGCAGAAGGATATCCATGCCTCCTCCTACCTCTCGAACCTTTGTGATGGCTGATGTATCAAAGAACGGCAAGTTTGCTACCCGAGACGGAAGGCTTTCGCCAGGATTTGCAACAGACAAGGACAGTCATCCTTCCGCCGATTCTTCAGCAAACCATGCTGCAATTTCACTGACAAATGACAGCATAAGTACAAGCCCGAACAATTCAGAGATTGGAGGGGAGAATCGGGCAGCAATACAGCAAGGTGAACAATCCACTCACTCATCCGCTGATGCTGCAAGACCGATTACCAATCCAACTTTTGATACAAGCACAAGCTCTTTGGGAACTCATTCTAACGAGAGTATCATTGGGCCTCTGCAGAACGGTGAGGAACGTGCAGCACATCATCATAATCACGATGGGGAGATTGATGTGGAACGTAACGAGCTGATGAAGAAGATTGATCGATATGGATTCTTTCCTCGAGATGAGAACCAAATAGGCAATTCTTTTGCTCGATCACGCATGACGATACTTCCAGAAGCTGCTTTGAGTAAGATTCCGAAGAGGAGAATCATGTTGCCTACATCCTCGTCGCGACAAGGCCTGAGCGGCAGGAAGAAGAACAGCTGGATGGATGATAAGCAATCTTCACAAAGATCCTATGATGCATCTGGAAGCAATGATGATAATGAAGCGGAGGAACTTCATTCGCGCAAATTGCAAGCTGTCATTCAGCATCGAGCTTCGAAAGAGCTGGCCATCCGTGAACGAGAGGCTTTACGTACGGCCAAATGGGATCACATGTTGGACGTACGCAGGGACGCGGATGGCAAACCGCAATTCTTGTTAGCTGATGGGGTGTATAAATCCAAAAAGCTCAAGAGGAGAGTATACAAGGGGATTCCGGACCGATGGAGAGCGGCAGTCTGGTGGGCTTTATTGCGATCCCGTGCGCACGGTGGGTCAAGTGGTAATCTGGAGGCTGATTTCCACTATTTACAACGACAACCTTCACCACATGATGTGCAAATCGATCTAGATGTTCCGCGTACGATTTCAGGACACATTCTTTTCCATACCCGTTATGGTGAAGGACAACGAGCATTGTTCCATGTCTTGCATTCTTTCAGTTTGTTGTGCGATCAGTGTGCCTATTGTCAAGGTATGGGACCGATTGCTGCCACTTTGCTGGTATACTTTCCACCTGAACGTGCTTATGCAGCTCTCGTTCAATTGCACAATGATGAAAGTTTTGGCATCCATCAAACATTCTCGCCAGGGTTCCCAGGCTTGGTCGAGAATTTCTGGGTTCAATACAAGATTGCCATGATGTTATGCCCGGATGTAGTTCAGTCTTTGGAAGAGAAGAACATCGTTACCAGTGCATACGCAACAAAATGGTACATCACCTTGTTTACGAACGTGTTCCCTTTTGCAACACAATTGCGACTTTGGGATGCATATTTCTTGCATGGAAGAGACGTTTTGGTGATTGCATCAGTCGCTATCATTTGGTCATTACGTCGAACATTGGTCACGGGTAACTTTGAAACCTGTTTGGGCTCGTTGGGAAGGGAATTTATTCCTGACGATGATGATTTATTGATGAATTGGATTTTTATGGTTTTGCAAAGGGAGGATATACGAAAGACAATCACTTCAGCACGCAAGGAATGGGCTCAAATGGTTGAGCAGGGAAAGACGCCAATTCTCTAGATAGAATTTTCGATCACTTCATTTGTATTTTATATTTTCATCTATTCATCTGCATACATTTCCGTAAATAATAGAGAGAGAGAGTCAGGGAGCGAATGTCCATAAATTGTTCTATAATGTAAGAGTTTGTTTACCAGGTAGCTCGTCTTTTCTTTTCTGTCGGCTTCCAGCCAAGGCCGTTGATACCGTCTTGCAGTTCTTTGGCGGGCATGTCTTTTGTGGATTGAATACTGACATGGCCAGGGTCCCTACCAGGCTGATCACCGTCAGCTGCAGCAGGAGCAGAAGGAGGGAGGGAAAGGTCAGCTTACAAAAGAATGTCACGGGCGGGGGTCTAATTGTGGTATACTCACGAGTTGCTACCAAATTTGCATCCTTCAATTTTTGTTGTGTTGCCGGATCATCTGTATCGATCCAATGTGTTTTACCTTTGGAGGCTTTTGCTGGGTCTGTATTGCACGAAAGTCCAACACAAGTACCTTGTTGTGCAGGAATGTTTGTATCACCTTGAACTTTATCGTTTATATTGTTCCCTTTTGAATCTTTTAGATTGTTGCCTTGATCGTCTTTCTTGAATTTAGGATCGGCGGCTTTTAGTGGATCAGATGGATTTTTGCCTGGTTTCGTTAACGCATCTTGCGTGCGGCTAGAACAAGGAAGAGAAAAAAGAAAGTCAGCGTGTATGTTATCAAAATCATGAAATATAACTCACAAGCCACCAGAAACAGGTCTAGGTGTGTTAGAGCCACGGTAAATTTTACCCGGTACAGGAACGGCGGAAACGAGAGAATCAGAAATGGTCAAGACAACCAGTGCCAAAGCCAAAACAAAAGAGAGAGTGAATGATGGACGCATTATACAAAGAAAGAGAAGAAAATTAGGAGAATAGAAAAGAGAGAAAAAAGGTGCTGGCCAGCAGCAAAGAAAAGTGAATAAATAGAACAAAAAATCCGGATTGGGGATCGAAACAGAAAGCTGATCAAGATATTGCTTCTTTTATATAATTTATTATTATCATTTTTTAAAGTTTTACGTACAATTTTTCTCTTTATGTCACACGAGTTCGTTTAAAACCCTCATGGAATCTGCATCATCCATTGACGCCTGTCTGCAGGTACGACAACATATAGCCCGTACCTTATTAAATTGGCAAATGATTATACTATCACAATCATCATTTTATTTTGCCTACCGTTTCATCATATGGCCGGGCTCTTTTCTCTCGCGCCCAAATGCATAAAATGTGTCGGACATTGGCGTAATCTGGCGTTAGACTATGTGATGTTGATTTAACACGGGTAGAGTGCGTGATTGCTATGATATGCATACGACATACGCTAAAGTAGGCGTTTAAATAGGAACAAGGATGAATGCACTTCCAATAAGGTTTTCATTCAGATAGTTATCCTTTGATTGTTGGATGCCATGATCAGTTCATTGAGACGTTTGCCTGTTTTAAACGCATCTCGAAGATCTTTCATTTCATTCCTCGACTGCCATCATCACAATAAACTACCAACAAGAACAACTTATCAACCGATCATATTCAAGCATACAATCATGTCAAGCAGCAGCAGCAATTCAATCCCATTCGATACCGAGAGCTTTGTCAAATTGGCAATCGATGTCTTGCACGACTTCGCTAAACGTCAATCAAATCGCTTAGAAACCGAAGCAGAAGATTCTGAGGCACACAATGATGCAATAGATTCTTTACGTGATGCCTGTCATTTACTGGTAAGTGCAGTGGAGCAAGAGGTAGACAAAGAAAGATAACCGATTTTCATTTCCGATACAGCAACCATTGGTGCCTTCCAAAGATAGAGATTCAATTTCGTATATTGTACGCGAGAAGAATCCTTCTGATGAACCACAATCATACGATGAAGCTTTTCAAGTATTAATCAAACTAGAAGATTATCAATCGGAAGTTTATGCAGTTTCAGAGGCTGTGGAGCATTATCGAAACAGTGGAAAGATTCAAACAGATAAGGCAGAAGCACAGCTGGACTTCCTGTGAGTATAGATGAGCAGACCTTTTACGTGATGATGTACTGATACATTTATATCCACCCCGAATCGCAACAGTCAATGGCTAATTGGCAGTGCGTCGCATGGCAGGAATGGATCGCTCTTTCGAAAATAGATATATCATCTAGACAACAGTGTCATGCGAATCCTGATGTTTTCTGAAGTCATGCTTGTGAAATGGTTGTGATTGAGTTAGAGGAAGGTGTGAATGTTGCAGTTTAAAACGTGTTTCCAAAGTATGGCATTACACCAGCGGTGTTTGGATGAGAAAAGCTGCGCCTTTATGCCTGACTCGCTTCTCTATTTTTCATTTTCGGGAATTAAATGAGACCGTGCGCTGCTGCATTAAGAAAGATTCTAGACTACGAGAATGAATCAAAAAAACTCATCACGAGATCATCTTTTAACTTTTACATCCATTCTCTACCTACTTCCTCATCATAGCCAAAATGGCATCCTACGGCTTGTTGGCTTTGAGCACAGCAATTTCAGCTTTCACATACAGTCACATCTGGCTAAATGACTCAGCATTCAAGCAATCCATCCCAAAAGTCGTCAAAGCATGTGGAACTTTGGTTCCTTTTACCTCGCTAAGGGAAGCAGATCCTGTCACCGCTTTGAGGGAATTGATTTGCGTTCGACTGTCATTCTTGCGTCTATTATACGCTGACCAAGCAGGATTTGGAGCACTTTTGGTATTTGCATCCGTTTTTGTGCCTTTCTTCCTTCGTCTAAGCTACCAAGCTGCTTCTCCAAACACACGTTCACTCTTGCAAGGGCCAATCTTGCCAACATTGGCAGTATTAATCACAAGCGCTGATGTTTTACTGATCGGAAGTGGTGTAGCATTGTTCATTCCAACTTTGATCGCTCTGCTATACACCCTTGGCGCCTCTCCTTCAAAAGCATCCGCTCTTCCAAAGCTACCTTGTCCTGCACAGGCTGTTTATGGCGCAAATCTCACTGCTGCTTTCTTGTCCGCCTTTTTCATCGGTACACTGATGTACGATGAAGAACTTACAAGTACTGAATTCTGGTGGGAGCAATTCGTGCCTGAACAAGTGTTGCAATACACAAACATCCTGACACACGTCAACGATCTCTTCTCAAACGTCTACCCAGTCGTGATTCTACCCATTCTCTGGCTAGGTTACCACAGCGTAAAGCGGATCCATAATGAAGAAGATGCAAAGAAACAATTGGACTACTATTTGGCAGCTGAAATTGCTTATGGATTCGAGCGTACATGGGCATATTATCGTCAAGCTGGATTGCTCTCGTTCTTAGCATACCTTTATGGCGTTTCACAGATTTATCGTGGTGTGGTTGCCACAAAGAAGATCCCTGGTCCAGCAACGCAATACATCTTACTCGTTTCACTTTTGATCACCCTTGCTTCTCTTACCATTGCAATAGTAGACGCACAATCGGCCCCAGATGATGGACTGGATGAAGAAGCTAAAAAGGCAATCGAACGTGCACCAGCAGGCAATCCTGGCGTGGAAGACAATATTAAAGTTTTGGCTGTTTTGTCGCTCGTCACAGGACCAAGTATGGCATTCATGCTCTGGTACGCTCATCAAGAAGAAATTCGTGGTTGGAAAGGCAGAAGGGCATGGAGACAAAATTCGGCTAGCAAGGGCGAACTTGCAGTCAAATGATACCTTTTTATCACCACAAAAACAAAACTCAATTCTTCCCCTCCCGCTCTTCCTGCTTTTCTCTATCATTACACATGTTCATTGCCCTTATAGATATAATACAAATGCCTTTCGAATGCCAATTGTTGTATAAACATTATCCTTTCATCTTTTCTTCTTCAGCTACTGCTTGTGCTTTTTGCTGTTCTACTGATTCTGCGATACTCTTGTGTGAGCCTTGTTGAGTGATTACATATTGTTCTTTATCACTACCGCTAATACGAACGAAACGAAACAAACCCAAAGCGTTTACATCACCTTGCCAATCACGTAAAATTTTCACATTTGCTTCGTTCATCAGATCGGGTATATCGATCCCATTTTCATACTCCAAACGTTCTCTTGCAATCCTTTCGCGTAATTGAATCAAAGGCATAGGTGTTGGCCTTCCGGGTCTATGTTGTGCTTCGATCTCTTTGAGTTCATCCGAATGTCTTTCCAAGAAAGAAGATTGAATGAACGAATGCAGATAGGCCAGATCGGGAACGTATCGTAGATCCGGCGGTAGAAGAATGATCAATGATAAAATTCGTTCTACTTTGCTATCGGAACTCTTCTTTCTCAGCTTTTTGGCTAGTTGTAGCTTGTTTGTTCTATGGTCGATCCGTTGTAGTTGCAATGCTCTACGTGAATTTGGATGGGTAGGTCCTGATTTGCTCGTTAGAGACTTCTTTGTGATCTTCTTTCCGCCCATTTTCAGGTATATGCTGCAAAGATGGTAAAGAAGAACAACTCCACAGAAGAAAGTTAATTTGGGGGAAAACTGCAAGAAAATCCAAAATTATTTTCCACGTGCACTCGCTCGCTCTGTACGGGAAGTTGCGTCTGAGCTTTGATTGCAATGTTCTGAGCGGATGCCCGCTTTAGCCCAACACATCAGTCAAAAGGCGGAGACCCGAATGCATTAAAGCTCACACTGACTCTTTAGCGTTAATTTGGCAGAAGGAAGAAAGTCAGGCCAGTCATTTACTTCTGTTCCTCATCCTCGACATTGCCATCCCCAATCTCAATTAACAAAATGTCTGATGCTCGTACACGATTCTTATCCGTCTTTCCTCGTATCTCTGAGGAAATGACGGCCGTTTTGGCAAAAGAAGGTATGCCAAAAGAAGCGATCGAATGGTATCGTCGTAATTTGGACTACAACACACCTGGGGGAAAGTTGAATCGTGGTATGAGCGTGGTGGATACAGTACAAATCTTACAAGGTAAATCACAATTGGACGATAAAGAATACGAACGTGCTGCCATTTTGGGTTGGTGCGTTGAACTTCTACAAGCGTATTTCCTCGTCGCCGATGATATGATGGATCAATCAATCACCCGTCGTGGTCAACCTTGTTGGTATCGTGTTGATGGTGTGGGAAATATTGCCATCAATGACGCATTCATGTTGGAAGCTGCAATTTATCACCTTCTCAAAGTGCATTTCAGAGATGAACCATATTATGGATATCTGATCGAATTGTTCCACGATACAACATTCCAAACCGAAATGGGTCAATTAATCGATTTGATCACTGCACCTGAAGATCATGTCGATTTGAGCAAATTCTCTTTACGCAAACATCACCTTATCGTAGTTTACAAAACCGCATTTTACTCTTTCTACTTACCCGTTGCATTGGCAATGCGTATGGTTGGCATCAAAGATGAAGCATTATACAAACAAGCCTTAGATATCCTTTTGATTTTGGGTGAATATTTCCAAGTACAAGATGATTATTTGGATTGTTATGGAGCACCAGAAGTGATTGGAAAGATTGGTACAGATATCTTGGACAACAAGTGTTCTTGGAACATCAACATTGCCGTCGAAAATGCAACACCCGAACAACGTAAAGTCTTGGACGAAAATTATGGACGCAAAGATGCCGCAAGCGAAGCAAAAGTTAAAGAAGTTTTCAAGGCATCAAACATTGATGTTGAAGGACGATTCAAGAAATACGAAGCAGAAAGTTATAAAAATTTGATGAAATTGATCGAAACAGTTGATGAAAGCAAAGGCTTAAAACGCGAAGTCTTTGTCTCCTTCTTGAACAAGGTGTACAAACGTACAAAGTGAAGAAAGAAGCTTTTCGGACAATAACATGACCGTTTCCTGTAGTAATCTTGTTGTAATAGATGTACACCTCTTATGAGAGCAGCAATGGATTGATATATACCTCTCTACTTTTCACGCCATGCTACCCAGACTACAGAACCCTTTGAGAGATGAGGTCCAAGTACGTCAGAGGACTCGATCGTGTGAATGGTCCAGTTTCCTGAATGATCTAGCCAAGCTTGTAGAAAGTCTTGCATCATATCGGCCTGGCGAAGCTCACATACCACATACACCAACGTCTTATTCGGCTGTGTGAACAGGCAAAGCGTATCCAAAAAGGCATCAAACAAGTGTGGATTGAAGATGCAATCAGTTGCAAAGATGATATCTGGCCAGTGAATCGATTGTTCATCTGTTGACCATGTGTCTAAAATACCTTTCAAATATGAGTGCATTGAGGAAGAAGAGCCCCTTTTGTAGATTTGTGACGCTTCTATCCAATCAATAGCAGAGGCAGATGCAATCACACCTCCTTTTGATAGCCCTTCCACATTTTTGCGAAGTAGAGGTACGATCTGATCTTGATCGGAAGCGATCCAGTGTAGGGTAGAATCGATATTATCTGAAAGTAGGTCATGCGACAGTATTAGAGCCGGTAAGATTCCTGTTCCCGAGCCTAATTCAAGAACACGAGCTTGCATAAGGTGTGAAGGTGACAACAAAAAAGGGTCTACAGCACCACCGATCGGCTTGGAGATTTGTTGCTGCGATTTGGTCAGATCAAAGAGCACCTTTGCTGCAAAGTATACGCTCGATCTCCATACCACACTTCCTGTATCACCATTTGTACTTCGTAGACTTGTAGAGTCTTGCCTTACAATCACAGTGAGAGTGTCGTCTGAAAGGGCTTGTGCGTTTTTGAGATTATTACCTTTCTTGGCTTTCTTGGTTGGAGCCCTTTGTATCATCTCATCATTACCTGAAGCGACTATAGGTGCTGAATGCACATCTTTGAGGCTGATTGTGATGGCTAATTTATCATGTCTTCCATCGATTTGCCCTAGCCCTTGTCGATCCACAGGAGGAGCAGATAAAGTATAAAGCAAAAAGATTTCTTCGTCTGCATCAATTACCGATCGTGAAGCTTCTGGCAATGCCAATGCTGGACAGATTGCTTGCATGTAGGATTTGACATTCTGCTGTCCATCCTGATCTTCCATCTATGTGTTGATGGTATGTGGTGAAGAACAATTGACGAGTAGGGTCTGCTCATTGTTTCGGGACCGCTTGTGGCCTGTGCAGAAAACCCACAAGCCATAAAGTGCCCGGCAGCGTAAAAGCTGAGCAGCAGCAGCAGCAAATAAGCACCTCTTTTAGACGTGGAGCAAAGTGTTGTAGAGCCGAGAGATCAATTGCTGTGCCGCGTATAAAGAGAGTGCTGACAGTGACATGCGCCGCGATACACAAACACACACTCTCTCCTCTTACATACCATCAACAGATTGATCGGAAAGGTCATTCTGCTGTTGGTGTTGCTATCGCTCAAACTAAGATGAACGCAGCTGATGAGGATACTTTCACTTCGGTGAATTGGGATACACCTGCAGCAAATGAACAAGCATCCACTTCCAATCCTTCAACGGCAACAACAACCGCAGGTCAATCAAACAATGAAATGCCAGGAACTTCACTTCCAAGAGCACCTCATAGGACAGCTACATCCACTTCAATAACTTCTTCTACCAGTGGAGCAGCTTTGGCCGGAATTGATCCTGCATCTCTAGCCAAAAGAGCAAGCAGAGGTGATGAAGCCGATGAAAAGGAAAAGCGAACACCACGTTGGGAAGGGTTCTTGATGGTACAGGTAACCGATCCACGTAAAGAACAAGAAGGCACAAAAGAAATGTTTGTAAGCTATGGTATCCGTGCAGAAACAAACTTACGTCATTTTCAACGTACACGAATGACAACTCGAAGACGGTTTCAAGATTTTGTCTTTTTACGTGAGCATCTATCTAAAGATTTCCCTGCATGTGTTGTACCGCCTTTGCCAGATAAACACCGATTGGAGTATCTCACAGGAGATCGTTTCAACAACGAGTTCCTCGAGAGAAGGACACAAGACTTACAGCTATTCTTGGAGCGTGTAAGCCGACATCCAACTTTACAGAGGGCGCAATTACTACGTAGTTTCCTCGAATCTACAGAATGGCAAGTCGATATGCATTCTCACACTTCTCATTCCTCCAATTTGGCACATGGAAATGGAGAAGGATCTAGTGGTGGCATCTTGGACAGCTTGACCGACACATTCATGACTGCCTTTTCGCGGGTACGTAAACCAGATGAGAAGTTTGAGGCAATGCGTGAGCGTTTAGAACGTCTTGAGGAAGGTCTTGGAAATACGGAAAGAGTGATTCAGCGCACTCGTTCCAGACATGGAGGTAAGTCTATTCTTATATATAACCGGTCAACATCTGGCTTACAATTTGCTGACGCTCTTCAGCGCAATTCCCATCACGTTCTTTCCCTCCTGCTTCCTCTTCCTCTAATGCACCCGGCCCCTCTTCGCCTCGATCGCCTTCATCTCGATTTTCAATCTTGCGCTCTGGCTTTATGACGTCTAAACCCGACTCTTCCCCCAATCGATCGACTTTGCAATCCTCGGACTCGTTTAATGATGCTTCTCTTGCACCCGCTTCCCCTGCTTTGACCTCACCCTTTCACTCTCCCCAACTATTTGCACCGAATATGGGTCTCGAATCACAAGATTTAGCGACGGATTACGAAGACATGGCCAGTTCCATCGAAGGGCTTGGCTTTTTGGAAAGTGGCATCACTGAACCTTTGAACAGGTTTGCCGCGACCAGTATGGAATGGGCTCGTTTACAGCGGAACAATTCCACCAGGTCCACTAACGAGATGCTAAATCATCTTCATGCTTTGCTCGCATATGCTTCTGCACATCGAAACGTCTTGCGTCTTCGAGATCAGAAACAGGTTGACTTTGAGGCATTGACGGATATCTTGAGTCATGAAGTGACTGAACGTGATCGTTTGGCAAGCTTAAGTAGTCCTTATGGAGCCGGACATGGTCATGGAGGTGTACGTGGAACGGGTCTCGGTGGCTATTTGCGTGATCGTGTGGACAGTTTACGTGGTGTTGATGAAGAAAGAACACGGGTCGAAAGAATGGCAAGATTGGATTCTCGAATCACTCAATTGCAAGAAGAAGTTACAACGTCTCATGATATTTCCGTTGCATTTTCTAATGAAGTGCAAAAAGAACATACAACTTTTAATCTCGTTAAAGAGCAAGAGATGAAAACTTTGATGGGCACTTATGTTGATGGACAGATTGAAATGTATCAGCGCGGAATGGACATTTGGGATCGTCTGATTCCCATTCTCGAACGTATTCGAGTTGATTAATGAATTGTGTCCATCTCGCTTCGTTATCACTCGCACGATCAATATGTACTTAAACACAAACATAATGCTATATCATTAGAGAGAGAAGTAATCATGATACTTGGCGTAGTGCTTCCTGAGTAAGCTTGATCACTTCATCAATCTTTGCACGATCCTCGACTTTTGTTACTAGACAACGTTCGATGATCTTCCTTGTTGCCTGACTGTATGAATCGTTGTCAGTAGGGAACTTCCAATTATTCTGTAAGACTGCCATTGCCACGCTACCGCCTTGTTCCATCATGGTTGGCGTTTCGAATGGTGAATAAGAGTACATCATGCAATAAAGTGTACAACCCAAAGACCAAATGTCCACAGCTTCTGTTAGTGTAGTATCCGTTTTAATATCGAACAATTCTGGCGCTCTATAAGCCATACTGCTCCTTTCAGCGGCAACATCTTGTTCTGCGATTGCCTGCCTTCTGGTTTTTATATGTACTCTTGCTTTTACTGTACTTCCAAAGTCCATCAAAGTAGGATGCAAGACCGCTTCACCTTCTTCCGTTGAAGCTTGTGATAACATGATATTTCCCGGCTTGATATCTCGATGTGCATACGGTACCAAATCTCCTTTTGAAAGACCTTGAAGATCTTCTCCGCTCGGTCTGGGCTGGCGTTCTTGATAAGCGTTCCGCTTTGGTTGGGGAGGGTAAGACGGTATGGGCTCAGAGCCATCAACAGCTGCACTAGCACCAAAAGGGCCTTCTTCGTCTTCGTCGTCATCATCATCGTCATGATTCGGTATCCTTCCGCTTTGGGTATCAAGCAATGGAGCTTGATCAGCTGCGCCATCGTGATCTCCGTCATCCTGTGAGGAGGGAATTGTCATTCCTCCCCGATCGGCTCCAACATCTTTCAGTTTGTAGCTGTGCAGTTCCTTAACACCAAGGCAAGAGCCCAAGAACACTTCAAGCAATGACTTTTCCGCCCATTTCCGATTCGAGGCTAGATTTTTGTTGATATAATCTTGAACATTTCCCATCGGATGAAAAGGTAAGAAGAGATAAACAGTCTTTCCATCAGCATCTTGAACGACTGCACTGTCGAGGAGCTGCATGATATTCGGGCTTCTGAATCGACGATGAGCTTCCAATTCGGCTAATGCTAGAGGAAGAGCGTCTGAACCAGCGGGACACCTTATCTTCTTTAATGCGAACTCCCTACCGCTCTCACGATCTCTTGCCAGATACACAAAGCTGAAACCTCCTTCTCCCAGTAATTTGACAATCTGTACATTCCTTCCATTTAGCTTCAATGTCCCACTAACAGCATTATTCGAGGTTCCAGAAGATGATCCTGCATTTCCTCCCCCGAATGTTTGACAAAGATCGGCAGCGCATGGAAGAGACGATGCGAAAGCGAAGATTGAGTCCTGTATCTTATCGAGAAGAGAATCTTGACCCCTTCCGCCTAAAGAGCCGTAGCCTGCCATTATGAGATGCTTTGAGTAGTATGATGATGGCTCTTTCCTATGAACGTGCGTTGGCAAGAATGATGCTGTTGTTCTTTTCATTGATTAAAAGGCTAAAAGTCTGTGCACGCAATGCAATCAAAGACGCGTTTAACTGTTATGAGGCCGTGGCGCTTATAAACTTAGGCGATGCTTTAATCTCTCTCTCCAAAGCCGATGTCCGCCCACAAGCAAAATGAATGTGCAGCAATAGTACCCTCTGTATTTTAGCAGTGGCTTTTTTCTATCTTTTTCGCCATCATCCACATTTGTACAATAGGTGACCAGCATCGAAGAAGAATTGGGAAGACCCTTTGCTTATTCAATACAGTGCTTTAAGATTTCAAAACCTTGATTGATCTGTGTTTGCCCAAAAGATGACGCAAGATAGTACATCCAAGAACAAGAGCAATGATGTTGATTCAAAATCAATCGAAGATGTTTCAATTGATACAAGCACAAATCCTGAATCTGACACTTTGAACAAGAGTACATCCATCTCACACGATGATAAAATGCTGGAAAGTGCTGACAAATTGGATGAAGCCCATGAAGATATCGCAGATTTACCGGCAAAGCGAAAGAGTACAGAGCTAGATATGGATCATGCAGAATCTCTGCGGCGGAAACGTGATCGTGAAGGTAGCTTGGAGCCAACTCTAACACCATCTCAAAAAGAGATACCTGCAAAGAAGAATCGATTGCAAGACGATACAAGTGCTAATGATCCACCCGGCTCAGCCCCTTCTTCTCCTAGTCGAAAGTCGAACATCGAAGGAGAGAAAGTTGGACAAATTCGCAAGCGTGTAGAAGATTTAAGCTGGAAACAACGCAAAGAAGGAAATCGAGACGGAGGGGACGATGATGAAGGCGATGTTGTGACTAATCACAAGGAAGAATTGAAGAGAAAGACGTCTGCAGATAATGACGATGAACAGGAAAGCAGCATCAAAGATGATGCTGATCATGCAGAACCACAAGCCAAAAAGTCAAGCCAGCCAACATTTTCATCATTTTCCTCATCATCGGGCTTCGGGTCGGCTAAAAAGGATGCTAGTTCATCGATTTTTGACCAAGATGCAAAGGCTGCAACTGAAAAGGCACCCAAATCTCCTCCTCCATTGCCAGCTCGAACTCAACCTACATTCTCATCTTTCTCAAAATCAGGATCACCTTTCAACTCTGCTACTGCAAGCATTGCCGGTCCAAGCTGGCTAGCCGGTAAATCGACAGCTTCCGGCGGTCTGAAGCCAAGTTCTCTAGGAGCCGTGCCAGGATCGTCAAGCGCTGGGTCTGATAAACCTTCTGTACCATTAGGCAATACCTCCAGCTCATCCACCTCACCACCTCCTTCAAATGCTGCATCCTCGAAGGGACTTGGCTTTGGTGCTTTCGCATCTGCAAATCCGTTCTCACCCAAAGGTTCCGGTCGTATGGCATCACCTGCTCTCGGATCAGACAAGAAGTCCAGCGAAGCGAACGATGCATCACAGGCAGATAATGTCAAGGAAAGTGAGAAAGGAACAGAAGAGGAAAACGGACGAAGTTTCGATGAAGCATTAAAGGAAAAAGGAGAGAAAGAAGAAGGCAAACAAAAAGTGGAAACACAATTGGACAAAGGACAAGCAGATCTTCGAACGGGAGAAGAAGATGAATTTGCCGTTGCATCCGTTCGAGCGAAATTGTTCACAATGGCAGAAGATCAAAGTTGGAAAGAAAGAGGGACAGGAACGGTACGATGCAATGTGCCAAAAGTGGAAGGTGGCGGAATGGGAGGAGCACGATTGGTAATGCGATCAGAAGGCGTTTTACGTTTGATTTTGAACATTAAATTATTCAAAGGTATCAAAGTCAATTTGGAACAAGATAAATTCTTAAGGATCGTCGCTTTTGAGGATGGAAAGCCTGCTCATTTTGCTTTGCGAATCGGTAACGCATCTGCTGCCAGTCAATTTTATTACACCATTCGCGATCATATTCCCACCACGGACAACGAGGCTAAAACCGTTGCAGAAGTTGCTTAAAAGTGGATTTCTGTTTAATGATAAGCCGCACTAAAGACGGCAAGAAAGATTCTGTACCAATATCGTATCTCCATTTACCGCAATGAGATCAAATTAAGAGAAAGTACAAATTTTTAGCCTACCCAATCTGTACGAGCCCGTTTGACAGCTGCTTGAACTTGTTCGTGAACATCGCCTTTTCCGGAAGTGAGATCCCACATTTGACCGTTTGCTCCTTTTGTATCAGCTGGTAGTTCAGCTAAGGCCAATAACACCTTTGCGACTGATTCACGTGGAACTGGATTGGTGATTGTAGAATGTTCTGCCAAGGAGACGCCTCCTGCTGGTTCATCTTGCAAAGTGGATGGACGAAGAACGGTCCATGGGAATGATGTTCGTTTGGAAAGGTTCAAGTCGGCTTCATATTTAGCATGATAATAGGTACCCAATGCTTCACGGGCTTTCTTTGAACGTTCATAATCTTTTTCAGTGTACCATTCCGGTTTTGTTGTTTCGATATTACGGCTGTCAACTGCTGAAACGAGTAAAAATCTTTTGAAATGAGGAGTAGGCAAATTTGCCTGTTCTAATGCATCAAACACTTTGATTGCACCGTCACGATCGACTGCAAATGTACGTTCTGCACCACCTTTACCACCTGCACCTGCGGCAAAAACAATCACGTTTGGATTTTGATCTTTGAATAATTTTGCCAATTGTGATACACTTAAGTCTTCTAAACTTTCAACCAAAGGTTCAACTTTACCTGGACCTGGATTAGGTAAATCGGATGAATGAGAAGCGTTACGGATTTGTGAAATGACTGTATGGCCTGCTTGAGAGGCTAAACGGGTGAATTGTAATGCCACCCTTCCATGACCGCCAATGACGAAAATTCGAGCTGCGTTTGATGACATTGTTGAGAGTGTGAGGTGGTAGAGATGAAAGTGTGTCTCTTTTGACTTGATTCGGATCACGCAATTTCCATGAACAATCACCATTAAAGCCCGCCCGGCATCCTCCTCCACAAATACAACCCGGGTCAAGGAAGAAACCCTAGTCAGTCTTAGCGCCAAACACGCACAGGCCACACTAGCCTAGGCTCACTGTTGATCGATTGGAATAAAAAATAGAAATAAAAAGTATTGCAAACAGTTGAGTTCAAACAACCAATCTCGAGGAGTGGACAAGAGGGATGATAAAAGCTAAAGATCACATTCACCCTTCTTGCAAATGTTTCCTACTAAATCTCTCTTGCAAAAGATAGATTGTCCAGATCATTTGCAAGGTACTTGCAATCGTCTCTCTTGTCCGTTTGGTCATCGAAAAGGCATACAAGTACCTTCTTCATCTTCGATTGCTGCTGGTAAGCGTAAGGCTGCAGATTCAAACGAAGGAAAGCGAGATATCAGCCCAAGCCAAGAAAGAAAGATTGCAAGAACAAATTCAGAAGGATCAAAGAGTAGATCACCTTCTACTTCCATCACTCCAAGAAACACAAGCTCGATAGGTACAGGTATTAAAGTGACATCCAAGCCAAAAACAGCAAACAATACAGGAGCGTCTCCCGTCATTTCTGGCTCTACTACGAAAGTCAATGGTGCGCGGAATGCATATGACGCCTCCGCTCGGGCCGCATTAATTGAACAAAAACATTCAAAATCACAATCGGAAGTCCAATCAATTGGACATAACAACAACAACAACAATACACAAAATAGTGGTACAAACGCCAATCAATCATCCAACTTGCTTATTGCTCCAACAATTGCACGCAATCATCATCCTTCTGCTTCAAAAGTTACACTTTCTACTCGTCAAGGTTCATTAAGAACTTATTTCACTACTTTCACAAGCCTATATGCGCCTTTGGTACCTGCGATCCCAAAAGGAAAAGAAGGTCAAGCAACATATCGAATCCTCAAACGATTCGCACATCAATTCGCCAGTGAAGATGCACTGAATTCGGAAAACAAGGTATTCAAAACAAGCAATACCAATCCGATGACATATCGCAATAGCATTCGAACCGATCTAGTTGGCGTTGTAAGAAGATCGAAAGAAGATCAAGCAGCTATACAAGAAGGACGAAATTGCATCGGAAGCTTGGGAATCGTAGCCCAAAGAAAGATCGAAAAAGTCATGTCAGAAGACGGAAATGAGGAAAAGGCGAAAGATGTTGTGGAAGAGCTCTTGCAATCTTCTCCTCTTATCGGTACAAGTGAAGCTGTCAAAGGCAAATTGGAAAAGATTCAAGATCGAAACGAGGGATTGCTTACGATAGAGAAGCTTGAAGAAGCAGATCTGATAGCAAAATACGAGCAATTACAGGAATTCGATTATCCTTTACCCACAGCCAAATCTTCCGAAGATGGTGCAGGCAAAGATGTTCAAAGTGACATTTTGGAAGATTGGGGATTAGGTGGAACACAAGTCGATCGTACTGGAGAAGAAGCAAAATGCGAACGATGCGGGGTCAATTTCATAGTCAGTCCTTTGGAGCCAGACAGTGAATTACGCAAGGCATGCTGCTTTCACTGGGGAAAGAAGAGATTTGTACGCGAAGGTAATAATATGCGTGGACCTCGTATTCCACGATGGACGTGCTGTGATGCAGTTGATGAAGGGACCATCTATTCTTCAACGACGCTATCACAAATAGCGACGGAAGCTGGGATCGTTACTGGTTCATCCTCCGATGCAGGTAAGGGATCGAAAGTAGGGTGTACGTTGGGACCGCATGTCTTCAAAGAAGAAGATTGGAAAACGTTGCATCGCAGAGAAGCATTCCTGGCTACAGAGACAGTATTGGACTCCCAAACCGAAGCAAGCGATCAAGGAAAGCATGATATTCTGGCTTTTGACTGTGAGTTGATCTTCACAACAGCAGGAATGTCATTGGCACGAATTACCGTATTGGAAGAGAGCGGAAAAGTGGTTTTGGATCGGTTTGTACGTCCAAAGAGTGCCATCTTGGATTATAATACCCGATTTTCTGGTATTCGAGCATCGGATATTCCAGCTGAAGGCACTGGCTCACTAGAATCGGCAAGGAAGGCGTTAGGCAATTTAATGAAACCTGATACCGTTCTGATCGGCCACGGACTCGAGAACGATTTACGTGCGATTCGTTTAATTCATACAAGAATCGTTGATAGCGTTTTGCTATTTCCGCATCGTAAAGGATTGCCATTTCGAATGAGTTTGCGAGAATTAGCATTGGTTCATCTTAAAAGGCATATTCAGACTGGTGATGAAATCAGTGGTCACGATGCAGAAGAGGATGCCAGGGCGGCTTTGGATCTGATTCGATTGAAGTATAAACAGTTCAAAGAGAGTCCTTCAAGTGCTTCTAACAGTCAGTCAAAAGTCGGATCACAAGACAGCTCTCAAGGATCTACGAGTCCTTCCACCAAAAAGCCACAACCTATACCCAAACAAAGTCCAAACACATCATCTTCTAGTCTTTTCTTACCTCGTCCACGTGCAAAGAGGAGGTGAAGCGGGCGTGTGCGTGTGTTTGTGATTTTTTGATTGAATCATGTACATTAGGTGTAGATAATGATTACCACAATATTGTATAATATCATTCTATTCATTGTTTGTCGAACTCTTTGTGAAACTGTCGGACTTTGGAATCTCTATGCAAGGTCAATCCTTGATTCTGACAATGGGTCTTTCCCGCGGTCGAGATCTTAACGCGTAGACTACATACAACGCGATAAATGGCTTATCCTGTTTGGTTAGGCGAACGGGTCCAAAAATGAGGAATGCAAGCAAATGGTCACTTTGATCGGGAGGACCCTTGCCATCATATATGGGATATTGATCAATCGTCCTTTTTCCGAATACAAAGACAAACACATACTAAGGTCATCATCATTCGGACATAACCTCCTCCCGATTAGGTAACCGTAGCCCGAGATGGATCAGTAAGGGGTTTGACAATTTTGGACCTGATCCAACGGGAAAGTCAATCTTTTAGTACACCGAAAAAAGCACTAAATCGATCAAACGCGTTCGCGCAAAGAAAGGGAAAAGAGGGCTAGCAACCACAGTCACACAATGAATTTGCGGGGTAAAATGAAATAGAAAACCCTAGACCCATTCACATTCATTCAATTCATTACCGCTCGGATATTTGAAGAAGGCTTTACAGGCTTGATCATAATGAAATCCTTTTCTCAGATTAAGTAAAGAACTTTCCTTAATGGGAATCAAAGCACTGAAGTCTTTATTAGCATCCTTCTTCCATGGGAATCCGGATAAAGATGACGTAGTTGTTCTATTGATAAAGATCAGTATGCACTTATACATACATGTGCAGTCAGGAGTTGTACAAATAAGCTAATAAAAGTATACTTTTTAAAGATAGCTTGAAAGAGGTACAATGGAAGGTGCTATACATACATGATGCTGGAGATGATGATGATGAACACGAACATGTGGTCTAGATGCAGCAGCTGTTGTTTCTGTATGAGAATGCTCTTTTGGTTTCACTAGTTCATACCCATTCCTCTAACCATGCAGAATTAGTGTGGTATTTATTTTTTATTTTTTTCCCCGATTACTTGACTTACATACCAGCTTTTACTGAAGTCATTAGTCTGAACGCGTACATTTGATTGAGACTTGACGCGTACGCCTTCATTTTTGACTAAAGGTGCGTGCGTGCACTTTCTATATCGGTGTGTTTGAAGTAGAAGTGGCTTTTTCTACAGTGACAATGCACCGACATACCTTCCAAATTGATTAAACAATGCACGTTGCGTTTTACACTATACACACTGCACATAGGCTTAAGATGTGTGCATTCATTTCTCTTAACGGCGGCACACGAACCCTACTCGAATGCACAATAATTGAGGCTGATGATGGTGATGATTGTCTCCTACTCAAGAAAGGCAAGTCTGCGCTCAATTGTGATACATCTATGCACTCTTTAAATTCCGGCGCCGTTCAATTGTGGCATTACACTCTGGCAAATGGTCCGAAATGAAATTCTGAGTTAACAAAGCTCAATTCTCCTACCGCTCGCGCCAACAATTGGTTCAATTTCGGATATGGCTTGCCATTGCACCTACACACACAATCCTCCTGCCGATGCATCATATCACACAACTTCTTGGTCTTTATGTGCCAAGGTAAAGTTGCATTTTGATTGGAACCGCTAATGTATGCACAATCACAAAAATAACTACAACAACCAAAGCTGCAAAAGACGGAATAGTAAGATCCACTTCCTTTATATTCCATCACAATATTATTGCAACTCATCTTTCTACCGCCATCACCCTTTTTTATTGACATTCGATTTTGTCACACCTCTCTCATTCAAACCGATTATAAAGGAACACCTCATCCAATCCAAATCCCCTCCCTCTTCACTCACAAACACAACAATGCGTACCAACACTTTGCTTTCCCTTTTCGTTGCTTTTGCAGCTTGCACTGCATTCGCCTCTCCTGTCGAACAAAAACAAGAAGATGCTCAAGCAGTTGCCCGTTCAATGATGGGCTCAGCAAACAATATCGTTTCATGGGAATCCATGCAAGTTGAACGATCTCCTGCTGATCCAGAAGTAGTGGAAATGGAAAAGCGTATCGTATACAACCCACCGGTCACAGCTCCTGCTTCCAAGGCAGTTTGGTATGCCGGACGTGAAGAAACAGTCAGATGGACAGTTGATCAAAGCAAGATTCCTGCATCAGCAAATGATTACAAAGTTGAGATCAAATTGGGTTACCTGCCAAAAGATGGTGACGGAGGTTACAATCTCAAATGGACTTTGGCAAAAGATGTTGCAATCACAGATGAAGAAGCTGAAGTTACTTTGCCAAGCGATCTTAAAACTCGTCATGATTACATCATCGTCGTTATGGGTGACAGTGGTAACCGTTCCAAGAAATTCACAATCAAGGCTGCCAAAGCAAAGGCAAACCAAGCCGCCGTCTCTTGTAATCCTCACCCTCATCCTGAAGTCAAGCCAAACGCTGAATCTCGTGATGTGAAGGAAGAAGACACCTATGCATCACACATGTTGGGCCGTGATGTGCAAAAGTCATCATAAACGGTGATCATCAGCCGGTCTCTTTTTCTCAACTTTAACCTTCTTCTGTATGTAACCCATTGCATACCAACTGTAGCACATTTTCTTTTTTCTTCTTCTTCAAAACTCAACATCGAACGGTACCTCTAATCCCCAACCAACATCAGAAGACTTTTGCGGACTTTGACCGTGATGTGGATATGGTCTTCACCATTCAGCCGTTCGCGGATCAAACACAAAAGCACTTTGTAGATTATTTATACTTCATCTTGTTTCTTCATCTCTCACAATCGAGACACGGAAAGAGAACTTGATTTAATCAGCTGTCTCGATTCCAACTCGTCATATGAAGGCATCCGAGCTCTTCTTAGTTCAGGCAAGCCTAATTTACTCAAATTACACGGACAATCAGCACACTACAGGTAGTGACTTTTCATAGTTATATAAATGCATTCATTCAAATATTCTTTCTTTTGTGTGATCCCGACATCTTATTGATGATGATGACTTCAGTCTCGTTTTGGCGCGCTGTTGGGTTTAAGTGAACTCCCCGAACTCCCGTTTTGTTCTTTTACGCGTGCAAATATTCACATTACCTCTCAAACCAGAACAGTCGCAGCGCACACGAGAGACACGCTAAAAGGACAGACTGTCATTCCGCCCTGTATGTGGTGTCGCTTTTTCGCCCTGATCGGGTATAAAATCAATTCACCCCGTAATTTGTGTGGAAAAGCGCCTAAATTGCAAACAAGAACCGGCTTTCAAAAAGGTTGACTGCATACAGTACATCCTGTTAAAAGGGTGCAAGAGCAAATTCATATTCCTTTTCTCCCATCGATACCATCACGACGACCCTGTTTGGAATATGGCCATTCAATCCAAACCTTTATCTTCCAATTTAGCCGAATGGCTTTCTGGAGGAAGAGCAGGATTGGGTAAAAGTTCAACACGATATGGAATTGTTGTAATTTTGGCCGTTTTGATCGTGTTAAGGAGAAGATTACAAGGAATTCTAAGACCGGCCGCCGCCAAGAAAGGTAAAGAGGTACATGGTCGTTCTAGACCTCAAGTAATACGAAAACAATCTTCTTTTGCACATAAAGCAAAAGAAGATAATTCATTGTTAAACGAACTTCGATCAAAAGCACCCGCAACGGAAGAAGAAATGAATGCTGCCTTAGAGGAATTATACGTTGAAAATAAAGATGGATCGTATGACTTGCTTGTTCCTTATCGTAGAAGGATTGCAAGAGTTAGCATCAATGAAACAACACAAAGGACAATTGATGAAAATTATCCATTCTTTGCTAAACAACCACCAGTGCTCGATAAACGAAAAACAAGAAAGACGACCTCGGAAGGCAAAGACGTTGAAAAGAGTATCGATGAGAAACGTTTGGAAGAGGCAAAAACGTTGCGCGAAGAAGGAGGTGCTGCTGCTGCAAGTGCTAAGAAAGTTGGTGTCAACAAAGAATTCTTCCGCCAGTTACGAGCGATCTTCAAAGTGATCGTACCTCATGCATCCTCTAAAGAAGTCTTTATCTTCCTTTTGCACACCGCTTTCCTGGTTTTGCGTACCTATCTTTCGGTTTTGGTTGCTCGACTTGATGGTCGCATCGTTCGTGATCTAGTTTCCGCTAATGGAAAGGGTTTCCTCAAGGGTCTCGGTCTCTGGTTCCTGTTGGCCGTTCCAAGCACATATACCAATTCGATGATCCGATACTTACAGTCGAAGCTGGCCATCGGCTTCAGAACACATATGACACGATATGTGCATGATCTCTATTTGAATGCAAACGCCAACTTTTACCGGGTAATCAATCTGGATGCCCGATTAGACGGTGCAGATCAATTCATTTGCACGGATGTATCGAAATTCTGCGAAACACTCTCGGCCCTATACTCCAACGTCTCTAAGCCAACGTTAGATTTGATCATTTTCAACTATCAATTAGCACAGAATTTGGGCATGAAGGGTGTTTTGGGTCTATTTGGAAATTATCTGTTGACTGGATGGATCTTGAAAAAGGTCACCCCCGCATTCGGTAAATTGTCCGCAATCGAGGCAAAATTGGAAGGTGACTTCCGTAGTGCACATGCTCGTATCATCACAAATGCTGAAGAGATTGCATTCTACAATGGTTCAAAGATAGAGGAAAGCATCTTAAACCGTGCGTACATGCGATTAATCAGACATGTCAACTCAATCTACAAGATTCGTATCGCCTACAACATGACTGAAGACTTTGTGCTGAAATATTGCTGGAGTGCAAGTGGTTATATTATCATTGCAGCACCACTCTTATTCGGCTATAAGAAGGAAACAAGCTCTGCCGAAAAGCAACTTAGCGAGAAGCCAACAAATGAAGGAATGGCAAGCAAAACCGAGAGTTATATCTCCAACAGAAGACTATTGTTGTCGTTGGCTGATGCAGGATCACGTTTGATGTATTCGTTCAAAGAATTGAATGAGTTGGCCGGTTACACATCTCGAGTATACACTTTGATCTCTACATTGCATCTATTGGAACGCGGACAATACCAAGCCTTACCAAGACCACAAGGTATTCCTGACGATCAAAGATTTTACGATATGGGCAACATTCAAGGACGTGTACTTTTGGGCAGCGACAGTGTTTCGTTTGAGAATGTGCCAATCGTTGCGCCCGCTCCGGGAATGGAACGTGGAGGAGAAGAATTGGTTCGTGATCTTTCTTTGACAATCAATAATGGAGACCATATCCTTATTACTGGTCCAAACGGTGTCGGAAAGACTGCAATCGCCCGTGTTCTTGCTCAATTATGGCCAACGTTCAAGGGTTCGTTGAAGTTGCCTGCCGATTACGATCCATTCTTCTTGCCACAAAGGCCATACCTTTCTGCTGGTAGTTTGCGGGAACAAGTCTTGTACCCAACAAGCTATGCAGAATTCATCAAGAGTGGACGTACAGATGAAGATCTATTACAAATCTTGAAAGATGTTCATTTGGCTTATTTGCCTGATCGTGAAGGCGGTTGGGAAACACGTAAAGAATGGAAAGATGTTTTAAGTGGTGGTGAAAAACAAAGGATGGGAATGGCACGTTTGTTTTATCATTCACCTAAATTTGGTGTTTTGGACGAATGCACAAGTGCGGTTTCAACTGATGTGGAAGGATTGATGTACGCTCGTGCAAAAGAGATGGGAATCACTCTAATCACAATTTCACACAGACCTTCTTTGTTCAAATACCATGACGTTTTATTGCGCTTACATGGAGAAGCAGGAAAATGGGAAATCGAACGATTGACAACTCAAGACGGTCAAGCAAAGAGCTTCAACGATGAAATCAAGGATTTGGAAGAAAAGTTACGCGATGTAGATCAATGGAAGAAACGTGTAAACGAGATTCAAGGCGAATTGAGTCTTTCCAAAGCTTAATAAGTTTCTCATGTATGTTTGTTATAATATCTACTTTTCCGGATTCGCCCTGTATTGAATAAAATGTTATTTGATAGATTTATCCTTGGTTGATACATATGATAAAAGTACATGGCTGAATGACTAATTTCGAGATCGTGATCGACTACGACCTCGCGGCTCTTCCTCCTGGTCACTCTTCTCGTCTTCAGGCTGTGATCCAACGGTAAACTTTTTTCTTCCTCGAACTTGTCTAGAGTCGGAATTGGAACGTTGAACTGAGGATGCGTCAGTCTTTTTCTCTCCCTTCTTTGCACCTTTCTTCTCATCGAGCAATGCGGAAGCCTCTTTTGCATCTTTTTGCATCTCCTCTGTTTGCCTTTTATCTTCTTCTTCTCGTTTGAATTTCCCAAGGTTACCTTTATCATCATCTGCTGCTTGCACATCACTGCCCTTTGTCACTCCACTGTATTTGTCTTCATCAGAATCCTTCTTTGCGGCAGCATCTCCAGCATTAGCAGGCGTATCGATATCCGTCGAGCTTTCAGAGTTTGTTTTGACGGCAGCTTCTTCTTTTTCCTCCTCCTTCTTCACAACTTCATCCTTGTTCGTCTTTGCTGTTTGCTCTTCTTTCTCGCCTTCCTTTTCGGACTCTTTCTTTTCAGGCGTATCTTCCGCAACATTTGCATCTTTCTCAATCATTGCCTGGTCTAATCGCATATGTCTTGCTCTCACATTGCTAACCACATCCGTTTTACCTTTGGGCAAAGGTGGTAGCTTGAGTCGTTTACGTGCTACCATGACCGGTACAGGTGATTTTTGAACACAATAATGACTGAAACTTCCCAACAAAACACCTTTCAAGCTTCCCAAACCTCTCGAACCAACAACACACATCGTTGGCTCAAAAAAGTCAATCATGTCAATAAACATATGCCGTGAATTGCGTGCATGCAATGCTTGACAGGAGACCCGCACGGCTAATCTTGTTCGTTGAAGAACAGCAACCGCTCTTCTGGCCAAAATAACGGCCATTGATTGACGAATTCGTTGATGCTCTTGGTGCGCTTTCTTGTCCTCGTGTTTCGAATCAGTTGCATCCAATTTTGTGTCCGTTTCCATCACTGAAACAATAAGCATTTCGTCACCATCGCGTAAAACAGTGCCGATCGTCCATTCGATTGCATAAGACGACTCTTCACTACCATCACTGGCAGCAATGTATCTTCTTGGACGCTTGCTTTCATGTGCAAATTTGTCGTAATCACCATGTATGAGCGTGATTGTGCATCTGTTTTTCTCAAAGACAGGTCGACTTGCCGTTAATTTCCTGTCAGAGCTTACGTTTTCTCCGTTCTCCTGTTTGCTTGCACCTTCTTTGCTGATAGACGAAAGTGATTGTTGTTCACTCGGAGAGATGGAACTGGTATAGCTTTGCGTGCGCATAGATGGTGTTAGCATCTTTGGTGGACCAGTTGCCGAATGAAGCGGCTCGTCTGCAATCGTCAAGATCTCCATTCCTTCGCCCGTCAATGCTGACGGGGACAGACTTTGATCTTGTCCTACGACCACGTTGGGCGCTCGTAATCCTTCATCGCCTTCATCGTGCCCAGAAGGACCAGCACCTTCCCATGCAGCATCGTAATCCTCCGGACCGTAGTGGGCATGCGATCGGTGATCTTTGCCAGAGTGTGAATGCTGACTTTGACCGTCTTTGAGCCAGGCATCATGAAGATCTATACATCCTGCGTTATATAGTGTGTTATCCAGTGTTTCCTCGTCAAAGTCGATATAGTCATCACTATCTTCAGCATCCGTTGTGCTTTCTGTTTCCCCTTCCGTCTGTTCGTCATTCTTGGCAATAGCAGCATCATTACCGTCACTCTCTAGAGAGTCAGCATTTGCTCGACGAGACACATTGCCCATCTCTTCTTCACTTTCAGAATCATCTGCAAAGTTTGCAAATGCGCTATTGCGTGGTACAATTCCACTTTTAACGCTTTCGCCATCACTTTCGGTTTCGTTGCCATCACCAGCTGTGCGTTTATCGGTATGCTCTCTTTGTACATCTAAGCTATCTCGACTTTGACGGCTCAAGTTCCAGCTCCCGCTCCTTCTTCTTCCTTCTCCGCCGTCTTCATTATGATAGCGCCACGGGCTTAAACTACGACCAAAAGCTGTACGAAATCGATCTCGCTTACGTCTTCTGCTGTGCTTTGAATCGGTATCGTCTGTATTCACTTCCTCGTATTCTGGTGGTGTGCTTTGATCTTTGCCCTTATCGGATTTGCCATATGTATGCGTTCTCTTTCGAGTTCCATCTTCATTCAAGGCGCTGATCGAGAATGGATTATGCGCTCCTGCAACAGATAAAGCTGGAGCGAGCATATGACCCAATGCTGAACCTTCGTGTGGATGATCTGAATTACGATGAAAGAATGAAAATCCGTGTCCCGAATGACTATCTCTGTTTGAGCTAGATGTTGAAGAGATTGACGTATTGGAGCGGTGTGAGGTTGTACTGTTTTCTTCTGGTAAGTTCTTTGTTTGAGAAATTGGGGAATTTTGTGCACTTCTGTTGGCACTGCCGCCGCCGCTGCCGCCCGTCTTGCTCATCTTTACGCCCTTCAAAAAATCTATCGGCCCGCTGAGAAGATTGCAATCAGAGAAGAAGCCAAGAGTGAAATGTGTATAGTACAAAGTACAAATTCAGCCCCACCGTAATCCTGCTATGGATGTTTGCCCTTTTCCACAATGATGGTGATGGTAATAATGATGATTGTACTTTTTCCCGTTTTGAGGAAGACTTCTTGCTGAAGATTGCGAACCCACACGGGCCAAGAGATTAAGATTTCATGCACCCCGTCTGTCTTTTATCTTTACACGCAGTTCTCTCAAATGGCGCGTGCGTGTGTATTCATAAAAATTAAAGTCTAAAGCCAGAAGAAGGATAAGAACAACACTTTCCCATTCCACTATATTGATGGCAATCCATATCATTCGTCATGCCAACAAGAGTGCTATATCATTGTCCATGTAGTACAAATTTCACACCTTCTTTCGGTCCTATCCAGCCTTCAACTTCATCATTTCAATTGCCTTCGCTTTATTTCTGTGACGATTGCGATTCAATCCGATGCGATCAATGCACGACAAAAGAATTGACAGTGTATTACTGTCCCAATTGCTTGTTTGACGTTCCTTTAGCAAGTATCAAATCAGAACATGCAAATTGTCCAAGGAACTGTTTCTCTTGTCCGATATGCTCATCCACCTTGGGCGTTGTCGGCAGCGATTCCAACGAACAATCTCATTGGGATCCCTTATCAGCCGAAGCCAGTACGGGAGAACCTCCTTGGTACCTGCAGTGTCCAACGTGCAGATGGGATAGCAAAGAGGTGAAAATGACTTTCGAAAAGTCCACCGGACTCAGTCTTCAAGTGCAAAAAATTGAAGATGAAGCGGCAGATGCGGTCGAATTTCGTGATCTTCGTGCACATTTCGATAAATACCTTCGCTTTTCAACATCATCAAATGAGACTCAGTATAGCATGGAAGCGGCTAGAGCAAGCAAGCTATTGCGAGATGTTCCATCTTTGGCCAATCAACCCGGTTTTGGAGTGGGACGGAGTAAGATCTCAAAAAGGAAAACCGACCAGGATGAACAGATACCTCAATACACCGCAAAGATGACATGGGATGCTGGACGGGACGAAAAGAGATATGTCGGCGTCAAGCAAGATCTGCAAGAGGGGAAGGCGTTGGGAGCCATCGGTCGGAAAGAACAATCCCGCTTGGAATTTATGCAGGAACAAGTAGATGATAGCCAGATAACAGATTTGGCTCAAAGATGGTCCGCCATGAATGATCAAAGCGTACGAAAGGCAGATTTAGGACCCTGCAGGGTACCCCTTCGTACAAAGCAGACCAAGAGATGTTCAGTCTGTCGTCACATAATCATCCGACCAGAGTCTAAGCCTACTTCGAGCAAGTATAAAATTCGTCTTCTTGCTTTGAATCGATTGCCAGAGATCTTCATCAGACCGCCCAATTCAATTTCAACTGCAGATCGACGAAGAAGTACTTATGCTACGCTTAATCGGCGCAAGAATGTGATCGTAGATGAAGAAAACTTACAAGCAGGTAGAACATATCTCTTCGAGGCAAGCTTCATCAATCCGCGTGATGAAATGATGATGGTTCGATTACATCTTGCTCGTGCACCTCCTTCTTCAAACGATTCTCATGCATTCTCTGCATCATCTCCCAACAAAGGCATCCCGATGAGTGTCTCTAGTCGATATGCATGGTCTGTCTCACCTACTTCCAGCAATTTTCCCGTTAGCGCTTACAACGAAGTATGGGAACTGGCCGAAGAAGATGATGAGGATCTCTTCGAGCCAAGTCATAAGGCGCATAAAGGTGATTCTGCTTTTGGTATCGAAGAAGAAAGTGAGGATATCGACGAAGATGGAATGGGCGATGATCGTGACCAGAAAAGAAGTCGAACCGACGTTGGCGGTCATCGAGAAGGCAAAAAGAGGGGCCAAGGTATTTTGAGAAGGAAAGGGCACGAAACAGTGATTGGTCTTGAGCTCTCTTTGGACAGGGAAGCCGTTGGAGAGATTGAATTTCCCATGCAGGTCACATTCACCTACAAACCCGACGCTGAAGTATCGCAAAGAGGATCATCTCATGCATCAGACAGCAAAAGCTTCTCCTTTTGGACTTTTGTTCGCTTAGGTCGTGTGACTTCTGAAGGTAGTGGTTCTGGACATCACGCACAACCGCATTCCTCTATTGCCGAAGCTAGAAGATCTGCACTGGATAAGCGCCGTAGCATTATGGGCATGAACATTGGCGGGCATGGATCTGCGGTTGCAGGACAAACAACATCCACTTTATCGGCTTTGAGGCGGGAAGATTCTAAAGATGGAACCGTTTCGAGCGGAAGTCCTCAAAGACCTGGCAGTGTTGCCAGCGGAACGGGCTAATCACGAATAATGGCTGAGTCGAAATAGAGATAACGCAGACACATCCACACTTGTACCATAAAATACTATACAATTTATGTCATCCTTTACGAGATCTAACGCCGTCCTGCTGCTGCTTCTGTGTGAGGTGAAGGGAGTCAATGTCAGAAGAAGGTCGTGCAATACGCCTTTATGAAACTCACCTCTTCTTGTTGCGTCTTCCAATAGTGTTGTGTCTACTGCGGAAGCGGGAATGTGTACATAACGAATGACCGAACCTCTGATGAATGCCGATTTAACAGCGGCCAAATGTGGCCAACGATCTTGATCTCCTTCGATAACTTTCAAGTCATCAATTCGAAAGTTTAAGTATTGATCGACAGATTTCAACGTTCCTGTTACGGAAACGTCATTCTTTAGTTCAACAGTGACAGTTTGATTGGTCAAGGTTTTGAATGCACTAAAGATGAGCATCTTGAACGAATGTTGTATGAGAAGATGATGATGGTATTGACTTGTGAAGAAGGATTGTCAAAGCGCGTAAAGGCTATGCACGCTAGGACAGAATGAAATCTTCTCAATAAAAATGGCCCAAGCATGATCATTCCACACGTGTGTATTATCGTTCCCGATCAAGTTCAACGCAATTCCAATTCGGTAAGAATCATCTCTCTCTCCACCATCTTTTGAAGATGATCACAAGAACTAAGAAGAAGTGAGGAGCAATGTCAACTTTGAATGGAGGGACAGGTACAAGTGCGGGACAGTCGGGAACAACGTCTGCAGCAGGATCCAATTCAGCTCCTGTTGCACCAATCATCGAACCTCCCGAGAGTTTTGGATACGTTGCACCGGGTATCTATCGCTGCAGTGCATCAAGTTTGATCAAAGGCTTGTCACCAGTGCCCAAAAGATGGCTTACAAAACAACAGCCAAAATTTACGCAAATGGATAGCAGTAAAACAATCACAACCATCCATGCCACACAAATGGTAAACACGAACTCAAATACATCTCTTTTGGATGGTGATCATGGAGATTTACCCGGTCAAGGAGGTGCGGCAACACCACCTGCTACACCTACAGAGGCATTTTTGTCTTCGCTGCAGTTACGGACGATTCTTCTTTTGGCTCCCGAAAAGATGCCTTTTGCTTTGGCAGCTTGGTGTTCGATGCACAATATCAAGCTCCTTCATCTTGGTTTGGGCGCTTTGGCTGATTCTTTCCAGACGCACGGATCAACAAATCTGATTGGAAAGGACGGAGAGTCAGGTACAAGGGAAAGAAGTACAAATGGCGTACAAGTACATTCGGCCGCCGATATGATGTCTTTGGAACGAATCGCGAAAGAATCGCTAGAGTTATTATTGAACAAGTCAAATTTACCTTGTCTTGTGTGCGATATGAATGGAGTTAGTGAGACTGGCATTGTTACTGCTTGCTTGCGTAGATTACAGAGGTACAACTTTGCAAGTATCCGATTGGAATATCGTAGTTTTGCCGGGAACAAGGCAAGATCTTCGCATGAACGATTTATCGAAGCGTTTGATACGGATATGATCACCCTTCCGGCCGCGGAAGATTTGCCTGCATGGTTGTCAGATCAAGATCAGTAGAAGCCATACCTGCCGAAGTCAAATTGCTCAAAGTCATCGAAATCCTCCTTGTCATACTCCTCAAAGGGTGTACTGCTAGGAGCTCGGGAGCTGCTGGAAGCTTGGAAGCTAATGGAAGGCACACTGCTCGAAGGTCTGGAACTGCTGGAGGATTGGAAGCTGCTCGAAGGCTGAATGCTACCAGAAGCCTTACTATTCGAAACCCTGCTGCTCAGAGCCAAAGTCTTCGAAACCATTCCACTCCCGCTCGTTCCTGAATCTGGCTTCATCTTCTTCTGCACCTTCGGAAGAGGTACAACGGGTAAAGGTCGTTTTCTTCCAAGCCTTGTAGAGGGAGATGGCTCGCCATACGTACTACGAGCTAATTGTGTGGCGTACGGTGGCAAAGTATCAAAACAATTCGGCTTGTAGCTGGTATCATGCTTATCCAATATCCAATCCAATTCTTCTTTATGAGGATCGTCAAATAAGCCATTCTCAACGATGGGACTTTCATGAACGTTGTACTTGCGATATGCAGACCCTCGCGGTCCACGATACGTGCCTGTGTTCACCGGAGCTATCATGCCCATCCGGTCGATTGGCTCTTTCTTTGTGAAGATGTCTCTTCTGCAACTTTGCAATTTGAAAGGCTTCTTGAGCGTCTTTAATGCTTTCTCTTCGTCTATCTTGTTCAACATAATGCGAATGTCATCAACATCCTTATCCTAAGAAAGTGAGAAGAAATCAATATTAATGCATATATTCACGAACAAGGCCACTCACTTCATGCCACAATCGCATCTGAGCGATTTCTGATTCTCTTTTCTGGGTCCATTCTCTTTCCTTCCTCTTTGGCACGTACGGCTGACCTTCTTCTTCTTCTCTCTTAGGCTCTTCCCATGGTAGCAAAGGGTAATCCAGCTCTTCGAATTTGTAGCGTTTCATGATTGTGGTAATGAGTTTGTGAAGAAGGATTGCTTCTCCGTGTGAAAAGTGGCGCAATATATTTTGAGTGCATTTATTCAGGCAAGACTCATTTTATTTCGAAAAAGACATCTGATTTCAAACACACATAACAAAATAAGAGAAGATAATATGAAGCAAGGTCAACGACGATCGATCAATCGTATCGGTCGGACAGATGGGCACTGCAAGAAAGAGGCATAGGAAGCCACTTCTGCGCGCGAAGGGGGAACAAGAACATAAAAGGGTGACAATTGTGGAAAAAAAGGAAAAGTTCTATGTGAACGGACCTGAATTAGACGGTCCAATCAATTTTTTGATCGTTGCACTTCAACAGTTGATTTAGAAGTCGTTGAGCACGTTGGCCAAGACACCCAAATTTGAGGCATCGATCAAAGAATTCTTATCTGATTGAACGACGTCACGCTTTTGGAAGTCGTTGAGCAAGTTGACCAAGACACCCAAATTTGAGGCATCGACCAAGGAGTTCTTGTCTTTCTGAACAACGTCACGCTTTTGGAAGTTGTTGAGCAAGTTGACCAAGACACCCAAATCTGAGGCATCGATCAAGGAGTTCTTGTCTTTCTGAACAACGTCACGCTTTTGGAAGTTGTTGAGCAAGTTAACCAAGGCCTTCAAATTACTGGCGTCAATCAAATCGTTCTTGTCCTTTTGTACAACATCACGCTTCTTGAAGTCGTTCAAAGCGTTCGCGTCAATACCAAGGTTGGATAGGTTGATCAAACTTGATTCATCTTCTTGGATCACGTTGTTTGATGGAGCTGGTGCTGGGTGAGGATGAGGGTGTGGGTGCCAGCCGCGCTTGAGGCTGTTCAAAGCGTTCACATCGATACCAAGGTCGGATAGGTTGATCAAACTTGATTCATTTTCTTGGATGACATTGTTTGATGGAGCTGGTGGTGCTGGATGGGGATGAGGGTGTGGGTGTGGGTGCCAGCCGCGCTTCTTGAAGTCGTTCAAAGCATTTGCGATGACTTTGAGCCCACTGAGATTAACCAGGCTCGATTCGTTGTCTTGGATGACGTTGTTTGATGGAGCTGGTTCTGGATGGGGATGAGGGTGTGGGTGCCAATCGCGCTTGTTGAAGGCATTCAAAGCATTGGCAATGACTTTGAGGTTTGAAAGATCAATGAGATCATTCTTGTTTGATTGGACAACGTTTCCATCGTTGTTTGGCAAGCTACGTCTGTCGAAATCGTTCAAAGCGTTGACATCGAGGTTCAAGTTGCTCAAATCGACTCCATCATTTTTGTTTGATTGGATGACGTTGTTGCTTCCACCTTGAGTCCAAGGGTGGTGATCATGGTGTTCTGGCTGTGGTGGGTAACCGTTGTTCAAAGCGTTGACACCAATGTGAGCGTTTGATGCATCAACGAGAGAGTTCTCGTTGGATTGCACGACGTCACGGCCGACAAATTCGACTGGACGGGCAGATGCCATGGCGAAAGCCATTGCGATGATTGCGATTGAGATGAATTTAACCATTTTGATATGCTTCGTGGATTAATTGAGATGAATGAATGTTGGGTTTTGGTTTGAAATGATTGTAAGGTTGTGTGCTGAGTTGGGTACTAAGGCTACAGTAAGGTCAGATGCCGATCCGAAACGAGAACAAGAAACAAGGGGAAGAAGGAAAGGATTCCTTTGTGATTGTGAGAGGGAGAGAGAGTGAATGAGATGGAGGAAAAAGGGAAAGGAGATGGAATGGAAAAGGTCTGCTTTTAAATGTTTTAGAGAAGAGTTTGAATTGTGTTTGATGCGCGACTAGAATAACGGGAAGCTTACCCGTCGATAGAGTGATGAGACATGTTTGTTATCCATACCAGTCCATATTCAAGGGGTTACTGTCAGATGATCATATGATTGAATGGAATTGAATGGTGAAATATCCTTTGCCAAGGGGTTAAAGCATGCAGATGATGTATATGCAAATGCACAAATGATAGTTAGCCTATATGCACTGCGCTATTAAGGTTGAGAGCTAGAAGTGTGTGTACATGTTGCAAGGGAGAGGAAAGAATTGGAACGCGTAATTCATAATGTACATTACTTTCCTTCTTAGCGTCATCCTCTCTTGGGTTCCATAACATCTGCAGGGGTTGTCTGTAGATCCTGTTAAAATGGTTGGTCACCGAATCACTCTCAAAACCCTCTATCAGGCACAACCGATACGCTATGTATATGCTTGCAGTCTGACATGCCTGCCGGAAAGGAGTTGCAGACAATCGGCAATAGCAGCGACGGCGTCTATTAATGGAATAATCCAATCTGTTTATTTTGAGGTCATACACTAAAGAGATCCTTCGAATGCTTGGCCCTGACAGGAATGTAGAGTGGAGGTGTTCGATGGACGGTGAGATAGCAATGGCCAAGCATTCTCATTTGCCATTCGGCCAAAGTGAAACAATGACCAAATGCTCAAAGAAGAATCCATTCGATCTTGCTATCTCATAATAAAAGACCGGTAGACTTGTTCCTCCATTCGGCCATACAATGACTCGCAACGGTCTACTTACACAGATGGACCATTTGTACTGCAGATTTGTGCATTATGGCGTGGGATGCAAAAGCTTAATCGGGTCGTTTGGGAAGGTTGTTCTCGTGATGACTTTCTAATCATGTAAAATAGAGTCGATTTGGACCTGGAATAGGCTTATTCCTATTATACAATAAGTTTTGTGTTCGACCCTTTACACGATAGAACAACGTGATAAGCGCAGAAGCTTAAAAACAAGTCAGGGACATATTCTACAGAAACATTCGATAAAGGCAGGGAGTAATCTTGCAAATGTACATCATTCGCATCATATCCATCTATTTCTCGAAGCTATCGATTTGTTTGTGTTTGCTTAAGGTCCGGCTATTGGATGGTTGTATACATTAGCGTGGCACGTAAGCTACATACATGGTTCTCAAACTGCGGAATTCGGATGGTTTATTTGCAATAATAGGATCATTTATGTTCATAATCCTAATGCAAGCAATCGTATTTGGGATCCCAAGATCATCTTAGCGTACATTATTCATGTAGGGTGAGCCAACGTACAGCTTAAAAACCACGCTAGCATGGTGATGCGTTCGCACTCCATAATCTTCCACGGCCAATGTTCAAGCATTCTCACGTGCAGACCATCATCATTCAAGGGGAAGTCTATGTGCAGCCATGCAAGTCTAAGGTGAGGTAATTCAATCAATATAACCTACCCAGGCGTCTTTCTTTCCGATTTTCACCGCAACCTGACATTCATAATATCATGTCATTCTGTCAATTATGATAACATCATCTCGGGTAAATTGCACCAAAGATTATCATTTCCGATTATTTGTCCAGGTAAGGTGCACCCGATGCACGGTATGGCATGAAAATGATTGCTTAAGCACCTTTGTACCATTGTTTAATCTTTGATTGCGTCTAATCTCTTTTTATGGCTGACAGTCTGTCGATCCTAATCACCGAAGCCGTTGGTTGGTTCCCAGAAAGTTGATTGTCGTCCTCCACTGGGAGGTAAAAGGCTGGGAAAAGAGTGATTAAGCGTACTTTTTCGTTATTTTTCGGTAATTATTGGAAATAAATCGGTCTAAAAGGTGTGTGTGTGCATCAATGACACTTTTTTCTTCTTATATTCAGTCTATTTTTAGTGTGATTTTATTAACCCTTTGTTTGATTGCTTTTTTGTGCAGTTTTATTAGGAGAATAAAATTGATAAAAAATATTCAAATTTTGACGCTAAGCAAATAAACCCACCCCCACTCTTACATCACTGTCAAAGTGCCAAAATTCGGAAGTTAATCAAGAAATCGTTAGCGTATTACTCGCATGCACGCCCGGAATAAAGTATCATGACCAAAGGTGTGCTCTGTATTTAGAAGATACAACAACGAATTATGAGAAAAAGTATGTCTTAGAATCATGGCAAAATGAGTACCTAGTACAATGACCTTTTTCGATTTAAACGAGGTTGTCATCTTTCTTCCTTCCTGCCTGCCTGCCAAAAGGGATAAACTTATATAGCGCAGGCAACGCGTTATGCTGCTTCTGCTGCTATTTTGCCTTGCATTCGTGTTTGGCAAAGGGGGGACCACCATTAAACTGTCCGCTGCGCGTATTTCGCCCACCGCATTTTATTATTATCTTTAAGTTAAGAAGAACGGCGGCCCCGCCTTGTGAGTGTGTGCGGCGCGCTGCGCGATAAGTGCCTAAGGAGTGACAGACATGAAGTGAAAGCCTCTCTGTGTGAAATAATTTAGAGCGTCTTCCTTTTTTATTAGCGGCTAAGATTTGATCACCTTCCTGGTAAGAATGTGTGTATATGCACTATAGATGATCATCTTCGCATCTTCATCAATCAAAATCTACATCTGACCATCATTCGCAAGAAACAAAGCTCGGATCACCCTACAGCAGAGCTCCTGCTTCTTCGACCAAAGCGTTGCTCTCATTCAATATTCTAATTCTAGAACACACCCTTCCGCCCAATAAAACGGTACTTGCATGATCATCCTCACATTGGCAACTTTCACTTGAGGCACTTCTGCAAAAGAGGCGCCCTTTGCGGCAAACAAAAAACCATCTTCCGGGCTAATAGGAGAAAAAAATGGCTCAAACAAATGAAGATGAAACGCCGCCCGCGATCAGATCGCAACATATTCTAAAGGTGGACCCAGCGTCACCTGCTGATTCGCCATTCAAATCAACTACTTTTGATCATACTAAAAAAAGGTCATTGCATTATCCGTCCCATTCGCAAACCCTTGCCGCTTTACCGCCTACGCCAATGTCAGCATACTTTGATGCAGAAGATGTTGGAGTAGGATTTGACGAAGAGAATGAGTATACACTTTCTTCATCCTCTTCTCCTCCTACATCTCTTGGAACGAGCAATTTTGATCGAACAGCTTTTCCTAGACTGACAAACTACAACGAAGGAAATAGTCGATCAAATTATGCGGAGCCATCGTCAAGTATCAAAAAATCAATCGCAATATTAAACTCAAACACAGACAAAGCACATCCAACAAATATGAGCGAAAGCGACGGCAATGAGGCAAGCGAAGGCAACCGCTCATTTTCATCAGAGGTAGACTCACCTGGTCCAGTAACACCGGCAACTCCAAGCAACTGGAAACCACGGGAATTGACTCTTTTACGAGCGAGAAAGGGCACTTGGGACTCAGAAACAAACGGACAAGGAAATACGACAACTTCTTCTTCAGCTGCAACAATTACACCAACGGCAAATGACAAATCATCATACCGAACGCTAGAAGGACTTGGAATACGCGGAGTTGCAAATTCAAATGCAAATGAAGTCATCAATCGTCGATCCTCACGCATGATCGCAAGAGATATTCTGCCGCCGATAACAACATCATCTCCTGGCACAACGCATCAGAGAGCGCAATCATCCGCAAACAATTCCAATGGGTCATCCTCTTCTGGTCATGCTCCTCGTGAATTGAAATTAGCCGCTTCAATTGGACCGCCATCCTCAACGAGGATGCATAATTTTACTTCTGGCTTTCCTCCTTTTAGTAGAATTCCTACTTCTTCAAACGGATCCGCTTATACAAGCATCACGGCGCCGCAATCTGTAAGTGCGCCTTCCAGCAGTCGAATACCTGTTCGTCATACGCCGGCATTTTCTCCAGTTGCTTCAACTCAAGATCAATTCGCCTCTTTCGCCGCTCCAAATAGTGCTGCATCAGGATCAACTATTATTGCAAAGCAAGAACCAATTATGAACGAATTCGAAGAGATGAAACACGATAAGATCACATCAGGAATATCAGCGAATGTCGACGCATTGACCTTAGATGAAGGTTTGTCCAACAGACAATCGCATTCTTCTTTACTACTATCAGAATCATCTCAACGATTTTCTCGATCCATGGATGACTTGAAAGCGATGCTCTTTGGCAGCGATCACAGTATGACGTTGATGACGGAAGAAGAGAGGTATTTGCAACATGGCAATGTTGAAGATACACAGCAATATGTTCCCCTCAGGAAGTCTCTTCTGAAATCTGTCGATGGACCAGGCTCGCAAACGCACTCGTTTGCTCAATCCCTTTCTGTCAACTCTCGTAGAAGAAAGCCGCCAGCACCGCTCATTCTCAGTCCTTCACCTCCATCGAATTACAGTCATAGCTCTGCAGGCCAATCGCAACCTAATTCGGCATTGTCGATGTCGGGTAAACCATCTTACAAAGTGGCTTCAAATCAATCATCCGTCACTGTTAATACGGAAGATGACAGTTTGGCAATCCATCATTCGCAAAAGCCGTCGTCTAAGCCTAGCACAGGCTTGGCTCCTCCCAGTGCTACTTATCTCCTAGCAAATCAGACCCCAAACAGTGCCTCTGGAGATCACTATTTGACCCCGCTTCAAAGTCCTGCTGTACCTCTTTCAGGCTCCAGCTCTCATTCTGCCGTGCCATACGAGCAAACAACGCATACGGCCGAAGATCATGAAACGTTGGTAAGAGCGGTCAGTCGTGTGAAGAAGCACATGCACGATTTATTTGGAGAAGAAAGCTCATCTTCAGTAGATGAAAAGTGGAAAGGAGCTAAGGAAGCGAAAGAGGAAATGAGCAGTGATGTAGAGGAAACATTGGTCAAGTCTTCTAGTGTGGGAACAAAGATTTCATCAAACACGCATGCTGATGAAGATTCAACAAGCATTGCTAGTCAAATGGAAACACCTTCCGTTCGCTCTTCTGAAGTTGGAAACGCGTTTGAGTTTGACAATATCGTCGATGCAAAAGAAGCCAGATCGGATATGCAAGACTCAACTGATTCCTCATTTTTGTCAAACAGGCCACCTTCTCCAGAACCTCTATTAAATTTCAATCGTGAGATTTTCGCACCTGTAAAGGAGCCTGTCCGGAAATCACCTCAGGAACAGCCGGTAAAAGCAGAGTTAACTCAGAAGCCACTCGGTCCCCCACCCGCTATTCCGCTTCCAATCGTACCAGGCGAAGGTGTAATCATTGGCAATAAGAGCAAAAGCACTTCTCCTGTTTTACGAAATGCCAAGCGAATTTCCAATCAATCTCAATTTGGCGGCCCAAGACGTGGATCAAGTCCTTCTGTGGATATGGGTGCAGCACTTTCGTATCAACAAGATCGATCTCAAGCGAATGTATCCCCTACCAGTACCAGAAGGACGGCTGACCAATTTCCCGGACAAGCCCCTATCCGGCAACATAAGAGCAAACCGTCTATTGTGCCAGCTGTGCCTTCTTTCGGATATCTTGTTCCATCCACCTCCCGAGAATCATCTTCCTCCAATCTGTCTCCGGTTGTGTCGAATGCGCCAATGAATCCATTCAAGCCACGACAGGATGTTGAACAATTTGGAACATCCAGATGGAGTTCAGGATCGGAAGATGAAGATGATCGACCGAAGTCGAGTGGAGGTCGTAAATCGATCGGTGGTCGATCAAAGAAAGGAAGTCAAAATGGCGGAATACCGACTTCTTTGTCCTCAAGACGGAATACGCAATCTTCCACTTCAAGCTCTTTGGCTCCTTTGAAGAAGTCCAGCTTATTCTCAGGATTAGGTTTGAGAAAGAAGAGCGTTCCTGCCCTTGTTTCGGATGTAAGCAACCAATCATCCCCAATGATTTTGGCTTCTGATTCACCCGCTTTCAGTAGAGGGGAAGGTATGAAGGAATTCCCTTTTCCTAATGTGCAACAACCTCGATTGTCACTGGCAACCAGCGTACGTTCAAATGCATCAAACCTGCCTTCCAGTCCAGTCATTAGCAGTCCAGTTAACAATCGAGCTTGGCCAGGTCAGACTGCAGTAGAGCAAAACGGATCTTTACGTCATCTGCAACGTCAAGTCAGCACACCTCATCTTCGGGATAGATTCTCATCGTTGAGCAGGAAGCCAAATCAGCTCACTCCACGTCCATCCGATGCAAGTCTTGCAACAACGGCTTCAGGTTCAAATGATTCTTCCATTCCATCACCTGCAATGCAATTCGGACCGCACGGTCTTGGAATTCAAGTTGCGCCCGAACGTAGCATGACGACTGATTCGGAAATGGGCAATGAACCACTTCAATCACTCGAATCAAGGTCAAGCGATACAGGTGTGCGTTTTTCCATCAAATCTCATCAATCCGGCGAATCAATCCCGAATGTTCATGATCGATTTGAGAAGCATGCTGCGGCAGTCATTTCCGCTAGACAGCAACAAAAGAAGGAGATCAAACGTGAAGTTCGGCAAAGATCAATGACTTTGCATTCGGGAGAAAGGTCATTATTTGATGCTCGAAATGCTGCTCTGCGAAATGGTGTTCCTCATTCTGCTATACCACCTCCGTTGCCATTCTTCCCTTCTGAACATGATTATGAGGCGGAAAAAGCTGAAGAAGCGCATGGACGTACAACAATTTCTCCAGATGAAACACCGAGAATTGCTTATGCATCCTTGAGCAATTCATCTCACGCACATGAATCAGTGCATTCTCCTGATCATGTCAAAACCCAACAATTCAGTCCTCGTCGTCGTGCAACGGACGAAGATGAAGGTCTCTTTGCAATGGGACAAGCTTTGGTCAATTCAACTTCTTCTCCTTCCGTTTCCTCTGCTGCGCACAAGGAATGGTTGTTCCCGACAAAGTCAAACCAAAAGGCTCAAAAACATCATCGCATTCGGGCAAATGGTCCTTCTTCTCGTCCAAGATACCCTTCCCTGACCGATCTTGGAAGAGAGTGGCAATCAAGTTACCCACAAGAAGCATTCAATGCTGCTCTTGGACCTGCTTTGTTGGAAATGACTCTTCAAGATGCAAATGATTTTGAGAGCTCATCATCTACTTCCAATACGGATGATTACGGATCCAGCGAGCATGAAAGTGGCAAGCAGACGGATACTCTAGCAAGTAGAGGGCGAGCGATGCTTGGAGGCAATGGCAAGCAAGGTCGGGATGATCTCTCAAGCGACGATGATCACAGAAAACGTCGAGACGGCCAACAAGTCAAGCAAGAGATCACTACTGATGTTGAAAGTACGGATTCTGAAGATAGCTATGGAGTATCTGAAGATGAAACATCTCATATTGATCCTAGACTTGTTGCTGGATCATCTGGCAAGGCAAAGGCCGCGCACCTTCCAAGCGCTGCATCATCGGATGATGTTCCACTCGGCAAACAAATCCGCAACCCAACGGAAATTTTGAAGAAGCTGCAAAGAAGTCAAACAACTGGAGCAATGAAGGGAAAGAGCAAAACCGTTTCTTCCTCATCGGGTAAGGTTGAAGTACCTTCGGGTAAATTGGGCAATTCATTCGATGCAACAGCATTGACCGATCGTCTTCTCACAATACAACGATCGCAATCGGTCAATTCTAAGGAAAAGCCTTTACCTCAACCGTTCCCGAATGCGCGAAAAGTTCAACTGAGACTCTCACCGGCTTCGAGTAATTTCCAACCTTCTTCGGATGGCGCAACAATGTACACTGCTTCTGAGATGCGTTCTAGCGCAAAGCAAAGCGAAGATGAAAGTGGTGCAAAAGCTTTGCAATCAAATGGTGCTCAATCTACAGTTGTTTCTGATTTTGCTCAAACTGTTCGTTTGCGTAGTCAAAACCGTTCAAGAATGCGACCAGTTGCGATGAACTTTCCCGAAAATGTGGCATTGCCGACAAGCAGTGTGCATACTTCATCTGATGCACCGGTGGTTGCTTCATCTGAACGTCCAATAGAAAGAAGCCATCAAACTTTACCGGTAAAAGAACAGGAACCAGAGACGATCCCGAAGTGGGAATTCGTACAGCAAGATACCGCTCCGAGCAACAAGCAAGCAATAGATGTACAAGCTCCCAACAAACAGACAGTGGAATACCGTATCAAGATTGCCAGTCCCTCCGGAGTCAAACAGCAGATAGTCCACGAACATAAGTCAGCCACCGCACGAGAGTTGGTTCGAGCCATGATGCGAGCAGATGTGATGCCAGTTGATGGCAGAGTTGGCGGTTGGGCGATCTTTGATGTTTGTCCGGAGTATGGAATCGAAAGACCGCTACGGGAATACGAACGGGCAATCGATGTGATCGACACACGTTTCAATCCTGCACTGGATCATTTTACCGTTCGAAGAACTGATTTAGCCCCTTATTTGAGCATTCAAGCCTTGCCAAAAACATCTCCAGCTTTGGCCGGATGGCTTTACGTGCAAGAGACTGGTCGTAAGAAAGGATGGAACAAGAGATGGTTTGAATTGCGCGACCAGGCACTCTATCAAGCCAAATCAGAAAAAGGTCGGGAAGAAGTGAAAATGTGCGACTTATCTGTTTATGACGTCTTTGTTCCGATCGAAGGTGAAACATGGACTGCAAAAGCGCCAAAGAAGAGCGCATTCGCATTGAAATGCTCGAACAAAAAGGAGGAAGAATTGGTGATCTACTTCTGCTTGAGCGATGCACGAGCAGCAAGACATTGGATCACGGCTATCAATCGTGCAAGAACATTCCTGATGAAATCTGAAAAGCCTCACCTCTTTGTGCAGAAAGAGTATACACGAGCCCCTCAAATGAAAGAAGTGCCCAATGACAACGCTCCTAAATCCCAATCTGCCGGAATGCCTGCTCCTCCAGTCGTTCCTCAACGTCCATTGGTGAACTTAAACACGGAGATTTTTGAACGTGGTTCTTTGTTGAACAACAATGAGATCAACAACGGTGCCAATCAACAAGAACAAGAATCCAACATAAATCTCCCTCCTCGTGGTAGCAGCGCTTCCCACCGCAAGCCTGTTCCTGGTCAAAATGACAGATTTGCCGGTGCATCTAGTCAATTCCCCACGGATGAAGACCAAAAGCGCAGATTTGATGAAATACGTGAAATGGAAAGAATCCAACGTTCTCTTGGCTTACCGTTGATTGGGGTCGTTGAGAAAAGTCAACAACAGCAATAAAGCCGTTGGACATTGCATCTATTGCTCAATCCCATTCCTTATCGAAACCATTAATACAACGTTACCCTCCTTAGACTCTTACCTCGTTTGTATAAATATTTATCTTCTCATGTTGCAGCGCAGCATTGTTCGGTTTCTAGAAATTGAACAATTGGCCTCCATGTTATGTATACAATATCGCTTAGACACACTTTTGTGTGGTCAATGTATTCTATTCTTACTTTTTTTGAATAGTGTGATTATCATATTCATCAATGCGTTTGTACATGTACATGCATCTTTGATCCCTTCTTTTCTCCATCTTTTGAGTATTATACATGGGTGCGACTCTTCTCTAGATCTTGGTCATTGGGGCTAACCAAGTATCGGCTTTCTTGAATTGTTGGACTAGCTCTGCACTGATGGATTTCTCCTTTTCCAAGATGTTAATAGCTTGAATGATGGCTGACCAGAATCGGAATCCTCTGGCAATCTCTCCACGAACATCTTTGATATTGGAAAAAGTACTTTCCAACATACCCAAAACTGCTTCTCTTGCTTCTACTACATCTGCATCATCTTCTTTACCCGCTTCCACTACGCCATTGTTGAACGTCAAAAGTGCTTCCAAGTAACATTTTACCACGATTCCCAATCCCGTTGAAGTGACTGTTTGGAACGGCAAGCTTAGCGAAATGTCGAGGTAGTCATCCCGATCACGTTTGATGTACGTCCCGCCTTTTAGCAACATCGTAGAAGCAACCACTTCTACCAATGTTCGCAAATTCTTCGATAACGCTTTCAAGAAGCTGTTGAATTGCAAGAGCTCTCTGCTCAATGGTGCCTTCCAAGCTTGTGTTTTGTAGTTCATTGGCAGGATCGATAATGATCGCATGATCAACAGCAGATGTTTCCGGCTCTTTTGTACGACTTCCCTTTCTTCCGCATCTGTGCTGTCCACATCTCCCCATGTAGGTCCTCCGCTCTTGATGATTGGTTCTTTGTTGGGATGAGATTTGTAAGGTTGATCATGCAAAACATTTGCCCGGATCAATTCAAGTGCCAGATACAATGGCTCTTGGAACTTATCGTTCAATCGGGAACTTCTGATCGAAAGGTGCAGAGCACGAGCATAAGGTGTATGTAGATGATCGTAATTCAAGAATCCACGCATCTCCAAAAAGCGCCAAATGACATTTGCAACGATTTCATCCTTTTTCTCCAACACAGTAGCAGTAGCCGGCTTTACCTTTTTCGCCACTGCACCTGACTTTTGGTCATCCTCTTTCCTGGCATCTGGTCTGGGTGTCTTTGTTTGTTCAGCCTGATCAGCTCTACCTGTGGCTCCTAAGCAAAGTGCGATATCTATCGTACTGCTGACTTGTCTGCGCAATTCTTCTTCGATGTAGAGGAAGTTCACGTTCCATTGATCGACTCTTTTGACAAGTGTTTGTGTATTGTTGGATTCGATTGCGATATCGTGTCCTGTTTGTCCTTTCTCGAAATGATAGTGTGCAGAAATCTTGCGGGAAGACCAGAAAGGGTTCAGGCTGTCGCACAGAAGGGCTAATGCCACACAACGCGGAGATTGAGGGCTCTCGACCAGAGTGTATCTGACAAACTGTCTCCAATCTTCTGAATCTCCTTCATCGAGGGGTGCAAGCTCAACAACTGTTCCACTGACGAGGTTGTTGAGAATTGACGGACTTAAGAGACCTCGAGAGACGTGCAAGAACAGTTCATCCGGTAGCCTATTGCTGAATATTTCGTGCAGATCACTGGGAACATCACTCGTTGATAAGATCGGGGCTCCACTCGTTGTTGGTGCTGTTGGAGGTGTTGCTCCATTCACACCTGGTGCTACATGACCGCCGTTGAGAGATGCACCGGGGATTGGTGGTGGTGGTGTTGCTAGAGAAAGCGGTAGTACCCGTCCTTCTTCCGCACTCATCACCAGGCAAAATTTGATTAGGCATCGAGCTCGACAGAAAGCTTCAACGTAATTGAGCTTCACACAGCCAGCATGATCTGAAAAGGCTTGGCAGGCTGTGAATCCTGAACGGTGCTGACGGACAGTCTCTAGAGCTTGGACCGGATTGGGGAGCCCTATCAGGGCAGTCGTTGTTCCGTTCGCTAATGGTTTGGGGCTCGGATTCGGGATGGTTCCATCAATCAAAGGCGGAAACGTTGGACAATGTTCGAACCCGAGCAAAAGGCCCATATCCAAGAACTCTTCTTCGGAACAACGAAGAGCTCCCATGATTTCCGACTTTGATGCGAATGTAAACGTTGGTTGCTTTGCAGGATTGGACGGATCTGTATTGCGTAGATTGAGCGACAAGATGACCTTATCGACTCGATCAAACAGGAACGTTTCCGTTGTACCGTAAATTGCATGCACATATGACTTTGAATGACGTTCCAAATAAACAAGCTGTCCTTCTGCCATATATGGTGCAACCAAAAATTCCACATTTCGGTGTCTGAATGCACGCAATACGGCTCGAACAAGATCGGGAACTTGTACTGAACCACTTCGGCTTAAGTGACGGATAGTACCGTCAACATCACCTCGTTCATAGCACTCCCATGCCATTCTTCTTTGATCTGTGCGTGGATCGTCTGCCAAGATAGGCTTCCCACGTCGGGAAGGCAAGATGCCGCCTAGCACAAAGACTGGTTTGACTTTCGCTTTGTCCAAGACATGCAGATCATTCTCGATGTGGGAGATGATTGCAAGAGGACTGCCTCCCAATGCACCTACGTACGGTTCCGATGTCTCGGGCGAGGATAGCAGAGATCGAAGATAGAGTGCGAGATCGATGCCCAGACGTGCATCTTTGATCGTGCTAAGCGGCACAGTGTGTGTGAGATTTTGAGCTCTCAGGAAGCCTGTTGGTGTGAAGAGAGTACAATCTAGTCAGCTCAACGGTTTTGGCATTTATGCTCCTGTGCCTAATTACTTACCCTCAAAGCTGTTGATCATCGTCGCAGCTGCTCTCTCGATTGCAGTTGCCAATACCAAAGAGTGTCAGTTAACGTGTCTGCCTGCTCTGGAAATGAGGACCGGCCTCGCAGTCTCTGCCAATACTGTACAAAATGAGACAATGTCTTTCGATTGCAATCGCAATCAAAGAAAGGTCAGGCTGATGTAGGATGTGGTGTCAAGAAGACAATCAACTCGATCCATACATTCTCACCTACTGTCGCCTGCAGTTTAACCGTATCGCTGTGCTCTTAGCGTGGACAATAAAGGCGATTGGCCTCAGGCCGTGCGCGTACTGGCACAGCTACAGCGCCAGAGAATGCATTTGCATTTCATTATGCGTGAGATTCAAACAGGCTGAGTTCCACTGGAGGCAGCTTATGAATTGAAATTTTATAGAGACAAACTCTTTTTCACCTACCACCATAATCGCTCATTCGTCATGCCTGCCCAGGGTGGCAATTCTGGCCGCCCAAGAATAAGGCTGAATGTCTCACAACCATCATCAGCTTCAACTTCTCGACCTGCCACTGCACCTCAAACTCCTAATAATGGCTCTGATGATTATGAAGACGAAGATGACGTAGACGAGTATGTTGACACGAACGACCGCTCAGCCAAGAGCACTTCAAATGCATCAAAGAGAAGGCTTAGAGACGGTAACGAATCCGATGATATGGACGATGATGAACAGCCTGAACGGGACTACACTCAATTGGAGTTGAAGCCAGATCATGCTTCACGCCCTCTTTGGATTTCGCCATCGCCTGATAGTTATATCATCACTATGGAAGGATTCAGTCCAATCGCAGAACAAGCACAAGATTTTTTGATTGCTATAGCCGAACCTGTCAGCCGACCTGCATTCATTCACGAATACAGGTTAACGCCTTATTCCCTTTATGCGGCTGTTTCAGTAGGCTTGAATCCTTCTGACATCATTGAAGTTCTCAACCGGCTGTCCAAGTCTCCCGTACCAGAGCGAGTGATCGACTTTATCGTCAACAGTACTCGTTCTTTCGGTAAAATCAAGCTGGTTCTGAAGCAAAACAAGTACTTTGTCGAAAGTGCTTATCCTGATATTTTGCGAGAACTTTTGCAAGATGATGTGATCGGCAAAGCGCGCGTACGTGGTGGCGATACAACGCAAGGCAATCGACGTTTAGAGATTCTTGGTAGTACGTCTGCGCCAACAAGAGGAGATCTGGTCATTCCCGGTACAGAGAGTGCAGCCAGAGCTCGCCAACAACAACAGCAACCACAACAACAGAATGGAACGGCTTCGGGTGGCGCACAACCATCTAATCCCAATAGCGCAACAAATCCACCCACAAATGCTGCAGATGCACAGAGAGAGACGGATGCAGATCTATTCGATGCAATCATTGGAGTAGATGAGACAGATGAGGCAGGCGGCGATGATGAAGATGTGGTACACAGTTTCGAGATTGAAGAAGCAGCAATCGAAGATGTCAAGAAAAGATGCCAAGAGATTCAGTACCCAATGTTGGAAGAGTACGATTTCCGAAACGATACATTAAATCCTGATTTGGATATTGATTTAAGACCAATCACGCACATTCGACCCTATCAAGAGAAGAGCTTGAGTAAGATGTTCGGAAACGGTCGTGCACGTAGCGGGATTATTGTGCTACCGTGTGGTGCTGGAAAGACTCTGGTGGGAATCACTGCCGCGTGCACGATCAAGAAGAGCTGTCTGGTCCTCTGTACTAGCTCGGTCAGTGTGATGCAATGGAGACAACAATTCTTGCAATGGTCAAACATTCAGGATAGCCAAATTTCAGTCTTTACCGCGGAAAACAAGGCAAAGTTCGCTGGACCCGTCGGAATTGTTGTTTCAACGTATTCCATGGTTGCAAATACCGGTAAACGGTCCCATTCATCGCAAAAGATGATGAACTTTTTGGAGTCGCGGGAATGGGGTTTTGTTCTATTGGATGAAGTTCACGTTGTGCCTGCAGCAATGTTCAGACGAGTGTTGACAAAGATTAAAGCGCACAGCAAATTGGGTTTGACAGCCACTTTGGTACGTGAAGATGAAAAGATTGACGAATTGAACTTCCTCGTTGGACCCAAATTGTATGAAGCAAATTGGATGGACTTGGCCGCAAAAGGACACATTGCTACCGTTCAATGTGCAGAAGTGTGGTGTCCAATGACGCCGGAGTTTTATCGGGAATATTTGCGAGAGAAAGCGCGCAAACGATCACTTCTGTGCACGATGAATCCGAACAAATTCCAAGCATGTCAATTCTTGATCGATTACCATGAAAAACGGGGTGATAAGATCATTGTTTTCTCGGACAATGTCCACACCTTGGAAGCATATTCAAAGAAGCTCAAAAAGCCGTTTATTCACGGACAAATCCCGCAACAGGAACGCATGCGTATCTTGAACCACTTCCAGCATAACCCCATCGTCAATACCATTTTCCTCTCAAAGGTTGGTGATACATCTATTGATTTGCCGGAAGCTACTTGCCTGATCCAGATCTCAAGTCACTTTGGTTCACGTCGTCAAGAGGCGCAACGATTGGGCAGAATCTTGAGAGCAAAGAGGAGAAACGATGAAGGTTTCAATGCATTCTTCTATTCTTTGGTCAGTAAAGATACGGTAGAGATGTACTACAGTACCAAACGACAACAATTCCTTGTGGATCAAGGTTACAGCTTCAAAGTGATTACCGAGTTGCAGGGTATGAAGGAGATGCCGGAGTTGATTTTCAAAACTCGAGAAGAGCAGATCGAGCTGTTAGGGAGTGTCTTGATGCTGGGTGATGATGCAGCAGATGTTGGGACTGATTTGATGGGGTCAGAATGGTCGGATGATGTTCGATTTTCGACCAATAATAGCGGTTCTGACTCGAAAATGTTTGGTAATATCCCCAAAGCGGCAAGAAGTGCGGTAAGTTTGAATGCCCTATCGGGTGCTGAACATATGAGTTATAGCGAACGCAATCGATCGCAGAACAAGACTTTATCGAAAGATCGTCATCTGCTGTTCCGCAAGAAAGATGCGGCGAAAGCTAGGATGGCAAAGGAGCGGGGATAGCTGAATGACAAAAACGTGTATTTTTACTGTATATTATTATATTTTCACAAATCGATCAAGTAGGCAAAAAGTGCGCTTGAGCTGCCTTTTGAGCTTCCAAGCTTTTGTCAAAGAAGTGAAGACCTCCAACGATGGCCAAAGAGACGAAAGCCATTGTGATGAACAGCCAAAATAGGATCCATATTTGTGTGCTTGCCCTTGACATTCTTGCAAAAAGTGCAATATCGGATTCGTTTGATTTACGAAAGACGAAATCATCAGCGATATCCCATAAAACGTAAAAAGCGTTCAAGACGCCCAAAAAGAGAACGTAAAAACGTAATGCGGTAGCATGATTGATGAAAAAGAAGGCGATACTGATTGCCATACAAATTAAAATTCGGATTCGCGCCCATGTCCTACCGAACCAAAAGCAAAAGATTAACATTGGATAAACGATCAAAGCGGCAATCTTGCTTGCGGTTATGTCAAACGCTGCCATCATCAATCCTGAGCCTACCAAGATTGAACAAATGTAACCTGCTGCCAAGATTATTGGTGGAATTCCGCCCGTCATTCCGCTGATTGGACCTTTGTCAGGGTCGATTGTTATGCTGTTCAGTGCAGTGCAATTGAGGGGGTAAGCAATTGTGTTGAGCTTCTCACGGCATGTCCACAATCCACTTACGAAAAGATCTTTGCGCCTGTCAATGTGCCCACTGCAGATGTTAGGATAAAATTAGAGTCAGAAGAAGCACATCGTCCCAACATCAGAGCTTGACTTACCGAACAGATGTCCAGATTCGTGTATGGCATTCGCTTTTATGTGTAGAAAGGGGAAAAATTCATAATCATTAGAATACACAATCACCATATTCGTACGAAAATCTATCTCCCATCGCCTCAACCTGTGACTGAGTTGATGTTATAGAAGGAGAGCTATCATCTTTGAACTTACCCCACATCTTCCATGGATACAATGCATCACGTAGTAAGATCATATTCCATCCAAACAGTAGTGCGACCAACATCACCGCTGCTACCCAAATCGTTTTGATCTGATCAGGATTGGGATGAACGATTCCACCTGTATGCGTGTATGCATAATCTTGTTGACCGTATGTATTGGGTATTGTCGCAGTCGGTTGAATGATCACAGCAGCCGTTTGAGATGCAGTTGCTGTGGATAGCGATGGTAAAGGTGAAGCGCTTGGCAGGAATGATGTGTAATACTGTGTCGAAGTAAATGTTGAGATTGCTTTTTGACCGGGTACAGAAGCAGATGCAGTGCTTTCGACAGAAGCAGGCAAAGGTGCTGTACTAAGAGTGTTGGGATTATACCCTTCATAAACGATTTTCGTTATCACTTCGATCACAGTCCCATTCATATCTCCCATTTCTATTGATCGTGGTGATCGAAGAGCTGATGAAGTAGGTGATGGTGGTGCGATTGCAAGTGTTGCTTGAACGGGATGTGGATTGACTGTATTTGCATTTCCCGGTTTCCACAAAGGAACCAATGCTGCTGGTGTTGGCCCTGCTGCTTTGTTGTTGTTCATCTTGTCAGAAGTTGATTCAATGCATTAAATGTTGATTTCACTTTCTACACAATTGATTACAGTCGCCTATATTATCCCTCACCGCGTGCGTATTCCGGTATGAATTGGGATTCAACCTCCGAATAGCAGCAAATTTGGCTGATGTTCTCTCTTTGTTTGTTCTTACGTTGATTTTCACTAGGTTAAGGTTGTGAGCATTTTTTATCCGAATCAAAATACGAGACAAAGATCTTTGAGAAAATGCAACCTCCCCTCTTCTTATTTCATCTTTATTCAGGAATATTAATGAAGACGCTGATCGCCTTCAGAATCGCCCGCTTTCATCACGCTCATACACATTTTCTAAAAACGCCAGCCATCAGCTCAGCCAACCCTATACAATTGTCGGCACCGCTCACAAAAGGAGGCTTTTCTTATCACGCCTCGGTATCAACCATTCCGTGTTTCTCTCAAGGCAAACAGGAGGAAGAATGAGGGGCGCCGGTCATGTAACAAAAGGCGTACGCTGAATGCTGAATTACGCCTAGGCAGTGCGTGACATCCCCCTCTTGCATGCATGCATTCATTCATCCTGAAAGGTCTTAAGAGGGTATGAAAGAGGTAGCATTGGATTGTAGCGTTGAAGGTGGTGTACAATTGATTAATGGAGATAGTAGAAGAAAGTGAAAGTCCATCCCGCGAAGCTATCGGAATTGGTTTTCAAGGTATCATAGTATCTATCGTCCGATTATGACGATGAATTGAGGGAAGCGCCTCAACATCTTATGATGATGGCTTGGCTGAATTATTGGTAGGTGCAGCATTCGATGATCCAATCTTGCTCCAAAAATCAGCATAACTCTTCCCGCTTCTATTGGAAGATTGTTGTGCGCCACTCCTTCCGCTTGACGCATTGAGGGAAGGACTCTTTTGCGCATTCAACCCAGAAGAGAAAGAATGCTGGTTAGAAAACAAATCTTTATACCGATCATATCCACCAGGAAGAGTCCCTCCCGAAGCAGGTGGCGTAACCAAACCGGCAAAAACATCTGCTGTCATATTACTCCCGCCACCGATTGATGCTTTTCGTATTGTTGTTGGCGATGTTTTCGCACGCCATTGTGGCGTTGGCGTTGAGGGTGTATAATGAAATTTTTGTCCACTCCCTGTCCCTATACTCCCGGAGCGATATGCTTGAGGAGATTTGGATGGTATCACATTGGGAGATGTCATTGATCCGCTCGCCCGTCTGTGTTTGTAGTACAAATTCTCCACTTCTGATAGAGATTGTTTTGACTGAAGGAGGGGAAGGATTAGCCATTGTTCTACCTATTCTCTCGTCATTCTACTCACCCATCCATGTTCCACTTTGAATGCAGCATATTGAAGTCTAGTTCTCAACTGTTTAGACAGCTGTGAATAAGATGATAAAGTCAACACCCATTCCCAGCACAACCCACCCATTCTATACACATACCGCGATCATCCTGGCTTTTTGAGCTGCCTGTTGCCTTTTGTTCATTGATGATATAACTTTTGCTTGAGAAGGTGAAGGTGTTTTAGTGGAAGATGATGCTAGAGGAAGTCCTGCGATATCATCTTGCGGTGTAGCGGATGTCCGCACTTCACCCATTGTTATATCCATGGTTCTCAACCCGCAAAGATTGATCTTTTTGAGAGAAGGTGGTGAGAGAAGCCTCTTGTGATGATGAGGATGATGTGTGCCAGTATTGAGGTTCATTTCTCAGCTTGGTTTACTGCACTTAAGCCTTATATTCTTGCTTGCAGCCCAAAATGTGGACGTGCGTGCTTAAAGCGTGATAAACACAAACCACGTCTTTCGCGTATAGGGCGAAGGTATCACGTGGAATACCTTTCAAATGATAACAAATGAAAATCAAGCTAAGATGGGAAGAAACGGAAAATTGCATTCACGTCTGTGCACTAACGCCCGGCTAGATAAGATTAATGCTGCATAGTTAAAAACCATCATCTTTACATTCTTGCAAAAATGACTTCTGCTCCTGTTGCTCTACTTTCAGTCTATGACAAAACTGGCTTGATCGAACTTGCTAAAGATTTACATTCACGCAATGTTCGTCTACTCGGAAGCGGTGGAACGGCCAAAGCAATCCGTCAAGCAAACATCCCAATCGAAGACGTTTCAGATGTCACAAAAGCACCTGAAATGCTAGGAGGACGTGTGAAAACTCTGCATCCCGCTGTTCATGGCGGTATTCTTGCTCAAACAGACAAAGAATCTGACGTGAAAGATCTACAAGATCAACAAATTGCCGCTATCGATATCGTAGTTTGCAACCTATACCCTTTCGAAGACACCATTGCCAAGGAACCATCACCTACCATTGCTCAAGCAGTCGAAGAGGTTGATATTGGTGGAGTGACACTCTTGCGTGCTGCAGCAAAGAACCACAAGCGGGTTTGGGTCTTGACTGATCCAAAGGATTATGCTAAGTTCGGCCAAACATACGGAAAAGGTGGAGAACAAGAAGAAGCATCAAAGAAGCTGTTCGCCTTGAAAGCCTTCGAACATACAGCCCATTACGATGACGCAATCAGCGACTATTTCCGTAAGCAATACGCTTCCGTTAACGCAAACACCGGTCTCACTCAACAAATGACCTTGCGTTACGGTGCAAACCCTCACCAGAAACCCGCCCAAGCCTTTGTTACCGAAGGTGAACTACCCGTCAAGGTTTTGGGCGGCTCACCCGGTTATATCAACTTCTTGGACGGTTTGAACGCCTATGCTCTCGTCAAAGAGTTGGCCGAAGCTACCGGATTGCCTGCAGCTGCTTCATTCAAACACGTTTCTCCTGCAGGAGCTGCAATTGGTGTCCCACTCACAGACGTTGAAGCCCGTGCCTTCTTTGTCGATGATCTCGACCCGGCTCAAATGACACCTTTGGCAACCGCATATGCTCGTGCTCGCGGTGCTGACCGTATGTGCAGCTTCGGTGACTTTATTGCATTGAGTCACAAGTGTGATTACCAAACCGCACGAATCATCGGTCGGGAAGTCAGTGATGGTGTCATTGCTCCCGATTACGAACCCGAAGCATTGGAAGTGTTGAAGAAGAAAAAGAATGGCGGATACTGCGTCTTGAAGATGGACTCCGATTACGTTCCTCCTTTGGTAGAAACACGTCAAGTGTACGGTATCTCTTTACAACAAAGAAGAAACGATTTAAAGATCGAGCCATCTTTGTTCCAAAACATCATTACCGAAAACAAGGAAGTGACCAAACAAGCATCTTTGGATATGTTGGTTGCCACTTTGGCATTGAAATACACGCAATCCAACAGTGTTTGTTATGCTTTGAACGGTCAAGTGATCGGTTTGGGAGCAGGTCAACAAAGTAGAATCCACTGCACTCGTTTGGCAGGAAGCAAGGCAGACAACTGGTGGTTGAGGCAACACCCTCGCGTTCTTTCATTGCCATTCAAGAAGGGAACAAAGAGACCGGAGAAGTCCAATGCCATCGATTTGTTCGTCGAAGGTACATTGGAAGGTGCAGCTTTGAAGGATACCCAAGAACGCAAAGATTGGGAAGCTTCTTTCGAACAGGTTCCCGCACCTCTATCGGCTGAAGAACGTGCCGAACATCGTGCCGCTCTCAAGGGTGTTGTCTGCTCTAGTGATGCTTTCTTCCCATTCGGTGATAACGTTGAAGAAGCTAACAGACATGGTGTCACTTACCTTGTCGCTCCTGGAGGCAGTGTACGTGATGAAGATTGCTTGAAAGTTGCAAACAACCACAAAATGGTCTTTGTTCGTACCACAATGCGTTTGTTCCACCATTAAAAAGATGTATTCACACAGTAAATTTGCATGTCAACGGTATATATTGTTCAACTTATTGGCATGCGTGTATAATTGCATAAGAAGAACGTGAATTTTTTATTATTTAAGGGAGGGGGCCATGATTGCAGTAATCGAAATCGTTTGTGTATATGATGTACAGGTCTCAAGTCGTAGGCAATCGGGAAATCTGATTAAAAAACAAGAACAATACCTCCCCCTTAAGCATCACCTGCGCCTCTAGCTTCCCTTGCCCTTTGTTCTGATGCCTTTACACTTTCCTTACTTTCTTCTTCTAACTTTTGTTTTGCTTCTTCAGGTGACATTTCGCCAAATCCGGTAACATCCACTATTTGAGCGTCTGCCGGATAGACGGGTAAAGCCAAAGCGAATTTTTCCTCAATTTCATCTGAAACAAATCTTCCGCCCAAGAAATGCCTTCCGATCTTTTCAGGTCCAAGGGTGAAAGATTTGATTCCATGTTTGGGTGCAGTTAGAGAAAGGATAACTTGTGGTGTGAATTTTTTGCCTCCTTGATTACCTTCATCAACGCTCCATCCGGATGGAATGTCAATGGAAACGATCGGTGGAACTTTACGACGTGCTTCGAATTCCATTCTAGATTCATTATTCATAGCATCCAAAGGTTCTTTGAACGGTTCCCTTGGTTCTCCTTTGAATGAAAATCCAAAGATTGCATCTAGAACTACATCTGCTTCTTCTAGTGCATCAACAAATTCATCCGTATCAACAAAATCAACATTTAAATTTTTAAGTTGTTTTTTGAGTCTTGCAAACAATTCAGTCTTTCCTTGTTTTGGATACCAAAGCATTACCCGATAACCAAAATGACTTAAATGTCTTGCTGCCACTAATCCATCACCACCTTGATTCCCAGGTCCTGCAGCCACTAAAACGGTACCAAAAGTTGAAGGAGGATAACAAGCAAAAACTGTTTGTGCGCATGAAAGCCCGGCTAATTCCATCAATTGATCAATACTGAACCCGCCTTCTTCCGATAAAAGTTGTTCGTCAATCTTTACTGCCGTTTCTGCATCTATATAACGTAACTTTTGATTCGCGCTTGACAAAGGTGTTTGTAGAGCTGGCGTTTGTTGTGCTATTCCTGTTGCTCCTGCATCTGTGGTGTTAGAAGTCATTCTGATAAAGGTAAAGTTGGTAAGGTGGATGCTATGAATTTGATGAGGATTGATGACTTTTATCCGATGATGATGATGAAATCGAGTAAGGCTAAAATTGATTGAATTGAATCTGAGCGCCTTTTGTGGGATGATTGAATTGAACCGTAAAATGATTGAATGCAGGTCAAATTCGCCACAACGAACCCGGTTGAGGAAGAACGACAACAGATGGAAGTCGAATGAGATGGCAATCACTCTTAATGATTGATTCGGTCAATGCGTTTCTTTTTTTCAGTAATCTAGTGCAAAAAAAAAGGAAGTCATTCATCCACAGCTCAACGCAGGCAGGCAGGGTCTTGTATTATGAATATAATTGATTGATTGCATTCACTCCTTCACAGACAGAGTGCCTATGATTGACTTAATGCGTAACGCCGCCCTGCACTGCGCCAAAGAAGAGAGAGGCTGTCGCGTTGTTCATTGTTTTCTGCTTCTACACGGGCGCATTTACCCTGGGGTCCAAACAATAGAAGCAGTGTGTGTGTGCGCAGGCTTAACTCGGAAATATGTAATTCAAAGACATGCTATGCTCTCTCTTCAACGATTAGATAGGGAAAACGCATCAGAATTTTGATTGAATATGGTACAAAAGCGATTATATGTTAATAATAAGGTAAGATCTCTCTGCAGACAACAGACTTATTGTCTCTCTTCTGAGTCCAAATCACGCGTGCCTGATGAAAGACCGTTGGATGGACTGACATCACCATCAGTAAGGCTAGACTTTTCACCATTCTTCATCTTCTTGTCATCACTGTTTCTGTCTTCTTGAGACAAGATCGCAGCATCATGGTTATCATCACTAAATCCATTCATACCATCACGGTCAACGGATGTGATATAAGTTGTCCATTTGCGTGTGGGAACACGAGCGTTGATCATTTCTGCAATCTCTTCTAACGTACGACCTTGGGTTTCAGGAACGCAGAAGAAGGTAAAGATGATACCTAAGATGGTTCCAACTCCATAAATCCATCCAATTTGAGTTCCCAAATTTGCCTTATCAGCATCAAAGAGGTAAGGAAGTGTGAAAGCCACAACGAATGCCCATAAGAAGAAACAGGCTGATCCCAAAGACATCAATTTTTGACGGTTTGCACCAACTGCACATTCTGATGCAACGACCCATGCAAGAGGACCCCAAGCAACGTTGAAGAAGAAGACAAAGATGCAAATCATTGCAACGACGACATTGTTTTCGGCTTGAGTACGTTGACGGTGAATTGCGCCCAAAGCAGCCATGACGAAAAGGGAAGCAAACATAGGAATAGATGTCCAAATCAATAATGGTCTACGGCCAAATCTGTTAACGACACCAAAGCTGAAAATAACACCAACAACTTCAATCACGGTAACAATGATTGTGTAAATGAATGCTTTATCCGTATCGGTTTCAGAAGTACCAGTTGCGACGGCAAAAAAGGTTGTCGTATAAGAAAAGATGAATTGAACACCGTTGATTTGTTGAGCTGAAAGGATACCGCAAACGATCATCATTTTACGTAATTCTTCCTTTCGGGTGAATAAAGTCTTCCAGCCCGAATCTTTGCCCAATTCCTCTTCTTCACGTTTTGCTTCTTGGAAAGAGCGTAATTGAATTTGAACGATTGCTTCTGGATCTTGTTGATCTTTGTTCAAATTGTACAAAGATTTGATTGCTTTTTCTTCTTTGCCTTTGTTTACTAACCAACGCGGTGATTCAGGAATGATGAATTGAATGGCAATCAAACAAAGCGCCAAAGCAAAGATGACTGCGATCGGAATTCGCCATGCTCCCGTATCAGTTCTCTTTGATGTTGCTTGTCCCACACATGCTCCTACAACTTGGCCGATTGCGAGCAAAAGCTGCCATGATCCCACAACGACACCACGGATGGCCACAGTTGAAATTTCTGACAAATATAGAGGTACGGTGTTTGCCAAGAGACCGATACCCATCCCGAGGATCGCGCGGCCACCCGTGAGTAAGCCAACTTTTCCGACAACGATAATTTGCAATAAAGCACCGATAATCAAACAAGTAGAAGCAGCATGGAAAGTACCTTTACGTCCCAAGAAATCACCTACAGGTCCGGCCACAAGAGCACCAGCAAATTCACCGGCTTGAACGATACTTGTAGAATAAGATTTTTCGTTTGACGGGAAAACATAAGTGCCATTTGGGCCTGGAACACCAAAATCACGCAAGAACCTTGGCATTTGAATGCATGAAGCCCAATATTGACCATCGTATCCGTATGAGAAAGCACCCAAGGTTGCTAACATACAGTAGAACAAAGGACGAATGTTTGGTTTGGAGAAGAATTTTTCAGCTCCTGCAACTGGGGCTAAACCAGCGCCACCTCCTGCACCACCCATTGTTGATGTTGTGTTTGTTTGTTGAGAAAGAAGAGGATGAACGAGTTCGATATCAGGATCAAAGTATCCTTTTGTGCTTGTAGAAGAGGACCACTTGAAGAAGGAGGTGGAGAGAGACAAAGTTGTTCGCAAGTCGCTTAATGGCTTTAAATAACTTTTCTTCATTTCATAACTTTTTTTATCTTTCTGCAAAGATGCAGGACCGGCCTCGCCAAGACAGCCTCTCTCACAAAAAATAAAAAGATGGTTCTTCTTTTTGTGGCATTCGACCTCTCTGTGGGGTAGACAAGAGTCTTTCGATGTAAGTAAAACTCAGACCGAAACACCGATTAAAGGCACAAATTGCATTCTTTTGTGTGATCGTCGGAGGAAAATGACAGTGTAATGCATATATTTACCGATTCAAAGCGGATGGTCTGAGTATGTACAATTGCAATTCACAGCTTTTGTTTCTCGGCTTGTTAGTGAATGACTTTTGATCTTAAGCCGTCGGAAGAACTTTTACCAAAAACCCAATGCAGAAGAATACATTGAGTGATGCATTGCGTAAAGGGGGGCATTGTTCACTGCTTTGTTTTTTTAGCCGAAAGTATACCGCTAGTGGCGAGAAAAGGGAAGAACATGCACAATTACAGTATTCACCTTTCATCCTAATAAAAGGCATAAAACGGCCAAGAAAGGCATTTTTATTCGCCGATTCAATTTTGCGGTACGGCGCCAGTATTAATAAACACGCAAATTCCCTCATTTTAGTGCAATTGAGTTTGCACTTGATAGGAACAATGCCAACGGTTGTTATGCCCTCCTCTATCCCTGACCTTTGCGTTAGCGTATATTTGCTTACATGAAATTTGCCGAAGACTCACCGAGTAAAGAGGGAATAATAGCCTAGTGGAACAACTTTTTTGATCACTAGCCTACTTCTTCTTCCTTCGTTGGGGTAATTTTTTGCATTCCTTCATTTCAGCTGAGTTTTTTCAAATTAGCAGGTAGTGTGACTTTAACACCCCCGTAAAAAAGAAGTTATGGGGAAAAAGTATGGGGGATGAGGAGAACGGGTGCCATTAATTTGGTAGCAAATATTGTTTCGGGCCGTACCAATTTCATGGCGATGATAAAGAGCAAATTCAGCCTTCTTCCCCATACCCCACACACACAATACCACTCTTCAATTCAGGTACCGACTTCTTCATTTACTCGCAATTAGCCCTCCCCCTTACCCCACATTCAGATGTAGGAACACAATTCCATGGAAGCTTACATCCGAATTTGTGCTCTTATCCCATCAATGTCCGATCCTGTGGTACTTCATTAATTTCATCTTCAACTTCCGATGCGATCGAATTCATGTCATTGATTGTGATACAGTGTGTTTCTAAATGAGAATCGTATGTGCGAAAAAAAAGAGAGGAGAGAATACCATGCGAGGAACCAGAGAGAAAGAGAGAGAGAGGGACAACAGCAACACAGAAGCAAATAAGAAGGAATTGTCCATCAACTTCATCGACCACCTCCGTAATTATTATATCCGTTCCAATTATTACCGCCACCACTTGGACCCCGACCAGGTTGAGGTGATTGATGCGGATTACCGCCTCCATTCGGGCCCCGATTTTGAGGCGATTGTTGGGGAGAAGGACCATAAGGATTGTAGTATTGCGCTTGTGCAGTCGGAGGGGCCGGTTGAGAAGAGTACATTTCCGCTGCATTATAGTAAGGAGGCTGAGCAGGATATCCTTGCTGATTCAACATATGTGCAGAGCCAGCCGATCCTTGCCTTCTTTGGCCGCCGTTCATTTGATTCATTGGCGAAGGTGTTGTGCGAACAGGTCCCATTTGCGGTGAAGAGGACATTTGTGCTGGTGATGCAGTTCTGTTTGGCTGCATGCCACCAAAAGAACCATTAGACCTTTGTTGATACATTTGTGAGCCACCATTATAGTTGCTGTACATATTCGCAGGGCTTTGTCGACCTCCTTGGAAATAACCTCCATTTCCTGTCAAACTGATATTGCTGCCATTAGAGTGATACATCGGCTGTGAAGCAATGTCTCCAGGAGGATACTCTAGACCTGGTGTGGCTTGAGGAGTAGCATAAGGTGTTCCATACGAGTAAAGTGTGTTGCCAGACTGTTTGCGACTATGCGACATGGGTCCCATAGCAACATTGCCTCTCTTTTCCAGCAAATTTTCTTGACTATCACGCATATCGCTCATCTCATAAGTATCTTGTAAATCGGTACGTGAAACGGGACCTGCACCTGCCAAATAAGCTTGATATTGACTCTGGAACTGTGTATCACCTGTACCTTTTCGTTGCGGGAAGCGGGAAGTCATCGTTGAGATACTGATCATACTTTGTCCGTCACTGTCCATCTTTGGATCATACTCCAATTGATCGTCTTCAACGGCTGCAATCTTCAATCCTCCGACGACTTCTTCTGCTTCCAATTTGCGGCCTGCAACATCTACCATACCAGAATGCTCCAGTCGTCCATGATAGACTTGCGGCAACAAATGCTTGACACGGGCGTGTACCAAAGGCGTGAACAACTTCTGGTGCAAGCTAGGATGACCGAAGCGACGTTGCAAACGATGATGGCGCTGATCGCCTTGATGGACGTGGGTTTTGGCCATCTCGGATGGATCAGGGATGTACCAATCGTACATGTTGTCAAAGCGATTACGGCAATAGACCTTGAATGCAAGGACTAAAACGATTGGAGGAGCGCAAAGAGCGACCTTTACAATTCTGTTGACCAAATCTGCCGGATCCAAAGCAACAACAAACATCAAAATCACTTGCATCAACACCAAAACGATCAAAAGTCGGTTGACAATCAAACGCCATAGCGCACCACCCGATTCGACCTTGGAAACGGAAACGTACATGAATTGATACTTGTAACAAGCCAAGGAAACCCAAAATACGACTGCAGTGAAGATCATCACCAAGGGAGCCAAAACTCCATAAATGGCACCGACGGCAAACAAGAACAAGAAGTTTGCATAATAAATTGCATATTCAAACGATGGTGGCTTGGTGTATTCCCGCACATCTCTTGGCGTTCTCCCGAAGAGTCCCTTTTGGATCCACACCAGAACCAATTTGATACCCTGAGCAAGATCAAAGGTAGACATCCACATTCGCAATGGCAACCATGTTAGCCAATAATTACTCATGTTCAAGAATTGCTTCTTGATCACATCCGTCTGATCACGTAAAGTGTCGAATATTTCGCTTCCACTGCTGTGTTTGACAATCTCTCCCACGACTGTAGCGATCGATGTGATAAAGACACCGATCAAGGAGAAAAAGATGAATTGAGAGATAATCAAGAATCCAAAAAATTGTCCAGTGACGACTTTGTCCAACTTTGTTCTCGTTTGTTCACCGCGATATTTGGCAATCTTACGCATCAAAATCGGCAAAAAGTAACCCATCACACCTGAAATGGCTGGAGGTAGCAAACCGGCTACTAAACTGAACGACCAGCCGCTTGAATCTTGCCAAGAACGTAAGAATGGTAGGTAGCCGGTAAATGAACTCATTTGTGCAATCAATGCAACGGCAAGCAGTGGAACGGCGTTGACGAACAACAGAATTGTCAAATAAATGAAACCAGTCGAACTCAATCGGAAACGTTGAGTTTTGGTGAGCGTCAAATTCTTCCACAAGATATTACGAGGCTCAGAGGACAATTCGATCTCCACTCCGTTTGGTCTCTTATTTTTAAGGGATTTGGCTGCAGCATGAGCGTAAGGCACGGCTGCCATTGATGCGAATCCGTACGATTCCGGCTTCTTCTCCGCAATACGTTCCCGCCAATTCTCTACGGCTGCTTCCAACTTATTGATTTGAGCAGTATAGTAATCAATCGCATCAACCTTTTCGCTTCCCATTTTGGACGTACGTATCATAGGTCGCTTTGAAGGGACATTGTTTGGATCTTTGAGATATTTGGCCAACACATGTTCAAGCTTGCGAACCATTTCATCATGCTTCTCGATCAACTCGGGCAATGAACCCACAACACGACCGATATGCACCTCCGTTGTAGGATAAGGAAGACCAATACTAGAAAGCAAACCGGAAATTGCAGCATCGGATTGCAATTGACGTGGAACGTTGGTAAGCATGAGCGTACGAGCGGCAAAACTGCTTTGATAAGCTTCTGAACGGAAGTACTTCCATCGCAGGACGACCATACTCTTGTACCATCTAAAGACGAAGAACAAGGTTACAATCACTGCTACATAGCTCATGATAACGTGAGCGTACAAGAAATTACCATTCATCTCTGCCAGCGTAATAACCGAAAGTGCGGTACCTGAGGAAGTGTAATCTTGAGAGCCAGATTTAACTTTCAAATTGTATATCAAATCGACTGGGATGAGTGTCGCACCCAAGATGACAGCCAAAGCGGTACAAATCCAACAACATAGCCGAATAAATCGTAAAAAGACGACAGCGTCCATACCGGCATTGTTCAATAAATCATCTTCCGAATATCGCCAAGTGGGTGCCATCCAACCAAAGAAAGAATACGAAAGCGGAGGAGGAGCCGGCCCTCCAACTTCTGCATATTTTCGTTTTGGTTCATAAACGATCTTATTGTTTGCTCGTAAGATTTCAAAGCCTATAATAGTTGCTAATGAAGCTGCAACAAAGACGCCCAATGCGATTCCTACTTTCTCCACATCTGCTTTGGAGCTGTCTTGAAGAGCGGTTGCAATTTGCGAGGGGATATCGTTCCCTCCGCCAGTCTGCGACATGGTGTCAAAGCGTTTGTAAGAAGAAAAGGTGCTTTTCTATGATTGAGATCCTGCTCAATCGGTCGGCGTTCAACTTCAGGCACAACGCACACTCAATGCGAGGCCGTCAGTGTGATTTTTGTTAGGCGAGATTTGTGTTTAAATGGAGATGGTAGCACGATTGTGCTAAGGTTGATCGAAAGTAGAAAGGAGAGTATAGGTTGTTTATCTCGTGATGGTGATCAAACGAAAGAGAGTTTTTCTTCTTTTGTCGCTATCTCTCCGTTTCCTTTCGATCTTCATTCGAATACGAAATTTGACAAAGGGCCGCCGTAACAAATTAAGTGCATTGCATCGAATCTGCTTCTCCCGCTTATGCAGTACCTCTTTTTACACCTTTACGCGTTTAAATCACATCAAGCACTAAACCTGTCAAATTTCAAACGGCAATTAAGTAGGTTGCAGTATGTCCATGCATGTTATTATCCTCTTCTCGTGAGTTGGCATCTTCTTAAAAGTTTCAATCTAACGCTATGAAGTTGGCCAAGAAGAAAGGCACTACAAATTCAAACCTTCTCAGATACTGTGAGAAAGTGCCCCTCCACTGCTACATGCAAGCTCCGTCTGTCTGTAGCCCCTAACCTCACACGCACACGCACATTGTCCAAAAATAGGATTTAATTAACAATTTAAGCATCATCCAATCACCGATGGCGTAAGCAGAATCGGGGCGTACGTATGTATCTGAAAGAGGGTAACACTATTGAACATGCTGGCATCATTTTGATCCAATTGATGGTGGTGATAAGTGCACAGCCCCAACCGAAAAAAGATGACGTTTATCTCTCGTCAAAAATACTACTGAATTCCTCGTTTCACTTCTTCTTCCACCAAAATATGAAAGGCTTTTCTCGTTTGATTGAATTTTGACACGCGATTCCGTGGTATAAAAATAGGGTTAATGTGCATTGCATCAGTCTTTTTTTCAACAAGCCACGCGTATACTTTTTTGGTCATTGTACAGGGCTTAACATTGCGTGCCGGGATCAGTGGTCCCTACTTTGAGAAAGACCCGGTCAGATTCGATCGATCTAGTAAACGAAGCTATTTGAACAATATGCTCAGGCCTATGATGTGAACATCTTTTGAGGCTAATCTTCTTGTCGCCCCTGATGATATAAGCACTCATATATAACTACATTCACAGATAGTAGGATAGCCAGTGTGTCACACTTCCGCCAGATTAGCGGCACTCTTTCTGACAAAAGCTTCTTCAAAGCGTGCGGCAGACGCTAATGCAAGTCACGCCGCCCATTCACTGACACGCATCCTCAGCACAGTAGCTTCATTGCATTCATCCAAAAAAGATAGTGACCAGAAGATAATGACCGGATGACTTCTATACAATCAGAGGACGACTCAGTCCAGCAGGATGATCAAGAAATTGCATGGACACACAAACGATCACCGCATGAGATATTCTTGGAGAGATTCAAATCCGCAGAAGATCACTTCTCCTCCACCAAAGCAGAGAATGGAAGTACGAATAGAAGGAAACGACAGCGTATAGCGCCCATTGCAGAGGATGAGAATGTGCACGATGAGGGATCAAGGAGGACTATGGAGCGAGCAAAGAGGGTTGGAGCATCATATCCGCTCACCGAAGAGGGGATCGGAAAGGTAAAGAACAGCAAAAGAACTCGCAAAACGCTAGACATGGATGATTCGATCGCTTATATTCCGCATACGTCCATCTTTCTTCCTCCTTCTCGCCAAGGCAAGACTGTCACCCAAACTCGCAGAGCACGCAAAGAAGATGATGAGACCGATCAACAGGATGAACAGAACTCAGCACGTGTAGCCCAATTGAAAGCTCGTAATGAGAAGGAGATTGCAGATATTCATGCAAAGATGCCAGACGATTCATTATTGGAAGTTTTGCAGTATTTCTCCTCACATTACTACAGGGAACTTCAAGAGCTGGAAGATTCTGACGATGAGGATCAGGAAACACCTTCAACGCGATTTGGGATGTTGCAAGCATGTGAAGGAAATGCACTGGTTGCAATCGCAATCTATCTAGAGGAAATTGTCAAATCAGAACTCGATGGAAGATCCCTGATACAAGAGTCAACATCAGCTTCACCTCCCAAAGCAGCCTTTGACCGACTCAGCGACCTAAGAAGAAAAGAAGCGGGCGCCAAAATCAGTCAACTAATGTGGAAGGGAAAGAGCAAATCATAATCCCACACACATTCTCACACTTGTATTTGTATCGTATCAATATGTATTACAAAAGGTATCACTTATAAATGTACATGAATGTCAGGCATTCTTCTTTTTTTTGCGGGATCATTGAATTTCATTCCTTGCGTGTATGTTGTTGATGAGAATCGCTTGGCCGTTGATGAAAGGGAGCGCCACTATAAGGCGAAGGTGCTGGATGAAAATTGAATGCGTTAAACAGAGCAGGTGGAAGGATATCCAAATTTTGATGTTCCATCCCACTCTGTTGATGATGATGAGAAGGATCATGTGCGTGTGATGGTGGCATACCTCCAGTTGGCGCATAAGATAAAACGCCTCCGTGACCATACCCTGTGGAACTTTGAGGTGTCATGATCATTGAATTACCCACATCTCCTTGTTGAGCATGTGAATGAATGTCAGAAAGTGGAATAGGTTGACTCGTCGTGACGGAAGCATGACCATCGATCAGAGCAGGTGGACTGTAGAAAAATTCTTCCATTTGCATCGCACTTAGGTTGATATCCATCGAGCCGGGAGTACTGTAAGGCCAACTTGTCATTTCTTGTTGAATGTACGGCTGTTGGTTGCTGGCATTTTGACCAACATGTTGTATGTACTCTGTTCCACCAAAGTGCACATTTGCTGGCATACTCTCCGATGCCATCCTATGACGAGTACGTGAAGTAGGACGAGAAGGTGCTAAAGGTCTTCCTGCCATTGCTGAAGGTGTGCCAATGGGTGTATATCCCGTTCTGCCTGGAATACCAAGACTTTGAAAAGCGGTTGTACCACTACCAGAACCAAAAGCTGAAGAATTTGGATTGGCTGATTTATTCATATTCGCAAATAAATCACCTTGAACGGCCGCAGTGGATTCAATCGTACCCAACTCTTTGGCCCATGCATTGATCAAAGCATCAACATCAATCTCAGAAGCAGCTCCTAGACTACCCGAGAAACCGAGACCCAAAGGTGATCCTGACGTTGGATCAAAGTGTCCCATATGTGCCATATTCTCCATAGCGTCCAACTGTGCTAGATTTGGCAGATCTTGACCTTCACCAGCGGCAGATTGACCCAGTGTGGCAACGCTATTCCTTCGTGAAGGAGTGGGACTGCCATGTTGAGCGCGATTACGTCTTGCACGAGCCCATCGCAACACCATTTCTACATCACGAATGGGCGCAGGCTGTGCTTCTTCATCCGTTCCATCCGGTCCAATAGACTCATCCAATGCTCCCTCACATTCCTGCTTCAAAGCTCGTGCAGGCCAACTTGCTCCTGACCACCATCTTGCTACACGTTCCAAAACATGTTGACAAGTAGCAATGTTGGTCTGAGCATACTGTCTGCGGGTATTTAATCCTTGAATGAGCTCATTTGACTGAACACCTTCTTGCGTTTCCTCTGTCGTCTTTGAGCGTGATGATTGATCTCCGTTTGCCGTCATTGGACGTGATATAGGCGCTGGATGTCCCAAATTACGCAACGTTTCTTTGGCTGCTTCACGTTCGGATAAAAATGCTCTTCCTGCCGGCAAGATCAATTGATCCAAATATGGATTGCAATCGATGTATGGATTCACATCTTCATTTTCCTCTGGCGATCGAATTCTGTGCTGACCTGCATCCTCAGCAAATCGCAAAATGCTCACAATCGTACCGGCGGCATGACTTGCAATCGAAGCCAATCTTGATGGTGCAGTCATACTGAAATCTCGATCAAACCTTCGAAGCAGTGAAGGCCTGTTCAACAGACTGATGGTACTTTGCAAGAGTGTATGCAGATACACAAATGCACAACCCTTATCAGCAGCGGCCAACTTCCTAAACGTATTGACGCCAAAGTGTAATTCAGGCGGTAAGGTTTCGTAGTACTCTGCCAAATCTAGCCAAAGTGCTCGAAGTTGTGCTCCCCTCTGCTCTAATGTGAGACCATCTTCACGTCTGTTGAGCAATTCTCCAATCCTTCCTCTCTTGAGAAGCGTACGTACGATGTGACCAAACACGAACCCATCCGAAGCTGAATCATTTTCCAAAGGAGGAAGTTCGCAATCGTATGCATCATCCCGAACAGTGACCGGCCGACCAGTACCGAAACAAGTGATACGATCCAAACTGACGATGGCCCAGAACAAATACCTTGCACGATCTTGTTGCTTTTGTGTTGCCATACTACGAACGGTCAATTCATGTTGAAGTCCTAGATCGGTTGCCATTCGTAATGCCATTCCAACGTACATCCAAAGACCGGCATCAGCACCCGCACCGAATTCAGCGTAAGATAAAATCACCAAAGCTTCAATCACATCGATCGAAGGCCAACTGAGCATAGGAACGACCAATACCTTGGCCATATCTGCAAAAGATTCACTTGCATTCTTTACCCTTTGCAGATCTTGATGTCCACTAAACCTGGCAGTCATTGCACAGATCGCATTGGCAAGAATGGCCGGAAGTTCTCCCGATTCAGCACTTGCAATCAATTCTGCCGCATCCAACCATGGGAAACATGATGCTTTGAAATATTTTGTAAACAAATTGACCAAATGAATGAGAATATCTCTTCTTGGGTATCGAGGTCGATTCGTCTCAAACAATTCACGTACAGTTGTCGAAAGGGCAGATTGATCAGCAGCGAAATGATGTTGACCTGGTTGATGACTGGCGCCTTGATTTCCCGCAGCTAGAGAGGGCGATGGATGTGTCAAGGATGCATGCGACACACCTCCTGGACTTGGCTGAACCATCGTCTTGGGTTCGCCAGAGTTAGAGATCGTGCTCAAATTAGCTTGCGTGATGGCCGAAACAGAAGGATCTTGCGTTGATCCCGCGAGCTGTTTTTCTTCCTGTTGTTGGGTTTCACCATCTACCTCACTTCCAATTTCGTCGTCATCTCCTGCCTCGGCTCCTAGGTCAATATCCGATTCGTGATAAACACCAACTTTGATTCTTCGTATACCCGGTGTATTTGCAGTAGCACCGAACCAACGAAAGAATGGCAAAGCGATCTTTTTGAACGTTGCTGGTGGTTTTGAATGTGTACTGCTATGTGGTGATCCTGCAGAGCCATGAGCAGAGATGCGCGAAGAATGTCCATCCGTATTCGCTTTTCCACTGCGGCCTTTGCTCGTTGTACTACTTTCATCATTCGGCTTCTTAATCTTATCTGAACCCTTTTCGTCTGTGCTCAACAGCTGTAATTGACTAGCAGCGGCCAAATCATTCCTGCCAACGGACGAAGAAATTGGCAAGCCATCCCGAGAAGAGACAGATTGGCTTTTCCGAGGAGTGAAACCCGAGGGTTGTTCCGATTGCAGCGGTGGCAAGGGAGGAGGTGCGTGTGCATTTTCGTGATCTGTTTGCCAATGTTGTTGTTCCTTTTCATCATTAGAGTTTATTCTAGGCCTTTGAATTGTATCAATTTGCGTCGTTCTAGCCTGTGAAGATGTACCATTTTGTTCGGACAAACTTTGATGTACATATCCAGGTGACCAAGCAAACGGACTCGGTGAAGGTGCCAACGTCTTTGCTTGTTGATTCGTATGAATAGATGCAGCAGGTACAGAACGCCACTCAGATACGTTGCCGCCATCACGAGACTGAGGAGCTGCCATTGACGAACGTTGTGCATAATCTCGAGTTGCGCTTGTTGCCGCATTTTCAATCCGACTAGAAGAAAGAGATCGTTCAGAAAAGACCGAAGGAGTAGGCGGAATGGCAGAATTATGGACAGAGAAAGGATTACGATGAGGTTGCTGATGTTGGGGCACGAAGGGAGTTTGAGGAACAGGCGGCGTCTGGAATGACAAAGAGCTATGAGCTGCATTTTGACCGTTGGCAAAATGGGTTGAAGGAGATGCAGGATACATTGTTCTGCCATTCTGAGAGTGAAAATGACCGGTAGCATAGCCTGTATGCATGTGTGAAGGCCATGCATTAGCTAGCTCGCCATTGTGCTGCAAGCTTGTTGGATGCTGATAACCATTCTGTTCCCCAGAAAGTTTTCTAGAGTTCTCCGATCGATGATCAAATCCAGCGTTGGTCTTGACATCCGCCCTTTGTGATGCAACCTTTGTCTTTACAGTTGGAGCGGCTAATTTGGTAGGATTTGCAAAGCATCGGAAGACTGCTTTTGATTTTATTGGACGACCGTCATTATCCTTTTTCATCTTTTCTGACGTACCATCTTCTTCATCTTCATCTTCTGCATCCGTGGATTGGGCCATAGATTTCCTCCTTCTCCTCCGATTGGGAATGTTTGCTCCAGATTGCATTGAAGGCACATAATCGGGAAACCTTTCTTTACGTAAAGCAGGCGAAAGATCTTCAACTCTGAACAAACATTCTTTTCCGCTTTGTGCACAACCTTTGCAAACCGGTTTATCAGGTAAAAGATGACATTTCACCTTTTTGCTTCGACAATTTTCACAAGCCGAAACGGGTCTGGTTCGTTTTTTACGATCAGCAGAGATGACCGATGATAGTGTTTCCATTGTAGATTAAGTTTAAAATTGCGCAATGCCACCTGGCATGAGATAGGCAATCTGTTTCGGGTCAGTTGCGTAGTAGATCTGATCACGTTGCTTCGTGACCAGAGATTGCCGAAAGTGTATAATTGAACGTTGGAGTTGCGGAAAACTTGACCGACTTTGCTGAAATGAAAGAATGATCAGCACTCCATATCACCATTGAATGCTTTAAGTGATTGTCTTGATGGTGATGAACAAAAAGATGGAAAAGGTCATTATTCATCCTGAATCAAGAGGCGGAAATGAAGCGAACAACTTTAAATATCAAGCGAAAAGATCCACTACAAAAATATAAAAAAAGCGGGGAAAATGGAGACTATTCCATATACTGCTCAAGTACCCCTTCCGCGGATCATTTTATAGATATGTTGCATCGGGCGAATTGATACTGATGATTTACCTCTTTGACGCGTTATGACCGGACCTGTCACCCCTTTTAATGCAACGTTCATATGGAAATCCGTGTTATGCAGTTGTTGGCCTGCGGTTTTATTTGACATTTTCAGGGCAGCAAAAAAGAGGCACTATTCCTACATGTGATTCCATGCATCGGGGTTATAGAAATAGAATTGACAATATCTTACTCATTTGTTTCATCCTTTTACCCCAAACAATGCACCTGCTTGTTCCAATTTTGACGCCTTTTGCATAAATCGTATTCATGTCGGTCAAATTGACAATAAGTTTATCCAATCAAATGCTTTTTTTTCCCAGCTAAAAATATCAATCGGCATCATTGTGATCACCGAACTGACAAAGTGGCATATGTACACTTCTGTGACAAATTAAAAACCCTTCCTTTTACCATATGGACTTCCCCGTAATGTGACGAAAAAGTGCATAGAATATCCACAAATAGTTTCCCCAACCAAGGTGTATCTCGCTTGGACGGCATAATTGACAGATGGCAGACAACTCATTCGTCGGGTCCGAGATAAAATCATCGGACCGGACATGTACCGTTTTTTATGCATTTTCATTCCTCATGTAATTCTACTATCCAATACATGGCATGGCATTCACTCTCCTCCGCTACTGCTACTTTCACTTTCACTATCGTGAACTGGATGTCCCCTTTCGTTCAATCGCATTCCACCTGCAAAATCTTGTTTTTCGATTCCTTCATCATAAGGTGTATCATTCCTCATTGATCCTCTCTGTCTCCATTCGGTATCTTCTGTTTTGCTTTTCGGTGCTCGATCATAGAATCTCTTGTGAGAACCAATCGGTTCATCTACCGAAACAGAAGGAAACGGTACACTTTCTCCTTGTTTTGGCTGGTCCATTTGATTACGTGCACTTTCACGTCGCATATGACGTCTGAATAACTTATCCGTTTCTCCTCTATCCTGTTGCAGATAATCTTCTCGTCCTCCGTCATCATCGTCTAAACCCATACTGCGAACACGAATATGACGTGGTAATTCTCCCGGCGTAAGGTTGTCAGGAGTAAAGGTAGAATCGCGATGTCTTGCTCCCATCTCGCCAGATTTACCTTCACCAACCCTAGAGAAGCCATTCGTGAGTTGTCGTTGCATTCTACGCAAGTTTGACGACCCATCACCTTGTTCGCCTTCTTTTTGATTTTTAGCCGAAAAGAAGTCATCACCCGTTCCATCGGTATCGGATTGTGTGAATGGACCGCCTGTCAAAACACCGCCATCTCCGCTTCCCGCTCCCGAAGGTGCATTTGCTCCTAATTCAGCTTTTTGTGCTTCCCTCAAAAGTTTCCTGTTAACCCTCCTACATTGATCCAAAGCACGTTCTAATCGAACACGATTTTCGATCATGTGCAATTTGGGAAATGTAACACTTTGACCGACGCACATCATCCTGTCCAACTCCTTGCGATCAGGATCGGATAAAATTCTTACCCAATCCCATGCTCGTGTTTTAGGCCAAATGGTAACCGCACCAGAAAACCTTTGCAAAAAGACGGAACTCCAATCTTGACCTAAAAGCGAAGGCAAAAGGTCCAGATCTCGAATAATCTTGAAATTCATACTCAGGTTCAACTTAAGTACATGTTCACTTGCACTCAACAAGAATCCACCACGCCATCCTTTGCCTTTTCGATGGGCAACAGGCCTGCCTGGCATACCTTTTGGCGCAAAGAAGAACAAGTGAACGTGTGGATTGACTTGACTTACGATCGGATAATTGACATTGAACAAAGAGTGTAAATCTTGCAAGGGAATATCAACTCGTAAGCTACCATCTTTGAATCGATGTCCCCAATTCCATGGAACGGCTTGTCCAGAACGTGTCTTTTGCATCAGACATACTGGCGGAAGAAGGCCGGGCACAGCTGCTGATGCTAAAAGTGAACTCCAAATGATACAATTTGGAGCAGTATGATAGTTGAGCAATTTCACTGGCGAATGTCGATCTGATGGAATGACAGAGATATTGAGCACTTTACCCGTTCTTGCATATGCTTCGGCAAAAGTCGTAGATCCCATTGTGAAAAATTGCGCCTTTTCAGCCCATTTCGTCAAGCTGAATCGAGCTCCTGTTCTCCATGCTCGTCTGCCCCAAACACTGAATGGTTCTTCGCAAGCTGTGATTCGATCAGCCATTTCTGGCACCAACAGCCTCTTCAACTCATCGTCCGTGCGTGTACATGCCAGAGCTGCAATCAATCCACCAGCCGAAGTTCCAGTAATGATTGCCGGCAAAAGATTGGCATCCAACAGTGCACGGACGACACCGATGTGATAATACCCAAACGATCCTCCACCGCTTAAACAAAGAGCACTTCTGCCCATGTTCTTTTGAGCTCCTCTGTAGAACGATCGTTTGAGTTGAGGTGAAATTTTATCCGTAGATGCGATGTACGCCAAACATTCTTCCACTTCGCTCAAGTAATTTTCGATCAAATATTTTGTACCGAAAAACGTTTCACTGTATAATCTGAAATTTTCCGTCCCGGCAAAATTGTTTCGTAAACAAAGTTCCAAAACGTTCATCACGCCTTCTGCGTCATCTTTCTCCCGCATAGTTTGTAAACTGTTCAAAACTTTTTTGATCAAAATCCAGTCATACAGTCCTGATGAATCTTCACACTTCCATGCTTCGTATCCCAGGTAAGAATCCAACTCCAATGCAACTTCTCGCCATTCGTCTGCCGTTTCTGCTTTACGTAATTGTGCTCGTAATGTCCCTTTATAGCCACGCCAAGCGATGAAATATTCTGTCAAATTGACCAATTGACGAATAAGCACATAAGCTGCAAACTCCAATGCGATTACAAGCCAAATAGATAGCAATAGCGGAAATCGAAATAGATTATACACCAATCCTTCCCTTCCCGTTCCGTCCAGCTTAGAGCTCGAATTTGACGTTCGCTCATACACTGGAGCAAAATCACTTGCTGCTGCTATCCTTCCCACCTTACTTGGATTGTTTGCCTTTGTTTTTGTGGAGCGTTCAGGTAGATCGGAGACTTTTGTATCTCCTTCGACCAGCGATCCTTCTTCGAGTGGTTGATCTGGCTGCAGTTCGGAGCGTTCTTCGCTATTCTTTGAATCACCTTTCAAGCCCAGTTTCCCAAGCGAGCTAGCATGTGGCCAAAATGAACCGGCAACCGCATGCTCTTGTTTACCTGCATCATCTCGCAATGCTTCTCTGAACGCGGCAACATCTTCAGGGTTTTCAAACACTTCTGTCAGTAGAGGGTCCAATTGTGGTTCTTCGGAATCCATTCCAATCCTCGGCGAGAACAATGATGCAAGACTGGTGGACATCCTTCTCATTCGAGAATAAGAGCCATTTGATGCATTTGAATTCCTCCTTCGCCAAGGTGAAGAAGATGGTGGTAAATGAGACCATGTATGAGCACTTCGTGGGATGGTATACGAATGCGGTGAACCCGATAGCATTTCTCCCGTCTTTCCGGTTGAAGGTGAGATTGCATCGTAAGAAGAATACGTTGGTTCGGGTGCAGTTAAGTGAGTGCCCTTAAAGATACCATCATTTTGATCTGAAGGTTTGCTATTCGGTCTTCGAATTTGTTCTACCTCTTTGCCATTTTGACGACCTAATCTTCGTTGAAATAGAGCGCTTAGATGCATTTTTGAAAAGGAAGATGCAGAAGAAGGAGCATTGATCGCATTATGCTGTGAAGATGAATTGGATGATTGACTTCTTATTCTTCTGTTTGATTCATTCCTATGCCTGGAGGATTTGTTGGACATAATTGACTTGAAGCTTTTAATGTCCCCGAATAATTGAATAAAAAAAAGAGTGTATAAATATAGAAAGGGGTATTAATATTACCTTTTTGCCGCTTTCATCAACCGAGCAATAGGTCCGAGCTTTCGGTCTTGCCGCGTGACGTATTTGCGTGGATGAATGGATGGAATAAGTCTCGTTGATTCGTGTGTGTGAGTGATGATGAAGGATTAACAAAAGAGATATGTCAAAGAGTCAATCATCAATGCATTCATTCATTGCAGATTCCCTTTAGCCCTTCTTGAGCCTCACCCAATCATCGCTTTTAAGCCCAGTTCTAAACTCCACTTAGTATAGGCAACAATATTTACACACGCGTAGAACTCCACAACATCTTGCAATTTTCACAACCGCGTTAAGTGTATGAGTATTGTTTACCCACTTCGGCCATCAAGTAGAGGTATTCCAAAGTTATAACAGCATCATAGTCAACATGTAAAGTGTGATCATCATCATAATCATTCAAACTTGAAACATTCCATCGCCGTACCATCATCACATACTGTCTCCAATCGCATCCCACCCTATCAAAATGGAAGCGAGCTACAAAACGCATTTGTATAGGCTCCGCGGTTTCCATTTAAAGCCAAAGCCAAAAAAAAAAGTGTTGGGCTTTCCGGAGATTTATTTTAGAGCGTCATGCGCAGCGCAGCGCCACGCCACGCAGCCTATAGAGAAAAGCAGGCGATAGGCTACCAAAAAGCTTGAAAGCATCGGGCACCGCTTACTTACTCTCTAGGCCCAGGCTATTACGAGTGAAGGAATTCATTTATCAATCAATCAATGGCCACACGCACGCTAAGCAACAGCAGCAGCAGCGCGTTTAACCCTATTTGCGGGGTACAGTATGGGGTACTGGTCGTTTGGCCTTGCACTGCTCAGGCAAGAACCGGTTACTGCATATAAGCAGCCGGCCCATGAAATGAGTTTTATGCTAAGAGGGCGGCGTATTTTTACCCTATACCACCTCTCTCCCTTTTTCCCTTTGATTTGCTTATCATAGCATTTCCCGTTTTTGACACACTTCATTCATCTTTTTGTGCCATCCTATCTTTACTGCCATCATCTGTCACTCAAATGTCTATCCTTGCTCGTCCACGTAACTTGTTCATCGGGTGAGTAACATAAATGAAAAAGAGATTCTGGAGATACACTCTAACAAATAATACCTTCCACTTCCCCTCACAGCGCAACACTTCTTTCGGCTACTTTTGCCGTCTTCAACCAACGTAGATTGGCAACACTTCAACCAAATGAACCCGGTGGTCGTTTCGTACGTACAGAACGTAGCGGTGGTGGAATTTGATGAAGCACAATAAGACAGTATAAATGCTCTCAAAAAATAAGAAAACCTGAATAATGACAAGATCCGTTTCTCACTCTTCTCTAATTTCCGCAACGAATTCCCTTGAAAATGCTGCTCAAAGCAAGCATGACCGTTCTCACTCTGTGTACCTTTCTGATCTCTTTCTCTAACGCAAGTCACCAAACGATGTAAGAAACCTTTCAATCTTGTAACTATATCACAATCAAATCAATCAAACCGTCGTCATAAAGATAAGAAGATAGTTGAATTAATGATGAGGATAAGATAAATCGATACAAAGATAAGAGATAAAAATAAAACAAAACAAAACAAAAAAACAACGGAACTGTATAAAAGTACATAAATCAACTATAATGAATCACATGAACTGGAATTGGGTGTTTGCGCCATTCATATCCTGTGTATGACCCGAATGTGTCATCATACCGTTTTGTTGCTGAGGATGAAATTGTGTACGATTCATATAGGCATTATGATCAAACCCTTTCACAGGGCTAGGGTCACCTTGAATCGTACTTGTCAAATGATGCAATTCACTGGCCATATCCAGCTCGTGTTGCAAGCTACCAGAATAATCAAAAGGATCTTCCAATCCGGGCGTATTGTTTGAAGCACCATTTCCGGTCAAGTGGCCATGCGTATTTGGAGTCAAATAACCTGCAGGCGAGAACAAACGAGAAGATATTGGGCTCGTCATTCCCCATCTTTGCATCATTGGCGTGGAAGCAACAGCCAAGTTGCCATTGTTTCCATTCGTAGCCATTTGCAAGTGCATACCCGCAGGGCTGAGAAGCGAGTTTGACATATTCGCGTTAGATTGTTGATTGAGGGCACCTCCTGGTCGTAAGGGCGAGCCTCGCAAAGGGCTATGGTTGATGAATCGAGCTGGAGAATGTTGTGGATTAGAGACAGAGTTTGTCGAAAGCATATACTTTTCGTTCTTGTTCTCCTGAGAATTGTCTTCCATGTCTGTCGTATCACGCACATTGGATACAGGTGGAGAGTTGACAATCAACCGTGAAGCAGACGCATCCAGTAAATTGTTTGAAGGATTGCTTGAGGCAGAATGACGCAAAGGAGAGTCTACATTGCTGCTGAAGCGACCGTTACCTTGATTGACAGAACTATTGAGTTGCCCCATAGCATTTCCATTATTGCTACTGCCGCGCATATGGGCAAGTGGCGAAGCAGGCATGTAATGGTGAGAATACATATTTCCAGACGGGAGACTGTAACCCATCTGCACACCTTGTTGATGGTATTGCTGCATCAAAGCTTCCTTTTGCTTTTGTGCACTTTGCGTACTTGCTGCTCCACGGATGCCTCCAGATGGTGGCGGCATGGCATGATTTGGGCTGCTTGGAGGACTACTAGCATCTGTCAAGACTGGCATTCCCGCCATGACAGATGATGCATACACACTTCCGATATCGCTACTACTGGTTCCCATCATCCTAGGTTGATATGGACGGCTTGGCGTGATCGTATTGTATTGCTTCGGGGAAGGAGAATATACGTTCGAGCCAGAATCTTGATTGGGTTTGAGGAGTGTGACTGGAATGGCTCTTTCACCCACTGTACCATCGCTCTGCCCATCTTGCACACCTTCTTCATTCATCGATGACGTGCGAGATCCCTTCTTTAAGCGTTTGCGGGATTCTTTGCTGGATTTCTTGACTTGAATTGATAAAGCCACATCCGAGTCGCTTCCTTCCGTCAAACCGCTACCTTCGGATCTTTCGGATTCTACACGCTTTCGACGTGCTGCTTTATTAGTAGTCTTGCCCTTTTGACTGCTTGATTCATTTTCATCATCTGCATGTCCAGACGATGGCAAGGCAGTCATTGTAGTCCTTGGGGTTTTCAAAGCATTATCCTTTGCAGCTTTGACTGTACCAGGAGCATAATAATTTCCATTTCGGAAGCGATCTTCGTGACCATGCTTGATCGCCCACCAACCTCCTTTTCCTGGAACGTTGGCAGCACGTTCCACCTTTTCGAAGCTCTTGTTCAAACTGAGATTGTGTCGAATGCTGTTTTGCCATCCACGATCGCCACGTTCAAAGAATGGAAAAACTGTGGCGATCCAATTGTAGATCTCGTTCAAACTCAATCTGCTGTCAGATGATGAGAGAATCGCTTGTCCAATCATTCCTGCATAAGAAACGGATTGTGGCTTATTCTTCGATTGACCCCAACCGGCTGGCAATTTATAGAATCGTGCAGGGGGCTCTACAGGTAGACTGCCGCTGTCCAATGCGGCTTGCAATTCATCCGAAACCAATTTCACAACACGACTTCCATCAGCTTTGTCCCATTCCATCGTGATCGAATTGCCATTGCGCACATGTTCACCAGGATCAGCTTTACTTCTTTCAGCTCTGTTTGGCAAATCCAACGCACGTGCGAGCGAAGTACCAGTGGACGGGCGAGCAATCACGGTAGCTTTACTACTTCGAGTGTCCAAGACCAATGGGCTATCATCATAAGCACTCGAAGCGGATAATGAGCTATTACGATCATGACCACTTCCGTTGGCTCTATTTTTCATTCGAGCAGCAAGGGCAGCAGCATTTGATTGCGCACGCTTTCCGTGCATTTGCACCGTTGGACTTAAGTCGTGCTCATCATCGCCTTCGATATCACTTGTACTGTATTGTCCGCTCATCCTTCCTGAATCGCTAATGCTACCACTTGACTCCATGCGTGTTCTTTGTTGTTGTGTGTTGTGCTTTTGTGAATCTTGAAGGACACGTGCATTCTGCTGCGATTGTGCTTGATTCTTTCTCGATTGCGATAATTGCTCTTGACCGAATCCGAAGATAGCAGCAGGACTGATTGTGTCTAAGCGTCCTCCTGGGCTATGACTTGCCCAGCCAGTGGGCAGCTTTTTCTTGACTTGGCTACCCTGATTTTCTTTATTGGCTTCAGCATTTTGCTTCTGAACAAGGCGATCCTGGATTGCACTCGAAGAATGGGCTCGCATGAGACTCATTCTTTGAGGGCTGGGATCTTTGCTGACCGTATTGGATCGATCGTCTTTACCAAACACAGATTGAGCCAGTGAGATGGGTGCAGCCAATGTTTTAGCTCGAACAAGCCTTGGTGGGGTTTCTGTATCGATAAGTCCTTTTCGTGCAGGTGATTGTGCAAGCGTTGGTCCTTGTGAAAATACATTCTGTAAATCGTGACCAATACCTTCATGTGGAGATGGAACGGGTGGAGTCACAATCATAGATGAGCTCCCTCCTGGTGTTGTTGAACCGAACAAAAGACCACGTTTGGCCAACAAGGCAGCACTTTGCACGGCACTATCATGGAACGCGAGGGACAACATCCCAGGCGAGTGGGGAACAATAGTCTGATTTGTTCGCGTTGCAACGGGTGATCCAAACATCGTGCTATTCATCTGTGATCGCATTCGAGCATGACCGTGACCGAATTCGTCCATCTCTTCATTCATGGAAGAATTCTGCAATCTACGAAGTGCCTCAGCTTCGCCATTGTCCCAAGATGCCATTCCATGAGAATGTGCTTGAGTAGGCGCAATCCCGTAAAATTCATAGTCATACATCTCTTTGGTCGTCATACGCTTACGCGGACTGAGGTGGAAATCACTTGCCCATCTGACACTTTTACCGTCATTTCCGGCAGATGAAGATTGCGATGAGCTTGCTGTGGATTGGGAGGAAGCGGCACTTGCTGCTGTAAGTGGAGCAGGCATAATAGTGGAAGATGCTGGCACAGGAGCTGGTTTGGTCACTGCAGTCATGACGATCAAGTCATTGTTTGCCGCCAACAGCCTCTCCTTACGTTCTCGTGCTTTTGCTTCTTTGCGTAGACGTAATGGGCTCTTCTTTTGTGCCATGATCCGATCCAAGAAGCTGAGATTATCCATGCTCTCGTTCAAATCGTTATTGTTTGACAAGGAATCGAATGAGCTCAGCCTTCTTCGCCTTGGTGAGCTGGGACTTGGTCCAGTTGGCTTTTTATTTTGATGGGAGATAGCTTCGTTGTTCACGCAAATTCCAGAATCATCAGTTTCTCCTCCGGCATTCGCTGACATGTCGTCGAGCCCTGAAATACACGTAACGACCTCTTCATTGGAGCCGGAGGGATTCTCTTTGACAGGAGACGGCAGAAGGATTAATCTACCTGTCTCGTCAATATGAGCTTTTCTTGTCAATTTAGACAGTTCTGGGCTCTGCAACTTCTCTTGTAGGGTTGAATGTGTACTCTTCAGACTTTGTGCTTGTTCATCTGCATTTTGCGAAAGAGCCATTCCTGTCGAACTTTGACCAAGAATGCCCAATCCAACACGAAGGAACGTCTTCATATCCAAAGATGAAATCTTCGAGCGTAAAGCACGGCTTCTTGGTGATTGATCACCAGACAAAACGGGGGAATCATATGCACCAACGCCCGTTGAAGGAGAATCTTCGATTGGTTCAGATGTTGCTTTTTTGCGTCTACCGTGTGAGCCAAATTCACAATCAGCATCGTTTGCTTCTCTTTCGGATTTCTCGCGAAGACGTCTTCTCTTTTCTCTTCTCCTTCTGCGCTCTTCAAGGTTGCTGATATCATCGAGACGTGGTCGTGATTTTGCGTTAGGATCTTGGGTAGGTAAAACGGCAGTAAAGAAGCTCAAAGTTGGTTGTCCACCAGTGGATACCGAACGATTGAAGCCATTTGCTGATGGAGCTTTACGTGAAGTGCTGGCAGTGGGAGTTGCGTGGGCTTCATCTGCTGGACTTGTCTTGCTAGCAGCTTTGGGAGCGCTTTTCGGAGCTTCGTTCACCTTGGGCGAATCAGACGCATTTGTCGAATTTGCAGGATTGGCAACACGTTCAGCACGCAAGAAAGCTGAAACGCCAGCTCTTGCACGTTCATAATCTTGACGTGATAAATTCAATCCCATAGCACGAGCTCTTGCTAAGAAGTCATCAACATCACTTGCATTTGTCGAAGCAGAAGTCGATGATATGTTCGCGTTCTCTGTATGCACCACTTCATTCGCGCTTTGAACGCGACGAATTGATTCTTTGGTGGCGTTCAATGTCGACTTTTTGGCTGATTTCTCTTCGTTTGCAGTATTTGTCGTGATTGACGGATCAGTTTCCTTCTTTTTGCCATCGTGATCGCCACCCTTAATCTCTGCACCACTCTTTTCATTTGTCGCGTTTCGCTTCATCTTTCCGTGCTGCAAAGATGAGCAACGAGAATTGACGTGTATTTCGACGCGTTATCGATGTATAAAAGTACAAATGATTGTTGGGAGATGGGTGAGTTGTGATCGATTTGAACTATTCCCGTATAATTATTTCCGATGATGAAGGTTTGATGGCGAACAAGAACGATTCAAGGAAGGAACGAAATGAATTAAAAGGCGCGCTTGCAATTCTTCAACACGTACACTCTCGAACATAAAAAAAAAGAGAGTGCGGGCGTGAAGCGGTTCTTTAATCTGCGCGCCGGTTAATGAGTAATGAAGAGGGAGTATGTAATGCAAGATTAATGCAGTTCAAGTGCAGCAAGACTCAATTCAATCAAGGGTGTTAATGCAAAGTTGCCTGAAGGGGATGTGCTTAAGTGCGCAAGAGTGAGAATGATTTCAGTCTGTCTGTCTGTCGATTGAGGTACTTTGCCTTGAATCACACTCGCCTGTCAAGATTGTGTAAAAAGACGACGTGGGCCCTCTCCCTTTGTCCTCTTTCTGAACAAGGAACAATGAAGGTATGTATGTATGTATGTGTTAATTCATTGCAGACAGCCCGATCGCCTTTGAATATCCTCAAAGTTGATGCATGCCAATGACGTCGGTCTGATTTTACACCGATCTTTTAGCGGGCTACAAATAATGATTGCCTCTTTAATGCACAATGCACTTTAACCAACACAACACTTTTTTGCACTTCTGCTGGACGTGTTTGACGCGTTGATGCACATGGTTCGGAATGTGTGCTTGCTATTCAGTGTGTTTGTGTGTTTTAGCTAGCGTGCGGAATAATTGCGCGGACTATAATGATTGTAACCGCACGGGATATTCTATGCTCAAGGCACTACCCGGCACCCAACGAGTCGATTGTAGGAGAAATCGAAAGCGCGGGAGCGAAGCGTACAGGTTTTACCTAATTAGAGGAACCTCAATCAATTAGGCACTAACATATCGATATAATGATAGGTAGATCAATATATATTTTTTACTTTTAACATGACTACTATCTAAATTAAATATACCGAGAAAGATGAAAACAGCGGAAAATATAAGGAAAACTACCGTAGTAGCTATAAAATGGTCAGAGGCTATAAGTAGAGCTATCATAATATTTAAAGAAATAGAAGTTTAGATCATAATAAAAGAGCTTGATATGGATATATATCTTATAAGATATAAATTCATGCTTTTATTAGATTAGTATTTAACTTTATAATTTATAAAATATCTTTAATAAAATATTATTCTAATAATTAATTAAAATAATACTTAAACTTAATTTTACCTATAAGTATAGATAGAAAATAAAATAAAAAATCTTTTTAGATATATAAAAATCTTAAGTTTATTCTTATTCTTATATAAATATTGATATTATATTAATATATATCTATAAATTAATTAATTCTTTAACTAGAAATCTTTTATAAATCAATAAGAGTTTATTATTATATATCTTATAAAGAAAATAATATAATTATAATTAGATATATAGATATGATATAATAGATATAAGGTAAATAAGTAAGTAGAAAAAAACCTAGCTAGATAATATCTTAAAATTTTTTTAGCTTTATCTTATTTAACCAGGTAGAATCATACCTATAAAGCTAAGGTTGTATCTATGTCGATAATAAACTTATTAAGAATAGAAAAGTTAATTTATTAAATATTAAAAAGTATCAAGAGCGGTTACTATCTAGGGTATTTAAGCTTTAGATGATATAAAAAGTACGGTTAATTTAATCAGTAGATATAGATGGAACGTGAATAGTAGGTCTACCTATACGCAGTCGTACAGGTATATAATATCAATGAATTCACGGTTTTACCACTCACCAAAAGTCATTATATCGATCTGTTTATTGCTGTATTGATGGCTTTGCCTACGCGCTTTCGGTTTCTCCCATAAACGACTCGCTGGGTGCCGGTTAACATTTGATACCTTTCATTCATCAGGGCACTCTTTCGGCTCACGTGCTGACAATGAACCCCGGTCTGTGCGTGATTGTCGAATTAGGATGATCATCAAAGGATGTATGCTATCTTCCTACATTGATCTTCTCTCAAAGCAACCAAAAGATGGCACATCCTTCTACATCCACAATACCAGGCTCGCCTGCTTCAGCCACACGTACAAACATCATTCCTCCAAATGCTTCCAGTGCAACATTTCCAATCTCACCTCGTGCAAACGTACCCGGATACGTTCGTAGATCTTCGGCTGCTTTGAATGGTGCTTTTCCTGCAACTCCTTCGACTGCACAATCATTTAGTTTTGCAATTGGTCAGAATAATCCTCAGACAGCTTCTTTGGGACCGGATATTTTAGAGAGGCCAAGAGATCGGACACGGAATAATGAAGTCAGCGCAAGTTCTTTGGCTTTCTTGTTTGCTGAAATGGTTAGCTATACACAAAATAGAGTATCAGGGATATCGGATTTAGAGAAAAAGTGAGTGAGTGTGTCAAATATTCTCTCGAGCAAATGCTGACAAGCAAGTCACACCATAAGATTATCTTTGCTTGGCTATCGGGTTGGACAGAGAGTTTTACCATTGCTTTCACATCGAATCGAATTTCCAACACCGCCTTCACTATCTTCAGGTTCATCGACGTACAACAGAAATCCAAAAAGAGAGACTAGACTACTGCCCGTGCTCTTATGGCTACATACGCAACTATGGAAAGCATTATTCGGAAAGCCTGCTGATAGTCTAGAACGCAGTACAGAAAAAGAAGATGAATGTGAGTCAAGGGAAGCGAACATGATAGACAAAGAGTATGGCTGACTAATTTTGCTATCTCAGATATGATTTCGACAAACACACCCTTATTCGCAAAATCGATGTCAGTACCAAAAGAAATGAGTCAACTAAGTGTAGAAGCATTCACAGCTGGAATCATTGAAGCAGCATTGGACGGATTGGGTTTCCCGGCAAGAGTTACCGCTCACAGTGTACCTACTGCTGATCAGCCTTTACGAACAACAATCTTAGTCAAGCTACATAAGGAAGTAATGGATAGAGAAAAAGCTCTTGGTCCTGCTTGAGGATGATGTCCAATGTGTAAGATACATTAATAATAGTATTATCTCTTTTAATCTCATCTTTTTGTCTTGTGTGTGTGTTTGTGTTATTTAAAGTTTAAACGCGTAAATGAGCGCGTAATTCGGCCCGCGTTGCCAAGTAACACGCACGCATGCATCAGAGAAAAGTTAATTATAGCTGGTGTTCCTTTCCGCTCACGACATCATCAAAGAGGATTCGAATACAATGTTGATCGCATTGATCGGTCCAACATCTGCCGGTAAGCTAGAGGTAGCCAAATATCTCGTGGTTCATCATAACTTTCGACCTGCATTTATAGCATCACAAAATAATACAGATGCGGCATCACGTTATACATTAGACAGAAGATGGCAAGAATTAGTGCCCTTATGTCAAGGTGCAAGAGATCAACAACAAGAACATCATCAATCAAGCTCTACTTTGAATGGAAAGCCGATCATGTTTCAAGATGGCCAAGCATTATTGGATCATGTCACATTTAATTGGCGAGATAATATTGTCACATTGGACCTGCTAACGAGACAGGATTTGGAAATCGGATTTGATAAGAGGCCATTCTTTTTGCTCGTCGGCGTTGACGCTCCAGTTATGATCAGATTTCGTCGTATGGCTGCTTGTATGCAAGCATTCGAACATGTGCTAGAGGACGATAAGAGACAGCTATCTTTGGAAAAATTCTTGGCAGAAGACGATGCGAATTTGTACGGTCTAGGAAAACAATCGGCTGCTGCTATACAAGACAAAGCAGACTCGAACTCTCTACCGGCAACACCATCAAAAGTCTCACAAAAAATGAATGGTCACTCTAAAATTGGCATGCTTACGCCCGAAACACCTTCGACGATTGGCAATTCGACCATGCATCAAGTCGTTCAACCGAATGGATTATTGGCATCCCGCTCCGCACCTTCCTCGTTACGAGAACTAATGCAAACCAGTACGATTATCATCAATAATCAATTTCAAACAATCGCTTCGCTTCATTCTCACTTGGCTTCACTAAGTCTTTCCTCGCCGCAAAGGCTAAGGCCGTCTTGGGATACGTATTTCCTCTCGTTGTGCACATTGGCTTCTTTGCGCTCCAATTGTATGAAACGAAGGGTGGGTGCAGTATTGGTACGTAACAATCGAGTTTTGTCAACCGGCTACAATGGCACACCCAGAGGATTGATCAATTGTGCTGATGGAGGATGTTCGCGATGCAATGGAGCAGCCGCTGGTGGAACTGCATTAGATGAATGTTTATGTTTACATGCCGAAGAGAATGCTTTATTGGAATGCGGTCGTGAACGTGGTGGAGCAGATGGAACGGTTTTGTATTGTAATACTTGTCCTTGTCTTCGTTGTGCGGTAAAGATTGTACAAACTGGCGTACGTGAAGTAGTTTATCAACTTGCTTATAGTATGGATGATCGATCTCGAAAGATCTTTCAAGAAGCAAATGTTCTCTTTCGTCAATATCATCCGATGTAGGAGGAAAAAGGCGGAATTAAGTCAACATTGTACTTTTATATCGCAATTGTCAAGGGATTGTTAAATTTGATTATTTCGAATCTGTGCAGGTGAAACACATCCGAAAAGTATAAATACAAGGTAATGTCAGATATCCGAATACATTCTTCCACGTCAGGATACAATCTCTCTGTCCAACAGACGTTCTAGCACACTATCTTTCCACCATGAATCTTGCTCTTCTAACGTCCTGAACAGAATGTTTTCTGTGATGCCGTACTGACCACCATAGATATCATCGAGAGGAACAAATTGTTCAGGAGCCTGAACGCCGGGTGACTGAATAATCTGATCCTGACTATTTGTGCTGTTTTCCTCTTCAGCTCTCGAACCATTCGCTCCGTTGGTCGATGTGCCATTGACGCTACTCTGCGACGTAGAGGGAGACAAAGAAGTCGTCAAATCGACACTTCCTGTTCGCAAGCGATGCCAAACAGAGATTGCAGCACGATTGTTTCCACGCAGAATGCTGATCAATTCATCCTTCTCAGGGACGTATAATCTGGCAGAAAGCAATGAAACCAAAGCGATTCCTGTTCTGAACAAAAGCGCATCACTCTCTTCAAGTAAGATGCAATCCCATAATCTTGCCACGGCATCAAAAGGTAAGAATGGCACAAACAATGTCCTTATCCAATCATTCACATATGCACTCGGACGAACGCCTCTTGCTTGCATATTCGCATACACTTTTGGCATTTGATCGGCCAACAAGGTATCAAAAACCCTCTCGAAACCTGCCAAAAGTGCAGAAGAATTAGAAGGCTTTTGACCGGATGCAGCCACCGCTTTACCAGCCGTAGGCGAAAGAGGTGATGCAGGCATACTGTCAACACTACCTCGTGATAATGTCAAAGATTGTCGTGTGTTTGCAGTCGCCGAAAGAGAGTATAGTGCACGCAGCCAAGGCCGATCAGCAATCAAGTTGATGAGAGCGATGAGTGATTCCGAAGGAGATAGATTCATCAATAACATCGCCGCTAATGATGCAACTCCGACTGGATAGGCATAGTCTAATTCATCAACTCGAGTGCCATTTGTGCCATTTGCTACCTTTTGATTGGCCTGTGTTCGCTTCTGTTCTAGTCGCACAATAGTGAAAGCGCACAAAAGGTCAAACAGGTCATCATACAATGGACCTGTCTCTTTTTGAAAGAGTCGCAATGTTGGTAGTGTATGCCCGATGTCCTCCTCGATTGCGATCAAGTCCTCCTTTGGGAAGGTACCGGCAGAGCGCATCTCTTTCGCTTCAGCGCTTGATTTGTTGAACAGATTCCTTGGAAGCATCTGACTGTTCCCGCAGGCCAGAGCCCAAACCCTTCCACGCAAATTTGGAGGAATACCTTTCCACCAAAGTCGCCTTAGCCTCGTCTCCCTCCTTGCTCTAGTCCAGCTAGGTAAAATTTCACTTTCCCAAACTTTCATTCTCTCTTGCAAGCTTGCATCCTTTTTGTTCTTCTTTTCTTCTTCCTCTTGTTGCTTCTTCAAGCTCATCTCCTTGGATAATTTCATCATTTCTTCAAAATCATGAAGATGTTTCGTATCTTCCACTTTTGGCTTTGGAGGCAGATTTGTCATTCGTGTTCGAGATAGATGCTGTTCTAGTGCTGATGGCTTATGTGACGATCCTCTTCGATGCTTTCTCTCTTTGTCCGCCGCATCTGTTAGCACTGGTGACTTATTCGCATCAGCTTCCTCTGGCGTTGTAATCTCTTCCTTGTTGGCTGCATTCCCTCCATCAACTGTCGCCTCTACATCGGCCTTTCTTCCTACGCTCGCTCTCTCTTGAGATTCTCTAGCTGCTTTCTGTGGTGTTGCTGCACCCTGCTCTGTGTCCGGTGTCCCTTCATCCTTTGCTTGAGCGTCTTCCTGCTGCATTTCAACATCCTCATCTGGCTCTTGTATATCTACTCGAGGTACATTTATCTCTGTGATAGGGCTGATGACGGTGTCTATATCCCCATCATCGCCTGCAAATGACATCACAATCCCTCCCGAAGAAGCAGCAGGAGAGCCATAATCATGAATGCTAGAGCTAGGTGGAATAGAATTCGAAATGCTGACCCTTTGGGGTGAAGGCGCAGGACTTGGAGATCGAGAGTTAGGTCGACTAAGTTTACCGCGATAACGACCTTCAGCAGCTTTTCTTGAAAAAGATCGACTTGAATCGCTGGAAGAAGAATCTCTTTGTCTATCAAAATGCATTTCTCCTTGTTGTTGTTGTTCTTCACTTCTGCGTATTATACTTGTTGATCCAATATTACGTGCTTCGGCAACTTGAGCGATTTGTTTTGCTTTTATGCTATTTGATGAAATTGAATCTTGCCTTATTTCAACTGCACTTCTTGATGCTGCATGTCCCCCTAATCCGTATGGCGATCTTCCGTTTGTTGTTGATTCTCCCGGTCCTAAATTGATATCTACAAAATCCAATCCGGCATCTTCTGTTTCACTGATGTGTCTTGAAGATGGATGATGGTGGTTGTTGCTAAAATTAGAATGTGGCATTCGAACTTCATCTTCTGAATCTGACATTATTTCCCCTTCTTTTCCTTCAATAAACGGGCGAAAGGCGTTCAAATTCGTTTGCGGAAGTACGGAGTAACAATTACCAGGAGAACGGGGGGTCCGCTTTCTCAGTTGCAAGTGCCAAGTGTTGTTCTGCGCCCTGGTTAGGATTAGGCTGCTTAGCGGCATGATAAGCCGAACTTAACAAACAACAGAAAGCTTAAAATGGGAACAATAGGCGTCACTTATCTGGGTGTGATTTTGGGCGTACGTACAGACAGCAACCTGTGCAATGCGTGCGTAGGAAGGAAGAAGTTTGGCAATAAGTCCCATTGAGAAGCATATATGACAAAAGAGAGAGAAAGGATACTGTATGTAATGACATGGACATGTGTGTTTGGACAAGGGAAAAAGGGTTACATAGTTACAAAATTGTACCAATGAAACGAATAATAAGCGAATGTGTCTTTAATTTGAAGTAATTCTTTTCATTCTCATCGTTGACGAGAACGAGGGTCTGTATTGGCAGGAGGAGGTGAAGGAGAATGCATTCCACCATTTGGACTTGCATAGCCAGCTCCAGAAGGACTTGAGGTCATCATATAGCTACCGCCATGACCGCCGCCCATTTCACTTCCTGGTCCCATTGCACTTCCAAATCCACTACCAGGTGGGAATCCCATCGGGGCACCATACATAGACATATACGGATTGAAAGGCATCATGCCCATTGACATAGGAGGCATTTGAGGTGACATCTGTTGATGTTGTTGTTGTTGTTCACCGCCTCCACCACCACCTTGTTGCATGGCTTGCAAGTAAGCTTGTTGAGCGGCTTGAGCGGCACGCATTTGGGCAGCCATCTGTTGTTGTTGATAATCTGCTCCTCCGCTGGCTGCATTACCCGAACCGCTACCTCCTTGATGACCATGACCAGAATGTGATCCTGGTGCTGCTTGTTGTCCTGGCATACCTCCTCCAAACATCATAGGATTCATCATGCTCATCATTTGCATTTGTTGCCACATCATCGGATTGAAAGAGCCCATGCTTGGAGGCATTCCTGGATTTTGCCAAGGCATCCCAGCTTGTTGACCAGGTTGAGGAGATGCCATTGATGCTGCCATCATTTGTTGTTGCTGTTGCATCATTTGATTGCGCATCATTTCTTCTTCTCTTTGTCTCTTTTCAGCTTGGACACGTTCACGTTCACGCTCTGTCAAAGTGGCTCCCAATCCTCCTTCTTTGCGTCTTTCACGCTCGTGTGCACTTATTGCTCCTACCAATCCAGATTGAGGCGCATTGTTTCTGTTTGCATCCACATTGACGAAATGTCCTCCAGTGGCACGAGCTTCTGCTTCCACATGCTTAGCAGATCGTTCTGCTTTGTCTTGTGCACCTGCTTGTAACAAACCTTGTGGTTGGAAAGCTGTACTGATTGCACCTGGTTGTTCTTCTTTCGACAAATGTACCAGCGTGCTTGGGTTGCCTGAAGGTGCATTCTTCGCTGGACCAGATTCAAAGCTGGCACCTGGACTGCTACCGCGCGATTCGTTACCACCTGCATTATGAACGCCAGCCAAGTGAGCATTGTATGGTGCATTTTGACGTGCAGCAGGATAAGGTTGACGGAAGTTAGAAGAAGAAGCAGGAATATTGTTGACCGTGTTTGGTCGGATATCGCGAGAGCTTTCATCTTCATCTTCTTCATCGTCCTCATCTTCGTCTTCTTCGTCATTCCAAGCATGACGAGGTCCTTGTCCCAATCCGCTCTTCTTTGCACCACCTTGACGGCCAGGTTGAGTTAATGCATCAGAATGGGCCTGTGCCTGAGCTTGAGCAGCCAATTTACGTTCTTGTGCTTTCTTGTTGGCATTGAAACTGGAAGGATATGATGTTGCCGCAGGAATAGAAGCAGCGGCTGGAACTGTTGAGTAATCAGGTTGTGCAACTCGGCTGCTATTGCTACTCGAAACAGGTGGTGAAGGAGGTCTGTCAAGGAATGAATAAGCAGCACGTGCATCAGAATCCAAGCCTTCCTCTCCTGGCGTTGTGATCTCGGGATTCGCTCTGGTGACAGGCTTTGGAGTATCTTGTACAACTGTTGAGCGTCCGATAGAGTCTGGCTTAGCGGGCTCATTGACAACGGGCTTAGCCTCTTCCTTTGGAGGCAATGGTTTCAAATTGACCTTTGGCGACGTTGAAGGCAAAGACTCACCCAAAGAATTGATAAAGTACAATGCCCCTTCGTCATATTGACCCATAGGATCGGAATCCTTTCTTCGTGGTGCATCTTTTGTGGATGGCAGAGTAGACATGCGAGCAGTGTCTTGCTGAACGACTGGCTGAACAGATGCTGGTATCGGTGGTTGTGGCTTTGCAGTTTCTTTGGATGCAATTTGTGATGACTCAGATGTTTGATAGTTGGTGCTGGTAGCTTGACTATCCTGTGAGACTCCCAAAGAGGCAGCGTTTGTCAGATGAGCGCTTGACTTTTCCGTTGGCTGCACCTGCTGAGCGGATTGTTGAGATGCTTGAGAAGAAGGTTGTGCTTGATGTGAAACTTGACCAGAAGAAGCTTCTCTACGATCATTTGCACTTTCGTGATTGGTAGCTGTACCTGGTGTAACAGGTGTTTGCGTAAAATTTGTCATCACGCTGCCCTCTCTGCTTCTCTCTCCAATCGAGCTCAATTGAGTTCCCCGTGCATTGTAGGCATCTTGATCGTTCGATCCTGTATTCAGAGGCGGTAATGCGGTGTGCAATTGTGGCGGCTGTTGTTGTGCTTGAGCAGCGTCTTGTTGGGGCGGAGGTGAAGAAAGCATTTGAGATTGTCTGTTGCCGTTTGCTTGACCGGGGCCGTTCAAGCCGCGTGTGCTTTCTGTATTAGGCTGCGGCAATGGAGGCAAAATTGGAGTCCGCTCTCCTCGCATGCGGGCGGCCATGATACCGTGCAAATTGTGTCTGTTCGCTAAATGACGTTCTTCACGAATATCAAGGAATTCAGACAATTCTCTGTCTAAGAATAGACGATCCTTGTATGGCCCAATTGGATAAGCAAAGAAGGGTGAAATTGGGTTTCGAGCATCCCATTGGAATTGCGCTGGTCGACCGTACAATCGGAATGCGTCCATAAAGGCAATACACCATTTCATCATTTCTGCATTCGCTCCTTTGTTGCTACCGCTGTCCAACTCCGGCATGATCATCACCCAACCGGATTGTCGAATCTTATTAGTAGCGCTCACGAATCCACTGAGTGGGAATGCACCTTCGACTTTGAACAAGCTGCTTCCTTCCACTAACTCAGGTCGAGAAGGATAGACAGCGAATGTTTGTGAAGCATAAGCCATCGTCGCAAAGGGTTTCTTGCTCTTCTTTGTTTCGTAAAAGCATGCCAATCCAGGTGCACCATTACTGCCAGGAGGTACGTCAATATCCTTGATCCCTGTATCAGACAAAGCAGGTGCAGAAGGCGAACCGATCAAACTACCACGATCTCCTGCTTTGAGCTTGCTCCAGAATGAGTTTCGGTTGCTAGTGACTGATGCAGTCTCTGATTTATGATCATTTTGAGCAGGGCCTTGACCTGCACCTTCAGCGCCACGATCAGACAATACCAACCAGCATTTTCGCCATTCTGTTGAGCCCATGAAACGTGCTTTGACCCAACCTTCCATCTTTCCTTGCTTATTTAAAGGAGATTTGATAGACAATTCAACGTCTCCTGGTGCTCCTCCTGGACCGGAAGTTGCTTGTTGAGCGCCAACTGCACCTAGACGAGCACGAACAAGAGATCCGGTGTAAATTTCTTCCAATCGAACCTTTTCCCATGTGGCCAGTCGGATACCATTCACCCAGGCTTGTACCAATCTGCGACCGACACTTCCTTCTACGCCGAATAGAATTCTGTTCTGACCGGCAGTATTGATTGCAAATACATTTTCATATCTTCCACGCGATCCAGGAACATCTTGAGGCGATTCAGTAATTGTACCAATAAAGTCTACAAAGCTATCGGTCACATTGATGTACGATGGTGGAACTTCACGTCCTTGTCTTGCTGCTTCTTCCATTTGATGTACGTTCCATACGCTTAAAACTGTACCGCAGAGTTGAACGAAGCATAATTGCCATCTCTTCTTTGGATCGGTGGGAGGTAAGGGCTTTCCATCAGGAGTCAAATGATCGCGTTTGCTCAAATAACCTTCCATATAAATCTTCTTTGATTGTGCTTCTTGTAGACCCAATGCGCTACGTAATTCAGGCGATTTGAATGTAAGAGGTGCGGCTGCGGTACGAATACTGCGTGTTACTGATTCTGTTGGACTTGGTGGTCTACCTGAGGGATTTGGTGAAGCATAAGGACCATCTACATTTTCCAAAGGTTGAAAAGCGGACATTGGACGTAAGGATTGCGTTCTTTTATGAGATTGTGGTTGTCCTGATTGTGTTGCTGGAGGTGTTTGTGGCTCTGGACCTACTTGTGATGGCCAGGCCTGTTGAGCTTGTGCGGCATTATCGGGACGAGGAGCGTTGCCGTTAGAAGCGAGATATGAGTTAGAACGATCGATCGATCTGCCAGGACCTGAGCTAGAAGATGAAGAACCTGCTGTGGATGGACGAAAGCGAGGTTGATTGCCCGGGAAAGGCTGTTGTTGTTGTGAGACATAATCACCACTACTTCCACTGCCAGGACCTTGAGGACGATAAGAAGAAGGAGGTGGAGATTGAGAAGAGTATCCTTGACTGCCGGCTGGATTCCTTTGCATTGATTGCCAAGATGGCATTGATGAAGGAGGTGCAGACATCTTTTTTGAGAGTCAACTTTATCGCGATTGCTCAATGAAAAAAGGTGATCAAAATTGATTCAATCGATGCTGAGAAGGAGGTCGGGAGAAGTAAAGGTTATAGAAGTGATGAATGAAAGGATGAAAGTAAGATCTGTGCGACTTATAAGAAGCCGAATTTGCACATGACCCTAGGCGTACCTGCTGCTGCTCTACAACAATGCAAATGCAGTTCGCCGCCGCGCTGCGCAAGCATCCAGGCCACTTCTTCGGAAAGCGAGCATTTGATTGATTTACGCCCTGGGACTATTAATGAATCCAATTGTGTGCAGTGCACAGCCCGCGAAACTTTAGCACCTTTAATTCCTACCAAACCAGTGGAGGATATACACAGAATCACCTTAAAGCGTGCGCTTTCTTTCGGGAATGCGACGACAAGCTTCAAACAGATACAAACCGGGACAGATAGGTATTGTTAGTGTATCACTGAAAGATACAAATAATACTATTGCTGTATTGTCGGTTGAGTACTAAAATGTAAGATAGCATTCGGAAAATCGCGTTGATTAGGTAAGAAGGACTTTATTTTTTTATTGTTTAAGAATTTTAATCTTCCTTTTTACTGAACTTCGTATGTAAGCGTGTGTAGCATGTAATATTATGGCAAGCTGACATGATCATCCGCTTCTGTCCAAACCAACGTGTATATCAAACAAGAAGAACACAAACCCTGATCGACTTTTGACATTCAGAGAAAACACTATTATCCGATACAAGGCAGTAGACTCACTCCACCTTCAATCCACACAAAGATAAGCAAACGGCCTTTACTACCTCCTTCCTTCCTTTGTTCTCCATCATCGATCACAAGAAGAAAAAGCAAGACCGACAAACAAAGGAGCCTGTCGATCATCACAACGATCTGAACCCATTTCAAGGCTTCATAATTGATGTCGCATAGTGGCAATCGGTGACCGTAAGGGGGCACGAGCAAGAGCCGAAACAAAGGGTTATGCGATTTCATGTGGTGGGCGTTGGAGGGGGAACAGGAGCGCTATTATCGTATCATATAAAGAGAGCAACACGGCTTCTAGCAGACAGTCAGTCTTTAGGTGGAATAGGAACAGATAGCATTGGCTTGAATGGAGAAGTTCTTGGCAATCTTCCTAATCCTTCCGTTTTGCATCATCTACCCGGACCTAACGAATCAGGTGTCACGCTACGGGTACAGAAGCATAACTTTCTGAAAAAGATAGGGGACAGTAATGCCGTCACGATCGAACGGGATGGTGTTGCAAGAACAGAGAGAGGGTTCAATGTACAGCTAACGGGCGCTTTCGATGCTCTAGGAGGTGCATTCAAGGCATCATCTTCACAAACACAAGATTCGGATCAAGCAGGAACATCGATATGTGAATCGATAGGATATCCAAAAGGATCTTTGGATGCTTTGATAGTCGCTACTAAACCGCAATATACAGCATCCATATTGGAACCTCTGGTTGGTTCTCTAACACCTGCTTCTACGCTTGTTCTTTTACAAAATGGACAAGGAATATTGGATGAAATATTACCCCGATACTTTCCCGACTCAAAGAAGAGGCCGAACATTATCATGGCTACATCTACGCATAGACTATGGTCAAAATCAAGACTACATGCTGTTCATGCACATTTAGGTAGATTGGATATCGCCGTTCTTCCTGGTTCAAATGTTGGCGTAGATTACGAAAAGATTTGGACACCTTCAACTTCAACGGAAGGTGATCTAATACAGCGGCAGAATGATGAGCAAGCGGACAAAGGAGGCTTTAGCAAATTTTTCAAAAAGCAGCAAGTGAGCCTGGATCGGTCGTATGCGACAGTCGCACCTGATCAACTAGTATCAATGTATGCCAACCGATCGCCTTCCCCGCTTTCACCGACACTGAATATGGACGCTATTCCATCAAATGATAATACACGTACACTAACAGAAACGCTTTCTGTATTGCAAAGTCTACCGCTGGAGGTGACATGGCAACCTGTGCGGAGATTCCAGCTGAAGGCTATACAAAACCTCGTAGTGTCGGCTTGCATTGATCCAATAACTGCTTTGGTAGGCTGCAGAAATGGCCATCTGTTTGGCAATCGATTTGCCGAACAAGCAATGCGTGATGTATGCAAAGAAACAAGTGAAGTTTTACGATTGCTAGCAGAAAGAACGCGAGAGAATGCGCAAAAAGTGATGAACAGGCAACAAGAATCACATGATCCGCAATCGTCGACAATCAATCAAGACTTTTTATTGGGATCGGACGAATTGATTGGAAATTATAATTTACCAGATCATCCAACTTTGGATCCTTCTTTACAGTCTGGTGCATTGTTGGATACCGTTCAACGTGCCGTTCGCATGACAGCTCCGCAGTTCAGTACGATGTACAACGATTTAAATACCAACAAAATTCGGAACAGTAGCGAAATCAATTATATCAACGGATACATTGGACGATTAGGAAGGTCGTTGGGTGTTGCTACACCGGTAAACGATATGCTGGTTTCCATGATCCGATTGAAACAAAGTAAGGATAATTCGCCATGGAAGTCACAGTCGGAGCGAGATTAGGGCTGAACGAGAGGAAAAGTCACTCAGAGGTGGATCGTATCTAGATCTAGTATCATTTAATCAAACAATCTATCATGTAACAATAGTCAATCATTGCAATGCCAAAACATAATGCGTGTCTTTCGTGAGATTATCTATGTATTAAAGAATCTGAGAATATCAAGAGAATACAGGCCAGTATACACAGCACAACGTGATAAATATGCCCTTCGCCAAAATCAACGTTCGTTCTTTGAAGGTACAAGAGTTTCCTTGCTATCATACTCCGGTTCGTTGGCCATCAATCCTTGTCTTTCTCCTTCTGTTGCTCGAACTTGTTGACGTTCTTCGTGATGTTGTGTTTTCCGCGGTGTTTGACCTTCTTCTTCATCGTCACCAATCTCAAACACGACATCATCATCATGAACGCTATTCCTGGTCGGCCCACTTTGAGCAGCATTGGCACGACCTTGAGCTACATTGCTTTGTCGTCCAGTAGCAACGCCAGCCGAATTACCATTGGCGCCTGAAGATTTTGTCGTTCCGCCTTCTTCGTCATCTTCATCCTGCAATCCACCATGTTGTCCAAATTCACCGATTTCATAATCTTCTCCATCAAATCCTTCATCTTGACCAATTTCGTCACTCATGCTTAATCGTAAATTTTGACCTGTCGGACGCCATAGCCAAGCAATGCTACCAAAGACGGCCAAATACAGCGTTCCCATCCATCCATCAAGCAAGAACCATCTATATGGCCAAACGTTCGGCGAGAAGCTTTCTGCTGATGATTGTGAAAAGGCAACCGAAGTGATGATAAAGAAGGCAAAGATCGCAATCACTGCGCCCAAAAGAATTCTATATAACCTTCGGAACATTTGACCTTTGAATGTTTGTTTTCGTTGAGTGAGATATTCGATCGTCGCATTGAGAGAATGCAGAGTCCACATCATAAAAGATGTCAATGTGAAAGCCAAAGGGAAAATGAACAAAAAGATCCATCCTCCTCCTGATTCTGTCACGATTAAAACGATTCCGATCGAATACAAAACACCGCAAACGAAATGAACAGCTGTCAAGATGCGCACTCTTGTCATGACAGGTCCAATTGATGGTCGGACTACACCATAACCCATTGAAACAATCAAAAGCAGGAACAAGCTGACAGAGTTGCGCGCTGCATCTAAGATGCTAGTCGTTACAAGAAGAGCACGAGCCCCAAAGGTGACTGCACCATTGTTGTCCAGTGAAGAAATACTCCAGAAATCCATCGAGTGAGTATTGAGATAACGGAAGTAAAGCCATTGTGCTGCATTTCCAACAATCAGAAGGACAATCGTTCCCGAAATAAAATGTTGAACGGTGAGTAATTGATCTCTGTGAGAGATGCACAGGTATAACCAATACCCTCCAAGCAGCATATATAGCGATGTAAGCGTGAAGTAGAATTGCAATTTTGGATATTCGGTTGCCGGTAAATCTCCTTCGAAAAAGTTGATGAAGGATATCCTTCCCGTAAAGTGCGAGTGTAGATCAGTATTCCCCTCGATCGAAGTGGTTGTCATAGGGACGGCAGCTAAAGATAGGAGAAAGGAGAGGAGGGTCGTCAGTACATCCCAATACTTGTTCGTCTGCTATCAAACTCAAATCTCACTCGCACCAACGCAATAGTATCCTTTTCGAGTAACATTATACGTGACTGGATGATTTGCCGCATCTCCTTTGTTGCCCAAGTCGATCCGATTTGTGACTACCGAAGAAGCATTTCTGGAAACCATAAAATTTCCCAATTCCTTTACTGTACATAGCCCATCTAAGACCGCTTGTGAAGTACAGATGTACGTTTTTAATGGAAATCCAAACATATCATGTTCTTTGCCATTCTTTCCGATAGCATCAAAATCCGAATATTCGTACATCATTGTGGAGACTGTTCCGGCTGAACTATTATCGAATCGTAATTCGATCCGAGTATCTTTGCCTTTCCACATTCCACTGCATGTTTGACGTAGAGGATCAAGGTCTGAGATTGCTACTTGAAAAGCTTGACAGATGGAAATCTGTAGGATGGTCAAAGCGACCAGCATATATCCAAAGGTCGACATCCGTAAGTCTCTCATGTTGTCGTGAGCATAACAGGAGGGAAGGTGCGGCAATACTCCTACAAACTCTGTAATTGGTTACCTGCTTAAGCCTTCTGCATTCAGTTGTTGTGAGGTTTCTTTTGATTTAATTTGATGAGATGGAAGCCAAGATAGAATGGTGATTGCCTGTGTTGGATGATGTAAATCTTACACAAAAAGTGTATTTCTTCTAAAAAAGCAACTAAACTATAATGTGCCGACGCCAGCCAAAGGCTGCATGGTATACGGTAAGCGTAAGCAGATTAGGCGGAAAAGTGTGCATTTGTTAGTTCTGCAAACAAGCAGCAGGCACTGCAAGCAAATACTGCGCGCAGACACACACAGTAACGCAAAAGGTGTAAAAAGCAAGCAAGACTGCCACGCTGTTTCAAAGAAAGATCAGTTTATCGAAACGCGTTTTACCGCGAGGGGGAAGGCTCAAGGCCCAAGCCTGGGAACAGGCCCCTTCTTATGTTCCGTAGAAGATGCAACAGGGCTACTGTAGTTAATTGCACACTAGCCATATATTATAATTAGCAGCACTTGACTTTCATTTCTTTTTCCAGCACTCAGCTTGTAGGGGCAAACAAGCATATGGAAGCCTCGCACACACACACACAAAAGGATTCGACTCTGAACACACACACACACACACACACGCACGGCAGCAGCAAATTGAAATCAACTTTTTGAAACGAGAATTGTTGCCGCGAACCCCAATGGCCTTCTTATCACCTGCCAATATCATCATTCTCACACTATTTGTCCCTCTTTTTTGTTGAAGATCATATTTGATCAACAAAGACAATCTTTGGACTACAGTTTATACTTCTTCAACTTTTAAGAGTCTTTCGAGTCAAAGATTCGATTGCATTCAACCTTTTTATTCAATTCCTAGCCTTCTCTTTTTGGCAAGACTGTTTCGGATCCAGTGTATCCGTCACTTGCGCGGAGACCGCTAAGGATATTGATTTGGTGGCCGTTCTTTCCTCAATACTCCTTTCTCCCGACAACGCAAACAGTCAATTGCTTCATCTATATTCTCGATCCTACTCTTCATTGCCTCATCCATTCTTTTGCGGTTCAATTTGGCGTTCATCTTTACAACGTCATTTCCTTTGCTGCAAGTATCCCCATTTATACTCATCTGTAAAGGACTTCTGCAGATCAGTCAAGGTCAAGGCAGGAACTGAGTCATTCGGTCAACGCAAGTATAAATCAACATCAGACAAGCAATCTCTTTCATGCAATCTTGAATTGATACAGCGACGTTTAGGAATCGTTCAAGAAATCGCTCTTCCGTCAACGTTGTGGGAAAGGTCTTCTCCTTCGCACTTAGTTACTATCGCCATACATTCTACCTGGATCTCAATCGTACCCAATCAAGAAGATGGCTGTCTCTTTGGCATTGAACTGGAACCTTCCAGCATCTACACCTCTTTTCGATGAGAACAGTCCGCTACATTCCGACGAAAAGCAGGGACCAAATGTGACAGCTGCTCCCACTACTGATGCTGGATCTAATGCACCTGGATCATCTGAGAGCAACCCACGTCAAGCAGAGAATGCTACCGTCAATGGAATAGGTCAATCTGCGCCCAACACAGCCGGATCGGGCATAGGAACAAAAACATATGCTGCTGCTGCATCTTCTTCGCAACCTGCTTTTCCTCAAATACCAATGCCAAGTTACAGCGGAGCGGCAACGAGCTCGCAACCCGCCTATGCTGGCAATGTGGCAAACGCATCCCCCTATGATGGCACAAATACTTGGTCTGGGAAGTCGCAAACGAATCATGCAGGAATACCGCAATCTTTCGTGTCCGAGGATGGTAGAAGAATACGTTCAACGTCTGGTCCTCAAAAGCCTTCACATTTGACGTATAATGATACGTTACAGCATTATCCAGTCCCTCTACCCGCCGCGGCTCACAGTAGGTCTGCTTTACCACCAGGAGCAATGCATCCAACTGGATTACCACATACGGCAAGCAATCCCTCTTTGAACTCCAACAAGGTATACCATCCATATAGGCGAACGACCAAAGGATCGGATGCTCCGCAAGTCAGTTCTGCATTTACAGCTGGTCGAGGACCTCCAGTCTTGCCAATGCCTGGACAAGTTGCTCAATCCTCTTCACGAATTCGTGCATCAAGTACGAGCTCAAGCAGTACAGCGCGGGGCGAAGGAAATACTTCACGGATTCCGCCTTCTGCTGCGCCTATTACATATTCATCTGTTGCTTCAGGTGTAACAAAAGCTCCTGTACTTTCTAGTGCAACTGGTCAACTGCCAACGCCACAAGCTTATCAAAGTCCAACTAAGGAAGTATCACCAGTCAGTCCAATGGATAGCAAGAGTTCGTATCGCGAGAGGTCAGGGTCATCTGAGTCATTCAAGTCTGCCAACTCAGACGTACAGACGCGCAAGACATCAGTTTCTTCCCAATCGAGCTCCATTGATTCTTCCGTGAATGGAAATACAGGTATGAGCAATGGTCGTTCTACTCCTGTACCACGCAAGCCAGCACCCTCGCCGTTATCCAAGGGTAATTACAACGATGAAGACCCAGCCAATAGCGATGATGAGAACACGATTGGTGGCAGAACAACTCCTACACCAGGTGACAAACAAAAGAAAGGTCTTTCTGGCAAACTTCGCAAAGCTCTTTCGCTATCCACTCTTCAACAAGTGGAAGCTGCTGCTGCTGCACCTGATCGAGCTTATGGAGGAAGGACAAATGTGATGACAAAGCGACCTGATGGAAACCATTACCCTCACGCTTCTTTGGATACCAATGGTTCTTCTGGTAGCACACGTTCTACTTCTCCTCCTCGTACGCCGGATAACGGAGCACCCATCACAGGTTCATCCGCCGCCTCCATCAGCTCGCGGAGAAGCACACGACCTCCAATCAGCGGAGGTGAAAATGCACCAAAGAGAAGTATCTTTAATCGAAAGTTCAACTCTTCCACGGATAATATCTCAATCTCATCAACAGTCTCAAGTGCTTCGATGATGTTACGAAAAGTGGGCAACCTTGGAAAGCTTGCTCGAAGGAGTAACATTAAAGGCATCACAAACATGTTCAACAAAGACAAGGACAGCGGCAAGGAAGGCTTGCATAATGATGACTTTGGTACTTTGCCAACTTCAAGCCAACACGGTAAGAGCCAAAGCACAAGTTCGAACTTGTCTGAGTCATCAAAGCGTGACGGCTTGAACGCCAAGAAAGGCAGTCCTGCTACAGCTTCAGTCTCACATGCTACCGTGGAATTGGAAGCAAGAAACAATAATGGCAGCAATGACGTTGGTATGACACCTGCTGCATCGTATGTTCGACAACATCAATTGCAAATGCAAATACGTGCAGAGAACGAACGAATCGCAAGAGAAAAGGCCGAAGCGGAACGGAAGGCAATGAACAATGCAACTGGAAAAGCAAAGACGACGGACGACATGAATAGCAGTCAAAAGACCATGATTGAGAAAGAGAAGGAGCGGTTGAAGAACAAGCGTAGCAACAAGGGAGGATGGCGTAAGCGTCTTGTTGGCTCTTTGGGAGGTTCAGGTGATATGCAAGAAGCAACTGGATTGGAGACGATGCCATTGGAAGATTCGATGAATCAACAAGGCCCAATTCACCCAACCGGACATTCGTACAACCCGCCTACAGGTGTTGGAGCTGCACCTTCAATTGCTTCCAGTGCAGGTCCTCACAGTGCCGCAGCCAGTTTCAATGAAACAAGCTTTGATTCTGCATTCGATGAAGATGATTTGGAGCCACCGCAAATGCCCGTTGTCAATGAAGGATACGAGTCAGGAGATGATTTCGAAACGGATAGTTTGCGTCATTGGGGTGAAGGCATAGAACGTTCCCGTGAAAGTGCTGCCAAGATCAAATCTGTCAAGGGTATCTTGAAGAACAGTACGTCCTTCAATGAGCAAATGAGTGCTCAACAATTTGGATCGGCAGGCGCGGTTGAAAAGCCATTTGCTGGACGAATCCGTGCAAATAGCTATGATGCACCGCAAAATACGACAAGTCATCAAAGTTCCGTGCCACCTATGTCTCAAATGACTACTTCATCTGCATCTACCGATCGCGTAGACGGGGTTGCAAAACCATCTGAAGAGAACACGTCTGTAGACATTGTTCCAGCCGATGAACGTGCCAAATTGGGAGGGGCAACTACGCCCACACAAGGATCGAGTAGCAATTTGGGTCATCACCCCAATTCATCCATGCCAACACTGTCGTTGATGATGAACCCAAACGCTTCATCGACAGGACAGAGGAGTATGACAGCTCCTCAAGGAAGGAAACGACTTGTATTCGCTGATGCACATATTTATCATTCCACGTGGCCTGCGCATGTGTATGATAGACGTGGTGAGCTAGCAACTTGTAATAGGCTCACACCTCTGTTGGCACAACGTATCAAGGAAGAGTTGAATACGTACAAGATGGAAGAGATGGCTGTTGCACCTTCCAGTCGTATCCATACACACTTTTTCGTTTAGAGCAAACGTTTTGCTCGACAAGCTGGACTATGTTGATGCAAGAGAATGCTCGAAAGGAAAGAGGTACGCAATCAACAAAATTACGACTAAAGCTTACATGCTTACGGTCATGTCTCAAAAGACCTTTCGGTCTGATCCGATCGATGCCAAGATCTTATTTTCTCTATTTCTGCACAATTTTTTTCTCTTTCAATATTATTCTAGAAGATCAGCAAGCAAACAAGCACATATGCAAGAACGTCAATCAGCAATAGTACCATACACTCAATTTCTCATTTTTTTTTTCTCCTCTCCTCCAAACAATATTGCTTCTCTCATTTTCGCACAGTATAAGTCGAGAATTCGAGATATTTCAATCGTCAGCACACATTATCATCTCCTCTTCTTCTCTACTCATACAAGGTTCATTCCTGCCGTCGAACAATATCATCCTGACTTCTTTCTCAAAATTACTATCTACCTTTTCCATCTATTCTTCTTTGTCTTCTGCCCCTGTATCAAGTACCTTCGTTTTCTCAATTTTGATTTAGTGCCCTTGCATTCGTGATCAGATTGAGTAGTTCACACAAAGTACGCCGGTGGAAAATGTTATAAGAATAAGTACTGGATATCACTGTAAGTGGAAAGATACGTCAGAAGGGGGAATAATAGATTATGTACAGATGTTCCTTAGGAGAAGATTACGGTATAAAATATAGTAGGGTAAGAAATGAGCTGATCAGAACATGGTAGCAAACACATCACTTGCATCTCTTGCATGATTCTTCTTTCCGTTTGTGCGTGCGTCTTCATCTTCCCATTTGGTTTTCTCATTCTTGCCGAAAGTGAAACCGACCCATAAGCCTCTTGATCCATTTTCGGCAGCAGCTGAAGCACCTCCACTGACTTTTTCTTCTACATTTCTGGCTTTTTCTTGAACTTCTTTGTATTTTTTCATATCGTCTGGATTTTCAAAATCGTCAAAGTAACCTGTATCAACGTCTGATTCCAATTGAGGAACAAAAGGAGCGCGTAGCGAACGCAATTCGGAAAGGTTCAAAGGAGCAAAGAATGGATGTGCTTGAATTTGTTGTAAAGATGTAATTCTTCTTTGTGGTTGATCGATTAAACGGGTAACCGCATCCCATGCAACATCTGTTAAATTGAATTGCAAATCTTGTGGTTTATCGTATACTGGTCTTTGTAATACTTTTTCCCAATTTTTCAGGTTTGTCCATGTTTCATCAGGACTTCCACCGCTGAATGGTGGAAAACCACACAAAAATTCGAAAAGGATACAGCCCAAACTCCAATAGTCCACGCTGATGTTGTAATTTCTTCCGCGAAGAACTTCAGGTGCCATGTAATCAGGACTTCCGACGATGGAATCGGCATGTGCAACGTTTTGAGCTCGCATCTTTTTGTACAAGCTAGAGCGTTCGTGAGGTGTACGGTAGATCAAGTTGGTATCTTTGACAGCGTCTAGTCTTGTCTTTAATGATTCGATGCGGGTAGGATTCAATGCACCAGCAGCTAATCCGAAATCGGTCAATTTGATATGTCCAGTAGAGTCGACCAAGAAGTTTTCAGGCTTCAAATCACGATGGATATATCCTAGTGCATGAAGTTCATTCACTGCAACAAACATTTCTGCTGCATAGAATCGAGCATGTTCTTCCCGCAAAACACCAGAGTTATTGAGAAGGGTGCGGAAGTCTCCTCCTGGTACATATTCCATTGCGAGGAAGACGTGATCAGTATCTTGGAATGCATATAGCAAACGAACGAGCCAAGGTGTTTTGGTTGCTGTTAGGATATCACGCTCTGTCAAAACGTGTCGTACTTCGTCCATCTTGACCAATACTTTCTTGCGTAACCGTTTCAGAGCGCAAACTTCTCCTGTTTCACGCTTTCTTGCCAAGAATACTTCTCCATAACCACCTTGACCAACTTGTGTGATGATGTGGAAAGAAGCCAAACGAAGCTTTGCTCGTCGTTTACGGAGATGTGCACGTTCACGACCCAAATAAGATGTAAGTTCTGTTCCGCCTTGATTTTGTTCTCTTGCTTTGGCAAGGTTTGTAACTCCTGCTCGTGCTTTGAATGCTTCTGTTCGGTTACGACGATCCGAGATATAACGTAAAGAATCAAAATAATGATTCAAAAAGTATAATTGTGCCACTTGTGCTTTCCTGCGTACTTCTGCACTATCTACCATTTCTCTTTCCCATCCTGTCAAGCCTTCGAACCTTTTGAAACTACGATAGCTTCCTTTGCTATCATCTGCACCGGCTGGAGCTGCATTTGATGCATCATGTAAACGAGAATGAGCAACTGGCGATGTGATTTGACCTGCCAATAAACGAGCAGAAGGTGAATTAGGAAGTTGTTTAACACCTTCAGTGTGAGCTTGATTGCCGTAATTTGGGCTATTAGGTGAAGCTGCCACCAAAACGCGAGAAGTAGGCGTAGACATGGTGGCGATCTCTTTTTTGTAAGAGTTGAATGATGGCAATAAAGAGAGAGAGAGGGTTGTATGCTTATTTGCATCTATTCATAAATAGTTATTCTAGAGAGTGTCGCTCACTTACCTTTTTGGCTCAAGATTTGCCCTACTTCATGTCGATCCTCACTCAACTTGAAAGTAACACTTTGTGCGGCCAGGCACAAATTCCACCAAAAATGATATGACACATTCTGCGCGCTATTTCGGCGGCGCCTGCTTTTACACTCTAACAGAAAGAAAAGTTGCAGCAACACTTCGCGTCAAACCACGTGAAGGGATGATCAACGCGACGAGGGATGCATGCAGATAAAGTGTTGTTCTCTTGGAAAGAGGGGGGAGAAGTGAAATGTTACGCGTTTAATTGTTCAATGACCACCATCACGGATCAGACATCGTCATCATGTCAGAGATGGCATCTTCATCTACTTCTCCGCAGTCTGCAACATCGAGAAAATCAGTCGGCGGCTCTAATCGAAGGATGATGGGTGCGGGAAAGCTTTCATCTTCGGTAAGCTTATCTGCATCGCAATTCGGTCCCTCTTCCGGTCAGAATTCTACAGGCTTCACTTTTAAGCCACATGTTCTACTTTCCGGTATAAATGAGGAGTCGGGTAGGGGAAAAAGAGCCATCTTAGATTATTCACAGCTGAATGACAGGATTGAAATATTTAAAGAATTGATGAATGCACACCTTGATCAAGTCACAAACGAAATGGAGGATAAACGTGATCAACATCAAAGTACAATGCAAGATCAGCAAAGCCATGTGAACGCAATCAAAGAAGGGATCGAAAAGCAAAAAGATGATCAAAAGACACTCTATCAAACTGTAGCAGCTGAAAGACAGGCGGAAAGTTCGGCTCAATCTCAATTAGCCTTGCTGCAAGCTTCACGTACATCCTTGGGACAAAGATTGACAGAAGCAGAAGCAGAGCGAGATACATTGCAAGCCAGCTTGGAGAAAAAGAAGCGAGCATTCGAACAGAGAAAACAGAGGCTGACGCAACAGGTACGCAGAAATAGACCAGAATTGATCCGATTCAACGAGAAATTAGGATGTAGGGTTAGCGCTGGTCATCAACCAGATCCTTCCAATACAACATTCACAGACGCATCCAAATCTTCGAATCGTTCGGTCATCAAGTTCACTTTCAATCTCATCGATCCGGACGATTGGTCATACGAAGCGAACTTTGTCATCGATGCAAGTCGATCACAATACAAGATCGTTAGTGCTAAGCCTGCTTTGCCAAATGAAGATTTGCAACGTATGTTGGCCGATTTGAACAAATCGAGAGCGTTGTTTACGTTCATCAAGAGTATGCGATCTGCCTTTAAACAGGAAATTGAAAAGCAGAAGCATGCCAAAAAGTCTGCTCAGTCATAGGGCGTTTCGCTTATGTATTCTACTTTGTAACAACATTTCTACTTCTACTAATGTGTAATATTAATCGGAAAATGTCATTAAGGTCGTGAATAATCTAAAAAGCAAAAATATACAATCCAGGAAGATTAACATTTATCCTCCATTCCTGATGCGAATATTAGCACCTATGCAACCTGAATTTCCGAACCAATCCCTTCCACGAACCCAAACTTGATATAAACCATTTCCGTCTGGTTCTTTTCGAGTATCCCAAGCACCTCTTCCATCCGTTTGTCCTACCAAGATACGTGTAGGAGCATAGAACAACTTTCGTCCTTTTTCATCAAATTGTGATGCATACTTTGTCTTGAACAAAGGTACCCGCCCAACGGTAAATGCGGGAACGTAATGGGCTAGCAGGGCAGTCTTTGGCAATGAAACGGTCCATGCGTTGGGTAATTTTGTATGATCAAAAGAATTTCTCCAAATTGTGTCAGCGGGGACATTGTCGCAATTGAACATATCATGAGGATTTGCAGCAGATCCTCCGACAGAAGAAGTGCTTACAGGAACGATTGCCCAGTCCAATGCATGCAGAGAGATCAAATCCAACTGATCTCCTTCGTCACCAGGTGTGTCGGTAAAGCTATCAAAAGCGACAATCACCTCTGCTTCGCTTGACAAAGTTGGCGGTTGAATCAAATCTTTGCTTGTAGCAACAATGTTTGGTGGAGTCAAAGCGCCATCTTCACTTGGATCAGCAAAGAACATTTGCGATGGATTCGGATCAGGAGTGATGCTGCTCGTTCGGCCAGCCAAAGTGAAAGCATCAAGTGGATTGAAATATTGCCAACCACGTTCAAAAGGTGCTTTCCATTCTGTCCAAGAAGGATCGGGTCTGGCTACCATAATGTGTAGACTACGCCAACGGTAAGGATATCTTCGGCTATCGTCGTCCATCTTTGGTGGATCAGCTGGTTTGTGACGACAAGGAGGTTCGAGTGAGAGTGGCGTTCTCGATGCTCCGCCCACCACTTGCCCAGCAGTCACACTTTGTCCCAATTCTACCTTCATCGACTCATCGTACAGTCCCAACAATTGATATACTGTTCCCCATTCGTCACGAATCATTACACCTAATCCTACCTCGTCATTTCGATGATTACCAGGCGCACGTTGAATAGTATATTCGCCTTTCCATATCACCTGTCCTGAAACGGGCGCATGAACAGGCTCGAATTCAGGCATGCCTTCTTGTGTTTCACCGTTATGAGGAACACGAATGGAGATACCATAAGACCAAGATGCAAATGTAAGGTCCACGCCATTGAGAGGATCGAATGAATCTGGTTTAGCAGTTCGAGGGAAGTAAGGGTCTTGCATCAATCCACTGATACGATTTGGCACAAGACCTGTGTACTTCATCTGGGTAGAATCATTTCCGCTATGTGCTGTTCCAGCAAGTGGCCAAAGTGCACCTCCGTCTGGCCCTGGTCCTTCCACACGTCTCAGGCTACCCAGCCAATAGTGATGTCTTTCCCTCTTGACAGGTACTAGCCTTTGAACGTCAAATGTGATAACGAGACTCTCCAATACGTTTTCCCTTGCATTTGCAGCTGTGTCGGTCTGTCTGGAAAGAATGGAGGCCAAAGGAGGACATGATTGGGCATCAAGCAAGATGCGCGATTGTTCATAAATTATGCTAGATGGCTTGCAAGCAGTACTCTTGGAATCGTCAACATTATCACCACTTGCTAATTTTTCTGCTTCTTCTTTGTCCTGTCTTTCACATTCTTCCACCGATCCTCCTTCATAGGATCCGCACTTTAGATGCACTTCTTCCCAATTCCTCTTTTGAGCTTGTGAAACGGATATCCTTATCCCTTCCAAACTGTAAAGAGGTACATCGACAAAGAGGGAAATATGGGGTTGCGCTCCTCGTGATAGTGGCGATCCAAAATAAAGACCGCTATGTGAAAGGTAGACTTTCTGTAAGGTATCCGGAGATGGAGGTCTTGCTTTCGTTGAAGATGACTGTTGTTGAAGATTATAGTATGCGTTCTCGCTCTTTTCTTTTGGGTTGAATGGAACTTGTAGTGCTGAAACTGTATGAATGACAATTAAGCATACAACCACAACACTCGCCAGCAACGAGCCAGTCTTTTCTGTCATCTTTGCCAATGATCGTGTATATGGCCTTTGATGAAGCTCTACAACAGCATAGATATGATGGTAGTAATGGTGAACAATGTATGTGTGTGGTTATGAGCAGGCTTGTGCATGCATGACTGCATTCTTTGGTACAGCCCAGGCCATTACAAGAGAGGAGTTCAATTTGCGCCGCGCTTTTAATTCCGACTTCCTATTTTCTCCACATTAAGCCGGCATGGCATGCCTAAAATAGAAGTCAAACAAAAGTGACCATGAAAGAAGAAAAGGCATTCCTTCATCATACAAGCCGCATATTCATATTACTATAGAGCAGTAATGTCACCAGATAAGAAGACAAATAAGCCTCAATCGTAATAAAAAATCATTAAATTTAATTCCAAGTTGCAATAGTATACAGCGTACTTTTATTCGTATACAGTCTTTTGTCCTCTAGGTGACGATGACGAATACTGACCACGAGAGCTACCGTTGGATTGTCTACCTCCTCTTCCACGGAAATGTTGTTGACCAAAAGGTCGTCTGCCAGAACCTCTCCCTCTTCTTGGAGGAGAAGAAACGTACGAATCCAATGATTGACTACCGATGGAGTAGTCAAAATCTTGTTGACTAGAATCATGTGTATTGTTTATTGATCCGTTACTGTGATCGTGCTCGTTCTGTAGCGGAACCCGATACAAGAACCCGTCAAAGGCAGCAATTGCTTTGCGTTGTAGAGCTGCTTCCCTGTGAATTGCATCACCCGGAATCCCATTATGCCATACTTCCGTAGCCTGTCTTTCGATCTCTTGCAAAGCAAGGAATCTTCTTTCCTGGTCACCTCTCGGTGTAGGGTCATCTTGGGAATAATTAGCTGCGAATAGCGGATGAGGAGCAGGATACTTGATCGAAAAGTGATTCAAGAGTAATTGCTTTGCACCACATCGAGCTGCAAATTGGCCGGCAACTTGAGGTGTTGAGTGACCACGCATCAATGCTTTCGCTCGAACTTCATCGTGCTTTTCATCTTCTTCTCTTTTTCCGGGCGTTAATGAACCAGGTAGTGCTGCATTTGTGCATTCATGAACGAGAACATCGGCATTCTCTGCAAGACTTGCCATTCCTCTTGCTTCATAGTCTGCTGAAGCGTCTAAGCCTGCTGTTGCATCATAAGTATCTCCAAGCACAACGACTTTCCGCCCTGGGATATCCAGCTCTGGAGGATGTAAGATCGTACCGTCGGGAAGAGTGACGCTCTTTCGATCACGAGTGAGTTTGCCTAGTAATACTTTTGGATTTTTGATATTCTGTTGTGCTTCCAATGCAGCTGCATTGGCTTGAAGAGCATCAAGCATTTCCGTACTTACACTTGTCGATGCTGCATCAGGCTCCTCAAACACATATCCCACGGCCGGACATCTGTGTAAAATCGGTGCCGCACTCACCACAACTCCCGATATGGAAGTGATAGAAGGCCATGAAGCAGTTTGTTCGTCTAATCGAAAATCTATTCCTGGCAATTCGCTATCCAATGGAGGTAAATGCGGGATTGTTCTCTGTGGTCCATTCATTGCTCCTAGCAAAGGTTCTGTAGATTCGGGTATAGAAGCAGCAATGACTTGTTCATCTTCTGCGATTATGGGTGCATTAGAGTATGCTGATTGATTTGGCCATAAAAGCTCATGAACGCAATAGTATCCAGTAAGGTTGGTATAGCATAATGTAAGAGTTGTTCGAATTAATGCTCTTATTCCCGAAGGACCAAAGATTTCTACCCTAGGTCTCTTTCCTTCAGAAGGATCAACGGCATTGCTCGGTCCCATCAGAGTACAAAGCAGCGGAACCAATCCTAAAACGTGATCGGCATGTAAATGGGTTATGAGAATATGTCTTATATTGCTCAACCTTTCATCTCCTCCAATATGTCTATTCTGTAATTGTCGTTGGGTTGATTCTCCACAATCGATCATAACAGTGTGATGGTCGAGTTTGACCAAAAGACTGGAATAATTTCTTGATATATTGGTTTGAGAAGATGTTCCCAGGAAACGTAGTGAAATGTCTTTTACCATGTTGTCCACACTTGTTTCCTCATTGTCGTGAGAATAGGAAGTATCTTTTAATCAATTCTCCCTATCTTATGAAAGCGGACTTAAAGGAGAATTAACGAAAACATACGCGCCGGCGCCGTACGCTCGAGCCATCTAGATAGATTGAAACTTGATTGGCATTACGACAATCACCTCTTTCTACACTCCGATCACCATCACTTCAACTCATACAAAGATGTCCATAGGAGCAAGTACGCAATCTCTGGCACGCTTGGAGCCTTATCTTCTACTGGCAAAATCAGCCAAGAATGCTGCTGCTGCGAAATTGATCACAGAGGTTACCTCAGCACCTGGCTGTTATGTATTCTCTGAATTATTGGACTTTGATGGCATACAAGCATTAGCCCAACAAGAAGAATACGTCAAGAGTTACAGACTTTTGCAGCTGTTTGCGTATGGCACATTCATTCAATATCGTAACGCAGCACCGGGTACATATCCAACGCTTAATGAAGCACAAGAGGAAAAGTTGCGACATCTGACATTAATCTCATTGGGATCCAAGAATAGGAATTTATCGTACAGCTTGCTTCTTGAGCAGTTTGGCTTGCAAGGATCAGCTAACTCTGCCGGACAGAGCACAAGCATCCCTTTCTCATCCGATTTAGCTGTTCAATTGCAACAAATTCATCCTCCCACGATGCGTAAATTGGAAGATTTGATCATTGATGCAATCTATGCAGGCATCATTTCTGCTCGTTTAGATCAATCACGTCAACGTGTAGAAGTGGAAAGTGTGATGGGTAGAGATGTTCAAGTAGAAGAAGTTGCGAATCTTTCGGCTGCTCTGCATGATTGGCAAGAACAAACTTTGGGCATTTTACATTCGCTTTCTGAACGTATTGCTGAAGCACGTCAACATGACGAAGATAAAGCAAAAGATCGATCCGAATCTGATGCAAAGATTGAAAGTACGCTCTTGCACCTTGCCAATAATCCAAACAGTGCCACCTCACATGGTTCTGCATATCCGGCTTCGAGGCTATACGATAGAATGGGTAGCGATCGATTCAATACTGATGTAGAAATGGAGGACGATCCTGTGGCGTTACGGAAGAAAAAGTGAGTCTAAAGGATGTGCTAGTACATTTCCACTGCTTCTGAAAGCTGACTTCTTTTTCTAGATCGTCAGCCGCAGGACCGACACGATCCAAACGAAGTAGAGCTTAGTGTATCGAACTAGATCCTCAATGTAGTATACCAACTTAGAATTACGACCGAATCTCATACTAAGACAAAAACTGACAACATTGCATATTAATACAGCTACAGTAAGAATACAGAAAAGAAGAAAAAAGAATAGAATAATAGATCATGGGAAGGGGAAAGCTTTTAAAACTTAGGGGGTTGATTTGGGTCTACAAAGGAGAAGCCTTGCCATTGTGATTCTGCCCAAATTTGTGCATCACCGGCGTTTGCCATCAGCTGTTCCCATTGAGCTTCTAACCCGGCAGGATGGCCATGCGGTGGATGATGTACATTCTCAGGCACATACCCGAATGCAGAACTTGTTGGTTGTACGGTATTTTGTGATTGGAAAGATGTCGGTGCGTGCTGTTGAGGAATGGATTGCATTAAATTTTGTTGGGCAGGCATCGAAAGTACCGAGGGGATCTGATGTGATGTTGATGGCCCGTATGATGAGACCGGTAAGTTTTGTTGCTGCTGCAGATTTGAGGGTGACAACTGAGTTGCATTTTGATCGTACGAAGTATACGGATTATGTGTAGAAGGTTGAGTGAGTGTAATACCATCTTCTCTTTGAAGGTAATTCTGCAACCATGATGAGTCCATACCGGTGATTGACATCAGATCCAATTCCAAGCTTGGCCCATAAAGCTGACGAGGAGAAGTTATGGGGTTCGAGTTATGCAATGTGCCGGGCATGGTTCCACTTGATATGGGCATGAATTGAGCATTGTAGGAAGTCTGCCTTTGTTCTCCCTCATAGCCTTCCGGCAGAGCTGCTCTGGCCAATTGCATCACCTCATCGATGTCCATCTGTGAGACATCAGAGGGCGAGGTTAAGTTGCTGGATTGTTGTGGCGAAAGGGTAGATTCCCTTCCTGTGCTGACGCTGCTCTTGTTGGTATTTTGAGTATTGCTGCCTTTTGCTGCATTGTCTTCTTTCCTTTCTTCGTGATAGAAATGATGAAAGTTTGGTTTTGTCTGTACGTATTGAGAGCTTTCCGTACCCGCTCTACCGGCCACTTGACGAAGCTCAAGCAAATGATCAAAGACCGCATTCCGGCCTGTGAACATGGGAAAGTCAATTTTTGCCGTTTCTTTGGCTTCGCCTTGACTCATTTTGAACAATCCTGTGATTTGACGAACGATTTCAAAAGCTGATTCGTAAGAATCAATCGAAGCCATGGCAAATAAGATATCGTTCACGATCGCAAAAGTATATTCTACTGGATGTCTGTCAGTCGGTACTTGTAATCCATAGCTTTGTCCAGTTTCGGCTATCTTCTTAGCAAGATTACAACCCCAAACAGCATATGCAGTACAAACATTTAACATCACACCGCGATTCGCTCGTATGATTCCCAGTAAAGCTGCCTCTTTGGCGACAAAGGCGATCCTCTTAAAGCTTCTAACGGCAAGGATGTCCATCTCGTCTTTTGCTTTCTGTTTTCGTTCTTCATCGTTACCGCTCGAATCCAGCAATTTTTTCAACGATTCTCTCACAGATTCGCTAGTGTTGGCATTATTATCATCCAAGCCCAAACGAGCTGCAAAGAGATGAACAGCTTCGTTGAGATCCACTTCAAATCGTATATCATAATCCTTAATACTTGACCAAATACCCAAGACGTTTCCATGATATAACAACTCCAAGAACAGCGTCTTTATGCAGCTACGAAGAGCCAACGCATTATTACTGCCAATCTTTCCTTCATGTAAAGAACGCGAAAGTGGCTCTGATTGCAGTTCCCATCTGACATCCGATGGTCTTTGAGACCACCAAGCTTGAAGACTAGATGTGGCCTTTTCTACGTCAGATATCAGTACACCTCTACCTTGAGCTCTGGGACTGACGAATCGAATGGTGACCGTTCGAATGATAAATGCAAGACGCAGCATAACTTCCAAATGAAGCGCATCAAATCTTGCAAAACGTGAAGGTGCTAAAGTCATAGCAGGCGCTTTTGCATTCGAATCCGAAGCCTTTTTTAGATAAGGATCGTTTGAAGCTTGATCCTTTGTTGCATTTTCATTCGTTCGATCATAGATCATTGTGCCGAGGTATTGTCCATCAGGCCGTGGAACAAATCTAGGCAAGTCTAAATCATAATCATTATCTCCAATTTTCACCATCTTTCGTTGAGAAAACGATCGAAATGAATCCTGCATAAATGTACTCCAAAAAATTCTCATCCTTCTTTGACATTCATATTCCGTAATAAATATACCGCCGCTTATCCATTTTCTCGGATCGTCTGTTGGACAATCTTTTCGTGGTTTTGGACGTCTATTCAATCCCATTGTAAAGACCAAACGAACAACAGCCTCAGCAGAAGAAGGACTGGTGCGTAAGGGATCCAACAATGCACGACTGGCAATAGGAGCACGAATGATTTCTTCCCAATTGAATTGTGCATTCTTTGGATCATCACCTAAAACCTTGAGAGAAGGATCAGACATGATATAACATGCTTCAATAACATCTGTCCCGTCATTGGTGAGTTGCGTGACCAATTCTTTCTCGTACAATAACTCCTGAAATCGTAATGCGATTCGATCTTGCAATCGAAATTTCGCTTGTGATCTTGGGGCTGCTATGGGTGCTTCCAAAAAAGATGCACCTACACAGCCAACTGCCAAGATGAGCAGAACACTTAAAGGCGAGCCCTCTGCGATATCAAAGCTTTTGACAGGGAGTGGTAATTGTCCATCATTTTCTTCAAAGAGCGCAAAGAAGAGGGAATAGCGAGCCGAAAATACTTCCACATGTAAGATTGGTTGACATGGTGCAGCATATTTGAAGTATTGACGAACACACGAATCAAGCAATGCTCTTGTCAAACCACGAACACCAAAAAGTCCTCTTTGTGCTGTTGTGAGCGCTTTGTTTGGCTGCGCTGATGTTTTTGACGTTCTTGCCCGAATTCGTTCAGCAAGTTGAACAGCATCTGGTTGATATTGATCTTCAGTAATTTCTACATCAAAGCCAAAAAGAGGTTCTGCTTTTTCTCTTTTGTCAGTGACGGACTTTGAAGATTCCCCTCGATTGTTATTATCAGTTTCGGGTGTTGCTTGTGATTGATCATCAAAATCTTCCAATTGCGATCTTTGAATTGCGACGATTCGTTTTCCACGCCTTCTCCTGGGAGCTGATTGTGTGAATGTACATCGTAAACCATGTTGTGAGCAAACTGAACATGCAATTTGACTTTCATCCTCTTCCCTTCCTTTGTTTTCTAATTTTGATCTTCTATCACATCGTACTTTACGAAATTTGCATGCATCACAACTTACACCTTGCTTTCTTCCTGCTTTGGTTGGCTCTTGCTGTTGTTGTTGTTGAGCTGCAAGGCTATCCTTTGCGATTGAATATAAATTTCTACCATTATCATCCATCAAAATTCCACTTCCTTCTCCTTCGAAACCATCTTCGGGCGAACTATTGAAGATGGCCGATAGGCCGTTTGACATTGTATTGAGTCAGCGTATGCTTGTTGACCATAAAGGAAGAATTGCTGAATATATGCGCCGTTTATATGATGAAAGTTAAGATCAATCACTGTTAATCATCACAATTGATAATCAAATGTCGGCGGCAATGGCGGCTGCCCGAAGAGTAAATCAATGAATCAATTAAGTTGTGCCTGCTTGTCTGTGCATGAATTGGTCGTTGAAAAGGAGAAAAGCCTCTTTCGGCTTTAAGCGTGTGTGTGTGTGTGAATCACACACGCTATAATGTGGTCAAGTTTAAACTAGGATTATGCTGGGGAAATCCACACAACAAATGCAAGGTGGATCCACCCCTACAACAAACACTTCCCCGCCCTTTGCAAAGAGAAAGGCGCGAATAACAGAATTGACGTGTGCCATATAAGAAATGGTGCGGGAGGTATGCCATTCTCATATGCGAGTGGTGCAAGTTGCAGACTTCTATTCATTGGGCTCAACTATCCTACGATGCTTTGTTTTTAAAATATGGCCTGTTGAGCTCAACGGTCATGATTGCGGGGTAGAGTGTTTAAATCACGTGGAAAAGGAGCAGAGTTGTTCATCGATGTCATGATTCTGAACCGTTGTCAGAAGGATCGAAATGACATTTTCAAAATGAAAGGCCGCTCCCGCAAGGCGTTAAACTGCACTGCACTGCGCTGCGCGCTTTTTATCTATCATTCTGGAATGTAGGCTTAGCGCATTTGTTTCTTCGGAAGAAGCTTCTTTTGCTTGATTGATTCGCGTCTTTTGACTGATAAAATGCCTTTCTATTTAAATTCCCCTTTTTAGATCTCAGCTTGAAGCGAACCCGTCTTGATCATTGTTACCAAGAAATGCATCATCGAAATGAAGCAAAAGCGCCTTCAAATAAAATATTGAAAGTGATGATGAAGATGTAATTGCAATTTATGGAACGGTCCTCCTCCTGCTACGCCAAAACAGATTTGAAAGATACTATCCCGCTGTTAACGAATGATACCCGCCTAAATCATGATCCGAGTATATTGAAATGGTAAGCTAATGTATTTGCAAACTGAAACCAACATGTCCACTTCTTCCTTAAGGTTTTAATTCCATTTTTGAGTGTGGCTAGAATTGACGCTATTATTGAAAGACGGAAAGTTAAGATTATTCTTTTCTACGCGTGCGTCGGGACAGTGATAATGCACTCATACACACACGCACACACGCGTAAATATAATTATAATATACACCTTCATTTCAACAGTGGATCCGCTACTAATAAAAAAGAACAAAACAAATCTTGTATGTATTTGACACCTTGCGCGCAGAGTCCTATTTTGAGTGACCCTTGTTTTGATTTTACAGACTAGGATAATGCTTTTATTTGTTTCTCCCCCTGTATACTTAGTACGAGCAGGGGGCAGTTTTCATTGTCATCATCAATATTGCAACGTTTTCTCTTTTGATCCGCTTCATTTCTCCTATCGTCATCACAATCTCACCATTTCATCCTCTCCCCCTTCTTCCCAGACCGGTTCGAACGACTATTGATCACATTCATTTTTGAGGTCGACTAAGGATCATTTCATTCCGTTTTCGCTTGTTCATTACCCTCCGACTCTCTCTATAAAAGTTCAATAACCGCGCTGCGCGTGTAGGCGAAAGGGGAGCAATTAAATAACATCCGAAAACACACACAAGATTGATTAACCTTCCTTGATTCAGTACGGCGATCAAGACTCATTACGATCAATCGAACGAATAAAGTCGCATTCAAAAACACACAATTTCACGCCCTCCTGACCGGCACAAAGGCAGATCTTTTACTTTCTTCAAACAAGATTGATGATATTCAATTCGTGGAAAGTTTGATTTCATTCTATACAAGTGAATCGTGTTGTTGTTGCTTCTTTTCCCGTCACATCACACGCTCACCTGCAAACACATTCGCTTAACACCTTTCTCTTTCTCGGTAATATCTCGCACTGGGTTCCCTTAATATATCACCGGTCATGGTCCGGTCAAAAAGCAGAATACCTGCTTCACAACAACATCAACAACGAAGATCATGGATCACTCTAGGAGCACTTCTTCTGCTATGCTCTTGTTTCATTGCAACCGTCAAAGCTGATGATTTTCCTTCGATCGATTTTCAAGGTCTCGGAAATGTGGGCGTTGCAGGTGCATTTGATGGAATAGCAATCTGGAAGCCAGATCTAGCGACAAACAATCAATCAAATGTATACAATTCAAACGTAAGCTCACTCGTCTTTCGGGATAACACTGGTGCTTTGAGTAAGATCAATGAAACCAATCAAGGCGGTCGTATTCGTGCAATCTGCCAGCGATCCACAGCTCCACGAACAGTGTATGTTGGTGGATTGTTCACTCAGATAGGAGGACTAAATGCAAGCAATATTGCAGCTTACGATCCCACAGCAAAGGCATGGGACAATTTGAATGGTGGTTTGAACGGAGAAGTTTTGTCGCTCTACTGTGACGACCTGCATAGTATCATCTACGCCGGTGGATCGTTTGTGAAACCAGCCAACGTTTCCAATGTGACTGATACCTCTCGCTACTTGGGAGCTGTTGCAACATACAACTATACCAGTAAACTTTGGGCGCCTGCTCCTTTTGGTGGAGTGAATGGTTCCGTCACTCAAATCGATCAAGGTGTAAATGCTTCGACAATTCGTTTCGCTGGTGCATTTTCGACAAACTTCTCCTCGACTGTTGGTAAGAATATCTCGATCTCTGGAACAAACTCTTCAGCATCGCCTTTAAGTATTGCTTATGCACCTTTGCCGCTCGGTCAAACTGAATTTCAAGGAGGGCCATCTTCTGCAAATGCATCCTTTGCCAATCCAGCTCAAATTCTTTGCCCACAAGGTAATGATGGCGCAAATAATTCGTACTTGTTTGCCGATAATACGACTGGTCGATTGACCATGCGTGCATTCCGTAATTTGCCAACTCGAGCATTCCGATTGGGAAATACGTTTGTTGAAGGTCGCGGTACAAAGACGTTTGGCATCATTTCTATTCCTGACAACACGCAGCTTGAGCTACAATACTTGGATACAGAAACACAGAAGAATGCAACATGTACAACCGATTGTCCTCTCACGAATGATGCTGCGATCCCGTACCAAGACTTCTTAATCACAAACAATCCAGCTAACGGACTGCAAAACGGTATCAAGCAATTGACAGGTATCCAATTCACAGCAACGGCTTGGTACGGCAATGGAGCTGGATTGCACTTGATGCAGTTGCTCACAGATGGTTCCGCTGCATTTGCATATCCAGCCTACAATCGTGGTGCTTGTCAATCTAAGGCAGTGGGCGCTAGAGGATTCACTTCTACTACCAATAATACAGGTGCATGGTATTACAGCAATGTTCGCTTGTCGAGCACAAATACTCTGGAACCTGTTGCTACGTTGTCTGATGACTTTAGCAACTTGAGCAACAATTTGGACGCACAAGTATCGTGGACGTTGGATGTACAATACGATGGTAATTACACTGCTTATATGTTCGTGCCAGGCTGTCAAGATGGAGACCAATGCAACGTTCGTACTCATGTGCAAGCAAGATTGATCAACAATGCTACCACATTGGCTAAGCCAGGCAATTGGACCCGAGTGCCACAAACCAATCCAAACGATACAACGATTCAAATTTTCAGTGGTCCCGTTCAAAAGTCAAGCAATGGCTTCAAGCCGGTTGTTCAAATGACAATTCCAAAAGACGCACCAAAGCCTTCTGGAAGCGACCGTTTCTCGGTATACGCCGACCGTGTATCGTTGCAACTCTTCAATTCCAACGAAACATATCAGTACTACCAAGCTTCAGCTACAGGTGTTTTTGAATACAATGTCTTTGATAACAATGCCAATAACAACTCCTTGGCTTACGCTGCAGACCCAATTCTAGCAAATACGACAAGCTTGAAGGGCAATGCCACACTTTTACAAGAAGCACTTGTGGGATTGTACAATGGTACAGGAATGCTGCCCAACTCCTCCATGACGGCTCTTGACTACTTTGGCGTAACTCTCGATAATGAAGGTGTTCGTAAGAACGAATCTGATGTTGTGTACACAATCCAGAGTGTGGCCTCTCGTACATTCGTTGGTGGTCAATTTGCTAGCACAAATGTCACAAACACAACAGGATTCGCAAATCTTGTCTCTTACGAAGATGCTGGACAAGGCAAAAATTATACCCGTCTTACTGGAGGAGGCTTGAACGGTCCTGTTTATGCAACTGCACAAGTCGGTGGTTTCTTGTTTGTTGGAGGTGATTTCTCTGCTACTGCAGACAACACAACAGCCATTAGCTATGTTGCACGCTATGATCCCAAAGCCAACGTTTGGGCTTCATTGGGCACAGGCGTAGACGGTGTAGTGCGTTCCATCGTAACGATGAACGATCAATTGTTGGTGATTGGTGGTTTTGATTCGGTCAATGGAACTCATCAAACTGGTGGAATTGGAGTGTACGATACAACATCAAAGACGTGGGTGGCACAACCTCTTCCAGTCGTTGGTGCAATGTCCGCCGTTAGTTCTAGTGATGCTGGAACGTACGTTGCAGGTGAAATTGAAAGCGTCGGAAGCACTCCTGCTGATGCAGCTGTTCAACTTCAAGCCCCCCAAGTTGCAGGCAATTATCCCAACATTACTACGTACAACTTCCAGTTCACCAATACCAATACTAAGCCAAGACCAGTCCCATCCGGCGCAAAAGCTGCTCCTAATGCAAGAAGGAGAAGCTTGGGTGAGCTCACGATGGGAAAACGTGACGACGAGCACGAAGAAGGAAAGCGAGACAGTTCGTTCATTGCTAAATTGGCTTCCCGTGCCTCCAATGCACTTCAATCAAGATCATCCATCGAGAGCGACTTGCAATTATCATCTTTGTTCAAGCGAGCCGATGTAATGGATCCTCCTTCATTGGACACAGAAGGCGATAACGAAATTTTGAGTACCGCTTTCTGGCAACGCAACAGTACCAATTACATGAGCGTTCTTGGAGGAAATTTCACAACATCATCAGGTGTAAAGAACTTGGGTATCTACGATACACAATCCCGTGTCTTAAGCTCCTTCCCACCATTCCCAGAAGGTTCTAACTTGACTGTCGTGCGTGCTGTTTACGTTGACAAGGATACACTTTACGCGGGTGGTGATGGAGGTATTTTGAGCTTCGATTTGAGAAAAGCAACTTGGAATAACCTTCCACCTCTTTCAACAAAAGCTGGTACCGTTCTCAGCGTTCGTGCGATTGGTCATCGTCCTGGCTCAACAACCATGATTGTTGCTGGTACATTCACAAACGCAGGAGGACTTCCATGTGCAAACGTTTGTCAATGGGATTCAAAGATGTTACGGTGGATCAGTATTGGAAATGGCGTTGATGGAAACATTGCCGCTTTAGACTTTGCTGGTAATAAGGCAAACACTCTGGTCTTGGCTGGATCCATCAACATGGCCGGACGTGAAGTTGCACTTGCATCTTGGGTGTTCGATAATAATCAAAACGATCAATGGACTGCTTTGGGTACCGTTGGTGGAGGTCCAGGTCAAGCACCTGGCCCTGCAACGGCTGTATCTGTGGACAATCTCAACGCAAACTCCATCTTTGTTGCTGGACGATCAAATTCAGGTACATCTCCTTACTTGACAAAATGGGACGGAATGGTGTTCAATGCACTCGGTAGCAATGAATTGCAGTCTACGACTGGTATCGCTCAACTGTCTTTTGTCGGTTTGACAAAGCCACACCCTGAAAACACAGTATTGGAATCAAACAGAATGTTGGTCGTTAGTGGAGCGTTGAACATGCAAACGTATGGAAATGTGAGCACAGCCTTGTTCGATGGTCAATCTTGGACGCCATTCTTGCTCAGTACACGTACAGGAGGTGGGCCAGGTGTGGTTCGCGCCTTTACTCGTAGTGTTGAAGTTCTCAACTTTATGAATTTGCACCGTTTGCCGGTTGGAATAGTAATTTTGATTTCTATCGCACTCGGTTTGGGAGTCGTATTCTTGCTTGTATTGTTGGGTCTCATTTGGGCATTGCTCTTCCGCCGTCGTCGTAACAAGAATGCCGGTGTTGTTGTGCCTGTTCATGGAAGTGATGATACACTTGCAGCAGGGGCAGCCGGAGCATCAAATGCAGAAGGCAAGAAGAGAAGACCATCTTCTCTATTAGCGACTCTCAACAAGGCAACAGAGAATGTAATGGGAGATTATCAATCAGAACAAATGCACGATGTAGGAGGCAAAGATATCGATGGACCTTCAACATCTGCAGCTGCTGCCATTGGTGGTGGAGCAGCAGTTGGAGCAGGAGCGGCTGGACTTGCAGGTGTTGGTGCAAGTAGCACTTCACACGGTCATAGTTCAGGAGAAGCAGCCACTTCTCACGGACATGGTTCAGGAAATGCCACTTCTCATGGACACGGACGAGAACGTGAAAGTGCGGCTTATTTGGCAAGCACACAAGGCCATAGTGATGAGACTGGAAATGCTGCTAATAGTAGTCAATACCATTCTGATGGACTGACGGGTCGATCAGGTGTTTCAAGATACTATTCTGGAGAAGAAGATAATGGTGTTCCAGCAGCAGCAGGAGGAACAGCAGCAGCAGCCGCGATCGCATCATCATCCACTCAACCACCAAAACAACAAGAAGAACTAGACGGAATCGAAGCACATGCACGATATACGTTTGAAGCAACTCATCAAAGTGAATTAGGCGTTCATGCAGGTGAAAAGATTTGGATTTTGGATGATCAAGATGAACATTGGTGGCTTGCAAGAAATGCAGAAGGTAAGACGGGTGTTTTACCTGCTTCTTATGTGCTATAATTTCGGCTTCCAGGTAATTGTTCTTTCTCTTTCGAACAATTGTACTTTTATATTTTTTTTTCTCTCTCTCAAACAAACAAAAAGCAGTAAAGTCAATACCCTTTTTCTGCTGGTCAACTTTACCCTCATTTATATCAATTACGTTCGCTTTTGCACCACCTTCTTTATTCCTTTTAACTATATAACAAACTACCCTTTCCCTTTTTTGTCTCGTTTTAAACGTGCATTTTTTGCTATTGTCAATAATATATACCATGTCAAGTTATCGTCGCTCTTAAAAGAGGTTTGAGCTTTGGACGCGTTCTCATATACGACGCGTAAACGGGTTAATGTGCGTCTTGTTGGAATAGGAAATTCTTCCCAAGCCTGAGTGAGCTGCTAGCACGTTTGGAGTGTGTTGCACTTGCGGGCATTTGGCATTCAACACCCTCCTCTTCCATCCTTTCCTCCAACAAATAGTCTCGAGAATGGATGTCGATAAACTAACAAACGCTGAACCAGCACAAGCAGTGGGTGGAAGTGAGGAGATTGACAGGCTGCAAGATCCTTCAGCTAACCCTACCGATGATGCTACGATGAATGAGGCAGAAACACAAGCAAGTAGTAGTACACCGAACAAAAAGGCAGGCAAAGCGACAGCTGGAAAAGGTAGCGGAAAAGGAAAGGGTACCGGTAAAGGAAAAGGAGGATCAAATGCAAACGGTAATGGATCAAACGGTGGAGCAGGATCATCAATCAATGTTCCACCACCAACATTTCCACTTGCAAGGGTATCGAGAATCGTAAAAGCTGATCCGGATATTCAAATGACGAGTAAAGATGCAATTTGGACAATTGCAGTTGCGACGGAATTGTTTATAAAACATTTAACGGATTCTTTAATTGCAAAAACAAAACTTGATAAGAAAAAGATTGCAAGTTATAAAGAATTATCTGCAGTCGTTGATACACAAGAAGAATTTGAATTCTTGCAGGAAGTTATTCCTGAACCAATTCAAGCACAAGAGGCATTCCAATTCCGAAGAGAATTGCAAGAACAAAATTATCAAAGAGCTGTCGGTCTTTTGATAGATGAAGATAGCGATGAAGAAGAGGAGGAAGTTGAGGAGGAGCAGGCTGAAGGAGCAACACAGAGTGGAGAAAATGTAGAAGAGCAGACAGAGGCAGATGCAGTCATTCAAGATGTCCAAGCAGAAGAAGTGCAAGCGAAGGGTAAGAAGCCAGGAAAGCCCAAAGGAGCGACTGCCAAAAGCAAGAAGCAAGGCGCCACTACTGCAGATCCGACAGATGCTTCCATAATCGAAGGAGATGCAGATACATCACTTGCATCAGCTGGCGGACGGAAGAAAGGCGGAGGTGCAGGAAAGGGAGGACGTAAAAGTGCAACTAAAGCACTCGAGCTAACCGATGGCGATGAAGAGATGCAAGAACTATGAGATGGAAGACTGAGAATTGCTTAACTGGATCCCAAATGTATATCACCCACTTCAGAGGCACTGCAATTATCATTGTAAAAGATTATTCTACATTGTTCGTGTGGACACTGACTCTCTATCAACCAAGCCAATCAACATTGCGAACGTTTCGACGAGTTGTCGTTGTAGAACGACCGGATGAAGAATCATCAGCTGCAAATGTTGTTGTTCCATTTCTCGCCTTGGCTGCCGAAGATGCAGACCATGTCTTTGCACATGTGCCATCTGTCTCATTTTGAACCCGTAAATCTTCCAGCTCATGCATGCTTTTACCGCTACTTCTACGCACGCTCGCACTGGTTCCCGAATCCACTTGTAGTCCATAAGATGAAGATGAGGAAGGATTATGGGCATTACTCGTCCCGATGTGTTGGAGATTTGATGGATTCGGTGATTGACCGCCACTTGATCCACCTGTATCCGCCAAAGCTGCTCTTGCCATCTCTGCACTCGGCCTTTGAGGTCTGCTATCGGATGCAACAGCTTGAACGGAAGGTAAAGTATGATAGCCACCATTTCTGCCATCGTTTAACAAAGTACCATTGGCACTCGTTAGTAATCCGCTTCTCAAATCATCCCATCCACGTTCTAATGCATCTTCTAATCGCATCTTTCCTCTCACTGTATCGCTAAATAATTGTCCCCAACCAGCATCTGTTGAAGCACCACTTGTCTGTCTAGAGCTACCGGAAACCGTTCGTTTCGCTCTTTCAGCGGGTATAGGCAAACTTTCGCCGATCGGTCGTGCCCAATTAGCCGCTGGACCGGGATTGGCGGGTAAACCGGCTGCCAAATCATCAAACAAAGCACTTCCCAATACTTCTGATCCAGCCACCACACCAGGTCGAGGATACCTTCGCTTTGGCTTATATGCATGTGCAACTTGACCTTTGGCTGTTTTGCTCAGAGGTGGTTCGGGTATATCATTCCATCCTTGGTAATTCTGTCTGTTGGAAGTTGAGCTGCTTTGGGCAGCAACCATCATCGCCGGTCCCACGGGTGCAGCTCTATTGTCATCGGTATCGTTGGCCGTATTTGGCTTTGCTTGTCTCTTCTTCTCACCTAGCCTATACTTGTTCGGCTTCCAATCTTCGTCTAGCGCTTTTGAGCTCAAAGAAGGGGAGGATGCTGCCGTGCTTGCTTCTCTCGATTGTTTTCTGACCAAGTCTGGCAATTTGCCTTTAAGACTGTTCACGTTTGCCTCTGTGATATTGGACGCGGGAGGAGGAGGAGAAGAAGAATCTGTACCACGCATCCTTGCACGCTCAGCCAGCTGCAACAGATCCTCAACACCACTTTCGCCAGGTTCCATATTTTCGTCCGGCTTCATGCCAGCCCCATAACCAAATGCTTCTTGCTCTTCTGATCCTTTCCCTTTTGCTGTTCCCGTCGGCGTCTGTCCAGGCGGCGGAAAGTGTGAAAGGGATTGGATAGGCACCCGTCGTAATTCCGGAGAATTTCGATTTGCAGACAGATCTGTTGAGGATCCACTAAGACCAAGACCTGCACCAAAAGCCGAGCTTGATTGAGGATGTGAAGTTGATGTAGCAGCACTGCTGCTCGTTGATGACATTGATCGATCATGTCGCGTTGGCGGTGGACCGTTTAGCAGGTTTAATTTTCCATTAGATGCCTCATTTGCATGCTGTATTTGAATACCATTGTTCATGCCTATCTCATTCGTACCGATTGCTTGTGTTTGCACTGCATCTTCATCCACGGGTATATAGAGCTCTTTGCGAACTTGAACGCTATCGCCAGGCCACAATCCGTTGGCCTTTCGCAGTGTTCGCACGTCAGAATTATATCGTAATGCCAGAGCTTCTAGAGAATCGGTAACCAAGACTGTGTGGACTAAAACCAGGCGTGTGGTTTTGTTGGGCTTAGACGGAGCCTTGGTACGAGTTGGAGGTGGTGCAAGATGGCTTGTCGATGGATCTTTCCGATCTACTGGACCTGTTTCACCTAATCCAAACCAACCTTCTAGACGATCGAGCGCTGTACGTTTGGGATGATCAAAATCACTCTTTCCCCGCGGCAAGTCATTTTCTGGGTTGTTTGAAGACGAAGCAAAAGTTGAAGATTCACTTGCTTCTCGTACATTTCTCCTTCTTTGCAAGCGAGATGATTGTGTCGGAGAAAATGAAGGATGTGAAGGAGATGCTGAAGTTGTATAGAGCGGATGATTAGGAGCAGGATTTAAAAGAGCATAATGACCATCTTGACTTGTTTTTGCTTTTCCATCTTCTTTGATAACTCTCTGTTGGACACTCTTACGATCTGTGTCACCCGATACTTCCGAAGACAAAGCGACTTCGGTATGATCCGATGCGCCTCTGCGTCGAGTCGTCATGTCTGTGAGAATGATGGTAAGCCAATAGGCTTAAAATGAGAAGACTTAAGCGATCATATTGGAGCTCTCTAGAGTGGTATTGGCGTTTCTTTATAAGCTCCTCAAAGTGTTTTAAAGAGTTTGTGTCGGGGCAATAAATCGATTCAATCGCGGCTTTGACCTGTCTGTCTTGTATATGATTCTCCCGATATTTGTGGCAGGATCTTCCTTTTCCCCAATGAATGCAGTACTCTGATTTGATCGAGATTGGCTGGCTGTTTTTGATAGATGGAAGAGCAAGATCGAATCCAAATCAAAGCGAGTGTTAATTGTTACTGTTTAACACATAATGCATGGATCTAATTACAGATCACTTCGTAGGGGCTTGGGCTGTAGGTAGCCTCTAGGTGCGGTTAAGCGCATTCTGCTGTATGTATTGCCCTTTTGCGCTGTGCCGTTTGCTGTTTTATATGCGTGGAGCTTTCAGTGCTTGCTTGTCTGTTTAAAAAGCATAGGTTCGGCTTCTAGCTGTTGTGAATGACCAACGCGTGTGTTAAGTGCTGATTGTCTTTTTCGCGTTAAGAGATCAACACAAAAAACTAATACGATTAACAGGCAAGGTTGGACTACTTCCATCATCTTCAGTTGTTCGATACTCACTATCGAAGAAAGAGACGTTGAACTGTTCGAGTCAACGAGCATGGGAGATAATACTGTTAGAAGTTAGACACCGAAGAATTTTCACAATATGGAATCGGACAGTACAGCGGATCTACAAGCTATGTCAAATGATCAACTTAAAGAGCATTTGCAAAAGATACGCTCAAATCATGCATCTTTAAAGGCCGAAATCGAAAGAGTACGTACAATTCCCTCTTCCGAAGAAATGCAAGAATGGGTGGAAGCAAATTCAAGAGTATTACCTCAAACCTTGGTAGATCTATCGCAAAGGATAGCCGTCGCTGAGGAAAAATGTATCCTTCACAGAACAGCAGGTTGGACCGTATTTGAGATCGATCTCGATATCGGACGGAGAGAAAGACAAATGCGTAGAGAAGAAGGTCGTTCTAAGCTTGGGAAATCTTCATTAGGTCTAGGCGTTCGCCTTGACACTTTCTTTCGCGGTCGATTTCATGAGCCTTATTATTTGATCTTTGCCAAACAATCTCAACTGCTGGACAACAAAGCAAAAGTTACAAATTCAGCGCTCGATGCGGGAAAACTTGAAGCAAGATATGAAATGGAAGCCAGGGACGATGATGATGACCTCCCGCATGCTGATAGCGAAGAAGATGAAGATGGAATGGAAGCTGTGCGCTTGATCCGTCATACGATTCCTCTCTTTGTGCCATTGCAAACTCTCATCAAGCAATACCTTGGTCAGGATGGTGGTATGGTGAGCGAACGGAGAAGGGGAGGTCTTGATTTATTGGACGGATTGATGAGTCGAAATGGCATGACGGACTTCCTAGGTAAGCTACACACATACTTGCAAGTATTTGTTTGTCGCAGAGAGCAGACGATCGGTCTAAAAAACATTCGCCTTCCCGGAGAGCATCATTCGGAATTGATCGCATATGCCAATGATGCTTTCGACATGATCACCATTCGCTGGGCTGTCCCGATGGTGTCAATGAAAGATGTAGACGAATACGAGAGGCAGAATGGAATTGTACATCCGCGTGCTTCCACCGCTGAAGAGCAAAGTACATTGATGCACAAACGAAGACTAAGATATGAACATGCGAGAGGAATGGCAAGACGATCACAAACGGGAGATCGCGTTCGCAATGTCGAAATCAAGATTCAATTCACCAACTTGTTCGCCGATGCATTAGGAAAAGTGGATCCGGAGTATAAAGAACCGGAAAAGTCCAGCGATGAATTCAAAGAAGGCAGAACATTATTCGAAAACGGTACTGTACGCATTGAACATCAACGTCCAAAGAAGAAAAGAAAAAGGAGGGAGAATTCGCCAGAAATTTTCCACGTCGCTACCCGTCGATCTGATTGTGAAGTATTTTTCGCTAATGAAACAGGTCAATTAGAAAATGCTGTTCAACAATCTTTGATCAGAATATTTGCCGATCACCTTGAACGTGAATCAGAAATGGACAAGTGCATGACAGAGCGCTTCCTCAAAGGCGAGTTAAAAACTGGCATAAACGGTTCAAGAGGAAGGAACAAGATCCGCAGAGAGCACTACACTCTGATTGTCTGAAAGACATGAGAACGTCATTCCTCCATTTGTATTACTACATATTGTACATGTAACATCACCTTAATCTTACACTTTGTATTCGTACATTAATCGTCGAAAAGATCAGATGCCTTTGGTTTTCCTCCAAAAGGCTTTGAAAGATCACTGTGGGATTTTTTTGACTTCTTGAGTTGGAATTCGGTATTGTCTTCATCTTCTTCCATGTTGAACGTCAAGCTGCCACGAATTTGTCTCTTGTTAGACTTTTTATCAGATGACTTCTTTCTTTTGCCTGTTGTATCAATCTGGCTGCTTTCTGCTTCCTCAGTGTCTGGTCTCTTTCGTGGCTTGAACAACAATTTCGAAGGCACTTCAACGGTTGCCATCTCTTCTGCAAAACGATCAGCATCGCTTGGCATTTGCTCTCCCTCAGCAAAGATGAATTTGAATAAATCAATTGATGGTTTAACATAGCTGCTTTCGTCTTTATCATCTTTCATCTCGCCAAGTCCAACCTTGGCAAGATCAAAGTCAGATATTTTTTCTCCTGAGGCCTCTGATGGTGTGAACTCTTTGCTATTTCCTGGATCGTCATGTGCTGCAGCAGAAGCCGCTTCTTTCGAGCCATTCTCCCGATTTCTATTGGCAGCCAACTGTTGCAATTGTCTCTTGCTTGCCTCCCACCTGGCATTGACATTCTTTGTCACATCCTCTTTGCGTCTTTCTTTGCTCTCTCCAAATTCATCAAAGTTTTCGCTTCCTGTTGACGCAACATCCTCATTAGCCATCTCTTGGGGGAACGGATGCGGAACATTGAACCGTTTACACAATAGCCTTGCCGGAACCCATTTCTTCGTTTCACGAGTTGTATCAGGTCCGAATAATCCCATTTTGGCATTTCGTTGTATGCTCGTCATATTCTCAATCAGGCTTTCCTTATCTTCAACTGCTGTTTTAGCCTTTTCTGTGCTCGAGGCAAGTCGGTTTGCAGGTGTGTATAAACCAGGTTCCATTTGTTTCGCACTAGACTGATCTGACTTCAATGCGGTTTCGAATCTACTTGCCATCATTGTATTCATCGGTTTGAAGATTGCAGCACTACGCGAAAATTCTCGAAGTTCCCTCTCGAATTCTTCAATAGATTGACCAGGTGGGGCTCGCAAGCTTTTGTCTTGATCGACTTGGGCTTGAAGATAGGTGCGATACCTAGCCTGCTTGTCTTTGTCATTTTCAAACGGAATAAAGCCTTGCAATGCGGCTTTTGCAACCACAGGGTCCAGTTCAGGAATTATTGGATCTCGGCTAGGAGGAGTAATTGATTGCGACGATGTTGAAGCCTTGGCTGCCAATTTAGCTTTTTCAAGTCTTTCATGATCTTTCTCACTCAGATAATCAGTGATTGATGGCGGTGGACCAGGAATTCTTGCCTCTCCAAACATGGAAGCACGATGAGAGGAAGTGCTAGGAGGCACATGGCTCGTTTGCGTTGAGGCAGCACTTCCTGATGAGGCATTTTTCCATACTCGATTGGGATCTGGTTGCCAATCTTTCGGCACGGTGATACTAGCAGAGACACTCTTTTCCTCCATCATCTCGTCTGAAAGAATGAAACCAGGTATCATCGGAGTACCATCGTGCCACCTTCCTCGCTGTTCTTTCTCATCAAGGTCAACAGAAAGACTCTCTCCGTGCTTTTGACTCCCTTCGCTTCTCTGACCTTTCGCCTGTTTTGCCTTCCGATTTAAGGTCGAATCCTGTATTCTATGTCCTGTTGAGTACACTTCACCTTCATCATCAGAGTCATCTTCCAATGCGCCTATCCCAAAACCTCCTCGTGGCTTATTGGATATCGAATCACCATGTTTTCTTTTCAACAGTTCGGCCAAGGTGCTTGGCGGACCAGCAATCTCCCATCCTAGCCCCTGAGTTCCGATATGCGATGAAGAAGGTACCACCATAGCTGTATCAGGAGGTGGATAAAGGTTCGATGAGCTGTCGTTTCTTTCGGTATCTTTGACCGGTATCCCGAGTAGCGTCCCCAGCCTTCGAAGTCGATCTAATGACAACCATGCTCCTAGACCTTGTCCTTCTCTCCAACCCATTCGCTGCAGAAGTCTGGTACCCAGAGAAGTTTTCTGAATTGATATGTTGGACTCGGAATTGCTAGTTCGCATCTCTTCGCTCTGCATCCCCAGCAGTCCCGTCAGCGGATCTCTCCCAACATCGCGCTCATTCTGGGCGGAAGACTGCCCTAGAAAGTCGTCATTTGCTTTCAGTGCACCTCTACCATCTCTGTAGCTTTGCAAATCTTCTTCATCCATAAAATCTTCAGCATTGCTCTGTTTGTATTTGTTTCCACTTCTTTCCTTATCCTTACGTGAAGATCGAAAGGTGCTAGGTTGCCATCCTTCTTTGGATCCGACAGTATTATAGTAACCAGCAGAGAATCCTCCAGTGAAAGCGCCATGAAATCTTCTTCTGCCTTGATCATCATATACTTCTTGTTGCCATATCGGCTTGTACTCGTTTGGATCACGTTTTTTGCTATCAAGACTTGGCAATGGAGTACCGATCAAACAAAAGTTTTCGTTCACATTGTTTGATCTGCCAGCTTGACCGTCATCCAGCCTTTTCCGCAACCTTTCGGTGGCCATCTTTGTGTGATTGCTACCTTGTCAAAGTAGTATTCATCGTACTCTGGTATCCTCTTGATGGTGATATTAAAATTAGAAGGAAGGAGCTGTTAACTCCACCACGCACACTAAAAATTACACGCATATAGACAAGCAAGCCTTCGCGAAAGTGACTGAGCGATACGCGTTAAACATCTGTTAAGGACTTTCCAGATCAACACCAACATCTCCATCCCTCGAAAGTGTGGGAGACTGAATATCATGTCCGGTAGCGCAACATCTACCGCCAAAGAGAGGCATTATGCTCATCTAGCAGCTCAATTAGAAACATTAAGTGGAAATATCGTCGATGCTCAACATCATCTTGGAGCGGCTGCTAGTCAAACACGATACATAAAGAGCTTAGGAGCAAATCAAGCAGCAATGTGAGTAATGATGTTTCTATTTTATAATACATCACCATCTAATGCCATTCTCTTCTCCTTATGCTTGACAGGTTCATGGCAGCTTTGCATCAAGTTGATCAGGATAGCGGATCCATGCCAGAGGAAAATCAAGAACAACAAAAGAAGTAGCATGGAAGATGTGGACATCCGTGTATCTCAATTTGTATCAACTATCTCCTTCTCTCTCAAGTTTCGCATCTGTAAAATGTCCCTTGTAACTACATTGTACAATTTAATGCCATTATAGCTTTTGCCGTTTTGATTGCCCTGAGGCCATCTTATAACACAAGCAGTGGGAGGGTAAACATAATACACGGAAGGCCAAGGCTGGAAATGGAGAAAGAAAGAATAAAAGCAAGCTGCAATATTTGATTCGATGAACAACAGCTTTCACTGAGGTCTTGGAGGCATAGGATATCCAGGTGGTGGTGGTCGATATTGTCCTTGAGGTGGAAATCCTGGAGGAGGGCCTTGGAATCCACCGGGAGGCGGTCGCATTCCCATGGGTGGGAAACCGGGCGGAGGCATACCTGGCATTCCTGGAGGTGCTCCCATAGGCGGGGGAGGTCTTCCATAAGCCATCGGTCTGCCTGCCATTGTGGGTGGTGCAACTGCTCCGGGAGGTGCTGCTAAACCGATTCCTCTTCCAGCCGGTACACCACGTCCGGGACCAGGTTGGAGTTGCGATTGCGGTCCTGTCTTTTCTGCTGGAGGTGGACCTTCGATACTCAGGCTTACGATGCTTTCTCCTCGTAAGATGATCAATCCCAATGTTCTCTTTTGTTCCGGTGCAGGAGGAGCAACAACGTCATCATCCTCTTCTGATCCGTCTGCTTTGACCTGCTGTGATGCTGCTTTTCGCTTTTTTGATTTTGATTTCACCCTTCTGAATTCTTCAGTGTCCGCAAGTACCAAGTTCATATGCTGATCGAAAGCCAAAAGCTGTCCTGTCATTTGTCTGCCATCGTTTAGTGTAATCCTAAGTCGATAATGGATTAATGACAGCATTTTGCTGCCTTTTGAATTGGAAGGCGGCATTTTGGGCGGCAAACGAGATCGATGTTGAGTCTTACAAAGCTTTGCTTGCTCAAATGTCGATTCTCTCCTCTTCTTGTAACACCGAGTAAGATGGATGCAAGTAGATGAAGAAGGTTGATTGCAATTTGTATTTCTCTGCTTAACGCGCAAGAGAGTGAAATCTTCTTAAAACGCCAAAGCAAAGAAGTGCAGGGCGTGAAATAGGCGAGAAAGGGCTAAAAGCGTAAGGCCATCATCCAACACAAACAAAAGAGCATTTACCAAAATAGCCTCCACTACCTTCCAACATCATCACACCATCTTGCTGGCTCATTATACTTCTCGCCAGAGCGGTGTAGAGGGTCAAAATGCCGCGAAATGTGCTCAATATACCACCCAAAACTTCCCCTTTGAGTTCATCATCACTATCCAAAGTTTTACGTTCACATATTGCAGAACACTTTACAGACACACATCCTGATGCATTTACTGATGACCTTAAACAGATTGCACGATTGCACGATCACATCGTTCGAATGGATACACATGTTTCCAATATAGAATCTGCACAAAAATATTTGGCTCAACTAGCTTTTATGGTAACCAAATTTCCACCAGATTTGGACTTAGCATTTCCGTGGACGATTGCATTTCCACCAACATTATCACTATTCAACGTCAGCCTCGTTCCCGATGAATCTCCACCTGCTTCGCCCGGAGTATCAACAGAAGCAGCAAAATCTTATGCGAAAACAACGAGTTCATCTTCCATAATCGCTCATCCTAATCTTCATTATGAAAGAGCTGCGCTACTGTTCTCCTTGGCATCTTTATACAGCACATTAGGCGCTCAAGAAACAAGGTCTGAAGGTGAGAGTATTCGTCGAGCAATCTCCTTCTTTCAATCTTCAGCAGGCGTTTTGCAATATATCATCAGTGATCTTGTTCCACTTTTGCGACCTCTGTTTACCGGAAGGAATGCACGCTTTTCCGATCCTGACCTTCAACCGGCCATGTTGGCATGTTTGAGAGATGCGATGTTGGCTCAAGCTCAAGAATGCTTTTGGCAAAAAGCTGTTGTCGATAGACTTAAGGACGTTGCGATTGCTAAACTAGCATCGAGGGTGTCTGAGCTATACTCCCAGGCTTTAGAGTTTGCAGAGACGGGTGGCTCGATAGAGCCATTAGAGGTCGGAGCTCCTCAAGGTTGTGAATTGCCAAGGGAATGGATCAATCACATGACAATCAAGAAGTGGCATTTTGCTGCTGCTGCACAATTTCGCAAGAGTAGCGATGATTTGAGCGCAAACAGATATGGAGATGAATTGGGAAGACTAAAGCTTGCCGAATCTCATGTGAAACAGGCTATGGCAGCATCACGAACTGGAGTTTCTACCGCATTACAAAACGATTTGAAATCGCTTCAAGGCGCCATTCAAGCCAATTTGACAAGAGCAATGAAAGATAATGATTTGATCTATCTGGAAGCCGTAACGCCAGCTTCAAAACTTACTGCTATTCCTGCAGTGGTGATGGTAGAAGCAAAGATTCCAATTGAGATTTCTCAACCGATCCAATTTTTACGTGACTCGCCCAGTCCCGCCTTTGGCAAACCTCTGTTCCAAGAGTTGGTGCCTTATGGTGTGCATTTGGCGATAAGCGTTTTCGACGAAAGGAAAGATTCTCTTGTACGGGAAGAGATCGAACTGAAGAGACAAGAGCTTGACAGTTTAGCAACAAGTACTTTGCAATCGCTCGATTTGCCTGGAAGCCTACAAGCTCTGGAGCAACCGATCGGTCTGCCTCCTGCAGTGATGCGCAAATCGGACGAGATACGATCAGAAGGCGGAATGGATCGTTTGAACGCTTTGAGTGAGGATGTGAGGCGAGTGGCAGAGATGGCAGCAGGCGTTTGGAATGAGGTAGTGCATCTTGTTCGACAAGCTCCTGCACCGAATACGATCAATCATCCTGCTACCGTTCATATGGCAGAAAGGCATGGTCAACAAGCATCTGCTTTTGACGGTCAAATTGAGGAATACCGTCAAACGCTACAACAAGCAGGTTCAAGTGATCAAATCGTTCAACAAAAGTTGCAGGAGTGGAGAGAGATTATCGATATTCTTGCAAAAGGACAAAATGCTTTGGATAAATTTGTTCCCGGTCAAAAAAGAGCAACTTCGATGACTGGTGAACAAAGCGCAACTGTTCGAGCATTACGAGTTGAAATGGAAGCCCTTGATGATTTGATGGATAGCCGAGCAAGTGTTTGTGAAGAAGCAAAAGCGAAAGCCAAAAGACAAGATATTCGAAATGATATCATGCGTGAAGCGGGTATAATTGCAAGCGGACAAAATGCACCTTTGGTGATTGAATCTGCTCATTTTGAACCTTTGTTTGAACGTTCGTTGGCGATTTATGATCCTATGCGCTCAGAATTGATCGCAAGTGAGAAATCCCAACAAGAGATCTTGGATAGAATAGCCGAGCGTAATGAAGCTTTTGTACAAGCACGCACAGTCGATGCAAGTATGCAAAAACGACAGGAAGCATTGCAAACGTTGGATTTAGGATATGCAAAGTATCGTGAAATTTCTGCTAATCTGGTGGAAGGGCTGAAGTTCTATAATGCAATGGTGAAAATGCTTCACGAATTACGTGAGAATGTTGCAGGCTGGGTTCATCAAAGACAGGATGAAATGGCAGATTTATCTTCTAAGATGGAGCAAGCTTCTTTGGCCGCCACAGCTGCCAACACTGCGTCAAAAGCAACACCAACAAAGAGAAGGACTCGAGCGGCGGCAAAAGCAGAATCTTCTGCACCGGAGCCAGAACAAACTCAACCACCACAACCGCCAAATTGGGGAGCATGGCAAGGCGGTGACATTCGTTTTGCAGATTGATAGTGATGAAAGGTGTATGATACCCACTACAGCATAATTGAACAAATGATAGATGATCTATTTGAGCAAAAAGCAAAAAGAATAAGAGTTTCACTGTTAATGAGACGAATCTGCGATTTAAGGCATTGTGAATACCACCAGCCAAAGACATTACCTCAAAGTTACGTTAAACAAGGAGGGAGAGGCGAGAGTGCTGCTGTGTGAAACCACTCTGGCACCTAAGCGCAATAATTAATTGAGCGCAATCTCCCTACACTTTGAGTAGCCTTTAGGCACGCCTTGCGACGCGTCAAAGTAGAATGCTACTAACCCTCCTTGAACTTCAAGAGATCTTTGACTACAAGGGCTCAGCGAGATTCGGACAGTGGTTCCCAAATAAACCCGGTTACAGGTTGAATTTTTTGGACTGCGTTACCGCTGGGCTACAAATGTAGCATGTTACTAAGCAAGGGAGCGCGTAAACATATGAAGTATTTTTAAAATGATGTAAAGGGGGAAACCAAGATTATGGATCTGCAGGCCAAGTCAAAGGTGGCAGTGCTTTAGCCGCTTTAAAACAGCAAAAGCGTGACCTTTTTCTTTTCACAGCTTGAATGCCTTTTCCGGCTCTCCCTTTCCCCCCTTATGCCTCCACACGCATTAGCTCACGCACACTGTCAATATCTATGACCAAAACAATCGGCACCCCCTTCAAGGCATAAGAGCAGTGTCAAAGAAATGCTTCTAACAAAGACTTCCTGTCGGCAGACATCCGTTCTTGATCATTTTTGACGGCTATCTTCTTAACCTTCAACAATCAAACCTTTTCATCATCGTATCACCAATCACATCACACAATAATGGATTTCTTCTTCTGTATTCCAATCATCTTTGGATGCCCAACAAAGATTAAACAAGAAGGTGGCGGTCAAGCGTGAGTACAAGTGGATGAAGTGTGTGTGTAAATCGGGGCATAATACTGACATCCATCCCTCTTTTAACAGTCACGTATGTCCCCGCTGTCATAACGCTCAAGTCGTAACAGGTAAAAGTCGAACTTGGTTTGAAGTTTGTTGGATTCCATTGATCCCATTCAAAGCCAAACATATCTACATTTGTGGAATTTGTCAATGGCAAGCACCACAAGATGGTCAATATCAACCACAAGTTGCAGGCCAGCCAGGGTATGCTCAACCGCCGCACGGGATGATGAAGCCACAGTAGATAGATCCTTGGATGCTATTCGGTTCAAATCATCATGAACGATCATATCACGCACGTATACTGTACTTTATTTCGCTTCTCTCTCATCCCGAATGAGACTTTTTCCATCATGCTCTGCATTGGTATACTGATTTATTGGGTTAGCATGATTAAGGTAAAATACTGGTACAAGATAAAGCAAAAGGTGTAACTTAAAGAGTGAGCAAAGATTAACCGTTTGGCTAACCGTTGGGGGGATAAAAGTCTTGCAGACTTGCTTTCAGTCTAGCCAACTTAACATCCATTTCGTGGAGCCCTTCTTCGATTTCATTATGATATTGTTGATAGCGATCCAATTCGTCATCCCGCCTTTCAATCGTACGTAAAGGCTCCCTAATAGTAGGAGCAGATACCGACCTCATATAATACGATGAAGGGTAACCTTCATTATCACTTGCGGGTGGGTTAGCTCCGCCAAACGTATCAGGGTGGCTTGGCAGGCCTGGACTACTCAACCATCCTCCGACTTGATTGATCTTATTGCTTGCCGCTGTATTTATGACTAAAGTTGGAGGGGTTTGTTTAGGTGCATTCTCATCTTCCGATCCTGCATCCGGATTCACTCCTTTGCGAAATTGCGACATAATCTCAAGACTACCACGATGACGGAGCAGCGGCATGTTTGAATGTCTACGTTTGAATAGGGCAATCGCTTTTGGCATATGTGCGTTCGTATGATTAACTTCTTCTGCAGAAACATGTCCAGGTGCATTCTCATCTTCCAATCTTGCTTCCGGATTCACTCCTTTGCGATATTGTGACATAATCTCATGACTCTCACGGCGACGGAATATCGCACTTGAATGCGGACGTTGGAATCGAACAATCGGCATAGGTGCCATCGTATGATTAGCATCTCCTAATGGTTCAACTGACGGTTCTATATCCACCTTTTTGAGTGTGTTTGCAATGCCGGAATTCATACGGGTCAGTTGACCAGTCTTTCGTGTGATTTCATTCTCTTCTGGCTTGCCCAAAAAGGCGGTCAGATTTCCTGGCGGCTCAGTGAGCATCGGACTTGCGCTTCTTGCTACCCTTGTCGGTGTATCACGGTGTTGAGCTTTAAGCAGTAATTGTCTCGCACTCTTTTGCCTTCCAATCGCTTGTGATTTTGGTGTTGTGCGACTGAGTGCGGATAGCGTAGGGATCATCCCACCTCCACCATCTGGACTCTCTGCCGGCGATGCAGATGATGCCATAGATAATGGTGAGATGGAACGATTCGTAGGTGATAGATCCAGAATCGGTTCCAACGGTTGCCTGGGCTGGCTATAGCCTGCCGTTGCCGGACGTTTATCGAAAGATGTCAGCTGGAGTCTTACCGATCTACGATCTCCACCGCCTTCGGATTTTCTTTGATTTCGCAAAGCATTCTTTGGCACATGCGACTCATCGGCCACTGAATCACTTGAAGTATTTACAGCTCGACTCTTTGCGTTAACCTCTTCTTCTTCTTCATCGTCATCATCTCTTGCCATCGTTTCCTGGCCAGCACGTCTTCCTTTTTTTGCACTTTGCATTACCGCAATCTTCAACTCCCGCCATGCTTCACGCTCTGAAATCTCACGTTTAGCATTACTACCTCCCGAGCATCTCGAATCCGATCCTTCCCCAGACGCCGAGGCTGAGCGTGCACGCTCTAGATCATTTCTCTTCAATACATTCCCAGTGTAAGGCGTCTTCTTTGGTCTTGCTGATTGTGCGACAGGGAAAGGGTAAGGAGAGGCGGGAACTGGTATGGCCGTTGAACTATTACCTGCGGGGTCACTTAAATTACTGTAAGATCTTTGCCGAACAGGTGTAACAAAACGCCCATCATGTATACTGATCGATCCCGAAGCCCCCCTCATCTTTGTGGCTGTTTGCACTGCGTGACGATGGAGACTCGCACGGTGCTTATATGTTGACCGATGATCGAATGTCTTCTTGGCTTGCGGCGGAGTGGATTCTATTGGCGCTGAGACATCAGCACCAGACAAGATACCACTGACGTTTGACGAATCCGGCTTCTGAGAGAGAGGCGATGAAGATGACAACTGGCTCTGTACTTCTATCTGAGATGTATCAAACGCATCAAAAGGCGGAACGTAAGAAAAACCAAACCACGTCAGATCCAAGCCAGACCATTGTGCTACCGTGGTACGTTCATGAGAATGCGATTGATCAAAGTACGAATTGCCTGCTCGATGCGACATTTTACTCAAATTAGCCTCGGAAATATGTTGCGATTGATTAAGATTACCACCGCAATTCCCACCAGAACGTTCGTCCAACGCAGCACGAGATATTTCAACAGAATTTGGAAAGCCAGGAAAGTCATTGGCATCGTTTGCCCACACTTTTGACCAATTCATTGGTCCAGCATCGAACGATTGGCTATTCATCCCAGCGCTGGGACTATGTAGAATTGAGGGCTCTGGTTGACAGGAGCCATCACTGGTGTCGGCGATGGTTTCCAAATGTGGAATAAAAGGTGCAGGATTTTGCCACGGTCTAGACCAATCTACTCCAAGGAAGAAAGGATGCTGTTGTACCTCTGATGACGAAAATGTGCCAAGTCTACGATCTGCATCCGTGATTAAGCAGGTGATCAGATCGTGCAACTGCTCAGAGCAATTCACCCTGTGATCCATTCGAAAATAGTCTTTGTGATTCTTGATCATCTCCATCGTGTCGGCAATCTTCTCGGAGAAGAAAGGCAGTTGTTTAAAGACCATTTCGTACAAGAGCACTCCAACGCTCCACCAGTCACATTCAGGCCCATATAGACCTGGTCCTTCCGGCGGTGGTTCATCATCATCCTCTCCTTCTTCTTCGCTTTGCATTGAATTGTTGAGAAGTGTAGAGGAGGCATCCATACTGCTGAGGTATGAAAAGTCTTGTCTTTGACGTCTGCGACTCATCAGATCTGCCGACCAAAATATTTCAGGTGCAATGTAGTCTGCCGTCCCGATCAAGCAGCAATGACGATAGAGCACCCTTCTTTGATTTCTTTTGCTCCGTCTCAGACCGCCATTCCCGCCACCACCAGATGCGAATGGTAAATTTGCCGTTGCTGGTACTTCATCAAATCGTGCAAAAGGCGCCGAACTTGCTAAATCGCACATCAACAGGTGACCTGATCGGTCTATGAGCCAATTTCCTGGTTTGATATCTCTGTGCATGAAGTCTTGGGCGTGAAGCCAAGAGACGGCAGCCACCATATCGATAGCATACGACCGGACGTATTGAAGAGATAAGAGACCACCCGTCCTGTTGCGTGCTTCGTGATCTTTTGGTGCTTGACCAGCACTTTCGAGAAAATGATAAAGGTCACCTGCAGGACAATATTCCATCAAGATATGCAAGCTTGCTTGACTCTGAAAAGAGGCGATGCAAAAAGGTGTGAAGCTTGTTCGTCCTCTGATCTCCTTTTGTGCCAAAGTGAGAAGTCTCCGTTCATTCATAGGTGCGTTTGATTTGAAGCCTCTCTTGGCAGCTCCTTTTGTAGTGGATTTGAGAATATAGATTTTTCGATCGAATCTTGAGCGTACTAGCTCTACAGTCCCCTCACGATTGGACTCTAAGCAATTGATTGATATGAAATCTCGACTTGAATCAGTAAGACACACGGAAGACATGCCTTTCAGCACTCTCGAGGCTCTTAATCGTGCAAGATTTGACTCTCGGACTTCCTTTTTTATGGACCATAAGATTGCCATTGAAAGATCCAATTGCCTGCCTAGTCGTTCATTCTCATCATTTTGATCGACCAGATAATGGGATTTTGTATTGCAAGCACACGTATTCGCTGCATTCTCATCCGTTTGCGGTAGATGTAAAGCAGCAAACAGGGCTTCTTGATGTGCTTGGGTAATGCATGGTTCTTCAGTCAACTCCTTTAATCGCGAACGGCGATGTTCCCATGATGAGATAGCATTTGAATCCATGGAGGTGACTTAGATGTGTAGGAGAGCAATGTTATGACCTTGCTAGATGCGGGGATAATTCAAGATGAACAACATTGCGTTACTTTATATTTCTTGAGCTTCGCTGGTCAAAAGGTGCTTGCTTGAATGATTTTTTGGAGTTGATGACCTTGTAATGGTAGATGGAACAAGTCATTCATACATCATTCAATCTATCGGGTCTCATCGTGTTGCTCTTGTTAAATGTATGCTGTTCATATTAGTGGAGAGCAACACTGCAGCAAAGCTCTCGCGTACAACCGCGTATGTATCCTATCCCTATGTGTGTTACTGCAATTAGAACACAGACACTTTATTTACACTTTTGGCGGCGCGTAGATTCACGTGAATACAGTCAAGTCAATTTTGGCTTTTTCTGTTTTGTATTCTGTTCAATACAACATATCAAAAGAGAGAGAGGGTCTGTGTAATGCGCTTTGGCCGCGTTTGCATGCCTTCATGTTGGCTGCAAATGGCGTCCATGCCGGGGTAATGCAAAAGAATACAACAGTCATCATCATCCTACTTACCTCAATCCATCCTCTTATTTATCATTCACACAATTGACTATTGATTTGGGCTGTAGTTCTGTTTTAATGTCGCCTTGCATGGTGCATTGCATCCCTCAACAATCAAAGCACCTCCATTGCGACAACCAAACGTACTACTTCAGCATCGCTCAAGATGTCTGTCAATTCAGGTCGTCGAACCGTTCGAAATGGCAAGCTCAAAGTAGCAAAGAAGGTGGGATTGGATTTGCCTATCGAAGAGATGTGGAACAGACTATCTCGTGCTATTGGTAGTATTCAAAATCATGACATTGGAAGCTTGAGCTATGAGGAGCATTACAGATACGCTTATAATCTTGTTTTGTTCGACAAAGGAGATTTGGCTTATAGAGGAGTCAGAGCGCAAATTGTACAACATTTGATGCAACAATGTGCAGATATCATCGTTCCAGCATTTCCTACAGGAGCAGCAGCAACACCAACAGCAGGTATCATCTTACCCGAGCAGCCAAAGCCCGCCTCTTCTCTCAGAACTTCCTCTCTCGCCAAAGGGAAACACGTTGAAACAAATCGCAAGGAAGATAGCGGTTCCGTCGTTACAATCGACAAGGACGTAGATGAGGCAGCTGCGAATGGTGTTAATGTATCGACTTCTCAAGTAGGTGATCGAGCAGATGTTATTTCCCGAGCTCAGGCAGGCGAAAGATTGCTGCGAGCAATTCGGGACATTTGGGAAGATCATTCTTCATGCATGAAAAGGTTACGTGATGTTCTCAAGTATTTGGATCGTGTATATGTCAAAAAAGCATCACAAGATGACTCTTCTGTGGTGCCAACATGGGATTTGGGTTTACATCTATTTAGAGACACAGTGATTCGCAGTCAAAAATACCCAATTCATACGCATCTTTATACAGCATTACTGACGCAAATACAGCTGGAAAGAGAAGGATCGGTGATCAATCGGAGCGCATTAAAGTCAAACATTGATATGTTATTATCATTATCGTACCCCGAAAGAGGTGTAGAGGAGAAAGCATGGGATACAGTATACAAGCGAGAATTCGAGCCCGCATTCTTTGCAACCAGTGAAGAATTCTACAAAGCCGAAGCACAGAGGCTTCTTGATGGTCATGATGCAGCGCAGTACTTACGACATGTTGAAAGACGATTTTTGGAAGAAGAAGCACGCGTGGCTGTATACCTGTCCTCAACAACGCATTTTGAATTGAGCAAAACGTTGGAGAAATGTCTGCTATCGGCACATTTGAACAAAATCATCGATATGCCTGGAAGTGGAATCGTCACGATGCTCGATGAGGATCGGCGAGAGGATTTGGCACGGATGTATCGATTGTTTTGGCGTGTTACCGATGGGCCTACAGTGATGAGACTTGGTTTGAAAAGATACATTGGAGCCAAAGGAAAAGAAATTAACAATCCTGTGAGCGCCGGTTCAAAGCAGGCAACGCCATCAAAAGATGATGATGCGGAGGCATCCGAAACAAAGGCAGCAGCCAATGCTGCTGCTTCCACACCGCAAGCACAGATGGCACTCAAGTGGGTAGAGGATGTGCTGGCATTCAAGAAAAAGTTTGATGGAATACTGCGAACCAGCTTACGAGACGACAAAGGCTGTGAAACGGCTATCAATGAGGCATTCGAAACGTTCGTCAATACAAATCCTCGATCACCCGAATTCATCTCATTGTTCATCGATGAAAATCTCAAGAAAGGCCTAAAGGGAAAAACGGAAGAGGAGGTGGAAGAAGTATTGCGAAGAACAATTACCGTGTTCCGATTCTTGCATGAGAAGGACGTCTTTGAACGATACTACAAAGGTCATTTGGCAAAAAGATTATTGCAAGGCCGCAGCGTTTCGGATGACGCAGAACGTGGAATGATGGCCAAATTGAAGATCGAATGTGGACACGGATACGTGCAAAAGCTGCAAGGAATGTTAAACGATATGAAAGTGTCTGATGAAACTATGCTCTCCTTCCAAGAATCATTGGAGAGGAATAAACGAGACATGCCATTCGATCTCGGAGTGAGCGTTTTAACGTCAACGTATTGGCCAATCAGTGCACAAGCACCTTCTTGTACGATGCCAGCAGAGATGGTAAGCGCTCGACAAGCATTTGAGAGCTTCTATCAAGCTAGACATAGCGGTCGTTTGCTGACGTGGCATCCAAATCATGGTACGGCGGACGTGCGCGTTCAATTCAAGTCACGAAAGCATGAGCTCAATGTGAGCACGTATGGTTTGGTTGTTTTGCTATTGTTTGAGGAAGTACGCAATGGGTCAAGCCTGGGCTATCAAGATATCCAAAAGAGTACAACGATTGCAGATGGCGATCTGATGAGAACATTACAAAGCTTAGCATGTGCAAAGTACAAGATTCTAATCAAAGAGCCAAAAGGGCGAGACATTGGAAAGGAAGACAAGTTCACCTTTAATGATGGATTCCAGTGTAACCTTGCCCGGATCAAGATTGCCACAATCGCAGCTCGTGTAGAAACGGCAACAGAACGAAAAGAAACAACCGAAAAAGTAGAAGAAGAAAGGAAGAATCAAGTGGAAGCATGTTTAGTTCGTGTGATGAAAGATCGCAAGACTATGACCCATAATGAGTTGGTGAACGAAGTTATTCGACAATTAGCAGCACGCTTCCAGCCTACTCCTGGTTTAGTGAAAAAACGAATCGAGAGTTTGATCGATCGAGAATATTTGGAGAGGAGTGAAACTTCCATGAATGTGTATCATTATCAAGCATAAGGGGGATCGTAAGAACAACAAGAGGAGAGAGTATTTAAGACAATCATATCCATTCAATTGTATTTTTTTATATTTTGTTCTCAATTTATCATAGCAATCACGATGAGATAAGCCTGTTATACATGATCAGGCAAAGGGTACATTACGCGTAGTGATTGAGCCAAGATCCTAGTTTGCGGGTTATTGTTTTCTTAGTGTTTTAGTTAGCAAGCCAGAGTTTTCGATTGCATATCTTTGTTGTGCCTCAGTCACTTCCGAGTTGCCTGCATATATTCAAGAATGCACTACTGTATGCATACTTGTCTTGGCAAAATGAATGATTGGGAAAAAAAATATTCCTATCAGTGCCACATCAGGGAAATTAGAGCTGGTTATGCAGGAATCTGAATTTCACACCTCATGAGCATAAGGAATTGAACGGCATCCTGTAAAACACAATCTCGGTAAAAAGTTTGTTTGCCTTTGCGGGGACTAAGATCTTGCATTTGTTTAATGAAACATTTCCATCTTTTTGATACTTCCATCATCAATATAACGACAGCATATACCTCTTCGGATGATCATTCGGAATCAATGATGTCGCCAAAAGAGAAAAAAGGAATCAGAATACGGCACAGTACTTGTCTGTTCATCTCTTTTCTCATTTCAGCTCTTGTATTTTGCAATCATGTTTCTGCACTGGCAATACAAGATCTACCTTCGAATGACGGAAATCGTACATTGACACGTATATCGATCAAAAGGACATATCCATTGAATGATACCGAGCTACAAAAGCTCAGTCAAACAGACAGGCAATTACTCGATAAAGATGATTATGGAGTGTTGGCTTTTAGGAGTGCATATACTACAGATGCAAATGCTAAACGAATGATTATCATGTTGCATGGCTTTGGAAGAGATGCATGGCAATATCAAGATACAGCCAATGATGCATTGTATGAGGCCATTGGCTTGACTGGTTCGCCGGATCAAAATGATATAAAGAAACTTAAATTGGATGAAACGTTGATTGTTTCACCGCAATTTATCAATGAAGAAGATATGGAACTATACTACCAAACAAATGATCTCCAATTCGATGATGTTGCAAATTTGACAACTTATGATTCACCTTCGATAGAAACAACTCTCGTTTGGCAAAATACATCTTGGGCAGAAGGAGCTGATTCCATTCTTCCGACCAATATAACTTCTCCACCTGATCAAGAAGGTAATTCACGTTTGATAAAAGCACCTTCAATGTCTTCGTTTGAAGTTATGGATGCAATGATAGATCAAGCAACAGACAAAACTCGTTTTCCAAAATTGGAAACTGTAATCGTTGCAGGTCATAGTTTGGGTGCACAATTCGTTCAAAGATATGCTTTGATTGGCGCTATACCGTCAAAACAGATACCCGTACATTTTTTCATCGCCAATCCTGGAAGTTATGTTTACTTGACCGACGAAAGGCCAAGATCAACAAAGAAATGCTCTGACACCTATAATGAATGGAAATTCGGTTTAGGCGTTTTTGGCATTCGTTATTTATATGATATGGTAATCACCAGTCTTGACACATTGAATGATATCACTGATGTTCGGGTACGATATCTTCGTGATAGACAGGTGCATTACCTATACGGCTTGAATGATACCGGTACCAATGGTGATCGTAGATGTCAAGCAATGTCCCGTGAGTGAAAATCTAATTGCAGAGCACACTGACAAGCATGATCGGCTAATATTTTTTTTTATTTCTGCTTGTAGAGGGTCGAAATCATTTGGAACGAGGTAGAAATTACCTCAAACACATAAATCAAACATCCTTGGCGCTGCATCTAGATCATGCCCATACGGTAGACTTCGTACCCGGTATAGCCCACGATGCAAGAGGAATGTTTTATTCACCTGCCGGCATTCGTCGTTTATTCTTGTCCAATATTGACGGCACAGAAAGTGCTCGAGGGGTAGGGTGAGTAATGTTTTTAGCAGTATGATACAGTGAACCTTTGAATTGACTTTTTCCCGTTCTTACTTTTTCAGAATTGCCGATCCAGATTCATATTTATACCCTTATAGATTCACTCAACCAACCAATTCTGCATATTCTCTTCTTCACGGACCATCTTTTCCTACCTTTATCTTGACCATCATCTTCACTTCTCTTAGCATACTTTGTATTTTTGCTTCTTGATCTTTATAGATTCGCATTCATGTATACATTACAATAGATAAATGTCATCACACATTCGTCGATATATACTCAACTTTGCAAGCCGTATTCACCACTCAAATATACAACCACTGTTAACGCGTGGGCGTACATTTCATTTAGTGTGATCTTATTCGATAAAGTCACATCTCTTGACACGCTAAAGTCACATTTTCGATGAAGTCACATTTCATATTGCGCAGAATCACTCAAGCCTGGCAGTAGAAATATTGGAGAGAATCAAATAGGCTCATGGCGATGCTATACTGATGATGATTGTCAAAGCTTCCAAATTCTCACCCTTCTACGTCTTTCTGGATGTATGTATTGCACATATATGCGTCAATGATGAGCGCCAAAGTGTGTGAATATGTCATGGTACATAATGGATGTGAATCCCATTTTTTTGTGATAGAGAACAAAAGAAGAAACAACCCAAAAACGGGAGAGGTTGCTTATCCCATGATGCAAAGTGTAAAGAGAGTGATGAGTTATCAAGCTGAGGAACCTTTTTAGGCGACCAAGCTTACAACACCACCAGCTTCCTTAATCTTCTTTTCGGCCAACTCAGAAACCCATCTTGCCTTAACGATGAATGGCAATTGAGGCAAACGTCCTTTACCCAAAACCTTTCCGTATCCGGCTGCCAATGTGTCAATGACGGGAACTTCCTTAGAGCTGGCTGACAATCCCTTGCGTTGTTCAGCGGGAACCAAAGTCCAAAGTTTGTCCAAGTTGATCACGGGGCAGTGGTATGCGTTACGGGTCAAGTGGAAGTGACGCATACCAACCTTACCGAAGTAACCAGGGTGGTATTTGTCGAAGTTGGTACGGTGGTGATGTTGACCACCAGCTAAACCACGACCACCGGGATGTTTGCGGTGCTTACCTGGAAAGTGGAAAAGAATTAAGATGAGCAGTCAGACAAGGGATGTTCGAGAGCAATGCAAGAGGCGGATAGAGATCGAATGTAGATGACGGAACGATGTGATGTTGAGTGGAAGGATAGTATGTCGGACTGAGAAGCTGGCCAATGTGTGTAATATTGTTACTTTGTGGTATTCCTGCAGTGTCGAACTATGAGTGTCAAGATAGTGAAAGATCAAGCGTCTCATCATTGATAGGACGCATTTCGATACGGTTGGCAAGTTTGTCTGATCTAGAAAGCATGGTCGAGTCGAAACATTCACAGTCGTGGCCACTCTGTCGTTCGCAATACCTCCCACCTTCCAATTCATCCAGTCTATCTACAATCGATCATTTCTCCAAAGTTGTTGATACTCACCAATACGACCGTAACCGGCGGAGACGTGTCCACGGTGCTTCCTTGTCTTGCTGAAGCGGGTAGGCATTTTGATGACACAGTTGAAAGTGATGTGTGTGTGTCAAGAAGAGAAGGTGTGAATTGCAACTAGAAGATGACAATCGTTTGAGCTACACATACGCACACGCTCGCCTTCTGCCTGAGTTTGTTCCAAGCATACAGGCATTCATTCCCTCATAGACACACAAATTTCACTGCGGTTGACTTTGTCCCTGCTGGTGTGCCTGGGCAATTCATTGCCTTTACGCGCGCGATTCTCTGCCGCAAGATTCAGACCGAAGAAAGATCACGTGTTTGTAGTGTAAAAGAGTCTCTGCCAATTATATAAGCAATTTATAGAAATCCGACTTATAAAAATAATATTCTGGCACCGTGCTCATGCTGTAGCCTGCATGACTCCAAGATCGCTAAGAGGGGAAGGGCAGATCAGCGCACTAACGGCGTTTTATCAGTGCGCATGTGCTATCTTACACTTGCTTATCCGGAATCTCTGGGCGTGTGTGAGTGAGATGCAGAGGGGATGGCCGGCTATAAGAGAACCGTTGAAAGCAGTGCAGGCTTTAATCCATACTCAACGCATACAATACGTAGGGGGAGGGTCTGCAGCTTTATCCACTTACCCGGCACCCAACGAGTCGATTACAGGGTGAATCGAAAGCGCGTGCGCGTAGCGCACAGGCTTTGCCTATTAGGGGGAACCCCTAATAGGCAC